AAGCTTTCGCCATTTTGTCAATTTGCAACATAAATTATTTATTTTGGTACGGGTGATAACTGTAAACCTATCGAATAAAAATCTTTTTTATTTTTTTGATTTGAGTCAACCTTGGACGTGATAACAACATTAATAGTTAATAAAAATTAATAAAAAAATTATCTCGTATTCCCCAAAAGGATAGCTAAGTAAACTGCAAAAAAAGAATCATAACGTCGGATGTAACATTTCCTTAAAAAAAATTGAGGAAAATGGGACAATTTTCTATCATTCACATGGGACTCCCCCCTTAAGTCTGAATCTTAACATTGAAACATGAAGATGAGTCTGTTGAGACACATGTTGACGAGGACTATATGTGTGCTAGGTTATTTAAAAGTTGTTAGGTGACCAATTGACCAAATATTGATAAGTCATCATCTGTTGGTCACTAGGTCTAGGGGTCCTCCCCTACTATTGCTAGGACATATGGGCCCCCATGGCCCAAGGGACTCACAAGAAGTCCAAGAGTCAAATTCCATTGCAAATTCCGTTATTCCTCATAGTTGAGTGAATAAACTCTCATGATGCAAAAGGAGCATTGCTTGGCCACCCGGGGCTCCAACAAAGTCATCGTTATTTTTACATATTTGCGCCAGTAGACACATCGTCGTGCACCGTATTATCGCAGCTCCTGACGAGAGTGCAACGCTTCGCCACAAGGTCTCAACCGAGTCGATGCGTGCAACAAGTACTCGTCTCAATTGGCGATTACGACCTCGTAAATTCATTTTGAGATCAAGTTGAACGAGTGTCCATCCGGCGCCATTTTGTGTCCTAATCCGCAACTTCGGAAAACCGGCTCCCAATCCCGTGCAACCTCGTTACCCTGGAATGTTGAAAAAACAATGTTTTTATCCGAACCGCATACGCGTTTTATTTTTTAAACTCGTCTGCAAAACCGACGAGCGAATTTTTTTGTCGCGTTCGAGACCGATCCTTCGAACCGGCGCGATAAACTCGTGCGACAGCACGGTGGCCATTCTCCAGAAGGCCACTTAATAATAGCCCGTTATCGGTGTGCTGAAAACTGATTAAAATGCGTGCCAGCCAGGATGTCTCATTAACGAATTAACACGACACGCTCTGTAGATAGTAGAGCGCTGTTACAACCGCCTTATCTGTACTCCTTTTGTCTCTGAAAGCCGTGACCGATATGCCGCCACTCTTCCCCAAAAAAATTCAGCAACATTGGAAGCCCTCCTCTGATGCACGTGTTGGGCAAAGAACCTAAAACGTTTGAGTACTGTCAAATACTTGGTGGTTCGATTAGTCATTAAATTACTAAGGAATTAATAGGTGGACTGTCGAACAAATGGGGAATACCCGATATGCTCCACGAGGGGCGCCTTAAAAACTAACAGACGGTAGTTTATCAGCTCAAATAGCCATCGTCACCTCTCGAGGTACGAGCCTTCAAGTTTAACATGCAAAACTGCTTCACAAAATTGTACAAGGTCTATTCTTCCATTAATTGCAACAATTACAAGTAGAGGATCATCCCTGACTAAGGGTCTCGCTGATGCATGCGTTATTGACCGTTCCCAGGCGCTCGACATCGAAACGAATCAGTATTCCGCTGCAAATGCGAGCAAGATTCCACTACGTATGCGTGTAACCAGATATTGAAGTGGTTCGAAGACCGCAATGGTACTAGTGCGTCCATCTTCCACCGAATCAGCTTGGAGTTCTTAACGACACGAGGACAAATACACGTTGGGGAGACTTTGGCGGGGAAAAATGGAGGCGATCGTGAGACTGGCGACGAAGATGCTTCTTCCCAGACTTGTTCGATGCAAAGGAGGCTCTCCCCCAGCGTCACTCGTGTTTACGGACGCAGACCGGAAAGCGTGCTCTTGATTTTCCAATAAATCTCAATTTAAGGAGGCCGTTTATACGCACGCATAACCGTGCATTTCATTTGCCGTAGCAATTTCGTAATGACGCCCGAGAAACGATTATTGCCCGAGGGGTACGAGGTACGCGTTGCCTTTTGCCCGGGTAATGCGTATAAGTAGGCTGGCTTTAAGCCGGAGCATTACCGTTCACGATGAAATAACAGTGATTACGGTGCCCGCGGTATATACTCGCGACGCCTATCACGATCCAATAGCGAGAAAAGACACTGCTCGGATCGCCTCTTCCTCGCCAACTCGCCGCTATCGTCCTCTGCCTCTTTTCTTTGTTTCCAATCAACGCCCTCTATCGTCGTACACCTAAAATTACAGTCACAATTACATATTTTGTTTGTCTTCCACCTAAATGGGTACATAGAACTTAGGAATTGAGCAAATCCCTACCAAACCGGGTGCAAATGATTTCTGGATCCCCCTCGGTCGCAGGAACGCCGTGAACGATTTCTGTAACGTGATTTTACCAGCCAGTCTCGGATTTCTCCGACCCTTCCACGCTCCACGGTCCTTCGGTTCAACTGCGACAAAGGACGATTTCTCAAAGCTTTCGGAGTGTCAGGCACTCGGAGAATTTTCCGGACGAACGAAGACGCGAGCCGGTTGCGTGTATGGCATTGGTGAGGAGATAAAGGGCCGGTTTTCCACGACAATGGCGAGATTCGACGTCGCCTTTCGCAACAAGCAGGCTGCATTGTGGCTAGAAAAAGGATTTCCAGGCCGAAAGTTTGCTACAAATATCGCTGTCGTAGGCTCTATTGAGGTCCACCAAATATTTTTCACCTCCCACGCATTTAACGACTGAGGATTCCTCTTCTTTCTTCGCCCTCATGCCCTACAAAGGACGGATTTTCCAGAGTGTATATAGAACGTGTCCCTGAAACACGAACGAAGCCGGATGTTGCATCGTTTAGAGGGGGGGCATTAGAATCTCTTTTCCTAAGACCTGGGCGCGTCGTTGAACAGACAACTCGTGTTCGATGTACACTCTGGTACTTTTGGCGAACGTACATTTCGATAACGTTGCGCCAGTTGGTCCGCGGTGGTCGCAGTATAATCTCGAGGCCCCCGGGTAGCCCCGATGAATTATTTGACGGGCAAATCGGGCGAAAGAAGACGTACACGGTGCCTCCATAATTTTTCGTGCGAGATCGCCGCGAAAAGATAGAACCACGGTCGATCGGCGAGTATAGCGAAAGGGCTGAACGACTATACCAATCGATGGACGATTGAACGCAATTCTATGGGATGGGAGTGGCCCGGCCAGACTCTTTTCGAACGGAAAAGGCGCATCCTGTGCGCCTTGTCAACTGACAGTTGACAATGGCGCCCGGGTCCACAATCGGCTATGACACTCATCCGCACCCATGCATTTTTCGGAGATCACGAGGTTCATCGCGAGTCTACTTCTCAATAGGGATCTTCAGACTGTTGCATGCAGGGAAACCTCGCCTTTACCCATTTTTGTAGACTCCAGTCTCTGTGGAGACCATTGGCTCTCCCTCAATCTTCTCTATTGCTCACATGCATTACTCCTAATCACATGCAAATAATCAACAATTAGACATTGGAATGATCTTATAGGATTGTTTGTCACAGTTTAAATACCGAAATTTACCACGATGCTTGTCTTACGAAGTGACCAATTGAATTACCATCGATGAAACACCGGCGATTATTTTGTCCCGCGCTGCGTATGTGCGTTCCACATGACATGCGAACGGGGTCGCATCGGTTCAATTAGAGGCAACACCAAGTACACGGTACGATTCACCTCCGGAATGAGCCTCTTTTTCTCCCCGTATTACAAACGATTCTTAGACAATGTTTCAACGTTAAGTAACTACAGTACTAAAGCCTTGGTAAAACGTACACGATTATCTCCAATATTGGTTTTCTTCCGCGTGAGAGATTTTGAGAATCGAGCAGCCAACAGCTGTGTAAACAAAACTAGCTGGCTGACTTTCAAAGCAAGAGCGACAACCGCTCATAGATATTAAAAACTTTTGTATTCCCCATGAAGATAATGTGGATGAAGGCTCAAAAAGTCTTTCTACTTCGTTACAATGTTACCAGCAGTTGCACTATGAAACGAGAGAAAAGTAAATTAAATAGAATGAAGAAGGGAACAATAGTGCAACGTAGAAAAGAAAGGAGTGGTTTCATGCTGGACCTCGCGGGCGTAAATCAAGCACATAACCCGTGACATGATTGAGATGAATTGTTTCTAGATAGCCGTGGCATGCTTCGATGCGTAGAGGGTTATTAGAAACATTTTGTTGATGCACACTCCGTGCAGATAATCCCAATCAACTTCATGACCATGTTACCAAAATGCTACTAAACAAACTTGGTAACAGGAACATAATCCATTCTAATGGTCATTTAGTCCAACAAGTATCCTCAACTTCAGAAATGAAAGTTAAGATCTCCTTAAACCTTGGTCAAACAGGACTCTCAAATCTATAAATTAAATGACAAATAATCTCTATTATTCAATGGAACTTTTACTTTACTTATTTTTATTAATTTGTACCTGTGGTTATATCCTAAGCAACTATTTATAAATAATGGGCAATTAAAATGTAATTGTTTTATTATTTATTAGAGTTACAATTTTTGTCAGTTTCAGTTTAATTTATACCTAATTGTTAGATAACGGACTTACTCTGTGTATTTATTCCTACAAACACGAGGTGCCTTACCGGGTCATTCCCGCCAAAACGCTGAAAATAGTTTTCCTGTCATCTGTAAAGCTTGCAAGGAAACTGTTATTAATTGGAACATGTCAGCATTCGATCAGTGTCAAAAATTGACGCATATATTTCATAAATAATTGTATAAAGCTGAATTCGGGGACCAAAAGGATGAGCACTGACCTCCGTTCGCCGGGGAGTCCCTTGACTGAATGACCATAAGATCGACAACCCCCACCACTCCGCTAGACGCTAAGGAAGTTCGTCGTACCAGATTTGGCCACACTGGCGCTAGTGTCTGCACATATGCAGCGGTTGACAACCACTGGTTATGCACTTGCACTGCTGTCGTCGCTGCAGATACTACATGAACATGGTTTTTTCATTCTAAACTGTTTTTAATAAATCTGCTTACATATTTGTCGGATAATTAGTTTTAAAAACTTACCCATATGAGGACGGTTAAGTAACTTTTACCTAAACTCATTTATCTTTGATTAAAGGTAAAGAAAAATATACCGTTGTACTAGTGACTTGTCAAATTCTAACCGATTTCACTGTTTGGTTTATGTTTTTGTTGGTGCAATAGGTTATGTTTTCGGCCGTAAAATGATTAATTCTGATGAACTATCGAATGAACCGATACTTTATGAATTATTGGAGTATTTTGTCCGAAAGCAAGAACCGGAGCTGATAGTAAGTCTACGTCTGCGTGTAATGAAAGAAAATTATTTGATCACACATGGTTCACGTACATGAACGTGTATTAACGTGTTTGTAAAATAATGTTTCTTTTAGAAATGTAAAAATGATGCTGTAATATTACCGACAACTGGGACAATTAAAAATGCTCTTAGATATCTCAATAACAGATACTCTTTGCCAGAGAGCATATCGCAACAAATCAGTCTTACGTTACCATGGAAATTTGCGATCGGGGATTCTGGACGTTTACTAGCTATTTTACAAGAAAATGTCATAGAAATTCGAAAAGCAAAAGATGAATATTCGTCGATCATTGGAAAAGCCTCTGGTTAGTAACAAATGCATGGTTGAAAATATAGAAATGCTAATATTTCTTGCACATTTTTTTATAATTTTAGTTCCAAAGGATGCTTTTCCACACTGGCGTAAAATTTCTTGGAGTCCAGACGGAACGCTTTTTGTGTTAGCATCCAGTAACGGTTACACCTCCTTTTACAATGCAATTGGAAACAATATTTTCAACATCAGTCCGAAGACTGTTTCTCAAAACCCTCATATTTTAGAAGCCGGAGATGCTATAGCATCTATGATATTTCTTAAGCCGAGAATAAAATCTGAAAAGTGGTCCTACGAATTTTTGTTAATTACATATAGTGGTCTGCTCAGGTCGTATCATGTTTCAGTGAACAATGGTTTCGAAGCAAATTATGAATTTTCTTTTGGTAATTTTTATAAAAATGGCGTTAATGCTGTTACTTATGATGAAAAGCATTGCTTATTTTATATTGCTGGAAACACAATAACCCAAAAATTAACGGTAATTAGTTCATTCTTTAAGTAGGTCGATTTAGAGGTAGCATAACATACTACATATTTTGTTGTAGTCAACAGCTTCAGAAAGTGGTTTAACGTCATGGCGACACCTGGATGAATATCCATACTGTAAATTATCATTTGCCTTTGACGACAAATCAAAAACTTCGTCAAGGTTTTCTATATGGAGTATCATTCCAACGTTAAGTTTGCAACCAGAGTCGATCATATTCAAAATAAAAATCTCTCCGAATAGTCAATTTCTGACATGTTTGCACTCCGATGGCTCAATATCGCTATGGGCACTGCCAAATTTATTGTTACAAAAGAAATGGAAATTGTTCGAACAACCAGATTTCAATACACCTAATCCTCTGGGGCATGTAAAATCAAAAAAATTCCCACCAGGTGTTAACGAATTCCACCCATTGGACATCGGTTGGTGGTCTCACCAGGTATTATCTGTTTTTTAATAATGTTTATTCTGTGTATGTTCAAATGTCTGATATCAATTGGTGTTCTCAAAGGCAATTATAATTGCAAGATACACTGGATCCATCTCTGTATGTTCCACAAAGAATTTAAAAAATCGTTTGGGCACGAGTCCTGAGTTTTTAGCAGGACAGCCACAAATATGTGAACTTGGTCCAGATCGAGGCTTTTTGTGTCTGGACTGTGAAACGTTTACGAGTAAAAAACGAAACAGAGAATCTAATACTGAAAGTCAGATATCAGGTTTGTGTTATAATACATATTATTCGATTACTGGGTGAGCGAAGGTCTACTGTGTATAATAAAAGGCATACTAAATTTTCAAGAAGCCTCATCCGAAAGCGAAGAGGAGCACGACGAATTAGAACCAATTAGTATATTAAACTACACTACAAATTTAGTGCAAAGTACTTTATACTCTATAACTGATATTGAAAAATTTCAACCCAAAAGAAAAAAATCAAGGGTGTTATTTAGAACATATAGAATCCTTGGTCTCAAAAGTACCACACCCGAAGAACTTTATTCAAGAAAAATAGATATAGAGGTATGGAATAGTTAGGATTCAAAGTATCTTGTATTAGATGAAACGAGAATTTTAAAAAAATGTTTTACAGGAGTACGAAGAAGCTTTGGCCTTGGCTAATACGTACAACTTGGATACGGATCTTGTTTACCAAACGCAGTGGCGAAAGTCTGAATTGTCTTTGAATGCGATTCAAGAACATCTGAGCAAAGTTACGAAAAGATCTTGGGTGTTGCATGAGTGTGTTACTCGAGTACCGGATACTATAGAAGCAGTAAGAGAATTATTGAATTTTGGATTGAAAGGTGCCAACTTGGAAACATTGGTAGCGATCGGAGAATGTGATAATGGGAAATTTATAGTGGACAACACAGATGAAGATTGGAACGAAATGGACGAAGGAAGCGTAAGTTTGAGACAGGTAAGCTTATCTGTCTTTATTTGGCATAATACAAGATATATAATACCTGGTAAGGAAAATTAAATCATTCCAAACCTTAATGAAAATATAGCTGCAAAAAGAAAATGAATTGCTCGATAAAATTGACATCAAACATTTGTCAGATGCTCAGAGCGACTTGATCAAATATAGAAGAAAGCTTCTGAATCATTTAGATAAATTGCTCACTTACGAAATTATTTTGGGAGCCTCGTTAAAATATAATAAAGTCTTTTACGAGGAGTTTCGACAACTTTCGGCAATTGAGAACACGATTAGGTATAAACAAATATAAATTATTTATAATATAATGTAAGAGTTTATGTATCTATTTTAATATGATTCTTTCACTAAGCACAGGTTCGCCAAAGATGGCGATTGCGAAGGAGTTGAAATTATGTTCACGTATTATAGCAAAAGTTTACTACCCCATTGGCTAGCAATAATTAGCTTTTTCCCAGAGACTTTAAATCCATCGAAATATATAAAGCTTCTACCACAGTGTGATACAGATGGTAACTTATTATTGCTCGATCAACGTGAATTAAGACAAAAGGATTGGTCCGAGAAAACTGAATTCAATGAAATAATTAATTTGGAAAATGACGATAAGTCGCAGTTACTTTACGAGTCTGACCCATCGCTATCTATATACAAGTAATATAAACTGCATTTTCTATTATTTATGGATCAATATTTATCATTTTTATACAAAGGTATATTTTCTTTTTTTTTTATTAGAAATACTTCTCTTACTCCGGAGCTATTACAAAAGTGGTACAAATCCAGAGCTTATCAAATCGAAAGAAACAGTTACATGGTCGATAATGCATTGCAATTGATAAAAATTGGGAAATTGCACAACGTTGATGGTTTGGAAAATCTGCTGTTAGATCTGGAAACTTTGGATGATCTAATTTACAAAGTAGGCCTGGAAGATCATTCTCTGGACCAGTTACAAAAGCTAACTAATTTGGAAAAAATTAAGCTGTTAATGAGCACGACTACCGAGAAAAGTTTCGTCGACGATATAAAAAATTTCATATTGCCGTTTGTACAAAGGAGGCATCAGTATTTGGTATGCACGAATATTTTCCAAAAAGATTTTAAGAATTCGTTTGACATTAATTTATTTCAATTCCTAGGGCAGAGAATTGGAAAGGCATTTGTTCAGTGATTATTTGATATGCATTAGTAAAGAAGATCTAAAATTATCGGTGAAACTTTTTGAATACATAAAACAGTCCCAAGATAACGAGATTGTTCAAATGATTGAGGACATTGTTATTTTAGCACTAGCTTGTATATATGCTTGCAATGATCCTGATATGTATGAGAAAGCAATGAGCATTATAGATTCTATTGCAAAAGATCGCGGTGCAAAGAGAATCGCTGAAAAGTACACCTTAATCGAAGAACTTGACAGAGAGCTCGAGTGTACAAAAATCTTAAACAAGTATGGGGTTAAAACTACGTTGAACGCGTTACGAAAAAATAAGAGCAATCCTGAGGCTGCGAAACAATTGTTAATTCAAATGGCAAGAGGCTTGAATAAAATGTAAGTTGATGCTACATTTGAATGTTTATTTTTATAAAAATGTTTCATGAATGTTTTTGTTTTAAGAATCCCTCCTCCGGATGAGAAACAATGGGCCCAATTGTTAAACGAGATGTTGGAAATTCACGGTCTCATTTTTAGTTGCGTCGATATTGAGATATGTTTTGAAATCTGTGTATCAGCACGTTTGGTGTCGGGGGTTAAGTCCAACATACAAAATTGCGCAGAGTTAATTGAAACCAAGAAAAACGAACAGTCTCTGTTGAAAGTATCGTATGAAAAGGCAGTGAACTTAATACTGGAAGCTAGTAAAGAATATTTTAATAGTTCAAAGTCTCTTACTGATTCTAACATGGAATTGGCTAGGTTAGTACCGTCTTCCGCGAGAGGAAGGCGCAGACTGTGCGCCGCGCAGTATATTTCCATCCCCACTCCTGTTGACGAAGTCAGCCAATCAGCGGACTGCTGCAAGAGTGGGGATGTAAACACTATAAATAATATTGTTTCAGGGCTTGTCTTCACCTAATTGTCGACGATAATGCACAAATAAAAGAAGAATATGATCTGATAAATTCACTTCAAATTTTGAACGAGTTCAATATCAATATACTACCGTTGCAAGTCAGATTGATGCAGGACAGACTTAAATTGATAGCAGATTGTTTAAACAGGCGCGAAGACGGCCACAAAAGTCGACAAAGATTGTTAACTTTGGCGACTTACTTGCGAATCGAGAAAAATAATAAAAAGGCGCGCGAAGGGAAAGTTTTGAAATTGATAGCGGAGAAGGCACTCGAGGTAAAGTAGTCTTTTTAAATATGAAAAATGTTACACTTTCTACAATGTATTTTCATAGGTGAAGGACTTTAACGTTTGTGCTGCTACTTGTCAACAATTGATGCAGAATAATTACATTCCCGCGTGGACGGTTGCCTCAAATTTAGGATACTGCGAAGATTATAAAGATTTAAAAACTAAACAAGTGTGTTTATGGTTTGCTATAAACAATGGGCCTAGCGATATATTGGGCAAAGCACTGGATCAAGTGCATCTGATAGAAATACAAATTTTGCATAAATACTTGGAATTTTGGATACCCCCGAATGAGTTTGATAATTTTGATGACGCCGATGATGCAGACAGCGAAGAAGAATTTATAGACGCAATGACTACTGTAAGAAGCAAATAAAATATTAATACTGTAGACAGTAAATTATACTATAGTGTTTTTAATTTACAGCCACAAGTGGAGACGAAAGAATTTGTTCCAAAAATGTTTGAAGCATCCACAGAAATGGTAAAGAGTTCTGCAAATATGATGAAAGAGTCAACGTTTGGTTTAATCAAAAGCATAAGAGATACGAACTTTTGGAAGTCTAGATTGAAACTGAACTTTACGAATAGCCAAGATAGTGATGCAGAATATATTAACGAGAATCAGAGGGATAATGGCGATGTCCAAAGCTTTCCATGTTTTTACGAATGTTTGCACAAAAATTATAAGCTTAGCGATCTCGATACTAAATACACAAATTATTCGATGTTGGATATACAGAATACAAAGTTAAAATGCTGTCAGACATTTTTAAGAATAGCTATGTTGAGCGAATCGTCTTGCTGTGGATTAGAAGTGAGCGATATTAATCATTGTAAGTGTTAGAATTTAAGCTTTACGTTCAAAATTTGATATATTTGTTAATAATTCGTTTATTTCAGTATTTTTAGAATGTGCAAAATACACTTTGCAAGACGATTGGTTGTTAGGAATGTCGTATTTATTTAGTGTACAAAAGAATAGCATAATGAAAACACAAAACGTTTTAACGGAACTTCGACAAACAGATTTATATACACAAACTGCGATATATTACTATTGTTTAGAATTATATAAAAGATTATATAGAGATTCCAAAAATTTATATTTATTTAACCCGTTAAATTTAATATGGAAAATTATAAATATTGCTCACAAAAGTAAAGACACTGATATCTATGAAAATTTTAAATATTGGCAAAGGCGTTTGCTTGACGATCAAGAAGTAAAAGGCACAGTGTTTTTTGATACAAATCAAGCTGAAGATGATCAGAAAATAGGAAATGATGAGAAAAATGAGGAATCTAATACCGAGCTCATTCAGAGTCTAAACTCTGAAAAATCAAAAAAGAAATTAACGTCGACCGAGAAGTCAATTTCACAAACTGACAACAATAATAAAATTAAAGAAAACTTATCTGAATCTGATGGTAAAAATATAATGGAATGGACAGATGATTGGGGCAACTTTTCTGACGAAGATACAGAAACCGACAAGAGCAAGACAAACATTCCAAAACACGATTCGAACATAGACAATAATATTCCATTAACAAAAGATATTGGCGAATGTGCAACAGAAAAAGATCGCTTCGAAGCTTTTGAAAAAATGTTTGATAAAATACGAAACGTCGACCATTTTAATCAAGTAAAGGAAATGGTTTTACAGTGGCCAAAATTCAATGATCCTGCATACACGACTATCGACAATCATCCGATTTTAAAAATAATGAAATTAGTTAGTGTGTATATACCGGAAAAAGACAAAAGCAAGCACAACAAACAAATTTTCCAAGAATATAAAATGTTAATAGAAGCATTATCTTCGCCAGATGTAAGTTTATGAAGATAATTGCATCTGATAATATAATTAAATTCATTACATGTTACTAATTCCTTAAATTATATTTAACAGATGCTTAAGGAATTTTTAAATACCCGGCAGATTCCTCTCGAACACGCGATTTATATTAGACTAGATATCGACGATTCGATGCTTCACGAAGAAGCTGTAAATATTCTCAAAGAAAATCACAAAGTACGTTTATCTTTTAATTAAAATATAATTTGTAAATCTATTTTTTAACACGTCACTTTGTGTTTCAGAAATTAATTCTATCAGCGCCGATATTGGAGATGCTATTTCTAAAAAATCTGACATCATTTTTCGATCCAAATCACGAGATATACGGTCGAATAATCGAACATGTCCTTATGAACCGATCTCTGACAAACGTAAAAGGAAATACAGAAATCCTTGTGCAGGAATTGAAGAAGCAAAAACATATAGCCCACGCTTTATGTATAATAAAATTAATGGAGGATATGCCGCCGTCTATGTGTACATTCGACACTTGTTACGAACTCTTAATGAGAAAATAATCGCCTATTCTTTTTTATACGAACATTGTGATGCAGATTAAATAAGAATTCGAACGCGTGAAATCGTCATCGATAAATACCATGAAGCTTTATAATTTCCATGTATAGCGTAGGTTCTGTACTCTTATATTATTATAAGGAACTGATATGTATATATTAATATTTATTACATCGAGTTATTTGTAAATATAAATGTGTTATATACGTGAAATGAGTCTGGTCTTTATCTGTGATATGGTGCTACCTTTTTCCCCCCACTCTTTTGTTTCCTTCTACTAAACTATACAATATTTGATGCGGAAACAGAGCGCGGACCCAACCTACGTGGACAACGGCCGGAACCGTAATGAATCCCCTTCCACGCGCTCGCTACACCAGCGCCGACACGACGGTAGCGCCACCACGAGCAACCTTAGACTTTAAAGGGGAAATCCCCACACAAGTATCCGGTCAGACTCCAAACTTTTAGCAGTTTGTGCTGCAAAATGAATTGTTTCTTTATGCATGCATATAACACACCTATTTACATAATACTTTATCGAATCTATCGTAAGGCACAAAGTGTACCGATATATAGAATGATATAGATGGCCAATGGAGAACCTAGCACCATATGTACCTGTACCTTCGTGACAAATTAAATGTCCTCACAGTACACACAATGATTCTTACTATTTTCGAAGTATTTAATTAAACTATGTACCCTTTCTGTTCAACAAGCTGGTCTCATTAACATTTTATTATCATTTCTTTAGAAACCGGGTCGAACGTAGCGGAATTACGTTTGTCCGACATGATGAACAGAACCTTTCGTTCCCTCCATGGAAACTAAAGCTTAATGCTCGACGATCACGCGACGTAGCACGCAGAATTATTATTACATGCATGTAAACGAGTAAATTTAGTATAGAATTGTTTGTGTATGGATTTATATTAGATTCAACATTGCTTCGTTTAAAACAAGTTATATGTTATAACAATTAACGCTACATAGAAAAGATGTCTACTGCGATAGAACAAGATCCTTCTAAGGACAAAGAATCTATAGAAAATACTCAACATTTTAAAGAACGTGCGGAACGAAATCGCCAGAAAGCATTGTTACTAAAGAAATCCAAAATTGTTTCCCATCCTTATACGAAAAGGTACGCTTTTTCTACTTATTGATCCTTTAGCGGATGATGTAATATTACAACTTACGAAATAATAGTTATTACGAAACCTCATAGGGTGCAAATTTTAATTTTTGAACATGTAATTTTTTAAGCGAAAATGGAGATTCAACAAAGAGTAAATTAACACAAAATCAAGGGCAACGGGTCATAGACAGTGGAGCTGGTTTCCTTATAGAAGAGAACAATGACCTAGAAGAACAAATGGTATATTTAAACATTTAATTCTAAAGTAATAAACACCAGAAATTTGAAATATTTAATAATTTTTTCCTTTCAGTTAAAAATAGTAGCGGATCCTGCGCCCATTGTGATCGATTTACCTCATTGTACTGAATGTAAATCCGAGTTCAAGGACTCCTATCTTTTGCAAACCTTTGATTTAATTGTATGTGATAATTGCAGGTACACAAATGTGCATACAGGAGTAATTATACTACATAACAATGTTATTATTGTTATTTGTTTTATTCCAGAGATTCCAGAGGAAAACATTCATTGATAACAAAAACAGAAGCTAAACAAGAATATTTGTTAAAAGATTGTGATTTTGATAAAAGGGAACCCCCTTTGAAATACATCACAAGAAAGAACCCTCACAATGTAAATTGGGGCGAAATGAAATTGTATCTACACTTACAAGTGGAAGAAAGAGCTTTGAAAGTTTGGGGGTCCGAAGAAAAACTTTTACAAGAGAGGGAGCTACGCGATGTGAAACGAGAAGGGTCTAAAATTAAAAAGTTTAACAAGAAGGTAACAAACACGTTTAATACTGTAATATTATGCTCGTGTTACGTTTAAAAACTGAAAATAGACTTTATAAATATTCTTTGTTTCTTGTTATTCAGATCAAACAACTGCGAATGCAAGTCAGAAGTTCATTGTACGATAAAACAACAAAAGCAACTCATACGCACGAATTTGGAGAGGACTCGTATAACGAAGAAGATGATACCTATACACACACCTGCACTACTTGTGGTTACGAAGAAACGTATGAAAAAATGTAAATTATAAAACCGTAAAAAACTTTGTAGAAGTATTTTATTAGGCTGTGTTCTAACATAGTACCTGTTTCTTTTATATCACGGAAGATTTTTAATGCTCGCAGAATCGTTTGAACGAAAAATCGACAATTTTTACTTGATTATTATTTATTTTACTGATTATTTTTTTTGTCATTTTTCTCGAATGTTTGAAGTTGAAATCGATACGTTTGTACTAATAAAACTTTGCACCTAATGCGTTCAGACCTTAAATGATTTTTTCCCCCCTACATCAAACGTATAAAAACAAGGTATATAATTTACAATTTTTATTTGCATTGCAATACCATAATCATATCGTTTTATTTTTAGTTATGAAAAATATTCATTAGTTTGAACGTACTCAGTACATCACATAATGTCTAGTCTTTCATTACATCATCTTTTACTGCTACATTATGTGAATCCTGATCGATTAAATTACTATAACTAAAAATTAATATTGCACTATGTAAAAATATGATGGTTTTATGCAAAAAAAATTAATTTCTGCACAACGTTAAATTTTATACAACCATCGTGAATCGCATAGCTGTTTGCAAATTATGTATACAAATCCAGTACATATTAAAAATATTATACTTTGCTTGCAACACAAGTCGTACGAATAGCGTGTTTAAATCACATTCGGGCTATAATTTAAGATCGATTTTACTGTACCGATTAAAATCGTACTAATCACTTCATTGTGCTTGCGTTTTGGTATTAGATCTTTTCACGAACATGAACGAAAAATATTTCTTTGGAATATTACGTCGTAAGCGGCCGTCCATTCTACTGAGACGTTGATCCGGAACCAATTTTATGTACCATCGACGCTAACATTTCTCTTTAAACTCTTTACAAATACTTTGTACAGGCTCTAAAACATTTGGCACGGTCAGTGTATTTCCCACATGGCTCTGAGGAGCGATCATTGCATTCGTCACCATGGTGGACGATCTGAAACAAAATTACATATTATAAAAATTTTAAATACACATCATTCTCTTACCAACATACCTATTGTGCCTAAGATGACTTTTGACTAAATGTCCAGCTGTAAGGGCAGCCATCAGTGACAATTCACCGGCAAGTACCGTAGCGCATACGATTCTAGCTAATCTACTCGCATTTTCACCGGGCACGTCAACGTTGGCGCCTTTGACACCCAACATAGCTAAACACGCTCCTTGAGCAGGGAGACCGGTTCCTCCACCAATGGTGCCTATCTCTATACTGGGCATAGTACAAGACACGTACAAATCCGTACCATCCGCTCCCCAAGGTTCCATCAACGTCATGCAGTTACTACTGCCGACGTTCTGTGCAGGATCCTGGCCAGTGGCTATAAAAATTGCCGTTACAATATTCGCGGCGTGGGCGTTGAAACCACCCACGCTACCAGCCACCGCCGATCCGATCATATTTTTACTTATGTTCACGTCCACCAATGCGTGGACAGACGTCTTCAGCACATTGGTGACGATGTCTGAGGGTACCACCGCCTCGCAGACTACACTTTTACCCCTACCCTGGATCCAATTCACAGCCGCCGGTTTCTTATCCGTGCAGAAGTTACCGCTCAACGACAGTATCTCCATATCAGGGAAATGTCCCTTCACTGTGTTCAGCGACTTCTCCGTGCCCTTGGACAACATGTTCATTCCCATGGCGTCGCCAGTGGTCGCCACGAAACGAATAAATAAATGCCTGCCAGCGATGCGTACATGGAGCTTGGTCAGTCTTGCGAATCTACTGGTTAAGTTAAAATTATTCTGCATCTCCTCGAAGTTCTCCGGGTCCTGCATCCACGCCATGGCCTCGCTGGCTCTGACGATATTCGGGAACCTGACGACCGGTCCTCTGGTCATTCCATCGGCCACCACGCGACTCGTCACGCCACACTTCAACAATGCTCTGCTCCCACGATTGGTGGACGCTACCAAGCATCCCTCGGTGGTCGCCATCGGTACATGATACAATTCACCGTCGATAGACAACGGACCAGCTATACCAAGCGGCACTGGTACATATCCTACAACATTCTCACAGCATGATCCAAGCACTTTGTTGTAATCATAATGTTTATATGGCAGATCAATCAAATCGTCGATAAACTTTCCAGCCTCTCCAATTATGAGGCGTCTGATTCCAACGCCGCGCTCCATATCTCCAACAGCCTTCTCCAACTGATAGGCTGCTATATGCTTGTGCTTGACCAACTGAATAACTTCCTCATCGGTCAACGCAGTTGCTCCAAGCTGTGGACACAAGAAGACGATATTAGAACGGAAAATAGTACGGTTTCTTGCTTATTTGGAATCACATGAGGATTTACTTCTGATTTGTATATTTCGAGACATTCTTCTAACGATCTAGGAACTTTTGATCGAGGAGAGGAACATTCACTGTTCGACGTGTCCACGCTGAACTGCCTCCCGTCGGTTTGCACCTCTTTGTCGGTGAACTCCGTCTGAGATTCGTTGTTGTCCTCGATCCAGTTTCCGCCTACTCCTGACAAAGGGAAAATGGCGGATCGCACCTCGGGGAGCGTTTCTCCGAATCGTTGGCGCAACGACGTGTTCATGTTCTCTGTGGCGGTGTATTCACTTTCAACTTTCATCTCTGTGTCGTCTTCCTCCTTGAACCGTAGTTGCTTGGCGATGTCGCCCTTGTCCTCGAAGAAGATAAACTTAATCGCCAGCGCGAGAAGAAGTATCAGTATGACGATATTGTCCGCGCTCACTGACAGCCAGTTCATCAAATACTCCTTCACTTCCGTTTGGTTCTCCGTCTTGTTGTACGTGTCCGCTACAATGTTAGAGCTCGCGGGGGACATCTTACCTTCCACCGTGTAGCCATTTTCGTCGTTCTTGAACGGCCAACGACTAAAACATGTACAACACTTTATAACAATACTTATCTAAGCATTGAATTTCAATTTCACTCTTAATCCATGGAAATTAATTTTAATTTATGTAATCGGCGAACTAAAGATGCTAGTGGATATAAAAATATATCAAAAGAGAAACACGCCGCCAATAAGGAACCAGTATTAATACAGAAACACGCATTCGAGGCGCAGCTTATTGTACGTAAAATCTATTAAATATTCTCAATAATGCGACGTATGGAAAATAATAGATACATCGGTAAAATCCTCCAACGATTGCGTTCCACGCAATAAAGATTTACATAGATTGCTCGGCGAGTTTATATTCTTCAACCTTCGGGCTTCACCATCACCAATCACTAAAAAAAGAATTCCCCGTAAACCTCGCGAAATCTCGAAACCCGGCGCAAAAGAATCGATAATTACTGTCATTCGTAGCCGGGCACCGTCGAATCGTGTACTGCTTCACAACTTAGCAGTGAAAGGGTTAAAGGAGTCCAAACCCCTCCGCGATACCATCTTTTTTCGCGGAATTCATTGAATATGAATTAAACGCATACTTATATTACTGTGTAATAAGTTGAACCTGACCCGTGGAAGTCGGGAATAAGAAAACCGACAAACAAAAACGTAGAAAACATCAATACGGTTTCGGTGAGGTAAGAAAAAAAAAAAAAATGTGCATGTTTTCTTTCCACGTGCGCGCGTGCTGTCTGATGTATAAAAGATAGAGTTCGGCTTAAATGAAAAACCGACATACATTACGCGAGAAAAAGAGGGGGAGAGGGGAGGGGGAAAAAAAAGAATGGTACGAAAATACTGTGCCTGTGAACGTGCACCACAAATAGACCGGCGATCATGATCAACTTGACGCGCTCCACTACCGGATTCGGCTTTTGATCCTCCTCGTTCAGCGGATGCATGAAGATCTTGTCGGCGCTCAACGGTTTCATGCCGTGCGTTCCGCGAGAAAGCTGGAATAAAAGTCAACGATAATGCTAGGCATGTGATACTACGTTGTGACAATTACCTCGAGAATAAGCGACAAACACGCGGGGTAGAAGGTCATGAAGACTATGTAATTAACGACCACTCCCAGGCAAGCGAAGCTGCAGAGGATTTCCAATCTTCGTACTCCGGATAAAGATCCAATCCCGATCAACAGAGTCTCAACTAATGTGTTCAACGTGATGGTTGGTCCCAGCAGAGACATCCCTTGAGCTATGTTTGCTCTCACCTCGTCCTGATTGCGGGAGTTCAGCGCTAGTTGAGCTAGTATAACTGCCTTGGAGAGGTCGATGATGAGCAGGAAGAAGAACAACGCGTCCCTGAAGAGGAAAAGGAAAATACTTTGTCAGACGAGGATGAAAGGCTCTGGAGCTATTCCTGAGCGAGATACTCACTTCAAATCGGATATGTCACTGCGCCCAAAGTTCACCACGCTGGACGTGAACACCACGCTGGAGAAGACGGTGAATAGACCCGCGATACCTGACGGAACGTTACGTTTGAATGAGATGGGGAAGAGTAGACTTATGGAAATTAGGTGATTAGGTGTCTTCGCGCGTCTGGGCGCTTTCACCCACGCTGAAAGCTACCTAATCGTTATTTGTATCTAGTGCTCACCTAAAATGTATTTTGAACCCAACTTTTGCAGATTGCGAAACTGATGATAGGTGAACAGTATTGCTAGGCATCTTATTATAGTCATGACTATAACGTCAGCTGCGTTTAGGTCCTAAGAAGTGACAGATACATTATTGTACAATTCAGATTAGGATTAAAATTAACAATGCTGGATATGAAATTCTTGTTCCAATGTGTCCTTACATCCGAATTACATCTTCCGGATTGGCAGTGTGCAGCCACTGGAAGTGCCCCGTTTCGCGGTTGTCCACTTCCGGTCTCCATGTTCAAAATGCACGCTGTGAGCGTGAAGGTCGTCACGATCACCTCCAAGGGATGACCGGCGCAAAACCGGCCATGGATCTCGAACAGGCGTGCCAACATGTTCCCTGTGGTCCTAAGAACTATTTACAACCTGAAACAAACAATTAACAATTAACAATCGATTAACTCCAATTTAAAATACTATCACTAACGCAATGTTTCTGGGTCACTGACACTTTTTTAAACTTGTGCACCATACCTCTCCAGGTAGCATACTTCTGTTTTAATCTACTGTGCTCTCGGAAGACACTTTCACGGCTTACACGAAAAGTTTGCAACCAGTCGGAAGAAAACGAGAGTGCACGTTCGAGTCGAAGAAAGTGCTTTCAGTTCAGCGAAGATATTCGGTGAAATCGGTAGGGAAAACTTGGCTCCTCTTACTTTTCGTAACGAAAGAGGGTGAACCGTGACAAGAGAGGACGAGGAGCAAGAGACACCCGTGGGTTTGGGGAAAGCGTACGACGGGACCGGTTATTGCGGCACGACGATTCTACCGTGTGTCAATAATGCTCCATATAGCCATAATACTTTCGGTTACGCAATACGACGTATGTGACAAAATCGAAGAACATTGACGAAGACAGATCGTTTACTTTGGTGCAAGCTGAGAGGATTTTAAAGACGACCACGGAACACTCCAAGTGACCACTTCCCCGCGTACGTTTTTATTGCAAAAAATACGCTAATTGAACGGCGAATATATCTTAGAAGAAACGAAATGTCTGTCAAGGTCGGTAACTTTCCAACAGCTCTTGACAACGTATCTATTAGAGTCTCCTATCCGGCGCGTGTATTAATACGTTTAACGCGGTGTTGGCCCTCGGAAACCGACACTGAACTTTCCGTTTTTGGGCAGTGTGAAAGTAAAGGAAAATTGCCTCTGCGCTCGACGTGTCAAAACACACGTCCGCTCGCGACGCACCGGGGCCCCTTGTTGAACGCAACATGAATACAAGGGTGCCCCTTCACTTGAGGGGGGGTAGCACCACTGTAAAAATCAGAAATAAAGCGTTTTTTTTTTAATGATATTCAAGGGTGCTATTAACCATGTCGTTGAGTGTTAAAAAAAATAGATTTATTCCAAAACAGTGCAAAATGGAGGCACTGGAGCCATTCAAGCGAGGCGGGTCTTGAATTTGAGGCTCCAATGCTCGCCAATCGCTCAAAAATTAATATTTTTAAAATTCCCCGCGTATTTCTCTAGCTATACTAGTGTACCTTTTAATAGTGTAGCTGTAAATTTTTTATTTTTTTCCTAAATACAAATTTGCGCAAGTTACACTGCGTGTCAAAATGAGGCACCTGCAGTGTAACTGGCGCAAATTTGTATTTGGAAGAAAAATAAAAAACTTACAGCTATACTATCAAAAGCTACATTAGTATAGCTAGAGAAATACGTAAGGAATTTTTGAAATATTAATTTTTGAGCGATTGGGCGAGCATTGGAGCCTCAAATTCAAACCCCACCTCGAGAAAATGGCTCCAGTGCCCCCATTTTGCACTGTTTTGGAATAAATACACTTTTTATTCTTGAATATTATTATCCTCTCGCTTTTCCATCCACCCAACAAAAAAAACAACGCTTTATTTCGGGTTTTTACGGTGGTCTTGCCCCTTCAATAAACACGTGTCTGAAGTTTGAACGCATGTTCGAGTTATTTTAATCCAACCATTTGTAATTTTGTTTACCATGTTATTTTAAATGCCTCGTACATCATCAAGGGACACGACATAAATACAACATAAATACACGCATAGAAACATGACGAAACTTAATTATACATGTACACGTGAAACCGCCGTATCTCTAATTTCTATACTCGATTAACCGTTGACCTTTTCTTACTTTCAATGGGACGGCTACTGAAAGAGCCTATTCCGTTATTTTGATGGCGTATTGTCATTCAAATGCATTCACGTCAATCGTTTCCGGAAATATAGCAGAATCCATGGATCCGCTTTCAATAATAAATCTTACGGACAAATTCAATCGAGTCCGGTAAACAATTTTTAATTAAACAATGAAATGTAAATTCGAAATCTGAATATTGTATCGATATTAATAATGTTGCGTATGTCGTCAAAGTCCGACTCGTAAATTTATCATTTTTAACTCGTTGTCTGTCCTGCAACGTCAGCCGACTAGAGACTACACGTCGATTCATTAGACGCTTAAACTAAATTTCTTTCACATGTATACTTCTCGGCTTCCCGGATCAGGGTGCACTAAGAATAACCAACGGACCGTGTCCCATTCAGATCTTATAATATTCAGGGTGCTCGGCCACTCCTGGGAAAAATTTTAATGGGGGATTTTAGAGGCCAAAATAAGACGAAAATCAAGAATATCAATTTCATAATCGAGGCTTATTAAAAAATTAAAATAAAAATTTCGAATCATTCTGAAAAAAATATCTTTGGTTGCGGGGCTCAATTGCAATCATTTTTGGTGGATAGACACACCCTCGAAATCCTACCCATTTTCGAGAAAAAAATTCGAGAATTTGTGAAATTTGTCATCAAAATTAAAATATTTCAAATCATACTAAAAAAATTATATTTAGTTATAAGGGTCAATTACAAGCATTTTTGGTGAATAGGCATATCCCTGAAATCCTACCCACTTTCGAGAAAAAAATTCGAGAAGTTGTATTTTCCGACGAAAAAAAAGAAATTTCAAATCGTTTTGGAAAAATTATTTTCGGTTTCGGGGCCCAATTGCAATCATTTTTGGTGGATACGAATATTCCCGAAATCCCATCCACTTTCGAGAAAAAAATTCGAGTATGTGCTGAAATTTTTCGGCAAAAAAAAATTTTTCAAATCGTACTAAAAAAATTATTTTCCGTTGCAGGGATCGATTATAATCATTTTTTGTTATTACACGTACTCCCGAAATCCTACGCATTTTCGAGAAAAAAATTCCTTACTGAAAATCTAATCTGAGGCCAGATGTGATTCCCCGAAATTTCATGCGTATCTTTAAAATATCATAACTCCTGAACGGATTGGGGGATTTTAATGTTTCAAACGGCAAACAACGCGTATTTTGGTAGAGAATATGTAGAAATTCCAAAAATATTCGAAAAGTTGCTCCTTAATCCCGTGAAGTGAGGAGAACCCCATAGAAATGGTCCAATTTTCAAACGGCCATAACTTCTACAATAGTGAATATATTTCAATGAAATTTTTTTCTGAAGTAGAGCTTATGGGTACCTACAAAAAAGTATTACACATCTTTTCTGTAGGGCGTCAAACAAAATTACTAGAAATGAAAAACAAATGTTTAAGATAAAGTACCGGGGGAAGTCCCTAGTTGCCAAAATTAAAAAATTTCAAATCGTTTCAAAAAAATTATTCTTAGCTAAGGGGGTCAATTACAATCATTTTTTGTGAATAGACATACCCCCGAAATCCTATCCATTTTCAAGAAAAAAATTCAAACAGGTGCCAAAATTTTTCGGCGAAATTAAAAAATTCAAATCGTTCTAAAAAAATTATTTTTAGCTAAGGGGGCCAATTACAATCATTTTTGGTGAATAGACATACCTCCGTAATCCTATCCATTTTCGAGAAAAAAATTCTTTACCGAAAATATACCGTGTGTCCGGAAAAGTTTCTATAACTTTTTAACGGGGCCTCAATCAGCAAATTAGTATCCTTGATTTTCGTCCTATTTTGGCCTCCAGAATCTCCCACTACAATATTTTCTATGGGTAACCGAACACCCTGTATATGAAATCAAAATTCCATGACTCTTTTACTTCTACAATCTTCATCCGTCTGCTATTGTCTCTTCGTCTTGCAGTCAGCTAACTAAAAAGAGCGTGAAAGCCACGAGGAAATCATTTTTACGTCGTGAAATAGGTAGAAAGTACGACCAACTACAACGAACACCGAATATATTAACTGTCGTAGCAACGCGCGTCCATTTTTTCAACCTAAAACATTCAAAAAGTTTTTATTTTGAATGACCGTGTCCCTCGCGAATTCGTATCTTATGGTTGGCTTTCATACTATGCTCGACATTAAAATTCTCTCAAAGGAATTCTTTGGGATTGGGAACGTTGACCTTGAAAGTTTTAACAGCCAATCGCTTCCTCCAACGTAGACGTTTTGGCATACATTTCTCATGCGCCGAAGTAATGTTTTATTCCGACATCAAACCTTTTGCCATTTCCGTGAAACGTTTCGCCTATGAAAATAAATACACACGTTAAACAAAACTCTGTTCTTTCACGAGCCACTATCCTCTCCTTAAACAAGAACCATCGATAAAATACAGTTTCACGTACGATTAAAATGCATCGACACTTATCATACGAATGATACAAGAAATTTCTCCTGACCCACTTAGATACATATTTTATGTAAATATTTTTGAATTTTTTCTTTTTTTTTATTTTTAGATTCAATGTGCCCCGTCACGTGCACGAGCAAACAAATTAAAAGTATTAATTTTACCACCGAGAACAGCAATAAATTTTAACGTTAGATAAAGTTGAACATTTTAATCCCTAAAAAATGGTGGAAAATAAAATGCTCTGTATTGCTACAGAACTGCTACACACGACATACACTCGACCGTAAGCGTACGGTAAACGTCATTTAATCTGGCACTCTAAATGTAAACAGTTAATCGTGAGTTCCCCGTGACTTTTCTCTGTTAAGCTGCAGGTAGCTTAGAAATGGCAAACAACTGTTACCAAACAAATTCGTGTGCATGGAAAAAGACAAGATACCAACTGATAAATGTAATCGCTGAAAGTTTGGTAAATATTAATGTACAATTAACTGACGTCATTAATAAGAGCAAACACTTTCGACTAAAACGATTGGTAAACGCAAACTATATGTAAATTGTTAAATGCTTCGTAAATAAGTAACTAAAAATATACGTATTTGCTTAAGTCGTCTAAAAATACAATTCATAACGTTGCCTCCTCGAGCCGGCATTAAAAGTATCGAATACGCACAGCATCGTGCACGATATTTTAATCGAGCAAAAATTATTTAATTTCGTTCGATTCGAGGTAACTTGGAAGCATGTAACCACGGCATAGTGATCGAAAAGATCAGAAGAAAGGATTACCTAAAACGACAAGCGTTGATTTAATGAAGTCAATTAATTATTAATGAATTAATGAGACCGTGGTCTTTGAACACTAGCGCCAAATTCGGACGGGCGTACCTTGAATCAGGTGCAAGGAGAATGGCTCGACGAAATTCTTGACGTACAGTGCACCCGTGGATCGAATAGTAGAGAATCGCAGGGATGATATTAATTGATTGGAATATCGTTTAGATCTATATATTAACCGATAGATGCCATTCAAATACTGTTTGAAAGAGTTAAGACCGTGAAAGGATGACAAGGACCGACGTCGAACTGAATTCTGGGATCTTATTCCATTTTTGTTAACTATATATATACATTGTCCTTATTCGATCTTCTTGCTCATTTCTCGCCCGACATAAAAGATAAATGCATAAAAAGAAACACGAAAAAATTAATCCAATCTTTAATTTACATAATGGTTAGAAACTCGCACCGGTTCGATCTATAAATCAATCGAGAACTGACAATGTGTCAATTTCCCATCAAACGATAATGTTTCTTACGCGAACCAATCACGACCTAAAATTACGCGAAACGTAACGATTCGAAACCTTGAATTTATGGAACAAAAAGGATAAATAAAAAACGAACGCACAAAACGATACTGACAGAACGGCGCTCGCCGACCAACAAAGCTGCGCTTACGCGCGAATAGGCCGATCGACCCTCCGGAATACGCTCGTCTTTCTCCGTCTACGTTCGGCAATCTTCGTATCTTTCTCCTTTCACGAGCACGTGCCCTACACTGTGCGGTTAATATTATAATTCTATCCATAAACAAACACTTCTAACAAACATAATCTCACAATACACATCGCACAAGGTTTTTGGTATTCGAGTTGCCAGTTGTTGCTCAATAATTTGTCGCTTTTTCAATTTGCAGGCGCGACGAACCACGTTGAACTTTCGCCGATGTTTCGAATTAAAGTATCGTCGAAAAGACGAATTGTGAGAACATTTTCTCTGAGGACTATACATATAGATTTATAGATCGTTATAGATCCATGTTTTCTTCGATTCTCTCGTTCGAAAATTCCGCCAACAGATTTTTGTGATCTCTTCCGTGAGAATGATTTAAAGTCCGCACGCATGACTTCATAAACGCATAGTATTTGCGCGGTTTCTCTCAGAAAACGCGCGCGGCATACTCATTTCTCGTGTCCGCATAAATCACCTGGAAATTCCGAGTTGGAAGACTGGTCAGATATTTGCACCGATTCGCACGATTTAATTAATCAATTTGCATGTACGTTTCCAAATAACACGATCAATATATCAAATTGTTATTCATCGATCGCGTTAAAAACTATTAAAGAAAATGTTACATATTTAACAATCTTGCCATTTATAATTATTAATGTTTTTTGTTAGTGAGATTGTACTATATACTTCATATTTATTTCACATTCGCAGCAATGTTGAATTAAATTAACATACAGTTATATAAGAATATTTTATTATCCTATTAGTCTTAAACTTTCTTTTGTTTATTAATGCACTGTCTCTAAATATAGCCGTTAATTTTCGAAAATTAGTAACAATACTAGTCCAATAATTATAATCTACAAGCTACACAAAATGTCCTACATTCTGTTAAATTAAATAAAATAATTGAATTTATATAAATGAAAATGTCAGACATTTTATTATGTAATTAAATAATACTATTGAATATTAATTTTAAAGTAAAGATCATGATTCAAGACTAATACAATCAACGGTAAGATTATTTTTAAAAATTAAATAAAATTATGCGTACATACTAAACGGGCATAACCTATAAAATGTAAGAACGTCGAGTGACCAACATACCGTAAAGTACAGTACTTGTCCGAAGATAATTGTAATACATCTTAACTGGCAGCATTTTTTTAAAATCAGGGAAACAACCATTCACGTCCTGCTTTTTCCATCACATCACAGATTTATTGTCATCTTGCACACCACTCGTCTGATACCACACTGCACTCGTTACTGCGAAACCAGCGACATCTACAGTTTATTACGTGAACCATCGTTTAAAAGAACTTTTATGATAAATTGTTTCTCACACACTTTCTAGATTAAAAAATAAAAGGAAGCACTTAAAAAATACACAAAACACATTAAAATATTCGGCTGATATACAAAATGTGTAAATATTCGGAAGACAAAAGTAACAACATTATTTAACTAATGTTTCATATAATGTGTTTATTTACACAATTTCTTGATTGCAAGTCAATTAATTACCATCATTTATAATATCAACATCCATATCTTTTAATATTATATTTTAAATGTAAAGTATCAGCTTCTATATTCAATTTCAATTTGTTTTTTGTATTTCTGCGGAATGCCTAGCATGGTTCATCATAGACTCTACTCTGTTTGCTGTTTCTCTCACTACATCGGATATTTCATCCGGCAAATGATCTAAAGTGGGAATATGTGCGGACAATCGTTTGTATACGGAATCTCTGTTCGCATCTTTCTTATGTCTACGTTGTTCCTCGTATTTTAATTGTTGTTTGAAGAATATCGCATTCTTTATGAATTCTAGTGTATTCTCAAAACTTTTTCCAGCTCCGTGCATCGTTTTAATAGCACTGACAGCATATTCTACGTCGTAACATCTACCCAAAAGCTGCTGTTGAAGCGTTAACACTTCCACCCGTTTCTCCACCATAGGAGGCAACGCTTTCCTCACGTGTTCTTGAAGTCTATAGAACGCAAGAGACGGCTCGTTCGCAACTATGTGCATATTCTCAGATATGCGTTCAGTTGCTAAAAATGATTAAAAAAATGACAATAATTAAATATACATTCAAGTTTTAATTTCTTTGGTACAAATAAATTCGCTATAATTGTCAGTAGTTCCAGTGTTAAATAAGAACAACCTAACCTTTTTTAACCTTTGTTTCTAACTCTTGATCCGGCTGATATACTTTTGCAGCCATTGTTTAGAATATTATAATAATAACAGTGTTGATTATCAAATTTATATAGTACAAATAATACTTGAAATTTCAAAATAATTTAGTATAACCCTCAATGAATAAGGTAATGCTTGTTGCTGGTGTTGTAATATATTTAAAACACTTTATGCGAATTATATATTTTCGTTAATGTTCACGATGCGTAGTATCGTGCAAAACTTTGTTAAACGTTTCCATTCGTATCAGTCGAGTTTGTATAAACATTTACCGAGGTATCGATTTGTTTTCACCGCCATTTTATTAAAAGATTACCGGAAGTTAATCGACGCAGGACGGTGTTTCCCTTCATCGAAACGTGGCAGCAAAGTATGTGTTGTTGGCACTTCTCTCAAATGTATCCTTTAGCTCTTCCTATGGAGTGACTGTCTCGTTGTCGCGTGTAGCACAGTTCTGTCACTAGAAAAGGTACAAATCATCAAATTATTCAATGAAAGTTTAAATGAAACGAGTATCTTGATCGCAAAACCACATTCCACATAACGTATAATATTTATAAAAGACAGTTTAGTTTCTATTTGACACATTTCAATAACGGTTATAAACATCGCCTTTGACTTTTTTGAATTCGATTAATAAATTTTTCTGAATAAAATGTGCCTTTTTTTTAAAGTTTCCTAAATTACGTTAATTGGCTTTGTAAGAATCTGTGGTTCTTTTAATAGTTGTAACAATATTGTTATATGTAAATCAAGAGTAACGTGTAATCGGCATCTTATGAATTATATTGACGTTTTAGCATGAAGTGGTACATAATATGTGCAGCTTTTGCTGCTTTAGTTCTTACGATACATGCGGAAGAAGAGGAAGAAGCTGCAAGATTATTAGTATCTAAACAACTTCTGAACAAGTATCTTGTAGAAAATATGGACATTGTGATCAAAGTAATTACGAGAATATATTTTCTGTAATTTCTGTGACCTTAATATGTTTGTCTTAACGTGTAATGTTTTTACAGTATACGGTTCACAATGTAGGGAACGCAGCTGCGTTAGAAGTCGAAATCACAGACAACTCTTTCCATCCGGATCATTTTACTCATGTGAGCGGAGAAATAAATGCAAGGATAGATCGTGTTCCACCTTACACGAACGTTACTCATACGGTTGTCGTAAAGCCAAGGATATTTGGGTATTTCAATTTCTCGTCTGCGGAAGTTTTATACAGACGTAAAGAAGATGCTCCTAGATTACAATTTGCCGTCAGTAGCGAACCTGGCGAAGCAATCATTGTATCGTTCAGAGATTACGATAAGCAATTTTCTTCTCATGTGGTGAGTAACTACAAAAAGTATACAAATAAAAGTATTATAGAATGAAGTATTTAATATTTTTAATTTTTACGTCAGATCGATTGGGCTGCATTCGCTGTGATGACATTACCTTCGTTAGCTATTCCTTTTGCACTATGGTACTCTAGTAAAAACAAATACGAAAAATTACTTAAAACTTCGAAGAAACATTAAGTGTACAAATTCGTCCTAAGTCATTTGAAAGAGGCAGTTTTCTCTATACGACTGTAAGAAACCTGACTGTTCCATTATGTACATCTAATTTTATAATAAACATTATTTATAAAGAATTCACATTCGTTGTATCTTTCAAACTCCAAAACATCCAAGGTAGAACTTTGATATCTGCATAATGTATCGTCCTTCCACGAGAAGAAGCCACAGGTGATCGAGCCATAAGTACGTTACAGCTTTCAGCCCCATTTTCTTGCAAATATTCAGGTTCTACTACATGAAATTAAAATACAAGTGTATAAAATACAAAAAAATACTAAAAATTACTTTATTTTTTACAGTATATAGTACACGTTGCTACCTATATGATACTTAAACAATATTACCTACTCTTGACTTAGTAAGTAAATGGAAATTATACGTTTTTGTGACGTCAACGGTTGTCGTAAATTATACGAGAAATTATTTAATCGTCAAAGCAAATTATATTTAAAGAATATAAAAATTATAAAGTAATTCAATATGTAGAAATATTACGTACATTATACCTCTACGCTACAAAACATTTTAACTTTGTCACACAGTCAATAAAGAGTGTAAAAATTACTGTAGTAGTTCTTCCATTGTTATACAAGATGCGTATCAAATAATTAATCGTGTTATTACGTTAATTACGTAAATTATCAGCTATATGACTAGGAACCATATACCTCAATTTTATAAATTAAATACAACCAACATAACCTTGAAATACATTTGCATCAGACACCTCTGTGGACCTTTCAATCAATCATAAAATTAAGTTCTATATTACAGAATATACATAATTTTATATGCTCGTAACTTAATATCGACCGATATATCATCGCTATAAAAAAAACAACATAAAAAATCCTTACCTTCTAGGAGTAATTAATTTCTTAATAAAAATGAGTTTGTGGTAATAAGGCACCAGTTTCTGACAATCGAATGTTTGTTTGCAAACAAATTTAGTTAATACGATGTAGTTTCGTTGTAAGTACAATGTACCTTTATGTTGAAAATGTCATTTGTTCTTACTGTTACAGTCATTAGGTGTTCATTGATCTATTTCGTTTGCTTGCCGAGTAAAAACTGCGAGGATCGCCATAAACCGGATCGAATGCCGAGAATGGTCTTATCGGTGTAATCGGACTCCGAGGAGTAAACATATTTGTACTGTTTAAAATAGTTGAACACGGGGTACTAGTCTTTTTTAATTGCGGTGGGCATTTGTCAGCTGCAAAAAAGAAAATATTTAAGTAGCTACTCTATAAAAATGTTTATCAATTGTATTATTTGCAATACATACCAAAAACTGTTCTATTTTTAACATTTAAGTCGATATTTGCCATTTTGTTCTTCCACACTGTTAAAAAAATAAGCAAATCGTTAGTAAAATATTTACGCAATAATTTAAACGGCATATAATTAAAGATAAGGAGAAGTTTACCATAGAAGCATGTAATTACGAGAACAGCAAGTGTTCCAAACGTGTAACGGTGAAAATACATATAATCCACCCAATGAATTCCAGACAATGGTATGAAATTTTCGTATTTCGTCACGCGTACGAAAAGCTAAAAAAAATATAAATTATCACAACGAATCGTTAATTTTAATACTAATTCTTTTGCCCACTTACAGATATATTTTGCTTTGTAATATCGTTGGCAACGATTACTTTTTGTCCCTGAATGTCATCTAGATTATGTATCAAACGTAATTTGTACTGCATCGTGGATTTTGAAATATATTGTCGGGCACTTACAGTCATTCCATCCGGTACATCGATCTAAAAACAATTGATATGGACAAACACAGTTTAAAATCAAAACTTTCATCGATGGGAATAGAACTCACCGTAAGATGATCCAATACAGATTGTAAACCATAAATTTCAAGCGTTGCAGTTGGCACAGTTTGAGAATGGATATTGATAAAAACAATTTCCTTGGCATCGACATATACAGGTGGAAGATACGTTACTTCTAAAGGTACAGCTTCAATGTCTCTGTGTTGTGCATTTATTTGCATACGAGTCTCTAACGTACTGGAGATTATATTGGGAGAGCCCATAGGTATTACATCACAATAATAAAACCCTATAACATTGTAAATACTTAATTAACGATCACCATCTTTATAATTTTTGAAATCTAATTAATACCAACCTGTTGTAATATCAAATCGTGGCTTAACAAGGAATAAATCTTTCACTCCAATTGACGTGGTCGATGAAACAAATTGTATGTTACACGTGTAAGGGAACGAATTTAGGGTGAAGGATGTAAACGTCCTACAACCACCCAGACCTCTAGATAATACATTGTTCTCTTTAACTTGCTCATCTTTACTTTTCAGTACCAGAGGAACGCTAAATGTTTCAGTTCCGGTGATATTTCGACCTCTTAATGGAACAATTGATACCTGTATTCACAAAACAAAATCGTTTGTAATTTGTAAAAATTGTACCAATGAACTAGTAAACAGATGATACCTTTGCGATAGGTTGTATGTTGACTTCTATTTCGCCTTGCATATGCGTTGCAAGGCTGTGTTTCACAACTGCATAGCCTACATTCTTCGCTCTACCTATTCCTGTAATAGGATCTACTGTTAATATTTCAGACGCTGAAGATTGCCAGTAACCTGGATCACCGTCAGAAGCCAGAAGTGGCATCGAGAAACAAACTATATCGCCTACTGTCAACGTTGTCTACAAAATATAAATTCGATTAATAAGTAATATTATTATTATTAAAGAATTCATAGATTGAATAAAACACCTTTGTTGGAAAGACTATGTCACCAATCATCATATGCACGTAATCAAACATCCCATTAGGATATCTTTCGTTGTATGCCTTTACAACAAGATCTCCATTTTCAATGAATTTTGCAGTAACAGTATTTTCAGCGTTTATAGTGAACGATGCTAGGTCAGCGCGATTTAACATAGTTTTGGCATTGACTTCGGCAGCATGGAATTTTGTTCCAACGTTATCGTAATATTCAAGAGCATAATCCAATTCCATGCCTTTAGGCAACATATTTAACTCTTCACCATTGCGTATTCGCAAAATTGATTTCAACGATATCATCATGTAATGAATGGGTTTGACCTACGAGCAATAATTGGAATGATAAATGTCTGTTCTGATTAAATTTCTACTTAAAAAAATGCAACCAAGACCTTACTTCGACAATAACTGTGATCGATTGCTTCAAATTGTATGGTTCCATATTTGAAATAGAAATGACTATTTTCCCAAGATTTTCACCAGCTTTTATGATACCATTCTTATCAATAATTACAGTTTTAGATGTTGGAGTTAAAGCATGTGTATCCTCTGAATCATTCCCATGCATGGTCGACAACACTTTGTAAGTAGTGGAGCCATGCTTGTCACGATTTGTTTGCAATTTCAAAACAGAATTCGGTGACATTAATATCACTGGTACATTGGAAGGTAATTCTGGATGTGTCAAGCGCAATTCTTCAAAGATCTCTACTTTTACAAAGGTAGTGTACGTTACGTCACTTTTGAAACCAGCCAACATGTTACATGGCATTGTAACATTTAAATAAATGGTTGCCAATCCAGGACTGATGGCTTTGGCTCTCAAAGAAACTTCGTTTTGATATCTGATATTTATACCTGTGCCTTCGTACATGTTATACAAAGTTACTAAATTAGAATCACTCGATGACCACATGAAGATCAATGGCAATTGCATAGATCCTATAATAAGCGGAGTCAAATACTCTGGAATACCAAATGCCCAAAGTGGGAATGTTGCACCCACTTTCACTCTACTTGTTGGAACGACGATTTTAATGCCTTCAAGATATAGCACGTGTATGTCAGTATAATCCTCAGAATAAATGACTTTGTTGCCTTTAGCATTAAGACCAATGGCTCTGACAATTATCTTTGTCTGCCCAACTGATTTTCCTTCGAATATACCATTTCGATCGACATTTAATATATCATTGCTTTTAGTAGAGAATTCTATTTCTGCATTTGATGGTCCTCCTATTGTTTGCACTTGATAAACAGTGCCTACCAATATCGTTAAATTCTTTGGAAAAACTCTTAAAGGAAGGAAGACTTGAATAGTTGCTGGCTCGCTCTGTATTTCTCTATCACCTCCTTTGTTCACAAAAGTTAACTGAGACTCTCCTTCCGCCATCCCATATATCATATACAACAATTGATTATAAGGGGCAGTACCATGTTCACTAGGAGGCAGTTGTTTAATTTCTATACATTCATTATCAACTTCTGCTTTAAATTCTAATACATTCAAAAATGGCAATTTTATTATATGGCCATTTGTGTCGTAAAGTTTTAATGCAGCCACTACGCACTTCCCTTTCTCAATTTTATTTACTGTCTCTATTTCTATAACAGCAAGCTGCTGTATTTCGATCACAGCTTCAGCCGATTTTGAGGGCAAACAAAGATCCACCAATGCCAAATTAAGTACCCCAGACGTTTTTGGTGTAATGCTGATTGTCTTTGTCGATTCTATGTATCGGACATCAGCGATATCATCTGTACTCAGCACAAATTCATAGTAGCCAGAACCTTGGCTGACTTGTAAATAATATTTTGCAGTGGGATCATTCAATACCATTAATTTACTAGGGCTAATACTGGTATCGTTAACTAAAACCATTTGTATGGAAGCCTCTATAAGTGGAGTTTCATAGATCCTTCTTTCAGTCTCAATGGCAAAAGGCGGCCACTCTGGTATTATTTTTAATTTACTTAGAATGTATTTCTGATAGCCTGTGACGGTAGCTGTTAGAGTGAGAACACCGGAATGCTTTTTAAAGATAACATTTTGATAATAATTCTTTGGTAAAATTACGTTCAGGTCCGTGAACGTTTCTTCTTTGCAACCAGGCGATATTTCTACAAAACCTATAGACGAAGGCTTTAAATTCCATTCGATGTGTAAACTTGTAATGTTATCGAAAGTTCTACCTTCCTCATCTTTCACTATAGTGATGAGTTTCAAATTCTTATCGCTGTATGCCATTACTCTTTCCGTATTAAGACTGATGGGGCAGTTTTTGCTGTCTTTATATTCAGGCTGAAGGTAAATGTGTCTAGGTTTACCACAAATAATCCGTACAGTCTCTATCGCGTACATGCTTTTGCAATTTGGTAGCAAAGGAACATTGGAAATTGTAAATGTTAAAATCACCTCCCCAAGAGCTTTGCACATTACTTCAAAAACTGACACTTTGTGCAATTCATTTGGCGAATCCCCATGCTCTGTTACCTCGACAAACTTACTTTCAGATACCTGAATTTTTCGCAAATAACTCTGGGGTTTACTGGACCACGGATGGGGTCCACCTTTGAAGACTATTTTTCTGGAAGATCCCACCGCTAACAAACTTTCTTTGCTACTTGGATGTATTACGAGCAAAGGTTCATAGGCTGTCACAGTGATATTATCAGTCAAATATTGACCATTAGCTTTGTATGCTACTGTTACTTCAGACGTTCCTATATCCATGCTAGTGATTGCTATAACAGCACACGCAATTCCAACGGGTTCTACGACCTTACTATCGTTTTGCACAAAATTACTATCCGGAATGTACGTTTCAAAATTAATGTCTCTGCAATCGTTGAATGGTACCTCTTTAGAATCGGATCCATTAATTAATTTTCCATACAACGCAATGTGGAGATAAATTGGCTCCCCTACGGCTACCTCCATACTATATTCTACCACTTTTAGTTTGGAAGGCGTTAACACGTATACCCTTGCTGTGTCTTTGTTATACTGATTCCTTGTCATGGCAACACTTATTTCGGTTGTACCAGTTGCTACAATTCTTATCCCTCCGTTCTGAGAAACTGTTACTATCGATGGATGTCTACTAGACCATACATATGATCCATCACCTCCACTTGCTTTCAACACTATGTCGTACCGTGACTTGGCTTTAAAATCCCATGGAACAGCCAATACTTTAGGCTGAATAGTGACAGGAGTATGAATCAAAAGCTCAGCCCTTGTGGTAGGTCGCGATGCGACAGGAACCTTTTTCCCATACTTATCGATTATGCCATAAAGCGTAGCTTCGATAGTCATTGTCCCGCACGTAATAGGCACACCGACGACGTAAGTGCCATTTTGCGTTACCAATTTCGGTTCAAAATAACGTTCGTCCAGTTTCATCGACACTTCTACACCTTCTCCAATGTAAAATTTGTGATCTTTACTGTTGTATAATTCAACTACAATTTCATGGGTGTGACCAAGTATTAAACCCCAATTTTTGTTAGGCAAGATAGCAAGCGTGATGTAAGATACATCGTTCACATTGACCATAGCAGATGGCAAAATAACAGGATACTCGTCGCGAACATTTTTGTCGTGCAAAAACACTTTAGTGCGACCCAAGGATTTAGCGTACGCGCTGTCATAGTCATTATCGATATCTAGTATGTCTGGATTTTCAGCTTCCAAGTAGTACTGGCTAGACGGTAGATTTATTTCTTCTAAACGACCTTGACGAGCCTGCATTATTTTGTATTTAAAACTATCGTACGCCATTATTGTTATGTCCGATGGAATGATAATTAAATTGGCTATCACGATCAATTCTACTTCTATAGGCGGTACATGTTTATATTCCGGGTAAGGTAATCTTACGGAAACCTTAGCCGTACCAGTTTTTATCCCTTCTAACAGCACGATATGTCCTGTCTTACTAACAGAGTCTAAAGCAGCGACAGTCAACGGAGTTTCGTACTGCGATTCTTGATAAGTCATAAATCTCAGAACATCGTTTGGTGTTTTACCATCTAGCATATATTTATCGGTATTATCTATACTCCAAAAGAATTCAACTCCTGCGAGAGTTGTAAATTCATTGCCTGTTATAATACAAAAAAATAGAATATAAATTTTTATTATATTTAATGATTATATATAATAGATAAATCTAAGTGATGTTTCGTACCTTGTTCGTCGTATGCTCGTACTTCGAATGCTTCCGGCGCTTCTTCTATATATAATTCTCTCGTGGTTGTGACAAGATTTAAAGAAAAAATTGCATCGACTATAACATCGCATCGTAAAAATTGTCCGTTATTGACATCTTCTGCCAACACTATTGCAGTATTTCTAGTAGATTCTCTTGTTATCGTTTGAATCAAAATAGCAGAGGAGCATGTTCGTTCGACATTTTCATTTATGGGAATTAACTGAATTATATCCAAACGTGACGTTGACCTACAATTAACATTGAATTAGTTTAAATTAATATTGTGTATTAAAGCTACATTTTGTACATCAATTTAAAAAATAAACATTTCTTACATAAAATTAATAAAGTTACATAGAAAGTTATACGTGATTCAAGAACGTTAAGATTTCGATAATAAGAGTGTTCTTAAGTAGACAGAATTTTTGGGCAAGCAAACAATAAAATGATATTAACACGAGAGCAGTTACCATTGATAACAAGCACCATCGGTGACTTCAAGTGTAAAATTTACAGCAAAATCGTTGAATACCGGCAACAAAACTCTGGGCACGTTCAATCTATGTACACTAGCATCCGACACCACACAAAATAGAATGAAAAATGCCGCGAGTATCATTATTTTAATGGATAATCTCGATCCAACCACGAACTTCTCACGTGTATTCGTGACGATCAGCTAAAGTTGGCGGTCTCTAAATAGCTTTCAAACAATCACAGTGCACTTCTCGATGCGATTCTCGATACGATTATCGATACTTCTAATCGATATTCGATTTCCACATATTCGATTCTACTGGAAGGAAAGTGCAGGCGCTACACTGTAGAAGGCGCTAGGGAAATGTCCCTAGGGGGTACTAGGGACGCTGCGTTTCTATTGTAACATATAGAAACGTGACTAATCGAAGACTATATGCGCACATAACGTTCATGGAAATACTGCTTGCGTAAAACTGTTGATTTTCAATCTGCTACTAATTCTATTATTTGTTAAAAAAATATGTGCTGTTGATGTCTCATTTATTCGATAAGGAGTTCTGCGTAAGGTTATGTGTATGATAATCAATGATCGACATGTTCTAAAACGTAGCGCAGAAACGATCATCGACCGATTACTTTGCAAATTTTAAACTGCTAATCGAGTAATCGCTCACGGACAGATTAGCCCGCGTCAGGGTGTCTTTAAATACACTTCCTCGAGTATGTTGTGTTTATCTTGAAAGCAATCAACATCGAGATCGTAAGATTCGCTTATAAGAATGGCCGATGAAATAGAAACAGTCCGACTCGTTAACGAAGAGACCGAGTGCGTGGAAGCAGAAATAGACGGTGACGATGTAGACGAAGAAGGTTCCGATGGTGTTGTAGTTCCAGAACTTAAGGGTACATTATCCAAATGGACAAATTATATACATGGCTGGCAAACTAGATTTATTGTTCTCAAAGATGGTACTTTATCTTATTACAAATCTGAGCAGGACAGTGGATTTGGATGTCGTGGTTCAATAAGTTTGTATAAAGCTAACATTAAGGTACGAACTGGTATTAAATAATCAGGTTTATATATGTTCGTTGATTTTATGAAAAAAGCCATGATATCACTCTTTACCACCTGTTTTGTTAGGCACACGAATTCGATGAGTGTAGGTTCGATGTATCAGTAAACGATTGTCTAGTATGGTATTTAAGAGCAAATTGTCCAGAGGAAAAGCAGCGTTGGGTCGACATTTTGAAATCTTATAAGGTATAGAAATTTTGCTTCGTAAAGCAAACATTTTTTTGACATTTTTTTTAATTTTATTAACACTATCTGTGTTTATTTTTAACAGTCAGAATCTGGTTACGGAAGCGAGAACAGTCTGAAACGCCACGGTAGCGCCATTTCGCTTGTGTCGAATACACAATCTATCACAAGCGCAGGTAGCTTTACTAAACGCGGCGTCAGAGGATTGAAAGAGAAATTAGCAGAGCTTGAAACCTTCAGGGATATTCTGATCAAGCAAATAGATACTTTGCAAAAGTATTTTGATAACTGCGCGGAAAATGCTAAAAATATTTCCATGAAAGGTATGCAAAGCAGCGATTTATGTTTGTCTGTATTCGTTTGTCTTGCAGTCATCTGTTTTATAATTTTCGTATATTTACAGACGTTTCGAATAAATTGCCTTTTTATTGTCTAAGAATTATAATGTCGAATGAAAGTGATTCGTTTCAGAAAATAAAGTTGAGACAACAATGTTTGATCCAGCCAAACACTCTGTAGATTTTAAAGGAGAAGCGATAACTTTCAAAGCGACGAGCGAGGGTGTGCTTGCGACATTGCAACATTGCGTTGAATTAATGGTGCAACGAGAAGATGCATGGCGTCGTAGATGGGAAAAAGAAACTGAGAAAAAACGAAAAGTACAGGAACTTTACAAAACTCTGAAAGATCAAGTTGCGATGCATCAAGGTGACTCTCCTAGACCCAGAGTCCTTATTCATGGAGGTCCAGATTACGAGGTTCGATTACATAATATTATTGCACTAAACATTTCCATGCATAACATGCGCTTCTAATATTTATATATGTACATTTCTATTAACTCGATTAAATAATTTATTACTGCTTTGAGAGTTATGCTATCAAATCATCTATCTGTTTAGAAATATTTTTTATACAGAGTATACAGTGATATACTCGTACGCGTCCAAACACATTTTATTAACTTTCATGCATACTTCGTGCCTGGAAATCTAATTATATATGCATACACGTTGTTTGTTCAGTATGTTTGCATTACTATGTACTTTCACAATGAACCAGAGGTACTATCCTGAAAGTGTCACACCTTGTCTAGCTTAAAGTAAGAGGGTATACAATTTTATTTGATCCGGATTTAAACATTGATTTTCTAAAAATTTGATAAAATTAATTTAAAATGAACTTCAAGATAATATCAAGAAACGTGAGTGAATGAATTTAATCGATATTCAGATCGTGTAATGGAACATAATTCTTAATTTTCAAGGAAGGACCGCACAGTGCTCTCTGCGATGAAGAATTCTACGACGCGGTAGAGACTGGATTAGATAAGATCGAGGAAGAGAATCAGCTGAGAGATCGTCTGAAACAAAAATCAGTCTCGATTTTAGCGACTCCGACTATGTCTGCGTCTAAGCACAGACTCTGGCCAGAGGTAATTGCTCCCAGGTTCAAAAGTAGCCCGCCATTGCAACAATTTAATCTTCCCTTTTATTCGCGCGTCAAACATGTTTATAGATAGAAAAAATAACGATGCAACAATTGCATTATGCACGACTTGGAGTTGGAGCTGGTGGCTGGCAATTGTTTGCCGAGGATGGCGACATGCGAATGTACAGACGCGAGGAGGAAGCGGATGGCTTAGTGGTGGATCCCCTAAAAGCATGTCACGTCGTGAAGGGAGTTACCGGCCACGAAGTTTGCGAAATATTCTTTAGCCCCGAATACAGAAGCGGATGGGAAGCCACGCTCGAGGACATGACCGTGATCGAAAATATATCTAAAGATACTCTGATATTTCTGCAAACGCATAAACGTATTTGGCCGGCAAGTCAAAGAGACGCGTTGTTCTGGTCGCATATGCGCAGAGTTTCCGACGATCAAGATCCCGATGCACACGATTTATGGATAGTTTGTAACCATAGCACGGAACACTCTGATTATCCTGTGAGTTTTGCTAAAAAAAAAACATTTATTTCCATTAAGTATTGATCTACGTTAAATTTGTTTACAGCCAAATACAGGAAAATGCGTGAGAGTGTATCTGACTGTGTGTCTCGTATGTCAAACGTTTATCGATCCTCCAAAAGATGAAGAAGAGATAAAAAGAGAGAATATTACATGTAAAATAACTTACTGTTCCGTTGGTTAGTACTACAATTTATTCTTTTTAAGTTCAAGTCAGCATGCATCTAATACTCCAATCTGTCGATTATAGTTAATCCTGGTGGATGGGCTCCAGCACCTGTTTTACGTGCTCTTTATAAAAGGGAGTATCCAAAGTTCCTTAAACGTTTCACTAGCTTTTGTATTGATCAGTGTAAGGATAAACCAATTACATATTAAGTGTAATTTCTATAAATTTCTAATTTTCCATCCAATTCCCTATTTACTACATCATAGGCGTCGTATCGCGCTTTCAAGTGATCTAAAATGTATTAAAGAAGAAAATTAAATTTACACAGTGCAGAAATTTTGGAAACAATAATTCTTCCATTATAAATGAAAGTGTTTTTTATATACCGTTTCCTTTCTTTTTTTTTTTTCCTTTTTAATTTGCTTGATACGATCGATGTAACAGGATACAAAAACTGTTACATTGATAATGATTTATTAAAGCGTAAGGAAACATTGTATACATTTCCGAGATAAACTTTGTAATATGGAATATACGCTCTAAAAGCGCTATTCAAAAATTATATTTACTTATTTAAATAACAGCTTGTTATTTTATTGTTATACAGAATGTTGTCACAAACCACTTGTACAGATCTTAACAAAGCGAATACATATACATTTATCTATTGTTACATTATATATCCAATTAAATACGAAATTGTATAATACAATTATATTGTTATTTTTATTTATATATAACGTGTATATTGATACACAATATAAAGGTCAAATGGAGAAACATAATAAAGACTGTTGTAGATTTGTCGTAATCGCAATTGTATCCTTTGTTTTTATCCATATTTTTGTTGTCATTGTTGACTTTGTTTTAGCAATTGAAAAAGATTTTATGCTACGTTGATAATCGAATATGTACAGGATTTAAAAATTACTGGAAGAATTTTCATAAGAAATAAATTTATTTCTATAAATTAATTAACTAAAATTATAAAACTATTTTATATTATATATATGTACATCGTATAAAATACTTTTACCTCGCACCCTCTGTTTCCTGTAGTTTGCTCGAAACTGAAATTTTGCTACAAAATAGTACTTTTTCCCCATTCTTTCAGTGTTCAGAGGGGGATATAGAGGCGATAAATGCTTTTCTGTCTTCTTATAAACTAATTATTACGTATTACAATAATGGCCAAAATTGAAGGTCTACTATTTATCTAAAAGTAAGGATTTTTGTAAATGTTATTATATATATTGAAAAACATACTCCATAATTTAGAACAATCTTATTATACAAAAATGCAATTGCGTAAGTACTGTTATCTAGTCACTTCGTAAAATAGCATGATCAACTTTCATACTTTACATATAAAAGGTAGTAAAATTTAATATTTTTTTTATCGTATGATATTTACAAACTTCGTTACTTAATTTTAGCCATTATATTAACAAATTGATTTCTCATGCGATTATACATACAACATTTGAATTAAACTTTGTAAAATCAGTATAAGCTAGGAGAAGTAAACATACTCTTGTTTTTTAATTCATAATGTATATCTATCAGACTATAGTCGAACTGCATTTTAATTTGTCGAAAAGGAAGTATTTGTGATAGCTATATTTACAATGTATATCACCTATAGATGTGCTCTGCATCATGGTAAACATATAAACATAAACATTATTACAAATTTAATTCAATTAATATTAATTTTGAATTTAATACAATTGAATGCTAACGTATTTAAAATGAAATCAATCACAATTAAAAATTGTAATATTTAAAATATTTATAGTACCATATTACATACCTTCATCACCTTTATCGCTTGTGTGCAATTGAAACATATAATTCGATGTAAATCAGTCGTGAAAGCAAAATATAAAAATTTTCCATTTAATTTTTAAATGACTTCAAATGTAAAAAATGCGTATTTCTTTTCTATATATTTCAATGACTATTTTCTTTATGATTCCTAAGAACGTAATTTTTTTAATACACTAAGACCTTTTTCTTCATACTCTTCCTTCGTTATCCATACTGAATCCCGATCCTTTGCTATTTCTGCTAATACAGCACCACCCATAAAAACCATGTGTTTACGTCTCGGGGAATCCTCGATTTTTATTTTAAATTTCTAAAAACACATATTAATGAACACATATCTTCCATGTATTAAAATTGACAAAAAAAAAATATTGAATATTTTGTAATTACATTTAATTTTGAGGTATCATTCTTTAACACTCTTTGTAGGTAGAGTTGTTTAATTTCTCTTTCAAGTCTAGATGGAAGACCTGGGTACATCGTACTACCACCGCTTAGAACAATATGTTTATATAATTCGCTTCTTATATCAATATTGGCTGCTTGAATAGTGCTAAATACTAATTCAGCGATTCCCTGAGCCTCGACGTTTATTAAATGAGGTTGAAATAAAGCTTCCGGAGCTGCAAACCTTTCACCACCTACTTTTATTACTCTTCCATCGGGAAGCTAAAAGAATTTAGTAATTATATACCAGAATTTATGTGTACATATTACACAAAAACTTCTACTTACAGTATACGACTCGACCAAAACTGTTGTCTCTAGTGCTAATTTATCTTCAGTTTCAATATTATATCCAATATAACATAATTTTTCTTTTAACATCCTAACAGTCTCAAAATCAGCCGAATGATTAAAGGCGTAACCACGTAACATAAGAAGTTTTATTAAATACATTGTGATATCTCGACCAGCTATGTCTAATCGTCGAGTGAGATGGTGTAAAGCATATTCTTCGAACACAGGACAAATATGAGTAACACCATCTCCAGAATCAACCACAACGCCACTAAGCAACCCTTGAGCATATAACGTAAGTACTGCTTGAATTGCAATATACGTTCCAGCGAAACCATATTTTTCAAACATTACCTAAAATCATTTCATAGTATCCAGAATCAAATTACGACAAACTTTCAGAGGGAAAATTTTTATGCAAAATCATTATTTTACCTCGATCATTTTCTCACGATTTGTAATAGGATTCATCGGTGGTTCTGTTAACAAAATTTTACACTCCTTTGGATTAATATTCATTTTTTCCTTCCCGAACGTGTAGTCCCAAACATGACACATGTCCTCCCAGTTTCTATTATATATTTCAATAATTTAATAATTTAGAATACATGCATTCGTTACATACATCCACATACAAACCTAACAATTCCATTTTGCATTGGATAACTAATCTCTAGCATAGATCGAAATTTACTTGCTTCGTCTCCGACCATTAAATCCTGTAGTAACAATATATAAATTACTTAAATATAATTATGCATTTTCTATGTACAGTAGATTAATATAAATCGTTAATATTCCAATAATTTAACACGTTGCTCTAAATTCTAATGAAATAAGTAATTCGGAGTATAGGTAACTATGATAATGAATAATGAATATACCTATTCTCGTATAAAATATTTTTTATTTTTATCTTCTTATTAATGAAATGTTATTGCCGTCAAGTACATTACCTTCTGTTTTTTTAACAGTGATATAATTGCTTAGACAATACAATATCAATTATTTAAATTGTTGCTATACACAGGATGTTACCACCCGTTCGGTAACACCCTGCACACAAGCCAAAAAAGAAGATATATTATCGATATTTGAGTAAAAATGTTTTCAAGTTTCCTAAGCACTGATGTAATATTGATAGATGTACATATTATCATCAAAAAATGCAATAAACTTACAGGCACGTAAAGCACATCCTACGAGAGCAAGTGTAAGCACACAAATATATTAGGTAATTACAAAAAACACAGCACACACGCATAAATGTTAACTCTGTAAACACTTTCATTCTGTAATATTTTATGTTCTTTATCTATTCAATAACAGATAGCAAAATAATAACTTATAACGCGACGAAGGAATTCTGATTTTCTTGATTATCAATTAAATTTTGATAAATAAATATATATTCTATTAATCTTTAAAATAATATCCATATTACTTTCGACGTGTATACTTCATTTTGATATTTGTTAGTAAAAAGTAATTAATAAATTAAACTTCATTTAGATTAGTACGTAAATGCATGGACTACTTTCAATCAAATTCAAACACTGGAGCACACAGTGTAATATGAAACGACTTACACGAATATTATATTCTTGCTGAAAATCAAGTAAGTAATTAATAAACTGTTTCAAACTAATTCGCTACAAATAGTAATCTAACGTTCTAAAAAATACTTTCAATTTTAAAACCATACGATATTTCTGTTAAAAAGAAAGACATTACTAAATATATGTATAAAACAAATTTCATCCATATATCTTATTAACAATTAACCCCCGCATGAACAACTGAAATTGGGATAAATAATCCGATTAATTTATATTGGAGATGGAAAATTAAGGAATCTACCTTTACATCAATGTCGCCCATCTTATTAACTGCTCTAATAATAGGACGTCCAACTACGGATGGAAATATGTGCGCAGGAAAATTTGCTCCTGCGTATCCACATTTTACAAACTGTAAGCATATAATTAACAAGTATACAAGATATTCTTCTTCGATCATGTCATGTAACGTTACTTTAACGAAAACTAATGTTTACAACAGAATTTAGACATAGATTTAAAAAGAATACAAAGAGAAATCAAACATAGGTAAAACCATATAACCTTACCCCTGTTCCATTATCGCAAACGATTATCTTCCTGCCTTTGCTATCCATTTTCTATTCGATGTTATTAATTAAACCGATCTTTTTATTCGTTATGTTAGATCGTTTTAAACATTACACATTCCGTTAGGTGACTAATTCTTGTAAGTCCTAGGGCGTTACCGGCATGACGTAGTCTTGTACTTGCGTTCGCACTCAAACGGCAAATACTTGTTATTTAGAAAGAAATGAATCGAAATCTTGCGAATTGTAATATCCTCGTTTAACGCGGGATCACTTATATCGCACAACCAAAGTGTTGATGGGACAAACCATAAAACCACAGGTCATCACCGTCAGCAGTGTGACTAGACTGACCGGGTTCGCCGCAATTTTCGCGCATGCGCGTGAAAAATGGCTTCAACGAAGTACCGAAATCCAGTAAACCGTGTCATAAATTCATTCGCAATTATTTGTTTTTTACACTCATTTTAGAAGATAAAATATTTCTGTTTGCACATTTTTTCTTCTTATACTTATTTCGAGAAAAAAAATTCGAAATAAACGATAAATACGTTTATAAGAAAATACAGAACTTTGTGAAAAAAAATGTTCGCGATCACTTTTATCCTTGAATAATTTTTACCCAGTTCTCTTTAGATGAGCATTTGTTTTACACGTTTGTAACGGTATAATACAGATTGAAATCGAACGTAATAGACAATGGCACGACCAATTGCTTATTTAAGTCGAAAAGAGACAATATCTAGTTGTCACCGATTACACAGGTACTAAATCAATGTTCAAAGTAAAGGATAACTTTTTTTAACTATATACGATCAGTTTTCATTCTTTTTTAGTAACAATTTGACCGAGGAACAAAACCAAAATATATACGGAAAATGTAACAACTATTGGGGACATGGTCACAATTATACAAGTAACTATTATTGATTTATTAAGATTTACAAATGTTAATCGCAATTTCATTTTAGTCGAAGTTACTGTACGTGGACCTGTAGATTCAGTAACAGGCATGGTTATGAACTTATCAGATTTAAAATTATACATGAAAAAGGTACTGATGGATCAATTGGACCATAAAAATTTGGACAAGGATGTACCTTATTTCAAGAGTGTTGTTTCGACCACTGAAAATCTAGCTATCTATATTTTTAACGAATTAAAGAAAATTATGCCTGATCCAGATATTCTGTATGAGGTCAAGATCCATGAAACTGATAAGAATATTGTTGTTTACAGAGGAGAGAAAGAAACATAATTTTGTGAGAATTACAAAGCACAAAATGACAGAATGTTGCTCATTATTTTTATAAACAAGTATACTTTAAGTCCCGATCTAATAATGGTTATTACATACAAATACAATAGTATGTACATAAACATATTGTTATAAGAATTTTTCAAATTTTTTTTTATTCAAAAGACAACTCTTTAATTGTCAAATGAGATATATTTTCCACAGATAAGAGTACATAAATGTATCACAATATGTTTATAATGATTATATTTAAATAAATTGTCTCTTTACTTAAATATATAAATATGTTGTATAAATTGTCTTGTTAAAATGTTGAATTTAATAAAGTTTATTGTATGAAAAACAGAACGTAAATTTATTTATCGAAAGATTACTTAAAAAAAGAAACATAATAATTTCCAATCTTTAAGATTACTTCGATATTCCATTTAATTTTTTCTTCGGATAATAACAAATATACATTGCAACATGTTGCTTCGCATTTGGTAAGAGAATAAATGTTTTTATACTATACTTTAATATTGCACCTCTATAGATAGTGTCATTTCTTAATCATATATATTTATAGAAAAAGTAATAACTAGAGTAATATCACAAAGGTCCTTATTTAAAATCGACGAAATCCCCAGACTCCTCTGATCGACTTCAAATTTTGCATATTACTAAAGTTTTTTTGTCGTCAATTTTCCCCTAAATGTATAGGGGGCAGGCTATGAATATGCAAAATTTCACGCAAATATATGCGAGGGGTATTTCTTTGATTTCTCATCAAGTCTTTTAAAAAAACAAATTCATCTTCTATGTAAACTAGATAAATGTAAAATATATATACATCTCTTTATAAAAATACTGAAACAGTCATGTTTTTAAAATAAAAGAATTAAATAGTACGCTTCAATGTCGCCTATGTTTTCATTCTGTTGTTCTCAAAATTAACAACATTGTTTGCTAAGTAAAAAATTGTAATAGCAGCCTTTTCGATATTTACGTTAGTAGTTATATGTTTGTATTTGTATCGAGTTTAATGTAACTTCTAATAGTTACGTATGGTATACCAAGTTCAAAGTCATCCTGCGGCCAATACTTTAGTACCGGTGATTGCTGCGGTTTTTCATCCTTTACAGAAAAATATGCAAATAGTACAGCCGCTGTGTAGCTTGCAATGAATATAAACAAATGCCAGAGTGCATGTAGATAAGGGAAATTCAGATTCAGCCAAGTATCGCAAAATAAACGATCGTTTAACCAGCACGTAACAGCTAGTAACCAAACAGCACCGCACCGTAAACCCAATCTATAAACTCTCATGGACTTTGTCCTTGAGAAAAGCACATTAAACGTTATAATTCGATGCTACATCGTACAGCTATTTTTATGAACGTAGAATTTTACCTTTTCAATTCGATTATCATAAATCCAAATGCTGGTATGCAAAGACTCATTAATGCAAATGCATTTATCGCAGGATGTATAAACGACAAACCGGTTGCGATAAGAGTCGGTAACATCGCACATAAGGAAAGCAGTTTTCTGTTATTTTGTAAAATGTTTGGAAAGTACCTTCTTGGAAAGAACATACAGAATCCAGCCATGTATACCCATAAAATTGCTAATTCGTCTAATAACTGTCCTATTATGACATAATGAAGGAAAACATTTAAATACACATCTATATTCCTGAAATTTACGATCATCGATTACTCACCGATAAGAGACAAGGTAGCATGAAAGTATGCGCTGCTAAGACCTACTATCATTAATAAGAACCAAATTACATGAATTCCAGGATTTACAAATCGCCCGTAATCTTTGAAAAGATGCATAAGGACAGGGGGGAGCAATAGAAATACCACGTTGCTCAGCTGTAAACAAGATTTTGATTACTTTATTACCGTTCTACTATTATTTCGATGCTTGATAATAAATTCCAAAAAAGTTATAATCGATATAAGCTATTTGAAAACAAAGAAATATTATTTCAATCGAGAACAAGCATACTGAATAAAATTGTAATTTTCATCGTTATAAAGTACAAACCGTATTCATGAATTCTGCGATGCTAGAAGAAATACTGTAATTACGTTCGCACCAGTCAACCGGTGAACTACCAGCTTCAAATGGTTTCCACATGTTGAAGCGTGTATATTTCTGTATATATGTTTATATAAAAGTCACTTGGTTTTTAACCTGCAGTCCCTGAAGAAATATTACAAGTTTAATTACGTAGAAATCCATTAGTGAGTCATTTAAAACTCACAAAGAATGTTGAGTCAACAAAATAGCGTACATCGTTATTAAAATACCTTTATGCGTATCAACGACTTCTATCATACGAACATCCAAAAGTTATCACGTAACTATAATAATATATTATACAAAGAACACTTGGAAAATATATTATTTACGCGATGTATCAGCATCTTGCTTTTGTTTACATTAGAAGCGGAGAAGAGGAAATTATGACAGTGATGCTACGCACAACATTTACGTATAAACACATTCACTACAAAGAACACAAGAATGCTACGAGTTAAAGAGACAATGAAGTATGTTCTACAAAGGAAACACACCAGACATCAAAGTACAAAGGCTTCCACTATGCAATAATCTAACCTAACTTGACCTAACTTTGCTTCACCATAGAATAATGAACATACAGAAGTCTCATAATGAGACCTAACCTAACCTAACCCAACCCAATCCAGACTCTTATTTCAGGGCGGTACTTTTGGTGTTACAAACACAAGTGCCAGTATCTAACCTAACTTTTCAATGTAATTAAACTTTGTTGAATTGTTCTGAAAGATATTGGTAATTAAAAAATAATCTTTTGAATAAATTTTGAAAACTTGAACGTTACATAGCAGAAATGGTGGATATTAAGTTTGCTATACATAGATGCTTGTGCACACCTACAGTGAATGTATTGTACAGAAAATTGTTTAAAAGAAATTATAATATGGAAAATTTTGCGCAGAAGAAGCCTTTAGAGGAAATTCATCCTTACAAAAAGCTTCATCCGTGGAAGTCGTTGGCAGAGTTTTCGTATGATCTTGTTAAGAGTGTGTTTTATAATGAAGGTAAGAATAACGAGTAACAAATAGATTTTTATGTGTTTTTCAAAGTAATTTTGACTTTACAGATGGTTTGGTAGCATTGAATAAACCGTATGGCGTAAGCCATCAAAGGATACACAATGAAATTGGTGCTAGTGATATACCAAATTTTGTAGATTATACATTAGAAGATGCCTTACCACATATCGCTAAACAACTGAATTATTCAAACTTAATTGTAGTCAAAAAACCGGAAAAGTAAGTAGATTTTTTGTGGTAAGGTAAATTGTTACAAATACTTGATTATTTGTTTAAAGATATACATTAATTTTTAAATCAGATACATGACTGGTATCACACTGTTAGCAGCAGATTCAAAGATTGTAGACAATGTAAAGCTTGCATTACGCCGTGGAAATAACTATACAAGTACTTATTGGGCACTTACAATTAGAGTTCCAAATAAATTATGGGGAGAAGAACATTTGGCAATAAAAATGAAATCAAATCCTCACTATGAACTTAGAAAGGTAATTTCTATTCCAACAGGTTAATTGCATTTGTTTTGTATGCGGTATTAAGTGTTTCTAAATCATTTTCAGCCAATTATTGTAACATCATGGCCTAAAAATGAACAGAAAAGGGGAGACGTGAAAATTTTAAATGTTAAATTCAGAGTCCTGTCCAACTCTACGTTTAATTTATCTTCCTTGGTTCAAATAAAATCGTCTACTATAAAGCACCATGCTATTAGACTATTTGCAGCCACATTTTTATATTGTCCAATTCTAGGAGATAATATACATGGGTCACGGATCCAAAAAATTGGTGGTACTTATATAACAGTTGATCCGTTTGTGAAATATACAGACTTCCCTCCAAAATTGGACAAAGAACTACTTCAATTGTTGAAACTAAACACGCAGAGACAGCCTATTATTCCTGTTCATATTCATTTTAGATCAATAAATTTACCATATTTTCATGGAAAGGAACGGGATCTATTAATCGAGGCTCCATTAATTCCACCTTTTGAATGGACTTACCAACAACTCAAATTCGATTATCTCAAGGAAGATAAATAATTTTCATTTTATATATTTTTAAATGCAAATAATGGTAATAAATGTTTAATGACTGAGTACATGTCTGCCTTTCAAAATTCTTCTCATTAGAATCTTTCTACCACTGAGTGTTGCCATTCTTGCCTCCCAACCATGGCGTTTAATGCGACGAAGTTCATTAGGACGAGGAAAATGATATCTTATTTTCGTTCTGTTTAATGTGAAACTCCATTGATTCGCTATTGCCGGTGAATCGACAATCGATGAAGGAATGTTTCCCAACGTTACACGTCTAAAAACAATCTTAAATTTTTCACAAGAACATAAACAAATATGTGTACTTTTATATGTATAATTACGTACGGGATGAATTGATAAAAATTAGAAATTAATCTGCCGAGCATGCCGAATCAAAGAACTCCAAGTTAGAACATGAACTAATTGCCACGAGTAGATGTAACCTACGTATAGGGATACGGAGCAGGAAATAACTATACACGTGGCTTTGCGTCACGTTATTCGCCTGTCTTTCACGCTGGCTTGGAGAAGACTGACTGTCTCGCGAGAACCAGGGAGTACCTAGAGACAAATCTCCAACAACTGCGCCATCTGCGGGAGTAACTAGGGAGTTACATTTGTTCCCACATTACATTCCAAGAACTTGAGAGAAAGAAAAGCAGGAAGACACCCTCTAGTGGTGGAAATAAAAACAGGGGGTACTCTACACAATACAAGTACATCTCAGAAATTTGTACGACGTCTATAGAAATATTATCGGAGACAGTTAGACAGCAAAATAAGTAAAAATGGCAACTAACATGGACTCGGCCAGGGAAAAAGCTTTCCAAGATTATCGAAAGAAACTTCTTGAGCATAAAGAAGTAGAATCACGTCTAAAAGAAAGTAGGATATGTTTGTTAAGTACTTAGTAAATTTCTTACACTTTCAAAAGCGATTCAAAATTTAACCTCAATTTTACATACCAAACTATTGACAACTACCCCATTAAGATTATAAAAAATTGTATTATATGTTTCGTGTTTTCAGTGAGGGAGCACCTCAAAGATTTAACGAAGCAATATGATAAATCTGAAAATGATTTGAAAGCTTTGCAAAGCGTTGGGCAGGTAAAAAAAAAAAATTTTTCCGTTTAACCATTACTATATTGAAGTTTTCATGATTAAGATTTCGAAACGTTTGTGTGTTAGATTGTTGGAGAAGTATTAAAACAACTTACAGAGGAAAAGTGTAAGCGTATGATTTATAAATGTATATTTACGTACAAATATATATTTATATATTATTCTATATTTACAGTTATAGTAAAAGCAACAAATGGCCCACGTTATGTTGTTGGCTGTCGACGACAACTTGATAAAAATAAGTTAAAATCTGCAACAAGAGTAGCACTCGACATGACTACTCTTACTATAATGCGTTATTTGCCTCGCGAGGTAAAATGTATTTTATTATAATGTAAATTTCTACTTTATATGAATCTTAATTTTTTATCAATGTATTTAGGTCGATCCACTAGTATACAATATGTCACACGAGGATCCTGGTGTCGTTCAATATAGTATGATCGGTGGTCTGAGTGAACAAATTCGAGAACTAAGAGAAGTTATAGAACTACCGCTGTTACATCCTGAACTGTTTCAAAGAGTGGGTATAACTCCTCCGAAAGGATGTCTCTTATATGGTCCACCAGGAACTGGAAAAACATTATTGGCCAGGGTAGTTGCCAACCAGTTGGATGCAAATTTCTTAAAAGTTGTATCGAGCGCTATTGTCGATAAATATATCGGCGAATCGGCACGACTGATCAGAGAAATGTTTAACTACGCGCGAGATCATCAACCCTGCATTATATTCATGGATGAAATCGATGCCATTGGTACGACTGTTTATAGTATACTAAAAAATAAATTATCATTTTCACGCTCGTTTATTTTTATATAGGTGGACGTAGATTTTCGGAAGGTACAAGCGCGGATCGAGAAATCCAAAGAACTTTGATGGAATTGTTGAATCAAATGGATGGTTTTGATTCTTTGGGTCAAGTTAAAATGATAATGGCTACAAACAGACCAGATACTTTGGATCCAGCTTTATTACGACCTGGTAGATTAGACAGAAAAATTGAAATCCCATTACCCAACGAACAAGCACGTTTAGAAATTTTAAAGATTCATGCTAGCCCGATATCCAAGCATGGAGAAATTGGTAAAGAGTTACTTTACATCTGTATCGCAGATAGAATATTAATTTTATATTTATTCCAGATTATGAAGCAGTAGTTAAACTCTCTGATGGATTCAATGGCGCCGATTTGAGGAATGTTTGTACCGAAGCAGGATTATTCGCGATAAGATTAGAACGAGAATATGTTGTACAAGAAGATTTCATGAAAGCAGTAAGGAAGGTCTCAGATAATAAGAAACTTGAATCCAAATTAGATTACAAACCAGAATAATGGATATATATATTGATTACATCAAATTTAAAACTCAGTTAATTCGCTAACCAATGCGTGGTTCAATAAAATAATTTTTATTGTAATATTTGTATTTTATACTGGAAACATATACTTCGAAACAACAAAATACTTTTCTTGACAATACATGGATGCTTCAACTTTAAATCACTTTGTTCAATTACATGCATTAATTAATACGAAACATTATTCGGTAATGTTTGCAAGACGTGTCTTTTTCCTTTCCAAATACTCTTGTACATTATCATATTTTCTTTTATACAAAATAGGAAATAAATTTTGCTTAATGGAGTCGTTTCTCAATGTTTTCCAGAGGTTATTTAATTGACTTAGTTTACAATTTATTTTGTCATTGGGTATAAAATTATTTTCTTTAAATTCGTACACTTTAAATCCTAATTCGCTCAACACCCATAAATTGTCTTTGTAAAGATGGCATTCTAAGGGTTCGTCATCTATAACTATAGACTGTACATATGTTATTTCAAATTGTAACTTTACGGTGCCGCTAATGATGTAAACCAATAACAGGGAGTTATTATAAAAACTCATTACAGCTAAAGACGATGTACCGTCGAGTGCAGAGAGTCTTAAATGTTTCACGGGTAATATTTCCACGGATTCGTCCAAATGATAATCCTGAAGTTGTTGATTGAACTTTTCGATATCGCGTTTAGGTATTTTATTACAAAAGTCGACAGACAATAGTTCTTTTCCAATTTCGTAATCCCACAATATGAAAACACCGTCACCGCCGCAAGATACCAAAACAGTTTTATCGTGAGGTAATTCCAAAATGTTTGTTACAAATTTTGTGTGCCCTAAACAATAGGACACAATATTATACGAATTTGGAAACATAGACACTCTAATCTTTTCGTCTCTGTCCGTTGTAATAATATATTTTTCATTTTCTGTGACTAATACATCGAGCATCATCGACAAATGTCCCAACAGTAAGATTCCACGGTCGGATCTACTGCTAGAAAACAGATAAGCGTCTCCAGCTTTGTCAGCGACAACTATATCATTGCTACGAGTAAACTGCACTTTGCTAGCAGCTCTTGCTAGTGTTCTATTTGACAAAAGGTTACGATTCTTTCTTTCGTACAGACACAATTGTTTGCGATTTGTACAGACAAAGAAATACTTTCCATCGTTGGAGAACGTTACGTTCGTTATTGCGTGGAACGATTCGATATTTGCATTGTTGTGCGAATCGATCTTTTTCTCTGTTTGCAAATCGGGCAAACGAATCGTGTTTTCCGCACCATTCTCGATATTGTGTATCACGACATGTTCGTTGTTACACAGAGCAACGTCTGTACCGTATACACAGAAGCTCATGCTTGAAACACACACTGTATTAAATAAAAAATGTTTATAATATGACCGTGATATCCTAAATCTTCGATTTCTTGAAAATCTACGTGCATCACGTACATCGTCGGCCGCATCGGGGTGGCCATTTTGTTCAAGCATGCGCAATCGAATTTGTCCGTGACGTGCGTGTGTGCGTGATGCACGCATGTGAATTTCAAAATATAAACTGAGTGGAAACTGATCGCAGTCTAACTTGCGATTGTCAACAGGGTATCGTGAATTTGTTATTTCCAAGATTCATAGTCTTTGTGTATTCGCAAAATGTCAGACGGCGAAGATGATTTTATGTGCGAAGAAGAAGAGGATTACGGTCTTGTGAGTACTCGTTTTTTTTTTTAACCCAACAACGTCGTTGTATCACATAATCTTTCGGATTAAGAAATAGGTTAGAATTATAATTTTGACATGTATGATGTTAAAAAATTGTTTCAAAACTGTTTAGCGATGTTCAAACAATAACCATAACTATATTACTGGTATTCCCTATAGGTAGGAGTACAGTATTGAAATCGAATGACATTTTAATTTTGTTTATGTTACATAGATGGTTTTGAAATGAAATCATTCATTTTCTTTTTTCTTACTGCGTCACTGTTACATGTTATTTTAGAGTGCGATCGGCTTCAAAGCGATGTTATTTTTATGCTTATTTTAGGAATATTCAGAAGACTCAAATTCGGAGCCAGATGTTGATTTAGAAAATCAATATTATAATAGCAAAGCGTTGAAGGAAGATGATCCAAAAGCGGCATTACAGAGTTTTCAGAAAGTTTTGGATTTGGAAGGAGGTGAAAAGGGTGAATGGGGCTTCAAAGCTTTGAAACAAATGATAAAAATTAATTTTAAATTGGTCAGTTCTATAGATTAATATTGCACGGTTGTATATAATTATGAATTATAATATTATATTTTCCTAGGCTAATTATAAGGAAATGATGGCCAGGTACAAACAGTTATTAACATACATTAAAAGTGCAGTTACAAGAAACCATTCAGAGAAATCTATAAATTCCATATTAGATTATATCAGTACGTCGAAGAATGTAAGCAATTTAATTAGTACACAAAGCACAGTTGATTTAATTTTCAAATGTATTTTCTTTGCCTTTTTTTGGTTTGCAGATGGAATTATTGCAGGATTTTTATGAAACTACTTTAGATGCATTGAAAGATGCTAAAAATGATAGGTTGTGGTTTAAGACTAACACAAAGCTGGGGAAGTTATACTTCGATCGGTCAGATTTTAATAAGTTAGCGAAAATATTGAAACAACTTCATCAGAGTTGCCAGGTAGGTTGTATTCGATATAATTCAGGCACTTGTTACAATATTCTATTTTATTTTTGTATGTCGATACGTATGCTTCGGTAGACCGACGATGGGGAAGATGATCTGAAAAAGGGTACACAGCTTTTAGAGATTTATGCTTTAGAAATACAAATGTACACTGCCCAAAAAAACAATAAGAAATTGAAAACTTTGTACGAACAGAGTTTACACATTAAAAGTGCTATACCGCATCCATTGATAATGGGAGTAATTAGAGGTATGATGGCATATTTTATATTGTCAGAATTAGAAGTTACGTAATTGTATTTAAGCAACGTTTAAAGTAAAATTGTGTTTCGAATTTTGATAAGAATGCGGTGGAAAAATGCACTTAAGAGAAGGTGAATTTGAGAGAGCGCACACAGATTTTTTTGAAGCTTTTAAAAATTACGATGAGTCTGGATCTCCAAGACGTACAACGTGTTTAAAGTATTTAGTATTAGCAAATATGTAAGTAAGATTTAGATAAACGGAAAGTAGTGTATGTCACAATATTAGCGGGATCGATAACTAATATTCAAACATTCTGAATATGTTATAATTGTGAACCTAGGCTAATGAAATCTGGTATCAATCCATTTGACTCTCAAGAGGCAAAACCATATAAAAATGATCCAGAGATCTTGGCAATGACGAATTTAGTGGTCAGTTACCAAAATAATGATATTAATCAATTTGAATTAATTCTAAAACAAAATAGGAATAATATAATGGATGATCCTTTTATAAGAGAGCACATCGAAGACTTATTACGTAATATACGCACTCAGGTATGTTTAGAATATATGCATAATTCTTGAATAGATTCCTAACGTCTGACTAAAACATCTATCCATTTCACCTTACAGGTTTTAATCAAATTAATAAAACCATACACTAGAATTTATATTCCTTTCATAAGCAAAGAATTAAATATCGATGTATCGGAAGTTGAGAGCCTATTAGTGTCTTGTATTTTGGATAGCACCATCCGTGGCCGTATCGATCAGGTAATACGATCAAATTTATAATATTTACTAAATCGCATACTTCTTTGACTCAAATTTGGATTGCAAAAAAATTAACAGGTGAATCAAGTTCTCGAGCTGGATAAAAAATCAGTCTGTGCAACGCGTTACAATGCTCTCGATAAATGGACGAGTCAATTACATTCTTTGCATTTTGCCATAGTAAACAAAATGTCATGAAAAACGTGGTGCGAGTGATCCAAGAACAAAATTGAGCTCTAGATATTACTCTGTATAGTATATCATAAATGCCTCTCTCCGACTATATAAAGAATAAAATCTATTGTGATATAATAAAGATAGAATTTTAATATGATTCATTTTTTGTACCCTTTGTTGTGATACTCCTATTTGCAACGGCTGACAACTGATAACGACCTCTAATCATCTCTGTTGACCACTGTTGACCACTACTGGCCACTGCTGACCACTCCTGATACTTCTGACAACGTCTCTGTCTCTGCTGAGGACAGTACAGGCAAACTGAGGCTAGCATTGGTCACTAGCAATCGTTATATGTTGTCAGAAATATTAGTTGTGGTCAGCAGAGGGCAGCAAAGTCCCCTGCTGTTGTTAGCAGTGGTCAGCAGTGGTCAGCAGTGGCTAGAAAAGATACATAAATAAAGAAGTAGGTGAAGGGTCGCGATACAAATTCAACAATCTCGTATGTTGCGTCATTTTATTGGAAAATATATATATATATCTTCGTCGATCAGTATTTTCCAATTTCAATCTGAATCTCCTCGATCCGCGTAACATTCTTCTCTAAACTCTTGTCTAAAATATATAGAAATATATTTTATGTTGCTTTCAATTCTTTATACTCTATCAACACTGTTTTATTTACATTCTTATATTTAGTTAAACAGGATTATTATTATCTTCAATTCAAGAGTAACGCCTCAAATTGAAACTTGTTGGTCCCTGTTATAAATACGATTTCATGAAATGAAGTCAAACCGTTTACCACAATTTTATGTTAGACAAAACGAACATATTATTATCAGTAATGTTATAGTTATAAATGTGTTATCTTGACAATAAGTATGAAATGGGTAAATTACTTTTGGCGTATGTACAAACTCTAGAGAAGTTTTTCGGTAAAATGAACCACAACAGAACAATATTCTTATTTTATTCTTTGTTTAGAATAGGACTCAGACTCCCACTTGTTTCTGTATAATACATACAACTGCATCGCTGCTTTTGCATCTTCCACGGAGCTATGTTCTCCTGTTTGTATCTCTCTACCCAACAATTCGTACGCAAGCTTCTTCAAGCTCGGTGTGTTTCCCCTGGACAACTGTCGGAAAGTTTTAAACCTAGAAGTGTCGCGTAAATGTTTCCTCGGGTGAGAGAGATACAACACATCGAGATCGTGCTTCAAAGCATGACCGACCAGAATGCGGCCCCTTAAAATCTCTGCCACTTCTTTCTGAACAACTTCAAATTGTTCTCCGGTTTGGAGATTATGCGGGCGGATACCACTAACTTTAGTCCTATAGTCCTGTACGGGCTCTCTCGGTTTGACGTATTTATCGTAAATACAAGAGCCGTGTCGATTCACAATGGACACTCTGGCTATCATACTCTCCGTACCGTCGCCTATACCAACCATTTCGCAGTCCATTGCTACTTGTTTCGTCAACGTTTTATTTTCACTGGGAACTTCTTTCTCGTTCAACTGCGGCATAGAATTCGAGCTCAGTATAAACTTGTGTTCGTTTTTTGATTTCTGGTGATAAGGAACTGTTTTCTTCTTAGCATTTTCCTTGCTGCAAACATCCGATTCCAGCGACACTGAATTGAAAACTGTGTTTTTAAATATTTCCCAATTGCGCCCGGATGCATTGCGTTCCGTATGCGGAACGATGCGATGGTTGTTCTTTTTATTCTTCTCGTCCATGGCTCGTTTCGTGTTCGACTTCTTAGGACGGCATTCTTTATCTTTCGTCTCAGTTTTCCTAAAAATTCCAATAGAAAAGATTACTCACAAAAATGACAATGTACCAAACATTTCAAGTTTTACCTGTCCTAACCTTTTCATTTAACACGTGTACGTACACAAACACAGCTCTTTTAAGTACTCGTGCTATCAATATTCAACGATAAAATATAAACAGTCTACTTTCGAATATACACAAAAATATATTCGAGTTAATTGAAATCATTGATTAAATTGGTTAGATAATACGTCAACTTAAATATGGCGGCACAAATTCAAAACACGGTTGTACGATTTAAAAGCGAGATCCCATCGTCTCTTTTTCGCCCGACTATACACGTTAACCGAACAAAGCAACCATTGCAAATCCTATAATTACAATTTCTAATCGGAATTCCATTCCTTTTCTACCAACGTTGGTACACGGAAGTGTTGATGTACAAGAGTACTTTAAGAATAAATTATAGTACAAAATTCTATATAATTTATCGAATGGGGGTTATGTTCTTTCGAATTAAATAACACCGAGCAACATTTCCGTGCAATACGCGGATATTATAAGTTCTCTCACCTTATGAACAATACTATAGCTATAAAAGATACGGTGAAAATTAAAAAAGCTAATTCCAGCATGCTAGAGTAACCAGACGTTCTAGAGTTTACATCTGCTAAGTTTGTACCGATAAATCGTTTTTCTCAAAGGCACCCGTAGTCCGACGGTTATCCGCTACGGAACATGAATAATTCCGTTTGATTCTCTCGCGCGTGAATTTCCAAAAGCTTAAAGAGACATGAACGATGAGAGTAATAACGCAATTAAGGACGCTTTTACCGAACCACGAAAAAAATTTTGGCTAGTGAGTACTTATAAACTGTCGACAACATTTGAAATTGACAATAAATGTCCGTCGTTATCCTAACCATGACATTATTATTTGTTGCTGTATTTTTGAATTTATGATCTGTTAATATTGCGCGTGTAAACTTTATTCAAAACTTTTATTTACGTGATTAAAGCACAGGCTATATTATTCTTAAATTAGCGATCGAGGAAGCGTCCAAAAAGTGATGCTATCAGTATCAGCTCCATGGATATATCCATTGAATCCGAATTGGGGAAGAAAAAGAAACGGAGAAGAATCACGGAAGTAGCCAACAGTATTTTCAACTCTTCCATTATAGGCAGTAAACAAGGAAATACCCTTCGTAGGTCATTTACGATACAGCCAAACGCAACAGATTTATCATTCGTGGAAAATGAACTGGATGCTGGAACGTTAAGAAAAAAGTATAAAGAAAAGATTGTCGATAATACTGTTAACACGAATCGAAAGGTTTTGTTTCTTTTAACTTTACATCTTTTTTGTCAGACACAAAGAGAATATCGACAGCACCGACAATTATATGCTTAAAAGTTGGGTACTTGACGTAGCGAAGACGAGTATCAAAGATAGACCAAATCATGCCTTGAGTCGTAAACAAGTTAAAAGACAGGAAGCGATTTACGAATTGTATTGCGGAGAAAATGTACTCATTAATGACCTGTGCATCCTCAAAAATTATTATTACGAGCCGCTGATCCATACTGGTATCTTCAGTTCTGATGAGTTATTTACGCTGTTCAATAGCGTAACGCATCTCATTGAAATACACAGTAAACTGAGAGATGAACTGATCAGTTTAAGAGACCAGTATGGATTCACAGACACGGTTGGCCCTACGATACTAAATTGGGTTAGCAACTATTAAACTTTTGTAGTTAGAATTCATTTACCGACTCTGCAGGTATTAATTTCACCGTTCTTACAGATTCCAGCGTTAATAAGCCCTTATTTAGAAAGATGTAGGACACAAATATGGGCAAAACGTTTGTTAGATGAAAAAAGGTCTAATAAACGTTTTCAATCTTTCCTGAAAAAACGTTTGGAATCTCCTCATTCGATCGATCTATGGACTTATATAGATGTAGCACGATCAAGAATTGTTAAATATCCTTTGTTGGTTAAAGAAATACTAAGGCATACTCCAACCGTACATGAGGATCAGACGTGTTTAAAAGAAGCATACGATATGCTATCAAAATTACTCAACGATATAGACAAAACTATGGGGGCTGCAGAGTGTGAGTTAGCTCGCTCAAAAATAAATGTAAAATTGGATTATGATCATACCAAGTGCATAGAAAGTGCGACAGAACTGATCACCGAAGGACAACTCAAAGATACGCGAGGAATGGTAAGAGTAACTCAATCATTTTTTCATTTTTCAGGAAATTGTTACTACATTCTTTGATTGTAAATTATTTTAGAAATTTCAATGCTTCCTTTTCAATACTGGTTTTGCCATAACTCGTAGGACAAGATCTATGAGCAAGAAGTATAATCTATCTTTTCCCGTTATCCTCAAAAAACAAATCTGCATAAGTGCAGAGGAGAAGCCTGCTACATCTTGTGGGTTCAAAATTGGCAATCATTTTTTACTAGCAGACGATGAGCATGGAAAAAGACATTGGCTCGATTCTTTTAACAAGGTTCATCAATACAGAATCGATTCCTTAGAAAATGTAATCGATATTAATGAAAAGGAAAATCAACAAAATTTTACACTGACAAAAGCAAACCAGTCCACCGAATCATCCACGAATAATATGAACAACTTCTCTCTGACATTGAAAAGAAGCTTTTTAAAACAAAAACGTAATAGCAATGATTACATTTAATATTACGAAATTAAAAAATTTTCTTTAATTATTTTCTATGCTTATGTATGTATTATATGCAATTAAAAAATGTCCGCAACATATTCATGAATTTACGTGACATTCTAGTGTAAATTTATAAAACATTCTCGCACATTAACGTACTACAAATATTTTGTACAACCGCGAAAAAAGTGAGAATGTAAACACTTGACTGCCTTCTTCTCGCTTCGAGATAAATATAACATTCATGTAAAATATATAGATTATATATAATTAAACGGTAGTTGGGTTGCTAAGGAATATTTATGTACAAATATATCTAATATTAATTGTAAACTTAAAGAACCACTTCATTTGTAATTACATCTAACAGTTTATACGTGCATTTCAAAATAAAATTATTTTTGAAAAAAAAAAAAAAATTATATAAAAGCCTGAAAATTTTTACTCAACACGATTTTATTCTTATAATTTTTTTAATAAAATAACAGTCCATTTATTTTACATTACCCTAAAATACTTATGGTTTAGCGGGCTTCATCGAGTTGCCGTCCGGATAACGTTTTTTAAAAGCTTTTATGAGTTGAGGGTCGATCAAGTGAACACCGTCTACTTGATTCCCTAACGTTATCCAATTAGGTTGAACATTATGTGGTCGGCCAAATAATTCGATCTTTCGTGTACCCGGACTCATACGTTCGATAATTCCATAAATCTCGTCAGGTTTATGACTAGTGGCTCGAACTTCGGCCACGATAACATCGCTATCCAATCCCCGATTTATTCTTGGATTACCTTTCATGCCAACCAAACAGTGTTCCTTACCATGATTCAGCCAATGACCCGTCCTGCCTGTTCTTATTATCCTTTGCAACTGATTGGTCTTCACCCATATGATTTCGTCTACCCTCTCGTACCCCCATAACTGCAAGCACTCTCTACCAAGTTCCATTGCCCTTCCTGTTACCCATAAAAACAAAAGGCCCTCGTCCTGAAGCGCGGGTATACCTAATTGTCTCATCTCATCGTCCGACATAGTACCATACGGTAATTCCATGTGAATGTCCCACGGAGGATCCGCCATTATAACAGCAAATTTACCCAATACGGTCATATCTAGATATCGCAAGTCGCACTGTATCCACTGCGGTGGATAAAGAGTTAATTCGCTACCTAACGATCCACCACTGGTTGGACAAGTTGTATTACTACCATTTTTACTATCTAACGTTAAAGCTTTATTCACTATAGCATTACTCGGATTGTCTAAGTCACTAGATTCCTTCTGTTGAATTGTTGGTCCGTCTACCTCGTAATGCACATACCTACACGATACAAAATATAAAATAAACAAAGAGATTCGGTTGATCTTTGTTGGATACCAATTTTAATCGCGATACATACTTGCACGTATCCATATGAAAACAAGTGTTGAGAAAACTGCAATCGCCTAAAGACTCGTCCGTGTGACTTTGTATGATCTTTTTGAAATGAAGCTTTTTGCATTTCTCCGCAAATCCCGGGCCACCGTTCAACTTAACGCAATCTACTCGCGTACCGTGAGGGCAGAATTCCATCACCTGAGCTCCGCCTTGCGATCGAAATCGTTCGGCCAATGATTTTTCTTTGGACGTTTGTTTCGACAGCAGGTCTAAAATTTGCTCCCCCACTTTTTTATTTTCCTTCTCTCTGATCGTCGGCATTGATATAAGGGACATTATATCCTCCGTGTTCTTTTTATCCAATTTCAGTTGTTTCTCCGCAGGCGTGTAATCGTTTAATTCGGATGCAGATGTTTCTGCGCTCTCTGGATTCTCTGTGTCATCCGATTGAGACAGATACGAGGATTGAGATTCCATTACAGATAACACGGTATATCCAAAAATACCATTCTCCGTTACTTCTTTGATTCTGCAAACCGTTCGATGATTTCATTGTATATAAAATAAATACATATAGTAATGCGGAAACTTACTAACTTAACGATATCTTGAGCTGCAAACTTCTCCAAAATCTTGTGAATATCCGAAGAACACACATCTGCGTTCAGATTTTTACGAAGTTGGTCTATTAATTCTGCAGACGTAATGGGCAAGCTAGGCAACGATTCGTGTAGAATGCATAAGACATCCCTTTCGTATTCGCTGTGGTCGGATCGTTGTGTATGTCCAGAGGAATCTGACATAAATAACATTATCATTTTCTTGAATAGTCGAACAATATCGAATGGCCTACTTACCACCGGTGAGAGGCGAATCACTCGTCAAGGTGGATGATACTGGTGTCGCAGAAGTAAGAGTAAATAATTCATGTCTTTCACGTTTTCTTTTCTGTAGTTTTTCCCTCAAGCTGTTCCTCTTTATTTTAATAGCTTGAATTTCCTCGAAAGCGTCTGACATGTCTTCTCGACGAAATGTTTGAACACAAATATTAGAAATGAATGTATGAAAATTATAGACACTCGATATCTTACTAATAAAATTAATAAAATCGTAAACCAATAGTTTCTATACTTGTCATTAAAATAAAGATTTTCTATACCTTGTAACACTGATCAAAGTAGTTTAAAACTACTTTGAAATACATACGTTTCTGTCGAGAGAACAGTACACACAAATCGCCAACTACCCGACACTGACATACCTAACCTTATCTCATCTAACTTTAACCGAAAGGATGAAAACACATGGTTAGGTTGCTGGGAATTGCCATGTTACATTCAGTTCAATGTCTATAGAACGGAGTCTGTAATTAACTTTAAATATCGTTAATTCTGCTATTGATGAGTGTCATTAAGAATTGAAAGTGAAATGTCAAATACGAAGGAATTCTTTCTGTCCGTCACGCAACGTATTTTTAGTAACTGGACTGCACTAAAAGTAGGTGCACTCTTTTTTACAGTTAACGTGAAAATATATGCAAATTATTTTGTCGTACTACACATTCTTTCGAATGTTTCTTTGTTAGATGGCAGTGGAACATGGAATGGGATCGAAGGAAAGAGCGGTGGACTTCTGTCCTTACATGGTCGAGGTTATGTACATGAATGGTTTGTTATCTCATTTGAGCTACTTGTTTACCGGGTGTTTCTCGTAATGTTTGACTATGCTTTACCAGTTACTATGAAAGTGGTTTATTAAAAGATCTGAGTCATGATATTCAACGTTACTTATTTTAACCGTACGTAGAAGAAGAATAACTTAAGTCATTTTCAAAGTAGATAATAATAAAAATAACAACTTCAAAAGTTCTTCGAAAAATTTTAATGGGAGATTCTTGGAACCAAAATAAGACGAAAATCAAGAATACCAATTTGTTGATGGAGGTTTCGTTAAAAAGTTATTAACGTTTAAAGTTCCGCCCGTTGAACGGCAATCTGCTAGCAGCTGCGCGCGCATGATAGTGGTTCTCACTCAACATGATGAACTTTAAACGTTAATAACTTTTTAACGAAGCCTCGATCAACAAATTGGTATTCTTGATTTTCGTCTTATTTTGGCCTCCTGAATCTCCCATTAAAATTTTTCTGATTTTTGTAAACTAATCTTAAAACAAACTTGTTGCTGGTAAAGTTTAGCCAATCATTCCAACACCTTGGATCTTTACTCAAGTCTCTTTCTAATTTTGATACTATTTTCTCAGAGAATTTGAACAGTAATGAAATTGCTAATGAATTGGAAGACTACATGGACGAGCATTTTAACACCGAACTTCAAGATAACAGTGCCACGCAGGTTGCAGAAGAGATGTTGAGATTCTACAGCTACTGTATCGAGAATAATGAGAGTATAGCGGTGGCAGAGTTTGAAAAATTACCACCGTTGCAGTCCTGGCTCATCACCAGCGAACCCTTGGCAAGAATTCAACATTCCTCCGTTATTGAAAGCGATAGTTCTGACGGGGAGGAGGAAACATCTCAGGCTACAGAGGTTGCGAATGAGTGGACGGAGGTGAAATCTAGGCGGAAAAGATAATTAGGACTGGACATTTGAAATGGTACTCTTTTATTTTTTTATAAAAGAATATACAAATTACTGTTTTACAGTACGTGTGCAATTGTTTTTGCGAATGCAGTTTATATGCTAGGACCTTGTAATCAAAATACTTATCTAAGCAGTCTTTTAGACGCTCCGAAATTTCATTTGGCAGTTCTAATTCCTGTATCTAAAACAAAGGGAAGCAACGAAATTGTTAAAACATGTAAAAACAATTCAAATAAACATCTGTTGGACAACATTCGACTTTTCTTACAAAGGCATTACCATTCTTGCTTTGAGATAAGGGAACTGTGCAGTATCCATTCAGCTCTCGTACAACATTCTCTTTCTTTGTCTTATTCACTCTCTCATCCGGACCTAATAAGCTTAAAATTACTGGTAGGAATAACAGTCCGTGGAAGAGACCAAACATTACCACACATGTGAATAACTGAAACGGTAAGGATTATTATGCGTTTTGAAAATTTGCAAATGGTACGTTAAATTATCTACAAATACCTTAAAAAAAGTACTAAATATGTAAGCCTCGCTGGATCCTAACAAAACAAATGCTAGGAAGGTGCTCAAACCTCCATTAAACACAGCCGGGCCAATGATAGAAAGCGTTGCTATTGCTCGTTCTATAAAAATCATTTGTAATATATCAATTATTACACGTTTACAGGGCAAATGAATCACGTCGATTCTTACCATTTTTACTGCCCTTTGTGCGAGTAAATTCCAGCCCGACGTGAGCGGCGTAATCGACTGCCAGACCCCCGCACAACAAAATCATAATGCTCGAAGATATTTCAATGGTCAAGTTCAAGAAATACATGGTACCCAATAGGTCAATGAGCGTGAAAAAGACGCAACAAAGGACCCAGAACGTAGCGCGAAGATTTCTAAGAAATACTATTATTACTATTCCAATAGTTACTATTTCTAGGCTTAAATTCCTGATCAGTTCTTCTCCTATCACCTGTGCAAGAATCGTTGCTTAACGATGGACAACAAACAGTGAGGTCTCGTTAATCCTTACCTTGTTTGCCGTCCATGAGACGTAGTCTGGCGAGAAAATGGCAATGTAATCGTGCCCCTGCGAGAAATTCGTACCTTGAACAGTGTCTCTGATAGACTGCATCGCCTTTATTTGCTCCGCCACAGTGTTTATGGGAACATGTTGGATTGGAATCTGCGACGTCTGAGGAGAAGACAAACAAAGAAGTGAATTATAAAATACTCTTGAAAGAGTAAACATTACAGACAGATGCTTCAGTCAGTACCGTTATGTTGTACTCCCCAGCTGGCAGTTTATTGAAGTTGATGTCCTTAATGTACGCTTGACCCTCTTTCGTTAAAAGCAGATACTCTGTGAGTATATTGTAGTATTCCTCGCTGCTCTCGATATCGCCTAGAGTGAAATACTCGATTAGTTCTTAGACAGCTACTAATTGTAAATAAATTCCTACCTTTGTTGGTGGCGTTCAACCACTTTTCATAGGCGATGAACCACGGTTCCAAGGTACGGTTATTGATGAACTGATTGCTTTTCAGATTCTCCACCAACCGGAAGAGAGAGTCACGGTCTTCGTAGTAGTCCACACCGGTCATATAAATAGCTGCCCGTTTCCCATATTTTGGGAAGTACTCCTTCAGCTTGTTGTTGTACTGGATGGGATAGGAGTCTTGGTTCAGGTAACGCAGGGTGTCGAAATTTTGCTGCAACTGGAAGATCGCCCAAACGTTGACCAGGAGAAGACCTCCGGTGATCGATAGGACGACGATCCTCACGGAGGTCTTGGTCACCCATGGACCAATGTAAGTCTCGAAAATGATCCTTTGAGTGTTCCTCTGACTGCACTCGTTTGTCTTCCAGTTCAGCCTGGGTCGACATAGACAGCCGTCCTTCCGCGCCTCGAGCCTCATCTCGTCGTAGACCAGGCAACTCACGAAGAACGTGATCTCGTATATGTACAGGAAGAGGATACCCAACGCGGCGTACGCGTAGAAGGATTTGAGGCTGGGCATCACCGTTGTCATACCAAAAGCAAACGCGATCACGTTCGTGAAGGACGTTACAGTAACTGACATGCCTTGAACAAAGCATTGATTCAAGTGTCAATTAAATAATAAAATATTTTATTGTTCTATTCAGTTGGTAGCTTGCTACCTGCTTGCTGTATCCCCTTGGCGATACGAACAGGAAGCTCCAGAGTCTGGTCGGTTTCCGGCAGGTTCTCCAAGCTCTGCATGATCATGAACATGTTGTCCACGCCTATGCCGAGCAAGAGAAACGGAAGAATGGAGTGTATCGGTCCGTAGGAGTACCCCAAGTAGGAGCACAGCCCGTAAGAGGACAAGATCGCCTGGCCAACCACGGTGACCCCCATTATCGACAGATAGATTCGTTGCTCCAGCGCGTTGCATTTGCCGATCATTGCCATCACGTAAACAGCTATCAACGTTATTCCACAGCAGAGTACTGTAACGTTGCTGTTCAGTATCTGTTGGAGGCCGTCTATGAAGCTTCGCGATGCGATCGCGTAGATCTCCATCCCCGGCGGTAGCGTCACGTTCGAGTTCAGGACGCGATCGATGAACTCCAGCTCCCATTCCGCCGAATGGGAATTCGATTTCTTCAACATCCACACCATGATGGTCGCCTTCGCGCCTCTGACCCGACCCTGTTTGTCGTAAGAGAGTCCCGAGAGCAAAGGACCGATGTCCAGCAACACGTTACCAGTGTTCCTAGAATAAGTAGAAGGTTGCAATCTTTGGTGAACAATTTTCTAGACCTGTAGACGAAGACTCACTTGTTCTTCAGAGCTTTGTTCACATCGGTGAACACCTCTTTCTTGGTCAGATTGCGAACGTCCTTGGACAGGCTGGTTTCCCAGAGTTGGATGATCGACTGGTATATGCATCCATCTTTGAGCACTGTTTTGTTCATTTGCGCCATGAGGTTGTCGGTGATCTCAAAGTCCTTGAAGAGGCTCGCTGTCTCGTCTTGATTGAACCACGTCAAGTACCTGAAAGGGATAGTTCTTGGCTGTAGTAGAGGGAGGAAGAGGAGATCTTAGAGATATAGTATTAATTTTGATTTTACCCCGCGCAAACGTCTTCCCAAGTGTTGTTGTTCACCACCACGGACTTTACTGCTTGCTCGATTTTGCTGATCTGCGACAAAGGAGAGCACAAGTATGAAGGGGTTGGGTCCCGACATGTCGTTCAGCTCACAGATTCCAGTTCAAGCCAAATCTCGTGAGTCTTTAATGAATCTCGGCTAAGGATCATGCGTTAAAGTGGAAAAGAACCTTCGTAGATACACGTATAATTCATGATCGCCTATGTACCGAACGCAGCACTTCGGGTTCCAGAACGTTGGGGGCGGTCACTATGATACTTTCGTAACGGAAATCGTCCCGGAAGTGCGTCTTCACCCAGGCAGCATCGTCGCGTATCACGGAATCGTCGGGCAAGAAGAGCTCTATGTCGTCGAGCTCTTCTTTCCAGAAGAGCATCCCAGGGGCGCAGACACAGTTTATGCAGAAGGACACCAGCAGCCATAACCAAGGTCTTTTTCCTATATTCAGGCCAATGCTGAAGACAAACAAGAAATGTAAGTAAAAAATGTAAGTTCCAAGAATTTTGTTTGTTGACATTAGATTTTTGGGGTCCTGTGGAGGAGTGCATATACAGGGTGTTCCCTGGGTAATTCTAGGGGCCCAAATAAGACGAAAATCATGAATACCAATTTGTTGATGAAGGCTTCTTTAAGAAGTTATTAACGTCTGAAGTTCCGCTCTTACTGAATTTTTTTCTCGAAAGTGGGTAGGATTTCGGGGGTATGTCTATTGACAAAAAATGATTGTAATTGGCCCTTGTAACCAAAAATAATTTTTTTAGAACGATTTGAAATTTTTTAATTTTGTCGAAAAATTTCACACCTTCTCGAATTTTTTTCTCGAAAGTGGGTAGCAATTCGGGGGTATGTCTATTGACCAAAAATAAGTCTAATTGATTCCCCTAGCTAAAAATAATTTTTTTAGAACGATTTGAAATTTTTTTTTTTTCGTCGAAAAATTTAGGGACTTCCCCCTGTCGATATTCCTTCAAAATTAATTTTTTATTTTTAATCAATTTGCTTGGCGCAATACGGAAATTTTGTTTAATACTTTTTTGTAGGTACCTATGAGCTCTACTTCAGAAAAAAGTTTCACTGAAATATATTCACTATTGTAGGAGTTATGGCTGTTTGAAAATTGGGGCATTTTTATGGAGTTTTTCTAACTTTACGGGGTCAAAGAATAACTTTTTCATTATTGTTAGAATTTCTACATATTCTCCACTAAAATACGCGTTATTTGCCTTTTTAAACATTAAAATCCTTCAATCCGTTCAAAAGTTATGGCGTTTTAAAGATACGCACTAAATTTTGGAGTAACATTTCTGGCCTGAAATTATACTGTCAGTAATGAATTTTTTTCTCGAATGTACGTAGGATTTCGAGGGTATGTCTATTCACCAAAAATGATCGTAATTGACCCTTGTAACTAAAAATAATTTTTTTAAAATGATTCCAAATTTTTTAATTTCGAAAAATTTCTCCACCTACTCGAATTTTTTTCTCGAAAGTCGGTAGGATTTCGGGGGTATGTGTCTTGACAAAAAGTGATTGTAATTAACCCCTGCAATCAAAAATAATTTTTTCAAAATGATTTGTAATTTTTTAATTTCGAAAAATTTCTCCACCTACTCGAATTTTTTTCTCGAAAGTGGGTAGGATTTCGGGACTATGTCTGATGACAAAAAATAATTGTAATTGACCCCTGCAACCAAAAATAATTTTTTCAAAATGATTCAAAATTTTTTAACAACTTTTTAACGAAGCTTTCAATAACAAATTAGTATTCTTGATTTTTTTTTTATTTTGGCCTATAAAATCTCTAATTAAAATTTTTTCCAGTGTCCGAACACCCTGTAGATGAAAGGTCGATCGAGTGCTTGTGAGAGAAATGGTCCCTCTGGCGGTAATCACAGAAAGCAATGTACCCCGCAAGAATATTAATAAAATTTGATTTACTAAAATTGCAATGGTCTACAATTACTTTTCACATTAATACCTTTCACCAACATCGATCACAGTTACATTTCTATTTACTTTCTACTAATTTCCCTGTGACTTTCCACAGTAATCAGACGGTGAATCACCAGAAGTTTACGTTTCGACGTTGTTATTTCCCTCGTATTTGCGTTGTTCTTAATACAGAGATACCGAACGAGAGTGCAAGTAAGAATACAAAGGACAATATTTGCTCTCTGACAGACTATTAATGCCTCATATTTAACCGAAATCCTCATCCCACAGACATGTTAAAAAATTACTTTCAAAAGCCACGAATCGAAGAATCATTCTGCACAATTGAATAGAGAAGCAGTCCCCGTTTCCTGCAACGTCGCGTTAGGCATTAAGAGCTCTTCCTCTCAAAATACAAATCTCATTCAAGGGTCAATGGGAAACAAAGAAATTCCGTCGTCTGCGATCGGCGCAACGCGCGGGGCCAGTGATCTCTGAATGGAGTAATGAGAAAACGCGGTACGCCGTGGCGCCTAAACCTCCGGCCAATTATAATTCGTGGAACGAAAGAAGTATTCTTCATTCGGTTAATTCAGAGTCTGCGATGATCTCACCTTAAGTGGATTAAGTGACGCAAGATTCGTGCCTCGAAACTAAACGGCCCGTAATGTCATTAACCGCGTCAGGATTTATCGCGTTTTTTATCCCCGTTCGAACGCCGGTTGTAAATTAAGCGCGCGGAGGTCGATCGATGGATGTCGTAACCCGATCAATTGACATCGAGAACGCAAAATACAATCGAAGAAGTCGAAGACGAGACACGCGTGAAGAATAACAAGGATTCGAACGCGAGCAACGGCTTCCCGCGTCTGACGCGTACTCGCAGGAGAAGTACGGCCTCGTCGTAGTTCGTACCCCGGCAATTAACGTCCCAGTACGAGGTTACCGTCAATGGGCGTACATTTCGAAGTCAATTCATACGACGGTACCTGTTATTTAACCCGGACGCGGCGATGGCGTTTCGATGACAAAGCGGAATACAGCGAGAAACGGCGACACAACAAAACGCGTTCGTGCTTAATTCGCCGACATCCGATCCATTTTTTCCTGTCATGGTCGCGTCCGGGAAATGGAAAAGGAACCCTGACGGAGGGGTTCGAGGGTCGATTTTTGAATGGAAAAATCTTTCTAAAATGTAAGAAACGAAGCGCAGGTGGGCTCTCGGAACGCTGTACAATGGTGGCCCACCCGAAAATCTAGATTCTACGCCGCAAGATAGAACCGGTTCTTTACAAGGCTAGAGTTGCATCTAGTGTTTTGCGTCGCTCCCGCGGGATAGACAGGAAATCCGACATAGAGGAGATCCTGTCGGTCCACTCACCGGTAGAATATACGATCCGAGTTGAAGTGCTGGTCGAGCAGTATTTCTTTGAACCGTTTCCACGCGGTGGCGGTGGCGGTTGCGTTTTCTCGTTGCGTCTCCATCCTCGCGGTGCGACGCTCAGGTCGTTCCGTTGCCGAATGTCCACCGAGAGCGTCAGTGGGCACACGGCCGTGTAAGTCAGCGTCCATGTGACCAATGGTGGCAGCAATCTGCCACAATTATATAACGCTCGGCTGCGGAGGTTCGGCTGCACGGCCACGGTTGATGGCGTCGCGAAGATGAGGAGGAGCGCGGACGACGGGTATCACCCCTCCTATTGTCTTCGTCGGGTCATCGTTTTCTTCTTGGAAACGCAACGAGGAAACGCTCGCAAAATTTCGGTTTCTATACTAACGCATTGATATGGTCCTCAACACCAAGGATCTCTCAAACAATATTCCAACTTATAATACTATTGATACATTTCTGTCAAAGGCACCGGTTATGTATATACAATATTATTCATTTTGTGAAGCTTCACAATTGAAATGAGAATTTGATACAAATTCTGTATATGTTATGTATATATTATGTATATACAATATTATTAATTTTGTGAAGCTTTACAATTGAAATGAGAATTTGATACAAATTCTGTACTATATTATGTATATACAATATTATTAATTTTGTGAAGCTTTACAATTGAAACGAGAATTTGATGCAGATTCTAATCAACGAAGGTACTAATAGCAATAAATAGAAACTCTAGTTTGCAGTGTTTTGACATAGAATTGCAACTCGAGTCGCCTTTATCTGATGCCACCAGGGGCAGAGGAAAAGTTTCGTTTATACACCACGATCAGCATAATTTTATACCGTATGATAATCTCGTCGGTATCTGATTCTGTCTAGTACTGTATAAGCATGTTTTTTAACGAGCCCTACCGATATCGCGGTGACTTGAAATCGACGGTATCAAATACATGTAATTAGCGCAAGCTCGTTTGAGGGGGGAGTCTCATGTGAGACCTGAAGAAAATGAGCTTTTAATAATCAAATATATAATATATAAATTTTTTTTCATTCCTTCATTTTTTGAAAGTATATATAGTTAAGAATGTACTGTTAAATATTGAAAGATAAATGTCAAGTATTGTGGATTGTTGAATATATTTTGTACAGCCCTCAAGGTAATTAAGGGAGTCATTGTTTTGGGTGATTTTAATTTAATGATTATTAATTTTTTATAATGAGTTTATCATATCTTTTTTATTAAAAAGTTGCAAAAGAAACGACGAAATTTTGCAATCTTTTAAGCTTTCACCATTTTGCCAATTTGCGACATAAATTAATTATTTTGGTACGGTTGATGACTGTAAAGCTATCGAATAAAAATCTTTTTGATTTTTTTTGATTTAGTCAACCTTGAGAGCTGTAATCACCTACGTTGATGCTAACGTGATAACAACATTAAAAGTTAATAGAAATTAATAAAAAATTATCTTGTATTCCCCAAAGGGTAGTTAAATAAACTGCAAAAATGATTCATAACGTCAGATGTAACATTTCCTTAAAAAAAAAAATGGTTCAATTTTCTATTATTCACATGAGACTCTCCCCTTAATCTGTTGAATTCGTGCGGAATGGAATGCATAGTCAACAATGTCGCCGCCGGAAGCGACGGATCGTTCGAAAGGCAGCGCAAACAAAATGCTTACGCCACGATTTGCTCTTGTTTCCGGAGATCTCTCGATGATCGCCGTATTGCGGTTACATTATGCCCGATCTATGGAAGATCGGTGCCGGGGCTAGCTGGACTGACCCACATAACAGTTTAATTATCGCTGCTCTTCGAAAGCTGACGGCCACTTGCGATACCAATTTTTCAATACTGTCGCGAACCAGCGAAAAGAGAAACTTCTTTGCACGTGTGACGCCCTGAAACAAAGTCCTCTTATCACTCAAAAGCACAATACATCAAATCTTAAGGAGTAACAAATGTGTTGTTGATGAGCACAACTGCTCCATGAGGATTAACCTCTGGTAAATCTGTTAAAATTGATCTAGGAATGAATACAGCACCTGTTACTATATCCTAGTACTGATACAAAGCATCATCTTTCTTCTTGCAACAGAGGATTGGGAATTGGGTCCTAGCTGATCAACAGTATCCAAGCCAATCTCCAATGTAACATAAAAGAAAATTATCTTTACAATCATCTGACCCTCAGAGAAGGTGCTAGAGTATTTAGTGATAGTATTTTTGTGAATATAGATAATATGTCTTGTCCTTTGAGGATGTATGAAGTAAATATGTTGCTATTTTTGGATTGACCTGAGATGAGGGGGTCAACGATGGATTCTCCAGGCTGTCCAGGTCCCACCGGAAGCACACTGGCGTTGGCCAACCGATTTCGTGCAGGTACATCGTCGCGGAACCGGCTTTGCGACCCGGAGGAAGGTAGGGAGTAGCTCGTAGCGAACGCCTTTCTCATCATCCGTGGATCTTCAGTATTCCTGGTTCCAGTCGGACCGATGGACGGCCTCGCGTGTCGTTCATTCGCATCGAACAAATCAGTCGGCCAGTGAACGTTAAACTGCGATTAAATTCGTGTCGCGCCGGTGAACAGTGCTGTTCGAGCAATCTGAGCAAAGATCCAAATGAAGTGAGTAAACACACGTCGAATCTCTTTGAAATTAAATCAACTAATTACAGAATCCAATACAATTACATTAATTATATTCCATTAGCTTAACTCTCTAACAACAATGTTTTTTTTTCATATAAAAAATTGTACATGTTCATTTGCAAGATCTTTGACCACCGTGGAGGATCTAGTTAAGTAGGTAACGGTAATTAAATCTACGGTCTGAATCGATTCACAACGTTTCTTCGAGATTCGTCCATTAATCTCCGCAACGATGCGCGGACGTTGTTCGGTAATTATCGTTCCCGCCTTTCTTTCCAGGTTCCGTTCCTACTGCTCTCCTAAAGATCACGCGAAGATCGCTTTCCTTAAATTTGCTATTCGCAGATCGAGGTGTCGACCTGTTCGAAATGGTTTTTTTCACGAATTTCGGGTCGATCGTTGAATTCATAATGGATTAACGGTTTTTAGAAAGTCTTGACACAACGGTTCGAGGAGCTATTCGTGGAACGGCGAACTTTTCGTATCGGGAACGACGATCCACGCCGGTGAACATCGATCGTTCGACACCGTTAAGGATCATTTCGAGATTTAATGCTTTTTAGCCAGTTGCCCAGCTAGGTGGGTGGTCCTCCAGAGTGGGGGGGATTTACATGTCGTTTCGATAGGCAAAAATCGAAAAAATCTTGACCCTGAACTATCGTCGGGGGGCATTGGTGCACGTGGACTGAGTTTCAAACGGTGCCACTCTCTCCGGACGACTTTTTCCTGCGTTCCATCACCTAACGATACGTTTCACCTCGATGATTCGTCACTTTGCGTTTCTGTCGGCGCTGGATTACCATAAAATCCTACGATCGCTATTTACAATTCCGTAACGCTGGATGAAAGATTCAAGAGCATTGTTATGCAGTTACAAGTCCAAGAAAATCTCCAAGTTTATCAATCTTAACATTCGTAGCAACGCATTGACGCTAATGCTTACTATAAATAAACCTTAACATTATCTCCGACAGTAGTTTAAAAAATGTCGAGTTAACATAATGATTATCGCCCGCAAGAGTGAACAAGATTCGCGACGATGCAATTATAGCTTCGCGAGCGCAACGCCGGTACATTCATGAATCAAGCAGCGTCGGTTAAAGACCCACGTAACACTTTCTTCGGTCAAGGTGAACGCAGTTACACCAACACGGAAACGCCTCCGTCGACGCCATTATCATCACTACAAAAGCGCTACATAATTATTCTACACTATTCCTAACGTCAATTACTTTCCATTGACCTCATTACTACTGTGATCTGTTTCATTCTTTCAAACAGAACCGTACATCTATTAATCATCAACGACGTAGACACGGTTGCAATCTCCTTGACCAGTGTAAGTAGAACGGCGCGAGAAAATGCTACTCAGTGGCTCTACTAGTTCGATAGCCGTTCCAATTACATAGACGAACTGCAATTTGCAATTAACGATCACGACATGCGTCTCGATTCGCGCGAAATTCTAAGCTCCTAGGCTTCGTAGACCCTATAACCTACATAGTTCGCGGGGCACCAGAGTGTCCAGTTACTCGGGCTGTATCGATTCCTAGGATTACCGTTGATTTCAGAGCCATGAACGCGGCCACGGTTCTCCTAATCCTCGCGACAGGACTGGCGAGCGGTCAGTTGAACTTCGAGGGCAATCCCCTAACGGAGGACACCGAGTACACCGCGGAGGAGTCGCGAATCTCCTCAAAAGCCTCGACAGAGACATTCCCTAAACTCGAGAACGCAACAAACGCATCACGGGAGCTAGAAAACGAGGTCACTGCAAGACCAGAGGCTGTTCAAACCGCTCGACACCTGCCCACCAGTCCCTACGTCTACGGTACCAACTCCATAAACACGGCGGAGCTGGCGTTGAGCACGTTTCTGAACTCCAAAACGCCCGAGGAGTCTCGTCTCTCGCTGGACAGCTACCTACAGACCAGGAAGACCCCGCAGAACGTCATCGTGGGTGAACAAACCGCGTCAGTGGCCGGTCAACAACTACCTCAACAGGTTACGCCGCCTCAGATGGTCGTCTCCTCACCTGTTAATCAACACCTGACCGCGCAGCTTATGCAACAACGACAAATGATGCAAGCGTACCCCGTTAACCGGCCACAATTCGGCGAACAGGTTTACAACGCGCCCACGAGCTCATCCTCGGCTCTGAACGCTGTGGGTACAGCTCTACCGCAACAGGTTCAGGCGCCTTACATGCAGCCTGGGATACAAAGCAGAAACGATCTCTTCTATCCAGCCGGATGGCATAACCGCGTGAGAAGAATACGTGGGAGACCGTTCCTCTACGCGCAGTCCAGGGGGGGACCAGGAGGTTTCTACAATGGGCCTCCAGGTGAGACTTCCTCACTCTTCAGTCTTGTGACACCCTAAAACAGTAATAACAAGTGTTAGAAACTATTCTAATTAATTCATTAGCTTCTTAATGTTAAGATATTTGTTTGATCTGATGTTTCCAGGTCCCTACAAGCCCAAGGGCCCCATAGAAGTGATCTACACTAAGCCTCCAGGTTTTGGTCGAGGTCCACCTGGCATCAGCAACCCTCCAGTGCCGTACGAGGACGCCAGCGCCTGGTTTCCGGAGGCTGATCATCCTCCCCCTCCTAAAGACGTCTACTACTCTCAGTTGTACGCTCAGTCCTACGATCCGTACTATTACAACTACATCGCCAAAACTGGCAAGGTGAAGCCTCATCTGTATGGGAAGCTAGGTAAGTATCATGAGGAGGAGGGCGGTGATGGGATCTGGGCGGAGCTGTATCGAGGCTTCAAGAAGCACGGCCTGAAGAACATGATGACGCCCACGTTCCTCCTGGGGATGACTCTGCCAGTGGTCACACTGATGCTCACTGCGCTGGTGCAGAAGAGGTCCTTCGCCAGGTCGGACTCCAGGCAGTTCTCGCAGGAGGAGACTGTTCAGGAGTACCTGGAGCAGCTGCAAAGAGCTGTGGAGTGCTACGAGAAGAAGAGAAGGAAGAGGGACGCGAACGTGAACGAGTGTTGGACCCACGATTAATTTATCGAAACGAACACCGGGATCCAGCAATTCAACGAATTGTTTGGTTCGACCAGGTGTTTAATTTATTGAATAACGAAAGTTTCAGGAAGGGGTTGTGAATGTTGAAGACGAAGAGTGTATACGCGATCGTTAGAACGCTGTAGAGTTTACGTGAGGCCTTGTATATATACTAAGTGTAATATAATGATAACATGACGCTCTTGGGATCCATAGAAAAGGCAATGATTTCTCCTCCCAACGGCACTCTCGCGGTCTATTGCGTGTGATAAATGAATCGTTAGACTCGCGGTAGACGCGAGAGGCGGCGAGGGAAGGAGAACAGTGAGAAACGCATCTGAGAGCGGCGACGTGAGAAGCGAACTTTCGCAGGACAATTACCTACGACCCTGTTCACATACACGTGATCGTGTGGGTGAACAGTTCCACGGAATGTGGGCCTAATTACCCAACTGTATCGATGCAACACCGACGCCTCAACTTTCATTCGTGCGACTTTTACTTTTGTAACAGGGGACGCGCTCGACTCGCGGATAGCGCTCCCTACTTCCGGTTCGTGACTTCCTTTGTCGGTGGAGGGGATTACAAAATGGTAATCGATGGATGATAGTCTTCTTGCAATGTTTACTTTTGCAAAAGAGTAAACAAAGCGCTGGAGTAGTGGATGGCGGTCCCTACTTCCGGTTCTTGACTTCCTTTGTCGGTGGAGGGGATTAAGAAATGATAGATGAATGGATAATAGTCTTCTTGCAATGTTTACTTTTGTGAAAGAGTAAACAACGCACTGGATTCATGCATGGCGGCCCCTACTTCCGGTTCTTGACTTCCTTTGTCGGTGAAGGGGATTAAAAAATGGTAATCGATGGATGATACTCTTCTTGCAATGTTTACTTTTATAAAAGAGTAAACAAAGCGCCGGATTCATGCATGGCGGTCCCTATTTCCGGTTCCTAACTTCTTCAGTCGATGAAGGGAATTAAGAAATGATAATGGCGGTTCTACTTCCGGTTCATGACTCCTTCTGTCAGTGGAGGAGATTAAAAAATGATAGATGAATGGATGATAGTCTTCTTGCAATGTTTACTTTTGCAAAAGAGTAAACAAAGCGCCGGATTCATGCATGGCGGCCCTACTTCCGGTTCCTGACTTCTTCTGTCAGTGTAGAGGATTAAAAAATGATGAATGATAGTCTTCATGCAATGTTTGCTTCTGTAATAAACCAGTAGATGCGTTAGAACCGTCGATAGCGACCATTTTGTAATCTCAAAGATGAATTTAATTATTATTTACCTTTACCTAATTCGTGTACAAAAAAAGAATAAGACCTACCCGGACTATCAGCGATCTTCGACCTAGATTTCATGCGTTCTGTGCATTCGTACGAGCACTGAATTCCAAATTAGAAACGACATCCGCGATTCGCTGCACTACGAAGCGTGCATCATGACACAGAAATGGATAAACCGGTTCGACTAATAATTCCGTGAACCTGTTTGGTACATTGGACCAGCAAACACACTGTTCCCATTATACAGGTAGTATTTTATTCCTAGTCCTAAACATTATGAAACTCGATACAGAGTCTTTTTAAACGGACCCTCGCGAATAATTTACAGACCATGAAAAATTATTGGCTACGGTCGTCTGGATTCGACGGCGGTTCTACAAAATATTTTCGCCACGCTTCTTTTACCCCGGATTCCTGTTTCTGAGTTCCCCTTGCACGCTGACGTAATTCGGGTGCACGATGTTGATTAACAACGGGCGGCGATAAGGTCAATTACGATAACCTGGTGATTAATGAACCGTCGTGAATTAAACCAGATGCTGAGCTTTCACGCTCCATTCTCATATATTCCATTGCGATCCTCAGTTAGCCGAGTGTCCTCTTCCTGAACGCTGTGAGCGCATATCTCATCGAGAAACCGGTTTTCTTGGAAACAACTTGCACTCCCAGACACCGGAAGACCGATTCCCCTTTCATCGACGCCGGGGAATTATTTAATTACACTCCATTAATTATCCGCGAGTACGCTTCTCACGTTTCCTGTACATAAAAAAAAGAAAACCGTCTTCTTTGAACAATAATCCATCAAATAACGAGTTCCGATAAAATCGACTTGGATACATAAATTTATTCATCGCGCACACGCCGACGAACCGATTATAATTGAGTGATTTAATCGAACGATTGACGGTTTAATTCGCAGGTCATGAGACCCAGACATTGTGCATACGTTTCCACCGTAACAAGGGGCAATTATTAGTTACAACTGAACCTCTTACCGAGTCATTAAAAATTCGAATATAACGTGTGTCGGTCGAATCCTCGCTAGAAAAGCGTTTCCATCGTCGTCGATCGCAATAACATCGCAGATTTGTTGACGAAAAATATATCGTATATTTCGTTGCGTCTATCTTCTACAAATACAACCAGTCGCGATGAACAGATCGAAAGTAATCTCGAAGCAGAATTTCCAATGAAAATAAATCGCTTCTGTTTGCTCTTCGTTTTATTTCCCTTAATCTAATTAAAAGTTAACGATCGTTGCTTTCGAGGAGGGGAGAAAAGTAAATACAAGTAAATTATTCGGCGAGTATTTCGTGCTTCGTTTAACTAGACTAGACTAGACTGTACAGATCCGTTCCCGAGCAAACAATCGCCGCGATGATTTTTGGGCTCCTTGATATGTGCGCGTTGATCATCCGGAAAATAACTTTAACGTCTCGTCACATCCTGTGGCTTTCATAGAGGGTTACAGCCAGAATGTGGTTTACTAAAATAGATTCCAAATCTGCTCCATAAAAGTCACAGGGTACTAGATGAAACTCCGACAAAATAATCTCTTTCTCTTTCTCTCTCTCTCTCTCTCGTATCTAAAAACAAAACAAAACAATACATGCGTGTGAATATACATATTATAATGTTACGTATTGCTTTCAATCTTGCAACATCCCCTACTGTATTATAATTGCCTTTCGCTATCTACGGCATCGCTAGTGTCACAGAGGGCGCTTTTCTTTACAATGTTAGTGCCGTGGACTCTGCCTCGAGAAAGGAGCGGTTTTTTTTTTACATTAGAAGCTGTGCCTGGGACACAATTTACATCCGGAAGCCTCGAGCAATGATGGCCAAAAATTTCTCTCGTCTCTCTTGATTCGATTCTACTTTGGATGGTCAGTCTTCGTCTCGGCGGAAGTCCCCGATATCTTCAGTGTGCATTTATGGCTGGCGGCGTGTAGACCGTGGACGCTTGGCTGTAGTACAATGTGCGCGTTCGATGCTTACTATGGCTCTCGTTTAGGCACGTTGTGAGAACAGTTTAAAACTCGTTACATTCTCGAACGAACGCAAGCTTCTTCCTTGAAATTTTTTACATTGGCACGATTAAAGCTTCTGCAGCCTAACACATCTCGTAGACTGGCGGGAATCGTGCGATTGCTACGGCGAGACTAGATGAAGTTTACTATGCAAAAGCGGCATTCATTTACGAATCTTAAATAAAGCGCCGCCGTTGATCGTTAAGATCGCTACACGATTACAATTTTCATCGTTCGAATTAAAATTCTAGAAAAAAAAAAAGATACATTCAATATCTAGCACACGACAAGTATAAATTACCGCTACCATAAAATTATGCATACGCGCGTTCCGGCTGAGACGTTGAAAAGTCAATAATATAATAAACGAGCTATAACGCAGTAAAAATCAATTTAAATATTCCCTACGCGTACGTACATATACATATTCATGTCTATGTATATGGCTATATACCTGTGTATACATACACGTATATGTACTACCTTCAAATATACTTCTAAGTACTATGATTAAAACATAAATTATAGAAACTTCAAATATACATAAAAATCTGAATATATTGAAAGACCGTTTAAATTCTATCTAACGTATCCGACATACGATTCTTACACCGATTTGTAAACATAATCTTCTTCGGTAAAAGGGCGGATAAAAATGTCGAAATTATTTAAAACAAAGCGAAATAAATATTGTGCCTATACGATCCGTTACAGTCATTTTTTTCCCCCCTGTCGATCCTCCAAAAAAAAAAAAAAAAAAAAAAAAAAAGAGCAAATGTTACCTAACAAAAATTCCGTAATACTTATATCACCGAATATCTACTTTTTTTTTTTTGTTTCTTAAACGATATTAGGATGTGAACACTCCAAGGCTAAAAATACATTCTATGTATAACAGTTCAGTCGAATTTTTCTTCCGTAAACGCGAGATTAATCGCTTCGCCGACGTCCTTCACCACGAACGCAGGTTTGCACAGGCCATCCTCCATCGGCAAGAAATCTCTGGGGCAGTGTTCCGCTACGAAATTCGAGTCCCGCTGATGGACACCGGTTTCGACTAAAATACTGATACAAGCTTTTGCGCTAGGCGGCTCTACGTCCCTGCCAAGTAATTTCTGGAGCTTCTTGGGTTCCAACACTTCGTCCTTTGTACAATACAACAAGTACTTATCGTACAAGTTCGCCCCAAAAATGTCTGTGTTAATGTTGTCCCTGAAACATACATACAAAGTTTAACAATCGTTCCACTTTGTACGCCATTCTTGCAATCGAAAGATTATTTACCCAATGGCATATATTGTGTCAACGTTGTGATCTATTCCAATACTTCGAGCATGTTCTAGGAGCATATGGTTTGCATGATAGTACGTAATTTGACTAGGTTTTCCAATTAAGGCAGAATAGATCAAATCTTTTCCTGTGATCTTTTTATACAGAGACTCTAAACACAATAAGAAAGCGCCATGACCGTATCTGGGGATCGGACACTCCGACACCCACAACAGATCCATGTTACATGCCAGAACTGGAATGTGAGGGTAAGGAAGATTTTCAGGCAAAGAAGATGGCTTGCCATTGGTCATCAGTAAATCTACTATCAATTGCAATGGCGTTTCCCAAGAAATCGGCTCGCTGAACAGCACGATACCCTCGATCGTAGGGAAATTTGGATCTATTGGTCCACATTGTGGATTTCTTCTCTCTACGTTCACGTAGTCCAAGGATGGATAATTTTTAGCTAAGTCTTGTATAGTTACAGTTTTCCTGAAACCCAGTTCTTGAGCAATTTCATTGACGGGACCTTGCCCGGATATTAATACTTGTTTGTCGTGAAACTGTTGGAACAATCTTAACGGCGAATGGGCCATCACGACCTGAGATTCTTTTACTTCGAATCCTATCCATTTGGAGAGATCGGCTGCCTTCTGGCTGCGCAAAGCGTTACCACTGTTGGTAACGAATACGGTCGGTACGCGAAATTTGCCATCTTCTCCTTGAAGTCGTTTAAAAGACTCAGGTACGGGCGGTAATACATTTTTGCCACGTACTATTACACCATCAATGTCAAAGAGTAAACCAAATTTTGGCTTAGAGCTTAAATGCTAAAAATGTTTAAAATAAATGTTAATACACAACTCGAAATATCGATCTTTGGTTTTTATTACTTTTTATTACTCTTAAAACATTTACTATACATCGGAATTATATTACTACTTCATATTTTTGGAGCAAGACATTGAAACAGCCTCAGGGACCTTGAAGCAAGATATAAAAATATACTTGCTATATTGACACGGATGCTATGCAGTATATTTTTATACCAGAGCTTAAAGTAATATCATATAAACTTTGCATCATTTATCTTCAATTTTATAATCGTAATTTCTAATCAACAATTGCATAATAATAAATAAAACATACATAAAAATCGTGTTCGACTTTTATGCACAGATATATACTACGTACGAAGAATAACAATTTACGCCAAGTTTATGGACAATTTGCAATTGAAAAGATTGTTTCTCAATACGAGATTCATTCGTCATTGGAAAAAGAAAAAGTGATGAAATTAATGTGCGATAAAAATGAAAAGCATCGTATAAAAATACAATACAAAACGTTCGTTTAATTTCTATTAATTTTTCGATAAGTTCGTACCAATTCGACGAAAGTAGGTCAACTGATCTGTGTCATAAACAAAAGAAGACATGCATGACGGGTCCACCTTAAAGTCCAGAAACCAGAAACCAGAATCGAACATAACAATGATCGCACGAAATATGACTCACTCTGACACTCGCGAACCTTGCGATGTTCGGCCGTAACAATATCTTCATAATTGCCATTATGGCAGTAACAAGACTGAACGTGAATCCAGTAACGATACCTTAAAACTACGTTCTACGTTCAAAGACTACTTCTCACGGATTGATTATGCATAATGGAACGGTTTGAGGTTATAGTGACCTACAGATCGCACAGTACATTTGATCGTATTTTTTCCACGTGCCGTAAGAGGACACAGCAACTGTACGGTATACAATACTACATCGTTATCACATGTTATATACGCGATATCTAAATTAATATCTTTTTGCTTAGACTTAAGGGTCCCTCCACAATCCGGTTTTCCAACTACAGACGAAACTCAAGGCGAACGTGTTTACGTCACTGCTGCGTCATTGATACTAGCCTTACTGAACAACTAGCGACAACACCGCCCCCTACATCGAGAGTCCTAGTAATATTATAATATGTATATACATACATTACAATTTTATACGAAGTTATCGTAGAAATTTGTATACTGTTTAAAAAATATAGCAAATTTCTTCATCCTCTTGATGATACTACCATGGAGCATTACAGTTTTAATTTCCTGCACGTGATTTCCCAATAGCCTTATTTATTCCCCTATATAAAATAAAACGTTTAGAAACATAATAAAAAGTAACGATGGTAGTAATGAACAACAGAAAGTAAAAAATCATAAACTCAAACCCCCACTTTGTAATCAAATTAATAGGTTACATAGATTCAATCGAATAATATTTTTCTATTAATGTTAAAGAAACTAAATAAAGATGATATTTATGTTTTACATTACTTTCGGTAGAAATTCATTGCTACAGTAAATGTTTTGAAAGATAAATTGGTAAATTAAAACAAACAGGTGTTACATAGCAATAGCAACAGTATTCCACACGAAATTAAGAAGAATCAACGTAATGAATAGAGTAAGGGACAAACCTGGGCTCTATTCAACATTTTATTGCACTGCACTATACTTATTCTAGTATATTACAGTTGATTCTCACTTAATAAACAAATAAAAATGCGAGAACCTGTACTTGTTGGGTTATGTTTGCGTTGGAACCAGACCAGACTCTTTCACTGTTGCCAGATTTATGTTTGACCGAGAAACAAAATGATTCAAGGGAAATTAACTAGCCAAGCAACACCTTTACTGGATCGATAGTCTAGTGAAATTTTCTCACCACGAACAAATAATTACTTGAAATAGAATTACACTAGTATTTCTAGGGTAATATATATGTTAAATGTTTTCGGTGTTGTGAAAGAGACTTTACTCGGATTGCCAACGATTGTTGATCGGATTTGTACTTCTTTCATCCACCGGCAGCGTGTTGCCTACAATACCGGTGAATATTAGTTAAAATGTCGCACATTAAATTGAGTTTTGTATTTTATATTACAAGTTGTTGCTTATGTTTGAGTCTTGTAATTCCTAATACTCGAGCATCGTCAAAAAATAATTATGCGGAACAACTTTCCGAGGAGAACTGGGATCGTATGCTGATCGGAGAATGGATGGTAGAATTGTGAGTTGAATTGATTCTATGTCGTCAAATTTGATGGCGTGTCAAAAATTATATCAAAGAAGACTACATACTACGATATTTTCTTTTATATCGCGTATCATTATCAAACAAAATTGAATGCGGCAAAACGAATAATTAAATTTTATTCAAATAAAAATCTCATGTATATAAAAGCTATAGCTTGATAGAAATGTCAGTGTTAAACGTTTCAGTTCCAAAATTATTATTTAGAAGTCTTTTATTTTAGTTACGCGCCATGGTGTCCTGCCTGTAAAGCTCTCGAACCAGTTTGGGAACATCTCGCTCTGCAAAAGAAAAGTCTAAACATTAATGTTGGAAAAGTTGACGTGACCGATTCTCCAGGACTCAGCGGAAGATTTATGGTTACAGCTTTGCCGACAATATATCAGTAAGCAACCTTTTCATTTTATAAAATAGCAATACGATTTGCGATCTATAATACTATAAAAATAAACAAACAGGCAATTGCAAAAATTCATAGATAATTTAAATGCTTTTTAGCGTTAAGAATGGTATATTTAGGCAATATAAGAGTCCTAGAGATAAAGATTCGTTAGTTGAATTTGTGTCTGAGAAGACTTGGGAAAAAATTGAGCCGATACCTGGTTGGAGGAGCCCAACGTCTATTATAATGTCCGTTATTAGTCAATTCTATAAAATGTCGCAAGTATTAAGGGTAACTATTACTAACATTGTTTTTAAAAACTAACAGAACGTTGGAAATATATTGTAATTTATCTATCGTTTACTCAGGGAGTACACAATAAACTTATGGAAGATTTTGGAGTGCCTGCTTGGGGAAGTTACTTAATCTTTGCAGTTACAACCATTGTGTTAGGAGCTATATTGGGATTGGTAAGTTTATGTAATAAAATTAAGAAACTAATATAAACAATTGTTATTATTTGCAGTTTATCGTTTGCCTGATTGATTTTATATATCCGCCGAAGCCTGTAATGCTTCAAGGCAAGAAAAAGCAGAAAGATGGATCGGGTGGATTTATGCAAGAAAAAAGTATACAATGTGAAGAAATAGTTGAAAATGTTATGGATGATTTAGTAGACGAAGAGTCTGAAGGAGAAACATCCGACGTAGAAGAGAAAGAAAAAGATTTGGACAAAGATACAAAGGCCGAACCGAGTAGTCCAAATGTTCGCAAACGTAAGCCACGTAAAGCTGACTAGACATACTAATTTGTTGTATGTAAATATTTAACATTTGAAAAGAATAACAAATGATATTTAACAATTTGTAATGTCAATTCATTTTGATAAATGGAAACAGTGACATGACAGTATATGGTTGACCTAATAACAATATTTGACGAGGAAGTTTAAAGTTCATCTAGAGAGATAGAAGTAATAAATTTTATTGACAATTTGGTTATCCGAAACACGAAATATTTTCAGACGTAACAGCAAAACTTTCATTTCGCGCGAAAAGAAAATGTTAAAATATAAAAATTACTGTACCTCAAGTATTATTTTTTAAAAATTTCAGAACAGTAATTATTATAATAACGAATAATAACATTCAAAATATTTATAAATTTATGATACAATTGCTTATTGCTTTCATATACAGAAAAACATTATCTATTTCTGTTAGATGCAAAGATGAAAACTGCAAATTGTCTTACCAACGTAATAATATTATTTTTACTGATAACTTGGTAGCTATTATAAAGAACAGAATGGTTGTCTTCAACTATGTTCCTTTATTTTTTTTTTCTTGAAGAATTTTTACGTAATTTTTCAATATGAATGTTTAATATTATAGTTGATTGTAAGTAACTAATATATTTTCCTGTACAAACTCTTTATTTATAACTTTTGCATACAATATTGCAAAATAAAGAAACATTATGTATTATTTATATACACACACTGTCTTTTGCATAGTCGCATAAAATATTTGCTTTCAGGTTGTTATAAATAATTAAAAAAATTTTCACAGAAGCATACCGGCTTTAGAAATTTTTATATTGATCGTATCGTATAATGCATTTTCTGCTTTCATAGAATTGTAAAATTTTGTATGCTACGCTTAATACAATGACAAGTAAAAGAAAATGGATCAAGCCGAATTTAATTATTTGTACTTTTAGTATGTTGTACGATCGAATTTTTAGTAAACGGTGCAGTTTTAAATTTGATTTTTTCATACATTTTAATGCAGGAATAAAGAGGATATTAATACAATAAAAAAACTTTAGTTACTGTAAATAACTCGTAATAAGTACATTTAATCTATTGTATGAAACTTTTATAGCGCTTACTCTATACAAAACAAGTGTTTAGGTTACTGTATTTGTAACATATACCGTATCACATACACGTACGTGCGAGCACAGGATGAATCATCTAACATTACTGCCTTAAATAGCTCTTAATTTAATTAGCGTGTACAATATTTTTTCATACGATAGTAGCATTGTATTAGGAAGAACATCTCGACACAATGTAACTTTTGTATGAAACATTTTACATACTATTGTTGAATTTAAAGCTATTCAAGGTGGCAAAATTAAGTGCTTCACCCTGTATTATAATGCATTATATATATATATATATATATATGTTTACAAGAGTACATAATTATTAACATACACTATTTGCATCTACAGTATTCATTGTATCTTAATATACAGTGTGATTACTCAACAATTACTATATGTCTTCCGTAGATATTATGTGTTTCTATTCTAAACATCCATTTATAAAATAATATTATTAATTATATACTCGATTAAACTTTTCTGGTATATTTGATTAACTTAGAATTGTATAGATATTAGTTCAAACGCCAAACAGATTTATATTCTCATAATTTGTCCAACATTCCTTGAAAAATGAGATATATTTTTACAGAAGGACTTACGTTTAATTATATAAAGTGATCTGCTTTGAATAAGTAGTAACACTTGTAAAACCGACTGCCTAATAAATGTATTATATGATAGTTATAACTTTTATTTGTAAAAAATTCGTATAAATTAAATTTTTTTTGTAATTTATATATTCGATACGAATAAAAGGAATTAGTACAGTACATTCGCAAGGATCTAAAATCTGCAATTAAAAATGTAGGGGAAACGAAACTTCATCGTTTATATCCTACCGGTTTCTTTGGTTATGTTTCCATTGGACAAAGACAATGCAAACCCAGCAAGAGTAAGCGAAAAACAAATAGAATAATTGGAATACAGTTACGTGTAATCATTGGGAGCCTTCCTTGTTCTCTATATATTCGTAATCGACATCATTTTCATTATCGGAAACTAATAATTCCGATTAAAACACTGTTACAATGATACCGCGCCATGTTTTATACTGGAGAACTTACACTTACGCATCTTCTATGGTGTAACGGAAATGACGTACACTTAAACATTTTTTTCAATTCTTCGTTACCAATATTACACAGAAAAGTTGTCAAATTATGTATTTTATTTATCGCTTAATTAAATTAATGAAAGTAGTTTGTTTACAAGGGAAATATACGAGATTCTAGCGATAAACATTAAAATATATCGAAAGAACGCAAATCATAAATGCAATGCGCATGCGCGGGTAGGATAAATCGAAATTACTATACCTATCGCCTATCGCGCGTCCTTTACCTTACTCGCCTTTACGCAGGAACATAATGGACGCATGTTAAATTTAACCTCAAAAGCTTGATATTCGACCACGTTTAGAACGGCTTTTTCATTTTATTCGATAAAACTGACGAAGTACGTGTTTATTGGCTCTTCAAACTGTTTTAGACGGTGCAGCGATTGAACAGCAGATTAATTAATCAGGTAAGCTAAATTATGTTTAGTTTAAATTAAGAAATTACAATACAGATTTAAAATTTGTAACGATAACCCTCATCTTTTTTTTTGTGTACCAATTTATATTGTTAACATAATGAAAGTATATGTTATAATGTAATATTAGATTACAAAATATAAATTTATAAATTATTTTTTTTGGTCATAAAAGATATTCCTATATTCTTATTATGTTCTAAATTTTTCTATTAAATATTAAAGCAGAACTTCATTTATTAATTTATTGGAGTGAAATTTTACCCGGCTTCCAATTAACTGAATTCCCGTTGAAAAATGTATTATAAATTTTCTTTTACGTAGATTAATATTTAGCGGAGTAACAGTTGTATATCGCATACATAGTAATCATGGTTAAGAATATGAAGAAACGTTCAGCAAGCGAAAATGACAAGGTTGGCGAAAAAGCAGTAAAGAATGCATCGAACATGAATAAAGCGTTAAAAAAAGTGAAGGTAGAAAATGGATCTGTTCAAAAAGAAAAAATAGAGAAAGGAATTAAAAAGAATTTGTCTAAGAAATTGATGATCGAAAAGAAGAAAGGACAAAATATGGGAATTGTGCAAAGTTTTGTAAAGAATCAAACGAGCGAAGTTAGTTCGGACAAAAATAAGAAGCAAACATCAGATGGCAAAGAAGAAAAGCAACAGAAAGTAAAACGAAGGCAAACATATAAAGGAAAACAGAAATTGAAAAAACAAGAGCCAAAAACTAATGTAAGTCCTGGTGTAAAGTCTGGTGGAAAATCTGAATTATCCGCGGAGGAAATAAAACAGAAGATCGAGCAGATAGAAAAGCGAGAAAATCTTTCAAAAACTGCTAAAAGGAAATTAGCAACGCTTAGGAAACTGTTGAGAATAAAGGAGGGAACGTACAAACAGACAGAACAAACTACAAAAAAACAGACAACCAAATCGGCGGAAGTTGCAAAAGTGAAACAAATCCAAAATAAGGAACAGAAAAATAAATTAGAAGTTAAAACAAAGAAGGATAATAAAAAGAAAGATACCAAACAGGGCAATCTACTTCGCGTGAAACAGAATGATTCAGACGATGAAGTTGAAGAAGTCGAAGACATTGAGATAGATAACGATGAAGAGGATGAGAGTGTCGATGGCAAAGATGAAAGTGTTGATGATGATGTGGATAATGAGGATGACGAAGAAGATGATGAGGATGTTGATGTGGCTATGGCAGATGATGATGATGACGACGACGATGATGATGAAGATGAAGATGAGGATGATGAGGATGATGATGATGATGATGACGAGGATGAGGACGAAGATGACGATGATGATGAAGAAGAAGATAAAGTTACAGCAGATAATATTCAAAGTCAGAGAGTGAAAGAGAAACCTAAACAGAATATAGAACAAGAAGGAAAGAAAAAGAGATATGTTCTTTTTGTAGGGAATCTACCATACAGGTAAAAATTCTAATAGTTCTTACATATAATATCTATTGTATATTGTACTAAATAAATGTATATTTCAGCATTACCAACGAAGAACTTAAGAAACACTTTTTAACTAATGTTAGTCAAGTAGTTGATATTAGAATACCTAAAAAAGATGCAAATACATCGCGTGGTTTCGCTTATATCGAGCTTGCTAATAATACCGATTATGAGGTATATTACCATTTGATATTACACAATTTCATTATTATTTAGAAGCATAATAATTAACATTTATTTATCTATATATATAACTTGATATCTGTTAACAGAAAGCGCTTTCGCTGAATCATTCATTCATTAATGGACGAAGAATAAATGTGCAATATTCTGGGACACCCGGTAACAAGAAAAAAGACGTCGCAAAAAATTTTAAATTACAGGCTCTTCAGAAAGCAGGGAAACTGGCGGGTGGATACAACAAAAATAACCAGAAGTTCAACACTGGAAAGAAGTGGAATAAGCAACATACGCAACCGACGAAAACATAATTGTTGAATCAATAGGAATTATTTAAAATTAATTTTTAAACATCATCCTCACTGTTTCTCTAACTTAGCATTAAGTTTTTTTTATGTAAACACAAGATTTAATTATGTATAATTATGTTCAGAATGGTATAGATAAAACATGTATCTACATATAAAAGGATGTGTTTTATTCGAAAAAATTAATTCGCGTTGCGGAATTGTCGTATTTTATTATATTTTAACGATGAAATATATGCTTTTGAGAACACACAGGCAACTTCATATGTTTATAATGGAATCAAATGTTATAGAATATGTATACAAAATACAATAATCGGGATCCTTTTTGACAATTCTCATAAAGTTAAAAATACAGATTTTTATTTGTGATACAATTACAATATGTTAAAAGCGAACAACTATAATTTTATTTTGTAATTCGAGAAAGGTTAACTAAATAATATCGGTAATTTACTTAACAAAATGTCGAAATCTGAAGTTAAATGTGCGATTACACAAGATGAAACGAACGATTCCTTAGATTTTGGAGCAATAATTTCGTGGACAAACCAGTCGACAGAGGTACAGCATTAAAACGTTATTGGCAAAAATTGTTTTTTACAAAGAAAATTAAATTTTTTAATCTGTCCCAGGAAGAGTTACCCGATCACATTATTTTCCCGAAAGAATTAAATCTATTTTTACGGAATCGGATTCAGGTAAATCATTGTCATTGAGACAATTGTAAAATAGATATGATAGTAAAGTATTGAATGTAATTGTTAAACAACAGGATTTGATTGCTGAAAATGGTTGTTTGCGTCGAGCACTCGAGGAAGCGGAAGAGAAGATTACAAAAAAGCAGGTAATCGCGGAAACGGTTCAAACGAAGACGATTATTGGGAAATCCAACGAGGTAGTTGCTACGAAGATAATCGAGCTTAGCAAAAGGTGTAGAGAACAAACAGCTGAAATCGAAGTTCTCAAGTCTAAGTGTAAAAATCTTGAAATCAATTTAGTCACCAAAGAGACTGAGCTAAAGAACGAAGTATACGAAAGGAGACGCTCACAAACGATTAACTTCTCTCAAAAGAGTGAGTTGTATTAAACATTTTCAAATTTTACAATAGTAATAATGGAAACAATTTAGAAAACGGAAAGAAAGCGAATATTATTTCGTAATTTTTTTCTGAACATATTAGAATTTAGTTTATCATTATAAATATCATGATTGAGATCCAGGATAGTATCCTTGACAAAGGTACCGAGAACAGTCAGTCGAAGGAGGACGAGCATCGAACGAAACATCTGATTGACAAATTGCAGCAAACACAAACAAAATTATACGAATCTAAAAATACTTGCGTTAGTTTGAAACAAGAAATTAACAAATTGCACAAGGTACGATATAGTATTTTAACAATTTACCGACCGATAGCCTATTAATCGACTGTTTTACCGGCCAACGCTTACCGACCGATAGCCTATTAATCAACTGTTTTATCGGTCGGTAAAGTGTTAAAAAAACTTGATTTCTATTTTATCGAGGTGTAGAAATTTAGATGATTTAAAAAATATGTAAATGTAGTTATTGTGCAGCGAAGTAGGGGAAAACTTGAACATAAATAATCTATTAAATCAACCAAATGGATGGCGGGGAAGAGCCGAGCAAATTCATTTGTTGCAACAGAAAGTAACGGAGTTGCAATCGAAATTATGGGATTACGAAGGGACCCAAAAGACTATTGGTATCAATTCCAATTATGTCCACTATTAAACAAAAACCTTGTATAACTTTATTTATATTTTATACGAGCGTCGTCTTATCTTAGCATCCGTGGATCGTAAGAATTTAACGAATCTTCGAAACCTCGAGAAAGAAAGGCGGCAACAAATCGAGAATTCAGCGAAACAGCTTCGACAATCCGAAATTGCTATCGAAGGCTACAAGAGGAAGATAGAAGCGTCGAAGGCGAGGATCAAGGTACTGGAACACGAGCTAAATTTAATGAAAGGAAACTTATCGGTACTGAACGAGAAGAGAACTCACGACGATCATTTGATCGAGACGCTTAGCGTGAGTACTTGGTGTCACGCTGGTTTGCCTTTTTAAAGTGTAACGTATGGATATATTCGTAGAATCGATTGAAGACGATGGAGATGAAGCATCAGGAACGCGAGATGGATATAAAAAGCAAAGAGGAAACAAACGAACGTCATTTCACGAACTTAAAAAACGACTTGCAATCCGCGCAACTGCAGATTGACCGACTGCGGAGGCGATTGGAAGAACGGGAGATCGAGATCGATAAACTAAGGTCCGAAATCCCTTTCGACGCTTGAGATCATTAGCATTTCCTTTCGTATTATTGATGGATTAACACATTACCGGCCGATAGCCTATTAATCGACTGTTTTACCGGCCAACGTTTACCAACCGATAGCCTATTAATCAACTGTTTTATCGGTCGGTAAGCGTTGGTCGGTAAAGAAGTCGATTAATAGGCTATCGGTCGGTAATGTGTTAATATTAATTTTAGGGGTGGAACAGCCTCGAGTATCGGGCCGTTTAAAGCGATTCAAATGGACAACTATTTAAACAGCTTGAACCACGCTAGCCCTCCGCACAGTTTCCGAAATTTATTAGAACCAAACGAATACGTAACGCTGGCTCTTGCCGCCGAGGCTGAAAGGGAGAGATTATTAGAATTAGTAACTGTACTGAACAGGCGATTAGACAAGGAGAGAAGCGATTCCGACATTCTTTCCGTAAGCTTTATTGTTACGAGTTAAAAGTGAATTTTATGATAGTTCATCGGGGAGTTACAGAATTCTTTGCGCGACGAAAGGAGCAAATCGGCGAAATTGGAATCGAAGCTTCGAAAATTGGAAACGGAAAGAGCAAGCATCGTGAGGATCGATACGGGATATAGATCGAGGCTGTTACCTAGATCATTAAAGGCCAATGATGAATTTATCGATGCGGAACAGGCGCGACTCAAGTAAGCCGCGAAAGAGTCCCTGTGAAAACGTAAACGTGGGATACACTGTTTTTATATTTTAATAATAATAAATTGTATAGAATGGAATTGCTTCAGGAAGAGTGTCTCGCGTTGAAGGCGAGATTAGATATAGTACAGCAGGATAAAGCCTCGGACCTTGCGGCGTACAAACAGATGCTTTCCCAAGTTAGAAAAATCTTTCAAGAAGCGTACAGGTAATTTGGATAATTGTTAACACTTTACCGACCGATAGCCTATTAATCGACTGTTTTACCGGCCAACGCTTACCGACCGATAGCCGATTAATCAACCGCTACCGGTCGGTAAAGTGTTAAGGAATCCTGTTGGACATTAACGAACAATTGTACGGTTTTAGGGGCAAACCACCGCCTACCGTTGGCAGCCGCTCGACAATCACGATGTAATCCTGATACTGAAACTAGTTTAAGTAAACTTGGATGAAACTCTGTCTAAGATGCATCCGCGGTTCGTTAATTCCGTGGCTGTGTTCGGACGGGGGCTCGAAAAAATTTCTTATCGTACGATTTACGGAATAAAACGTATTAACTTGTAGCAATAAAGCGGCGGTCGACATCTATTGTTAGTTCCTTCCGATTAGAATTGTGTAAGAAGTACAAAACCGACCGCGATGATGTAAATGGGACACGAGATAAGGTGCAACGCTCCACGTAAATGCGCGTGACACCGTCGCCGCAACTCTGTTCCGTTTCTATCTCTTCGTATTACGATTCTTTTTTCCGTTTCACGTAAACCGTGCGTACCCTAAACTACCGCGCTTCTTGCTCTTCTATATTGATATCGCTTTGGCAGTCGTGCAGCCGTAAAATTCATCTGTTTAACTCATCGTCCATTGCAACACCTTCGCAAGAATGTTTCCGCGTCTCTTGTACAAAGACAAAAACTTTCTAATCGACCAGGTGGTATTATTAATTCCTTTATTCGGTACTCTCCAATCAATAATCTAGATTTATTTTACATGGAAACTTGAACTTTCCAGGTGTATTCCGGAATTGTTTTCTACGTGCGACTTTGAATTAAAGGAACCCCGCGGTAAACACGTTAATCGCAGCGTCGCTACCGTTCGAAAGCTTCTTTTATACGAAAATTCAGCCCAGGGCGTTCCCATCGGCGCCAAGTTCCATCGTACAGGTGCGAGCATACAGGTGTTGGTGCTCCTGCTTGATAAGAAGCATACCAGTGACGTCAGATCGGCGCAGGTAGAGTATATGAGTCGGCCCCGGAGAGACATCCACGTCACTCGTTCTTGAACCTCTTCATTCGTTTGTTCTGCAAAAGTTGTTCACCAGTTTTCCTTCTCTTCTCTCTTTCACTCATACATTCATTTTCTTCTCTCTCTCTCTCTCTCTTTCTTTCTTTATCTCTCCATTCGTTGATCTGTTGCACGTTCCTAATTTTCGGTTACTCCTCCGCTTCTCGTCCTCTGACGAGAACAAACATCAAAGGAGAGATCTCGTCCAGCCGAATGCACATCCGTCCGGATGTCCACCGCGATCAGGCGTATTTTGGTACCGGGGATAGCGAATTCAGGTAAGTTGCAGAGGATCGACAGAATTTTTTCTTAATTTTCATTATTTTCTTTTCTCTCTTCTATCGAGAAAGCAATTCGAAAAGCTGGTCGGTGGAACTATCGAGAACTGTTCGCGCGAAGAGTTTCCAAGAGTAGCTGACAGTTTTATTCCGAAAGAAGACGCGCACGTTTAGCGTCGACAAAGTGTTCCGGCGGCTTCGTGCAACTCGCAGCTGGAATTCTTCGTGTCGTAGCCTTTTCATGTGTTAATTCAAGGGGTATAATTGTTGCTAGAGAAACACACCGCGTTAGCTTCGCGGCTTGGAACGATGATTATGTAACATACGTGCACGGGCAATGAAACTTTTACGGTGACTGCGATAACAATATTGAATTTTCCGAAGATATTCATTGTACAACGATGTTTCGAGAATAATACTTTTCAAGTAAATAGAAACCGGTATTCTACAACAATTCCAGGTATAGTGCAAAAGACCAACATTCTTTTTGATAAATCATGTTTGTTACCATGTTTGTTATCCGACTTACTACTTTTAGATATCAAGAAATTTCATCAGATCCGTGTTATCTATTTGGCACAATAATCGAGTTTTTCAAATTCGGGGCACATAAGTGGCAGCGAGAAGATAAATAGCAAGATTTCATTTTAACGTGTCTATAATATTAGAGTAGCATGCCGTGGTGGATCGAGCCACTTAAATTAATTTCATCCCGCTAATTATGTTTGTTGTAATTAAATACCGTATCAAAAGGCAGGTTGACGTTGATAATGAAATTGTTATTATCATCGTGATAACGAAGTTAGACGGTTCCCTCGTGTATTAATACCGTTTCAATTACCAGATCGAAGGATCCCAAAACGACTTGGTTCTAGTACATTTTCTGATATTCAAATTCTACCAAATTTTCCAGTACCGATCGTTTCATTTTATTCTTCTTCGTCTCCAAAAAGTATTCGCCTTTCCAATAAAACGGAAGAGCTTTTAATGATTTATAATTTATTCCGCGGATCAAATCTCGAAAGCAGAAAAAATGCTATTGCCGAAGGATTTTCGGTAATATCGGTACGAGTCGACTCGTTATCACCTTATCGCGTCGTCTACTGATAACGTGCAATCGTGGCTTCTCTCAAAGACGATACTCGATATTTGCCGTCAGGTTTAACAAATGTTTGTATTGATTTTTCGGGGACACGATAGAAGAGCATAAAAAGAGTATGATATTTCTCATTCCGATTCCTCGAGTCATTGCGAAGGACACTTCATTGTTCAGCTTCGTAAAGTTTTTTAAAAAAAGAAATTTCATCGCTGTATTACGCAAATCTAACTTACGATATATGTATTTTTAGTGTACATATAATTTGCTTTATTAGTTTTTTTAGATTGTTGTAACAATCACGCTCTCGAAGCTTTCCGGTGGGCGATAAGAAGAAGAAAAAAAGGAAGATACGGGGGGAGAAACATGTAAATATGATTAAACTGCTTCGGTTCGGCTAAATGTTTGCTTGTTTAAGCAGTTGCTCGTTAACCAATGAAAATGTCACCTGAACAAATAGAACGCGGGGGCCTATATATGATACCCATCGGGAAAGTTTTACCGTTTGTTTCTCTGTCTATTTGAAAATTAGTTAATAAATTTTTCAATCTGTCTTTTGATTTTTGAACATTTCTCAGTTACGGATTTAATATATTTCGATAATCGTAGAAAACCTCGAAAACGATCGATACCATTTCTTTACCGACAAGTGATATCAGATAACTGTTATCGACGAGGCGAATTATTCAAACTTATCTTGTATTGATATACTGATCGATCAGCTCGAAATTCGACCATTTGTATCGCACGGAATTTACTATTAGGCGTTGTAATCTTTCCTCGATTAAATCACGATTCGAAATACATTGTATTTTCTAGGTTTCTACGTTCGAATGAACGTGTTGGAACGAAAAAGAAGAGGAAGGAAAGTGTTAACGACTCTTGGCACGAGCTAACGCACGGAGGTTCTGTTTACCGCGCAATCAGATGGCGGCGCTAAAGAGGAAGGTGGCTGCTCACACCTTCCCGATAACAAGTGAAGCTGCTACGCTTCGCTACAGCGACAATTTCTACCTTTCAGCATTTTCTTTTCACCAACCGATCTTCCTCGGTTAATATAAGCGTTCGAACAAACACGAACCTTTCGTCGGAAATGGTATTTCGAGATTTCGTAATTAGAAAGCGTGATACTGTATTCGAATTAATATCCAAATCAATATACTGCTCGAGATATGATTATTTTAGAGAAAGGGAAAGAAGAGTAACGAGAAAAAGCGCGCGCTATGAAGAGAGCTATCCATCGACAGTATGGTGATAATAGACACTGTCATGGAGTTGCTCTCTTTGTGGACGCCGCTAGATTCGACATTTTTCCTGAGTAAATAGATTGGGTTAAAAGTTTACAACAAATACATCTAGATATAAATATATAAGACAACGGAGAAATTTAAGGACTTCCAGGAGAATAACCAACATATATACAATGGTTAACTAGTTACCTATGGAAAGAGAAACGACAATTTAAGTCTATTCTCCTAGTCCTATTTTCTTATTTAATGTTATTTATCGATCGCTTAGATCATTGCACATGTGCCTCTCACACGATCTCCCTCTATATCCTGTCTTCCTCTCGTTTGGATCTCGATATCCTGTTTAGAGGGCGCGCTGAGCTACTAAAGCGCGGCTAACCGCAATTAAAGAAATTAAATATAAATACGAAGCGCAGGGCTGCGAGTTACGATTATATTTATTGATAATTAACGAATGATAAGCTTCAAATGTACGAGCACTTGTAATCTGTGCTTGTTTCTGGCTTAAAATTCTATAATTAGCAAAATTTAACTTCCTTTTATTTTTAAACGCTATGTTGTAAGCAATAAAGTATTTTTAAGTGCCTTTTTCCCCTCTTTTGTTTGTATATTTGCTCTTTCGTAAGTCGTAATTGTCAGAACTTACTACTTGATTTGCATAGTCTGGTAATAACTGCCATTTTCGCAACGACGTACGTACTTGACGTGAGAAAAACCAATTGTTTCTGTTTCCATTCTTTTACTACTTTGAAGAATCTATAAACCGTGTACCAGATAGCAAATAGAACACTCCGTAAACCTAATATAAATAACATTATTTAAGTACTGCGATAAGCAAAGATTTACGTAACTTTAACGATACGATATCATCTATTTAAATTCAGTTATTTACTATAGTACAGATTATCGAAACAAGTACAATTCTTTCTTTTGTAATTTTAAACGTTTAAAGTGGCGGCAAAATTACCCTGAAACGCGGCAACCCTCCTTGCCAGCATGGCGGACACTAAAGAAGCCTATCGAAGGGGCAAATATTTAAACGTTCGAGCAGTGTTACCAACCTTGCCGAGAAACAACTATGTTTTCAGTTTACCGTTAATTACGATTTTACAAGAGATTATTAGAATTTTAACGTAGAGAATATAAAAGAGACATCAGATTCTGTAAATTTCTTATCAGTTTGAAATTTAAAACGATAAGAAATAATTGAACTTTGGCACCTAGTTAACTTGTACGGGACACGTAACAAATGGCTGCATTGTATGCAATATAATATGTGAAGTTGGCACAAGATGGACGCAATTTGGAAATACATCAGTTTTTGACTAAACATCGATTTACAAAATGGGAAATCAATTAGTCGGTATTGCGCCTAGTCAAATATTTCCAGTAGAACACTACTTGACGGACCATAGTGACTTATTATTTGATGTAAAGTAAGTAATTCGATTCGATATTGTAAAATTGAATACAAATTTTTTGTACCAAACTGTGTTTTGTCAATGTTTCACCGATTTAAACGTAAATAAAAATATTTAAATGGTGTTTTCTGTTCGAAAGAATGTATTATCCTCTATATTGTACGTGTTAGATCCACTGAATATAAAGAACGAATTGTACAAAATATGTGTCATCTAATTTTATATTTTCCATGTACGTCTGCTGTTAACAATCATCCTTTAAACATCCGCAGCTTAGGCAGTACTAGATTTTTTAAAGTGGCTCGAGCCAGGAGCCAAGAGGGTCTTATAGTGGTTAAGGTTTTTGCTATACATGATCCGACGCTACCACTATCCGCTTATAAAGATAAACTAGAAGAAATTAGGTCTAAATTAGCATCTGCTGTGAACTGTCTACCTTTTCAAAGAATGATTGTGAGTACTTCCATTTCGATATGTATATATTAAATAATATGTTATAGACTTCCATATATTTGAAAACAATTGTACGTTTATATCAGCTCACTGAAAAATCAGGATCGATAATGAGGGAATACGTCAAGTATTCCCTTTACGACAGAATTAGCACCAGGCCATTTTTAACAAGTATAGAAAAAAAGTGGATTACCTTTCAAGTTTTGTACGCGTTGCACCAAGCTCATAAGGTGAGACGATGTTTAAAGTATCATATATTAACATTTATGCACCGCTTCTCGTTTTATTTGTAGTTTGGAGTTTGCCACGGCGACATAAAACTAGAAAACATTATGATAACCAGTTGGAATTGGATTTTACTCACGGACTTTGCAAGTTTTAAACCGACTTATTTGCCCGAAGATAACCCTGCTGATTTTTCATACTTTTTCGACACGTCTAGGAGAAGGTACAAATCACCTTTTACGTCAACTATCCTTATTAGTCGTACTATAATATCCGTTGCTCAAACATTTCAGAACATGTTATATAGCCCCTGAACGGTTTGTGAAAACATTATCCTCGGAATTGAGCAATACGTTATTGTTATCGGAACAAGAGTTAAAGACAGGCGATTTGCATCCAATGATGGACATATTTTCTGCGGGCTGCGCTTTAACAGAATTGTATAACGAAGGACACCCACCGTTCGACTTCTCTCAATTATTAGGTGCGCGTAATGTACATACATGTTATTAGTCTGAATAAATGTTTAAAGATTAATTTATTATGATATATCAAGCATATAGGAACAATGAGTATTCGGTGAGCAAGCATTTGGATACGATAGAAGATCCAGGGATACGCGAATTGCTTGCGTCTATGCTAGAAAGGAATCCAGGAAATAGAAAAAGTGCTGAAATTTACTTGGCTCAAGCCCGCAAAATAATATTTCCAGAATATTTTTATTCGTTTCTACAATCGTACATGCTTATCTTCTCTGCTGCCCCCATCCTGTCGCCGGATGAAAAAATAAACAGACTGAAGAAAGATATTGGTAATATTATCAATATTCTAAAAGCAGAGGATAATGAAAAAATGAAAAGCGATGTAAAAGCTACAGAAACTGTAGAATTAACTAAAGACAATTCCAGTCATAGCGAAGAAAACAGTATCGTAAAAGGGGACAGTAATAAATGTTCTGATAAAAGTAATTTAAGTAAAGCGGACATAAAGTCTGTTTCGTTGCAAGACGCTAAATCGAGTAATCAAACAGATCAACAATCAGAAACTATGGTACCTGAAGATCAGAAACAGAGTTTGGAGGTAGAAAGCGAAAAGAATACTATTTCATGTCCAGAACCCCTAGAAGGTTTGGTTATCGTAACTCAACTTGTTACCTCGTGTATACGAGGTTTACATCATTCCCAATCGAAATTGCAAAGTTTAGAAATACTGCTCGAACTGGCTGAAAACACATCAGACGAAACAATATTGGATCGAATTCTGCCTTATATTGTGAGTGTTTTGATAACTGCTATTAAGAATGTTAACATGAAATTTACATAATGCTTTCTACAGTTTCACTTAGTTCATGATCCTGCTCCAAGAGTAAGGGTATCAGCTATACACACTTTAACAAAATGTTTACATCTTGTAAAATCAATTCCACCGTCGGATGTGAACATTTTCCCGGAGTATATTTTACCGGGTTTAGCGCATATTACGCACGATGAGGCAGTTATTGTCAGAGCTGCTTACGCGGAAAATATTGCACACTTAGCTCATATTGCGCTACGATACTTGGAGAATTCTCACTTATCTAATTTAGGTAATAAAGAAGGTCCAAAACCAAGTTACGACAGCGAGCTTCAGACATTGCATGAAATGGTAATTAAATAATTAATTAATTTTGGCTCGGTGTTTATGTTTGGCGCGTACTAAATCTCGCAATGTTATTAGGTGCAACAATCCGTGTCCATGTTATTAACAGATCCTCAAAATTTAGTAAAGCAAACGTTGATGGAAAGTGGAATAAATAAGCTTTGCGTATTTTTTGGAAAACAAAAGGCCAATGATATTTTGCTCAGTCATGTTATTACTTTTTTAAACGACAAAGAGGACAAAGAATTGAGAGGTTCATTTTTCGAGTGTATCGTTTGCGTAGCTGCTTACGTTGGCTGGCATAGCAGCCCTATACTTATGCCTCTTCTCCAGCAAGGACTAGCAGATCCCGAGGAATTTGTAATAACAAAAGCTATTAACGCTATGGCGACCCTCACGGAATTAGGCCTCTTACATAAATCTGCTCTGTACCAACTTTTATACGAGACCATGGTTTTTATAGTAAGTCACGTTTTAATAATATCAACGATTTAGAAATTACACTATTTAACGCGAAATCTCGCATCAATCTAGGTACATCCAAATTTATGGATAAGACACGCAACTGTCGGGTTTATATCCGCGGCGGCAAGAACGCTTAACTTGGTGGACGTTCAGTGTAAAGTTCAAACGATGATTCAACCGTACTTGAAGCACCCATTGATTCAAATAGAAAAAGAAATTTTATTGTTAGAAGCTTTGGTATCTCCTATACCAAGAATCGTTTATGACTCTGTTGTAAAATACAATGACATAGAAGAACTGTTTCAAGTTCTTGAGCAAAGGCAAGCGGCTCGAGCTAAAGCGGTAACAGGAATAGTACCGCAGTATAGCGAAATGAGCACATCTCTACGAAACGTAAGTTGTAAGTTTCTTTGCGAGGATGATTTACGGAATTTCAAGAGAAATAAAAAAAAATGCTTATAGCTTTTCAGACGGTTAAGTTCAGAGTCGATGACCGAAATAGTCGAAGACCACTTACTAATAATGCAACCGCATTTAGTGAAAATTAATAAATATCGGAACTCGGCGGACGCGAAACAAAGCACTATCAAATCGATAGATGGAAAATTAGAATTAAGTTCCATGAAGGATAGGATACGACATCACATAGTGATCTTATATCCTGACACTAAAGTTGATCTAGGTCTTCCGCCGTTTAAACGACTAGATTCCAGGACATTGGATACCGTAAGCACATACGCAACGATGAATCAAGAATGGCGTACAATGTTCGCGGCTCAAGACAATGTTCAACATACTGTTAAAATATCGGATATGACAGGAAGTAGCGGAAGTCCTAGCCAAAGTTTACACGGAGGGGATATACATTTATCGCCTCAGCACAGTCTGTCCGATATGAACAGTATAAATGATCACTCTCTTCACGAACGTTCATACATTCAATATAGGTGTGCACCTTGTAGATTAGAAGTGAGGCAACTGACGTACAGAAAACAAGAACAGCATGCTGCGGCGCTTAGAGCACAACATTGGGCGGATAACATTGCATGGCAAACTGGTTCAAGATTATTACCAAATGGATGGAGACCGCGGGGAGTACCGGTTGCTCATCTTCATGAGCACAGGGCTGCTATAAATAGGCTAGTGTCTATACCGGATACCAGTTTGTTTGCCAGCAGTTCCGCGGATGGATGCATCAAGATATGGGACGCCAGTAAAATGGAAGGTCGAAACATAGCCAATCGTTCCAGGCAAACTCACATGCACAGAGGCGGGCCTCTAGTTGGTTTGGCTGTATGCGATCAGGGACAATCGTTGGCAAGTTCTGCCAGCCAATCGGGCACAGTGTTCGTTTTACGGATCGAATCAAATTCTAGTAAAATGAGCGTCATTGGAACCAGACAATTGGATCTTCAGGTGATTATACACGATTACCACGTAAACCTATTCCTTGTTTATTGCCATCGAGGTGTTATATACGTATGAATCATTACATCTAGGAAGAAGGGTGTGCAGTTGATCTACAGTATTTAGATTCTGGATCGCAATCGGTTCTCGTGTATGCTTCGTTGTATGGATCATTGGTGGGTTGGGATTTACGATGCCCCGGCACAACGTGGCGTTTAGAAAATGATCTAAAGCACGGTGTGATCACCTCGTTTTGCGTGAATAATTACCAACAGTGGTTGACCCTCGGTACAAGCTCGGGCGTGCACACATGCTGGGACTTGCGATTTCAATTGCCGATAACCAGTATTAAGCATCCCACAGGTAAATTTACAAACACATCAAAGGGTATAGCCGGATAAGATGATCAATATCAACCCCGTACCCTTACCGAGAGGGTAGTTACAGGTTTTTGATTTTTCCAACATCGCTCCCCCGTTTCTAAAAATCTGAAAAAATTATAGATCAATAATCATAACAAGACACTAACACTGTAAAAATATAAACGTGGTCATTTAATAATTTCTATTAAAAAAAAATATTTTTATACTTTTAGAATTTTTAAAAAATTCATTTTGCGGTGAAAAATTCTGAAAAAATTATAGATTAATAATCATAACAAGACACTAACACTGTAAAAATATAAACGTGGTCATTTAATAATTTCTATTAAAAAAAAATATTTTCATACTTTTAGAATTTTTTAAAAATCCATTTTCCGGTGAAAAATTCTGAAAAAATTCACAAACACGTACGCCGTAGAGCAAAATACCCCCAATTTTTTTTCAAAATCTTTGATACGATACAACAAAAGATATACAGCTTAAACTGAAAATTGCGTTACGCCCTGTAACTAACCTCTCAGTAAGGGTACGGGGTTGATATTTTACACAAATGGTTTTCTTTGAATGGTCTATTAACTGATATGCTCAAGGGCACTTTTGACCATCTTATCCGGCTATACCCTTTACGTTGAACTTAAATTTGATTTTAAACTTGACGAAATGTGTTTGATTTCAGGTACGAGAGTGAGGAAGGTGATCACCCATCCAACGGAGCATTCGTGGATAATATCAGCCGTGCAGGGTAACAATGAGATCTCCATGTGGAACCTTGAAACTGATTTTCGACAAATGGTCCTATGGGCGTCGAGTGCACCGCCTCTCAGCCACTCGCAAGGTGGACACAGCGTGTGTGCAATGTACTCCGCGTGTATTGATCGTTCAGGTTTTCTGCTGGCTGGTGGTACTGATATGCGATTACGGTTTTGGGACTTGAACACTCTAAACGAATCGTACGTCGCGCTACCCGCGGCCAATGACGTTACATCTCCAAATTCATTAGCATACGAGTTAGTATTTGCGTATCGAACGGCCGGCTATCTTCTTACACATATTATTTATTTCATTACATACGGTGTTTATCGATACAAAGCAACAGAGCGTTTCTGATATTTTTCAGACAACGTTTAATAGATGGTACCAACGTGGTGCAAGAGGTATTGGCCGGCGGTTGTTCCACACCATCGTCCGGGGGTGGCAGCAGTGTTCGTACGAGGAATTCCGAGGAAGGTGGTCAGGGTCCCGAAACACCGCCATCCGGACTTCACGATATAATCTCGGCTGTGTCGATGTCGAACTCGTGTATCCTAACCGGCAGCACGGATGGCTTGATACAAGTTTGGAAATGAATATTTCTCGGTTGGTTTGTATCATACTCCAATGTTGCATACGGCGTTCAAACATTTTTAATGCGTCTGCGACATCTACTATGGGGGAAAAAAAGAAATTCGATCGGACATCGAAATTTTGTACGAACGAACTCGCTACGTTAATTCTGTGATTTTTATTTGTACATAATATGTAACATATACATAATACGGTATTTATTATGATCATCGATAGTCATAATAATAATAGCGATAATATGCATTTCTTAAAACGGAACGTAACGGTTGCGTTTACCTGAATACAGTGGATCTTGTGTAATATAAATGATTTATTTTTCTACTTAAAGAGGAACACCGAGAAAGAATTTGCTGTATTGTATGATAATATACAAAGATGATGAATTAACGATAACTTATATTTGGAATTAATAATAATAGCAACGACTAATCGCGAACGACACACGCTAGGGAAAAATTATACAATCAGCGTACAAACGAATACATCGTGAAAAAAAATTCTACCTTTAGTACATATAATTTATACTGACAGGTGTATACTACCGTACTTCTACGTCGTTAGTTCAATAGTTAAATTGTATACCGACTGAAATACTCATAAGTAGTGGATATCTTCGTACTCCCTGGATATAGTTACAATAAATTCATATTTTTAACGCACCTTTGCGATCCGATTATTTAGATGAATTCTAAGTAAGATTAGCTCGTCATCATGGACAAACTGGCGCAGCAGGATAAGGGGCACGGCCTGGGAACGCGTAAGAATCAGGGTTTATCGTCCTGCAGATTTCCTTCCATCTTTCTTTCCCCCCTTTTCCTTGCCGTCGTCCAAATTGTTGGTTTTTATAGCCCGATGTCGGGTAATTGTATCGGGGCTGTTCACCGAAAAGTATCTCGAACCACGGTGCCGCGAGCACAGCGGTGATCAAGAATAAAAATATCAAGAAAATTTTCATTTTTAGCGCACTCGTTTTTCCTCTGTAAGTGTCAATTTAAAAATCGACAGATTGCCTAGAAAACGCAAACGATCAGGCAGACTAGAATCAAACGTTACGAACTTTCCTGCTAACAAGTTGGACGAATAACTATTGCAATATGTATTTGACGATCGTGTAATTTTTACTTTCAAACTTCACACTTTCTGAGCAAACTGATTAACGACACTTGTCTCGGTCGGTTCGTTGGCACTGTTCGGGCGACAATTTATTCTTACGCGGATATTCGGTTGGCCGGCTGTTTGTACAATCCTTTATGAACTGTTTAATGGGAAGTTTGAGCTATAGTCGCCGCGACGAATACACTCTCTCAATGGAGAGATACTGGATGCTTACTGCTGTTTTATACGCCAAGATTGCCCTACCGCTCAGAAAAAATCTATTGGTCCAAGTTGCAAAAATAAGTGTACATTTCCGTGGCTGTTGACAGTGTAATCAGAAGTACCGTCGATACAAGCAATTAACAAACTTATTAAGTTCCCGAAAATGAATGCATTTAAAATTTAAGATACACACAGAGTAAATAAATAAATTATTAATATGTTCGCCGTACATATAATTTATCTAATTTATAATATTTATAATATTTATAATTATGTCTTTAGATAGATATACGTATTAATTCTGTTTACAAAAGAATGAAAGAACAAATGCGCGCCTTTCTTCCTCGTTGGCCTTGAGGAAGACTCGAGCATACAAATTATTTTTTCTTTCATTGTTATGTACCCGAGCAAAAAACTTTTACGATATAAACAACAATAGCGGTTACTGTTATCGCGTCGTAAATTATTGAAAATGTTGTCTCCGGGTAAATTATTTAAAAATCAGCATATGCAACGCAGCGGAAGAACGTTGCGTTCCTCTGCATTGCACTCGGGGGGGGCCCCCCATCTGCTTCTATTGTCCGATGCAGATCAACGCGTGATTTTTATTCGCAAAACGTACACATTGTTTTGTATTCCGCGCGTGTATTGGATTCTATCTCAAGAAAATACAAGATAATATAAGGAACGCTGTTTTAATTATGGCTACGCATTTACTTGGTACGTCGATGAGCAAAAACAGCGTTTCAATTCTCTTCTCCATGTTTCTTTAGATTTCATTCATGAAATACTATTGCGGCTTTTCGCGTGATAATGAATTTGATTATGAGCCGCCCTACTTTTTACAATTAGTGATTTCGTGTCAAGGCGGCGATGCCCCAGACGTTTCCACTATCTGTAGAAACGCGGGCGATTATTATATACCGTGATTATAAACCGAATTATAAACCGTAGGAGCTCTGGCGAGACTTTCAGCGTGTAGAAGTAAACGGCAAACTCTGTTCTGCAAATAGCACAGTGCCGAGTTACGTGTAATCGCTCTTATTAAGGCTCACCATGTTACTATTTCCTATTACCGTAATAGTTTGTTTCCAGGCTGTTGATCTATTAATAGCATTTGGCAGAGAAAGTCTGCACCGAACTTTTACACGATAAGGTTCACGATAGTCGAATGGTTCTTCCGCGTATTTGCGGGTCTAGCAGATCTATTATATTAATCAGGTTTAACCAGCATCGCTGTTCAAGGCACAGTGAACCGGACTTAATTACTTGCGTCAATTGCGATTTGATAACGCGCTCTTGATGACCTTGTTTAGCCCCTTCTCGTCGAGTCTTTATTTTTGAAATTAAAAGAATAAGAAATCTTGATCGTTGGACTGTTAGGAAGCGAATAAAAATAAATATATTTTACGTATGCTCGTCTATTAGTATTCTTCGGACATGTGCATGGAAATATATGAATAAGTAGCTTCTATAATAAGATGTTCGGTCAAAGAATGGGATGCGTCAAGCAGAACTCGTGGAAAACAATTGCAACATTTTGCGATACAAAGAGACGTATGAACGAGAGAGATTTAGTTATGACGAGGATAAAACGTTCCATACCGAAATATGTTTTAATACGGGCGTGTTCTTCGAATTTTATCGTCTAAATATTTTGAATCAGAGTTCCCTTGAAGCTTCTCTCTGACGTCGGCTGCATCATACGGATCAGTTCTGTTTCGCTTCTGGTCAAGGAAGCTTTTGCATTTTAGTATTCTCCGAAATCTAATCAATCGCCTATTTGGCGAGGATGGCGATATTTATGTAACACGTAATTCTTCATTTCTGCATTTTAAGATAGCTAAAGAACCAAGTATCCCTTTTTAATTTTCATCGCCAATATTTTCTACATCCTAGACACTTCTAACGATCGAAATCGTTATTTTCCACGATAATGTCCAATTGTCCGCACAATATCGAAGACAAGGACGGTCAACAGGTAAAAAGCGGAGCAAGTCTTTCGTTAAAGATGCAACGAAGCTTCAAAAAAGTGAGGAGAAGCATTCAAAAGATGACTGGTACGTCAATGATAAAAACTTAAGCTCTATCGTCTGATAATAATTACAATTACAACACAATAATCGGGAATTAAATTAAATACACTTCAGCGCGATACCACCGGGTACTCTACGTCTAATGATACTCGAAACTGTTCGCACGTTACTCTGTTAGTATACCAACAAATTATCGTACAAGACGGTTTTCAATACTTTTAGAATCTTCGACAACTGTACAACCTCACTGCGTTTTCGTAGAGAACATGCACGATGACGAGAAGCAACCGCCGTACATATTTCCGGAACGTCTCTCCTCTTTAACATGCAAAACGGGATTCTCGAAGGGTGAAATACAAAAGCTCTATCGGGCTTTCAAACAGTATTGCCCTAGAGGGACCGTGACCACGAACGATCTGAAACCGGCTTACGCAAAATTGTTCCCGTTAGGAGATCCGGCCAGATACACGCAGATCGTTTTCAATACCTTCGATAGGGATGGGGATGGTATCGTTAGCTTCCAAGATCTCGTCACCGAAATAGCTTTGATCACCAATGGGAATCTGGACCAGAAACTCTCCTGGATCTTCAGGTGATCATTTAAAAGGATTTAACGCATTTAACGTTACTCTCTAATTTTCCTTCTTCTCGTTTAGTTTTTACGACCTAAACGGGGACGGTTATATCACGAGAAAGGAAATGCTGGTTATAATATCAGCGACTTACGAGATGCTCCATAACAGTAAAGTTGCGCAGCGAGTGGTCGACAAACACGTAGACATGGTTTTCAAGAAGATGGACATTGATAAGGATGGAGTCATATCTCGCGAAGAATTTATGAACAGCTGTAAAAATGTACAAGAAAAATTTTTAGCGAAACTAACACATAATACCGATTTTAATACATTTCTTTATTTCAGGATTCTGTAATTCAAAGTCAACTGGCATTATTCGATCACTTTTGGTGATGAAATATACAAACCATGCTAAGATCTCTAAACTGCATTAATATATTTAAAAATGCAACCCTGGTATTCTTCTGCTTCCCGAATCGTTCTTAGTTCTATAATAAAATAGTAGTTACACAGTGTAGGCTTTTTAAAACTTAAGTAAAAAATAACATTGTAAACAGTATTGTTCACAATTCGACTTCGCTTCAGGAAACGTTTCTTCTTTCATTCGTTCCATAAAAATATCATTTACAGGCTTTCGTTTACAATTGTTTTATACCTTTAAAATAATCGTTTTTGCAAGATATAAAACACACAGGCTAGGAAAAATGCAAACGCTAGTGCCAATAAAGCTTTGTCTGTAACTTCTCTTCTACCATATTTGCCCAATAGTTTTCCAGACTGAACTATAACTTGTTGCTGATGTTCCAGTTCATCTTTGGTACTAAAAATTTTATCCGACGAGCTTACTGAAACATTAAAGGATAGATGAAAGAATTGAGAATTATACTTTCGTTATAACAAAGTATATTATTAAAAATAAAATATTTACACAATGTATCCAATGTGCCTGCGCTTCTTTGAGTTGTTTCCGCCAAGTGTCTAGATATACTTAAAAGTTTATCGGACACCTGACTCGACGCGTTTGCTAGACTTCGTCTGTCGTGTCGTTTCCGAATAGAAGCTTGCTGATCTTCTGGCATCGACATTAGCTCTTCCTTGGCAAGCTTATCTATTACACACATACTAACGACATTGGCCTTACAAAATGCAGTGAAGGAAGTCTTAGACTGTTGCTTATAAGTATCTAACTCTGCTAATAATTCTACTTTATTCTTTTCCAAAAGTTCTCTTTCCGCTATCGATGCCAAATTACATATGGATGATTGTAACGCTTCTAGTTTCGCTCTGCCTTCTGCGTTCAATTCCATAAGCAATTCTAAAGGGCCGGTACATTGCTGTATATCCTAGAAGACAAGAATGATTATAATAAAATAGCAATCAATTCCTTTATATAGCATACAAGGTTAGAATAGCTATTGTAATAAAAAGTTTATCAAAACGAAATTCTATAATGAATTAATTGGTCATTGAATGTAAAAATTAGCCTATCGTGTAATTAATAGAATCAATTTTACTTCTAACGTGTATTAATACACCAATTCTTTATCGTAGTATTTTATTCGAGGTTATATTATACTTTTTTTTATAGTTACGAGAAATATTTGTTTTAAATGATATTTACTTGTATCAAAGCCGTAAGTTGAAGATGATTTTTAACGATATCTTGGCGTATTAGTTCTAGTTCGTAGACTTCAGTGTCCATCGAGCCACGTGTTTTTTAACAGTTCCTTTATATATCTTATACTGTTATGTGTAAAATGAAATGCAATTTTAATGGTATGTAATTGTTACGTTGCAACAAAATCAGAAGTCAAGATTCCGAATATCGATAAATTTCTGCATAAGTTATATATCGAAACTATTCAGTGCACTCATAATAGGACGTTTACGTTAGTTTATATTTCGATTACACATTTCTGAATATTGTTAATAACATTTCGCAAAACGAAGCATGGGTATATTAAATAAGTTTTATAACAAATTTGTTTGTACGATTAATAATATAAATCATAGTTTCGTAGTTGAAACTAAATTTAACTAGACGCAAGTAAGGTTATGTTACGAAGTATAATTTAAAACAGCAATGAGGTAGTATAATTTATTAATGTACAATTAGAGTATTACACTGTTATCATACAACTGGCAAAGTATCTTGATAGAAAGTTTAGACATTTCTATTCACAGAATATAATCGTTTTAAATAAAATTCTATCACTGTTGATTAGACTGAAAGCGAACGAGCCAAGAACAGTCTACATCAAGATAATACTGCACAATTTGAAAGTATCGTTTCAAATATTTTCTGATAATGCGAAAGAAGCACAAATACATCTATTCTATATCATTCTATATTACATAAGTCTCTTTTAAATTAACAGAGATCACATAATAATAATTACTCAACGAAGACAATTTATTACAGCATTTGTGAATTCCGTTGTAGAACTCTGTCCACCTAAATCTTTCGTCAATACTTTTCCATCGTTTAAGACACGATTTAGTGCGTCTTTTATCTGTTCGCTGTAGTGTTTCAAATTAACATGACGTAAAAGTTTCACGGCGCACAAAAGCAGGGCAGTAGGATTTGCAACATTTTTGCCGACAGCTTCTGAATACGTGTGTCTTGCACCCTAAATTATAAATAAATTTTTGTTAAGTTTCATAAAAAAGGTTAACTTCAATTTTTCTCATAGTACGTTCAATAATTGTACCGGTTCAAAGACGACACACTCCGGGCTGTAACTGGCACCTGCCACTACACCTGCACCGCCGACTAGACCAGACGCAAGATTATCTAAGATATTACCATACAAATTTGGTAATACCATTACATCAAACTGGTGTGGATTAGATACCATTTGCATTGTACAATTATCCACGATCATTGTTTCAAACGTAACCCTATAATTACATCGGAAAACATAAAATAAGAGTTGTAAAGTAAAAAAAAGATCTATAGTTACCTAGGATACATCTTAGCAATTTCTTGGCACGATTTTAAGAAGAGACCATCGCCAAGTTTCATGATGTTAGCTTTGTGAACGCACGTAACTTTCTTGCGATTATGCTTCACCGCATAATCAAATGCAAATTTTGCAATCCTTTGACTCTTAGTTGCTGTTACTATCTTCAAACATTCTACCACCCCCTTTACAGATTCGTGTTCCAATGCAGAATATTCTCCCTCTGTTTGTTCTCTGATAATAATACAGTCCACATTGTTATGACGGCATTTAATACCAGGCAGAGATTTTACATGCACAACGTTCGAATATAAATCTAAACTTTTACGCAGTTTCATGTTTAACGTTTGTAGTTCCCCGGTAAGGGAATGGTCCGGCGTTGCTAAAATACCCTATTAACAGACGATTAATATTTAAAATTAGATTTTTAATATTCTTAGAGACTTATACTTTTACGCGAACATCGTGTATAATAAAAGTACCTTCAAGCATACTTGATTTCTTGCAATACTATTAGATACTTGTTCGAGCGGTGCGCTCAGTGTTGGGTTTACTTCCGAGAGGAAGTAAGGTTCAAATTCAACCGGTACATTGGCTGCTTTGAAAACGCTTTGAACCGAAACAACCAGTTCCGGCCCGACACCGTCTCCTGGTATGAGGGTACATTTTATCTTACCATCTTGTTCGACCACCTAAAAGAAACAATTCTATATATATGCGCAACAATCATTTTTAAAAGAGAGTTTAATACATACAGCATCTTGTTGACATACTGCTCCTAGATGAAATGTTCTAACAGTTCCCTTTTGGGCAGTCTGCGAGTAAAGATATCAAGTGTCATTGAATATAATAAATTGCCAAGAAACATAATTTCTCTTTAAATATAATTGAATTATTTATATTCGAATTAAAACCTATTTTTATAAAGACATCGGAAACGGGAACGTAACGATTGAGTAACAGTCAGCGAAGTAATTCCGTTTTATCGATTTCATTAACTGAAATTTAAGGATTCGTTGGCTTTAATATTTTCCGATTGTAAAGTAGAATATCGATTTATTACGTTTAATTTTCTTTATTACTAAATAATAATTGTTGTATGTGCTATAAGAGAAAAATTATTTCATATGTAATGTCCTTGTGATAATCATTGGCACTTCTTTTGCTCGTACTTATATATTATTCGATTCAATGCAATCACTGCATAGGATTCGGCCGTATTTTTATTCGGTAAAATATTCGAAATTCTAATAATCGTACACGTAATAAAAGTTTCTCGCTTTAATCGTATGTGCATTACCTGCGAAAATAGCTTGCAGATGTTTCTCGCGAGTAAAGCCATTTTCCACGATGGACCCTACTGTCGGTCTCACTCTTGCACTTGTGCAACAGTAACGTATCAAATTTGGTAACAATCAGGACACTTGTATAATTGTATTCCGTTCAAATTATCTTGATCAAAGCGGATAAGCTAAGTACAGTCTACATGAAAAATTACAAAAATTATTCGAGATTAGATAATATTCGAATCCTCTATTAGTTAAGTCGGGTTTTAAACGTTTATTAATAACACGATTGTTCTTGTTATACGTGCTCGCATACAGACCTGCCATCGTCGATCGTTTTAATTCGCGCTTTTTCTGTGTACAGCGCTGAGTATGATAATCTATTGTTTGTTAAATAATTTCTTTTTATTGTTTGTTAAATAATTTCTTTGTATTGTTTGTTAAATAATCTCTATAATTATTTTCTCGAATTTTCTCTGTCTATCGTTTAAGCTTTGTATCTAATTAGGATTTTACATACATAGGTTTCGAAAGAAGCGCGAGGACGAATTAGGGGTGATTAGAAGACAATTGAAAATCACGTTTTTGGCTAATTTTTCTTCTCTTGTTGTTTGACAAATTTTGAACTAAATCAGAGGCATTTTTCTCTTGAAAATACAAATTGTAAAAAATATTAAAAAGTGCTGGTTGCTTCTCTATATTATCTGAATCTCCTGTGATCAGATGGAACACTATTGAATGCGTGTCAATGCGTTCATTGATTATTTATCGGATATTTTCTAATAAACCGTCACTTTATAAATATGCAAAGTTCTAGAGGCTTTTGTTACACCAAGTTTACCGGCGTGGTTTTGCATAGAAATAGAAATAAACGTAAAGGGGGATCGGTGATAAATCATATAATCTATTTTTGTAAAATAGGATTTCATAAACAGTCTTTTCTGATTTTATTATTACTTATATAGATAGTATATTTTAGCCAAGATAATTTAAATATTCGATAAAAATGAACGAGGAACCATTGCGTAAGTAATGCTATGACATTGTAAACATTCGTTCATTGCACGTGCATTTGTGGCTTTGAATATTTACTCGTGAAAAATTTTATTTTAATGTACGTTGTTGCAAAGTTTCGTCGTCGGTTATAAATAAATATTTTAACATTGTGTCGTGTTATTAACAATAGTATTAAATGATCTTGAAAATACTTAAAAAAAGATGACACATCGATGAGTCATTAAAGAAACAATTAAATTTTATTTGAAAATAAGTTATTTCTTATGTCAACATTTGTTTTCAGCGCAAGAGGTGACAAAGCACAGTTTTCGTCAGAAAATATGGGACTACTTGATGGAGAACGAATTAGTCAATTTCCCTTTAACCGTATACAACCGTATACCAAATTTTAAAGGCGCAGCCGAAGCAGCAATGCGTTTAGCGGAGCTGAATGAGTTTAAAAAGGCAAATATTATAAAGATAAATCCGGACAAGCCGCAAGAACCTGTGAGATTCTTGGCGTTGGAGAGTAATAAGGAGATATTGGTTCCAATTCCAAGGTTAAGATCCGCCAAAAGCCTGTTTCTTCACGTTACACCAGTCGCTGGCGCTACAAAGAACAAATTGAGAACATGGTCTAAAATTTATGGTATGACGGAAATTGGTAAACCACTTGGAGTAGACTCTAGCATAAAGGTATATGTTGTATTGTTATTATAACGTTTTGGCATCATTTATGTTAGGTTTTATTTAGTTGTACATTATTTTGAGTTTCTTTCAGGTAGATCTGGTGGTGTTGGGGTCTGTATGCATCAGCCGCGATGGATATAGACTCGGTAAAGGTAAAGGATTCGCAGATTTGGAGTTTGCTATGATGATGAGGATGGGTGCGGTCACGCAAGATACTACAGTTATTACGACTGTACACGATTCTCAGGTTTTTGATAGTCTTCCACCCCGGTTGTTCAAAGAATACGATGTACCTGTAGATATAATTGTTACGCCTACTCAGGTAATAAGAGTGAATCCAAGATTAAGAAAACCTACCGGTATTATATGGCATATGCTTAGCGAAAGGAGACTTAAAACTATGCAGATATTACAGCAGCTGAAAGAGACGGATGAGAAGTATGCGCTCAAATTAAATTTATATTATACAGAGTGTTTTTCAGAAATACACGCAAATGCTTAATTATTTACATGTATTTCTGAAACACCCCGCATAAGCCGGCTGATGTACATAATTATATTAGACTGTTGCACTTTGTATCAGAGACGGGAAAATTGTTACTTTGAAAGAGGAGGATTCCGATAATGAAATAAAGGAACTTTACACGACTCTCCGTAATTATTTGAAGAGTAAGAAACGCACAAGGCCAAGGAAAAGTGTTTCCGTCGGTAACGATAGTTGCGAAGAAGGAGAAAAAGAGAGAGCGGTAAAAACACATTTTTCAAAAAGACGTATATACGATAAATTTAGAGCAGAAGGTCTAATACTCGCTGTTATTTTATTATTTCAGGAGAAACTTAAGAACGATGATAAAAGTGTACAGGAACGTCGTAAAAATCCGAGACCAAAGTCTAAATCACAAACAGAATTTTCTTTAAAGTTATCGAACATTTCATCTGGCACAAGAATACGCGATTTAAAGAATGCATTATCGGAACGCGGAGTTAAACCTAACGAGATAACATGGCAAGGTTGCCGCGGCATTTGCTATCTACATTTTAATAAGCTTAAGAAGAAAAATAGTACGCAGGAACAACCGATACAGGTTGATTCTATAATGGCAAATTTGCAGAAGCTTCGTATCGGTGAGTCTGACGGAAAAGAAAACGATTTTATAATAGTAGAACCCGGTAAACCGATATCTAGAATTGAAGTCACGGACGTCACTTCCGTTTAAACGGGTTGCATGTCGGAATATGGATAACCGTTTAAAGCAATACGTGTTATTTAAATAATTGTATAATTTCTGCCGCTTGTTGTTAGGTATTCTTTCGATCGAGATTGTTAAGTTTCTTGAATCAGCGGTTATTTATAACGTTTTTTTAGAGCAAAGCTTTATAAGTAATTCATGATGCAATTCGCGTAGATACCAGCACAAAGTAATATTGTCTATTGTGCATAAAAGTACGTATAGTAAGTTAAGGTAACTAACTTGCTTCGCATCTATATGAATTATTTATGGTCGGTTAACGAACTCATGACAATACTATATTTTTTATTATCCACTGTGATCACTAAACAAATATTTAATGAATAAGGGTAAATGAATTTAAATAATATCTTGGATGGTCTGTTGTGAAAATTGAAGGGCCGTACAAGATGCATATCTAGCAATTGATAACGCTTATCTGACATTACAGACTGATGATAGTTTAGACAAATCGAAAAATAATAATCATAATGTACCAAACCAACATCGGATATATTATTTCTTTCGAAGAATATTTTCGCAGAAGATAGACAAAGATATAAAATCTATTCTATTTTCATGCTAAAACGGTTTATAGTTGTAATTCATCTGCTAACTAAGAAACGGCAATACTTTTGTGATATTAATGATGCAATTTATCATTCTCATAGTATAAAGATAGATAGTTATTACTTTAAACATCGTTGCTGTTGGTTTTGTTATTAATGCAGCTATTATTGTTTCGATTTATTGTATCTCTCACTAATTATATAATTTGCTCCTTGTATCGATAATATCGATAGTGAAGCTTCCATTACTTTTGTACATTAATAGATTATTCCTGTATATTGAGAAAAATTAAATTAAATTATTAATATAATTATTATCGAACAAGAAAAATATTTTATAATCGTATGATATTCTCGTTTCCATTGGCTAAATCCTTAATATACGTCTTGGTGGAATTATTTTCGTTCTACACCATAATTTCAGTACTAGAAAAATATCTAGACTTTAAAATCATACGACTCTTAATATCACCCATGCTAAATAATTTTTAATTAAAATTTTGTTAGTGAACAATATTTAATTTACACATTATATCGTCATTCATCGGTATGATTCTAAAGTCAAGGTATTTACGTCGTTTTTTTTTGTATTCGTTGTTTCTACCCGAGGTGTCCCTATTCCTTTTTGAATTACAAGCTTTGCCGCGCGAGGCATCGTAGCTCCCCTCTCTCTGCGCACTGGGTACCGCGACGGTGAGTGGCCGCCATTTTGCATTCGTACTCTGACGATTAACGTGGGAAGACGTGTCGAAACGTGGCTAGACCTGTCGGCATTTCGTGATTAATAAGGTGCGTATTTCTAACCTGTTGATCGTTCCTCATTCTAATCACGTTCAATACAGTCTGGATTTAATCATTATGTATTTAATAATTGTTCTTATAGGTATTTTAATGCATTTTTATTCTGTTTCTGCAACAGCTGTTCGTGAGACATCGGAGCACTCCACCCCCACCAATGGGCGCCATTTCTAAACGTGTTCAGACCTGTCGAGACGTGCCGGTGTTTCGAAGCCAAAGAGGTAAGTACGTAGTTTTAAACTTTTCGGTATTTAATCATAATTACTACTCGCATTTACTCTCTAACGGTGCTTTCGTTTAAAATTAATACATTTCTACTTTAAATTGTAATGAAAATTAAATCGTATTACGTTCCCTTCGATATCTAACCGGTGTCGATTTATTATATCTTTTTAAACTAAACTACGTATCTTGTACATCAAATATTGTTTAATTACGATTAGATACGTTTGGTGTAATGTATTTGATTTTAATTTAGATTTTATTTCTGTCGCAGTCTCTGATTGAAATTGAAACACGGGACACAACGCAACAACAACGTCATTACACTTGGAAGCATTGAAATGGTCTCCTAAGGATTAGTAAGATTTAATATAAATATAATATGTGCCATTTATAAATTTTTTTTTATGTGTCCGAAGTATGATGTGTCAGTTGTTGAGTTTACAATCGATTAAGTGGCAAAGTAAATGAGAATTAATTGACGTATTTTATTGCATATTGATCGTGATTATATATTTCGGGGTGTCAAATACTTGCTGACTTTTTACAAATCTCGCTATGAATCGTTGCGATTGCATTCGCATACAATTTTCTCTGCGAGTTGAATAAAACTTAAAAATTACGTAACTATTATATGCCATGTGGATACAATTAGATTACAAACTTTAATTGCTGCAGGTTTCGGAACATTTATAGAAGTCGAAACATATATTAAAATATAATTCGGTTAATACCATCATGCTGACGACTCTAGCAATAAAACGCTGATATATAATATTTTTAAATCGAGCAATTATTTCATAGTTGCATTCATTAATAATATTTTATCATTCAAATTTAATACAATAAGAAGGTACTACATGTATTATTTTAAACCAATAGCAGTATTTCCATTAATAGTTACTATATCAAGTAAGAACAAAAGATAGGAAAGCACAGGCGTGCTTCTTGTATATTTCTTGTGTCCTCTCCCATTTTTATTTTCAGGAAATTTGTTGGCCGCGCGCAATGCGGCTGGTAGCTTCAGTGATTGTTCGTAGCAACAGTTTTGTTTTTTGGGGCAAAATGGCCCTTGGTAAATAGTCCTTTATATGTTAGGCAAACGCGACAATAGAATCAGTGTTTCTTACGCAATTTTAAATTATTTCTAGAGCGTCGTGGCTCTCTTTGTTTTATGCTCGCGAAAATAGAGTCATTTGTTCGCCGACTTTGATCTTCGGTCGCGGTAACGTAGCTTCATTCCTCCCAGTAAACTTAATCAATTTTTCCCTTTGAAATTAAAACTTTTCGTTGCCGGTACTAGAGTCAATACATCACTGAGAAGGAATATTGGGCAATGCTCCACAAGCAAACAATGTAGGTATAAATTTATACTTTGAAATTTGTAATTAAAAATCTCTATAGTTTTAACAATAGATTCTAATTGTTTTCTTCCAGTCTTTTTACAGTTTCCAAACCTGATCGTGGAATGCAGCAGCAGTACCCAGGGGGTATCTGGCGCTGGACCATGAGTGGACAACGTAAGTACAAATTTATAGTTTGAAATTTCTAATTAAAAATCTCTGTAATTTGAACCATAGATTCTAATTGTTTTCTTGCATACTTCTTACAGTGTCTGGACCCAAACCTAACCAGCAGGACAACCTAACGCAGCCATTGCAGAGGTACAAGTTCATCACTGGTGAGTCGCATGTGATTTTTGTTCCTCTGGTCCCCGATCATGTTGTAGGATGAAAGATCCGAATCAACACGGGTGACCAGTTGTATACTTGCTTTTCTGTGACGAGTTAAGTGACCATGGGTATTGAAAATATCCATGAGTAGTAACACCAATTGCTATATTTCTTTAGTGCAGGCTAGAGTCTTCTTGCACTCGCGTTTTTTAAAGTTACAAATAAATATTAGACAATATGATTATTATAAAATTTGTATAAAAATATATAAAATAGTTTTTATAAAATATATGAAATATTTTTATTAACTTTATGTGAATTATATGATTCAATGGAATATGAATTGATATAATGTTTTCACATTATATCGATGATCCGATAGAGCATAATATAAATATCAATTTTTATAACATTATGCAATAATGTTAATAACATTAATATAATTCTTAAATATTGATCGTTTCCTTAATTAATACATCATATGATGTATTTTACGTGCAAGAAGACATTTCGCGACTGGTCGATTTTTGAGTCAAAGTAACATGTATTGTATACTAGTTTCATCTTTTTAAAAATTTACTTTGACGATAGAATCGATCATGGATTGTTGAATTTTTTATATAATGATTTATTAAACTTATTTCAATAATATATTTCAATTTTCAAATAAATTAATTCAATTTTAAAGTAAATTATCATAAAACCTTAAATAAAGTCTTTTTTTCATATAATTAAATTTCAATTCTAATAGTTTGTTTTGAATAATAATATTTTTCAATATTAATGTATTGTGTTGTTGATATATTTGATATAACAAGTCGAGTCTTTTTGATTAAAAATTAAATAAAAACTACCGTTTAGATATATTTAATTAACAACTTTTTCTAGTCAGGATTTTCAGATTATTCTTTCCGTGTTCGTTGCCTAAGTTCATGCACACGCCCAGGTGCTAATTGCATGAGCGAAGGCAACGGGCACGATGACTTAGATTATAACAATTTATAATAATATATCGACGATTGACATTGGTTAGTGTATCGTGCACGGTGTACTTTCCACATATGTGTGTGTGGTTAGGTTGTGGGAAGTGCATCGTTTCAGAAGTTTTTGCAATTATAATATCTATACAGAATTTGCTAAGAATAGATTTTTATCAGTTGTAATGATAATATAAAATTTCTCTATACCATTTATTTGATAATTGTCAATGTTGCATTCACAAAAGTAATATTATCGAATGCTTAATAGATTTACAATCTTAATACTTTTAAACGTTAAATGAATTAAATAAATAAATTAAAACGTTCCATATGAATGTTTTTATATATAATAAAAATACGCAATGGTCTCTAGCCTTTGTCAATCGATTTCAGAAACTGGTACGTACATTTAGAGTGTGAATGAAGTGTTATGTCCGGGTGTCGGGGGAACCCCGGGGAGTCCCCTCTAGTTTAGGTCGCGCCCGGACATTGAGAATGAGAACCGTGGAGTGTTTGTTTGAGAGAATGAGTTTTGCAATTTTTTAAATATAGCGTTAGGTAGGTAGGTAACTTTCTGGTATGTGTGTTAATTGTAAGTAGGTAGGGTCAGGGCAGGACTGTCCACATTAGTTATTCGGGCAGGCGCGTTTTCGCGTGGCAGTCCTGTTCCTGTAGTTACGATTTCGAGAGTAGAACTCTTGCTGATTCAAACAGTTTTTACTGTTTGTTTCGGCTTTAGTTTCGACTCCTCGAATCGCGCGACTTTTAAAGTCGCTCTCTCGCGCTCGCGGTCGTGATCAGGTCCCTTTCGAAACGTTCGTCCCCCTCGAGATGACCACGTATGCTCTTTCAACAATTCGTATATTGTTGGAAGACTACGTATTGCACGAAATCTCGAGCCAAGTCTTAAGTAAGTTTCAGGCATCGGCAGGACCGCCGAAGAAAGAAAAGACTCAAGGAGTCGAAGAGGCCCTGACAAACTGTTTCAAGAGCGGGCTGCAACAAATGGCTATTCATCTTCATCCTCGGATGAGGATGGAAAGCCATTACTGTTACTACTTTGTCACTTTATCTCGTCAGTAGTTTTGTAGTTAGTTTGTTTTTTTGTCTGGCTCACGTATGCATGTACCTGATGGTACATGATTGCACCATACATGCCAGCCATCTCTCCCCATAACTCGCGGTTATGATATACATAGAGTTGCGAATATGCAATAATCGCGTTTGCTTATAGAGTTGCGAATTACTGTTTTTCGCGTTTCCGTTTCAGAGTAGTGTTGCGACTTGACACGATTCGCGATTGGTTTTCCGCAAACATAGGTACCGAATGTTTGCTTAAAAATAGCGTTGCGAACTATTGATAAACGCGATTGCTCGTAGAGTAGCGAATTACTATTTTTCGCGTTTGCTTTTCAGGGTAGTGTTGCGAATAATCACAATTCGCGTTGCTTTTTTACTCTTGTACATAGAATGGATATCAACCGCGTTTGCAATTTTCATATTATAAATTAGCGTTGCGATCTTGATTCATCGTGCGATTTTTTATTTAGCGTTGCGATACTTTGAATGCCCAAATTCGACCCCATTTGTAGTACTAGAAGTAGTTAGATCATCTTGTGGCCAGTACATGTAAATTTACATGTACCATTAGCCCCTGATTCAAGTTAGAGTTGCGAATAATATACAATGTTCGCGTTTGCTCGTAGAGTTGCGAATAAATATTTATCGCGTTGATACGTTAGTGTTGCGAATAAACACGATTCGCGATTGTTTTTATGTAAACCTAGGAACCGGGAGTTTGCTTTAAAAATAGCGTTGCGAATTATTGATAAACGCGATTGCTATTAGAGTTGCGAATTACTATTTTTCGCGTTTGCTTTTCAGGGTAGCGTTGCGAATAATCAGAATTCGCGGTTGCTTTTATTCTTCTAAATCGCGTTTGGAATTTTTCTATTATAAATTAGCGTTGCGATTGTTTATTTATCGCGTTGTTTGCCCCTTAGTGTTGCGTTATTTAAAACGTCTAACTTCATCCCCATATGTGCCACTCTATTGTAGTTTGAAGTAGCTTGAAGTAGTTAGTTTATTATGTGCATGTATGTTTGTAGCTACAACCGAAGACGCCAGCACCTGATTCAGCATTTTTGGGCAAAACGCGATTTGAATTAGCGTTGCGAAACATAAATATAATATTTCTATTAAAGATAGAGTTGCGAAAAATATACAATAATCGCGTTTGCCTGTAGAGTTGCGAATTAATATTTTTCGCGTCTCCTTTTCAGGGTAGTGTCGCGAATTCTATACGCGATTGCTTTTATTATTATTTAAAAATAGTGTCGCGAGTTCACCGATCGGTTTGATCTTAGCGTTGCGAATTACTATTTTTCGCGTTTGCTTTTCAGGGTAGCGTTGCGAATAATCAGCATTCGCGGTTGCTTTTATTCTTCTAAATCGCGTTTGGAATTTTTCTATTATAAATTAGAGTTGCGGTCATGATTTATCGCGTTTTTTATTAAGTAGTGTTGCGATACATTGCCCAAAAAATGACGCTGGTCACTGCTGCAGAATCAAGAAGCAGCTGATATTCCTCAAAGCCTCAGAAGGCTCAACGTTATTATTAAAATTAGTGTTGCGTATGATTGAATATAGGTGCACGCGATATAATTAATAAAGCAATCCTTTATCATTTGTTTTACGAATAATAAGCACCATTCGCGTATACTTTTCTATTTCATAAATTAGCGTTGCGAAAAAAAGAATGGTCCACTTCACGGGTTGTTTTCTGAATTTATGAGTGGACAATTTATTCTAACTATGTAGAATATATATTTATCAATGGAAATACTGCTCGAAATTACTGTTTTATACAGATCAAATGTTTCGTCTTTCATAACGTGTACAAATTTGTAATTTTTATGAATTTATAATTTTCATGTATTTAATAATGCTCTTTTATAATTAAATTGATCATAGATTTAGTTCACTATTTCAATATATATCAGTATTTATTTATTATTAGAGTTGTTCATTTTTACGGGGTATAGTAACCTTTTCGGCTGCAATATTTATTTGTAAATAGTGGATTTTTTTATAAATTTTCGGAATTCCTTGCATTGATTAAAGTTTGTTCGCGATCATTCTTTTAATTAATGGAAAATAAAATGCTTGCGTCAAAAGGGTATGCAAATTGCAATTGGATATTTCGTATTGAGAGTTAATTTCCGCGTAGAATCGTCATTGCTTTTTTAGTACGAATCTTATCTTGATTTCAATACAGTAAAATATAATAATTGCAATATATACGTCTTAATTCACGCATCGAATAAAATGAAAATTCTTTAATCGTTCAAAAATTAATTTTATAATATCAATTTTACTATGATCAATGAACATGATCTTACTTTTACACTACATTATTATTATTTTCCGTGTGCACTAATACATTTTCATTTCAGCTACTAATCATTTCTACAAGTTCTTTTTACAGAGTACATAAGCATCGAAGAATGAAATTGGAAGTGGTATATGGAATCGAATTTTTATCGCCTTTAGGGAAACATCTGTTGTATACAATTTTATTTATCGTCTGAATTTATGTTTCAGGAAAACATCGTGGCATCAATAGAAGATCTTCAAGAAGAAAATATCTGTTCATATTTCTTTATTTTGTAGGAATTGTATTTATTGTTTGCGAGTTACGTTTTAGAAGAGCATCGTGGGATTGACAAAGACATCATCAGGAAGATTATTTCTGCAGATTGCGTTAGAATATAAGTATTAATTATAATTACGCGATTATAAATACTTTGTAAGATACGCGTGCGTACATTTATCGTAACATATTGTAAGAACGGCGTCTTATCACGATTAATATTAAGTTACGTATTAGTATTTTAGCAAGTAAGGTTCATAGGTGCAGTTGTAGATTTGTACGTGGTTTTTCAGTGTCTTATTAGACACCATCAGGGTACAAGATTCCATTTAAATAGGAACAATTGATATTAAGATACCTATTGGTATTCTACAAGTCAGTGTTCGTACGTGCAGTTGCACATTCCAGTTTCGTTCTTCGAAAACATGTGGTGGATTGCCACGCATGTATTTTGTTAGTTTTTGGTCTGTTCTTTCGAGCAGTTCTTTCGAAAACTCTTCCTCTATTGCTAGTTTCTTTGGACGAAGTATAGTTAGGATTCCTCGCCAAAGGAGGGTGGTTGGGGCGAGGTTGGGGCGGGTCTCCATTCGCAGCAACCTCCTCGTGGTGAGACCTGGGTCATTATTATTTAGTATGCAATTAATAGTTATTAATTACATAGCAAATAAAATGAGCTAATGGCTGCGATCTTCCTCGTATAGTTTCACATATGTTCTTCCGAAACTATTCCATTTGTCGTAACAATCGCAAAAGCATTTCATTGTGTACTTACTTAGTTCTCACAAAAATTTCGACACACACTCGAATACAGATCGATTTAGGTTTGGATCACTTTCATGTTGGTTCTATCGGCATACTTAGTTTCATTTCTTACCGTGAACAGCGTTGAATTCTTATTCCACGCTAAATCAATAGCGTTGAAATGGTAAGGAGGTTTTCTACAGTCGCTAGAATCTTTAAATAGAAGGTTCCATCGAATGTAGTCTGCTCTGTACTTCGTTTGCAAATTTTATTAATATTAGTAATATTAATTCTTTCACAGAATTCTCTCATAATGGGTTCGAATGATCCACGGATCATTTTGCGGTCGGTAACATGGATCGAGTCCATGTTACCGACAAGGAAAGATACCGAAGCGTCGATTGTCAAATTTTATTGAGTCGATGCTCGAAACTTTGGTATGTTTCCTTATAAGTGCAATCTACCAATTTCGTTAGTGTCCAAAGTCTGTACACTCTTAGAACTTAGAAAACTTTAGGCAGTATAATTTCCCCTTATATTTTAAGCAACAATTTGTTATTCGCAGCTATCAGTTCGGTGTTACCCACGAAGAAAAACATTCTTCATCGTGGGTAACGCCGATTACCAGGAAAGGAGATAGATGGAATCTACGTTTCCATCGATCTCCTTTTCACATTTTTATATTTCTAAATTTCGGGAGATAGAAGGAATCCAAGTTCCTTCGATCTCCCTAGTTTAGTTCCGCCAAGCAATTTTGATGAAACAAAAAATTTTAAGAAAAATCGCCAGGTGCTAGGTGCCTAAATTTTTCCACGAAATTAAAAAATTTCAAATCGTTCTAAAAAAATTATTTCCGTTTACCAGGGTCAATTATAGTCGTTTTTGGTGAATGGGCATACCCCCGAATTCCTACCCAGTTTCGAGAAAAAAATTCGAGTAGGTGTGAAATTTTTCGATGAAAATAAAAAATTTCAAATCGTTCTAAAAAAATTATTTCCGATTACTAGGGTCAATTATAGTCATTTTTGGTGAATGGACATACCCCCGAATTCCTACCCAGTTTCGAGAAAAAAATTCGAGTAGGTGTGAAATTTTTCGATGAAAATAAAAAATTTCAAATCGTTCTAAAAAAATTATTTCCGATTACCAGGGTCAATTATAATCGTTTTTGATGAATGGGCATACCCCCGAATTCCTACCCAGTTTCGAGAAAAAAATTCGAGTAGGTGTGAAATTTTTCGTCAAAATTAAAAAATTTCAAATCGTTCTAAAAAAAATATTTCCAGTTGCAGGAGTCGATTACTATCATTTTTGGTGAATAGACTTCCCCTCGAAATCCTACGCATTTTCGAGAAAAAAAATTCTAAAATGGACCAATTTTACGTCGAAATTAAAATATTTCTAATCATTCTAAAAAAAATATTGCGAGTTACAGGAGTCGATTACAATCATTTTTGGTGAATAGACATACCTACGAAATCCTACGCATTTCCGAGAAAAAAATTCGAGAAGGTGTGAAATTTTTCGACGAAATTAAAAAATTTCAAATCGCCCTAAAAAAATTATTATTAACTAGGGGAGTCAATTACACTAATTTTTGGTGAATAGACACATCCGCGAAATCCTACACACTTTTGAGGAAAAAATTCGAGTAGATGGATTTTTTTGAGAAAATTAAAAAATTTCAAATTGTTTTGGAAAAATTGTTTTTAGTTACAGGGGTCAATTACAATCATTTTTCGTGAATACACGTACCCCCGAAATCTTACGCATTTCCGAGAAAAAAATTCTTTATCGAAAATATAATGTGTGGCCTGATATGTTTTCTCGTAATTTCTGGTGTATGTTTAAAAAATCATAACTTCCGAACGGATTGAAGGATTTCAATGTTTCAAAATGCAAACAATGCGTATTTGTGAGTCACACTTGGATTATAATGTTGTTCGAGAACCCCATAGATATAGGGTGAAAAAATCCATTGAATGTAGTGTCCTTGTTGTATACCTCGTCTCTGGTGTTACCCTCTGAATCCCTTTGACGAAATGGCGCCGGTGTTATCGATTATTTGGCACTCCTTGGTCAAGCACGCTCGTTTATGCCAAATCTCCATTTACGATTCTCGTAAACATCGATTACCACAAATCAGAGTTTTGCGAAAACGTGTTCGATGCTATTAGGGTCGCGTCGACTCTTGCTGGTTGCCACCGTAAAAATAGATCTCTCTTTGATCGTACAAACGGAATAACAGTTATAGGATTTTCTTGGTTTAAACATTTACAAAGGATATACGGAAAGGGAGATGGGTACTGGTTCAACGAAATGTCCAACTATGTTCGTCTTCGTGTTACAATGTTTTTCTATACTTTTCGTGAATCGTTTACAAAATTACATCGTTTTTTGTGTTTGTATATCGTATTATTAAGAGTGCAATCGTTGATTCTGGGTGCATCTATCATAGAACATGCGTTACCCGAATGTTTTGCTTTCGCAGAGTATCCTCCTTTATTCATTAAACGTTTATGCAGAGCGTCTCGTGCATTAATATTATACATGTTGAGAGACGAGTAGAATATTCGGTAAAAGATAGTAAAACAAAGAAATATTCCATAGTTTTCGAAGCCACAGATTTTGCAACTTTTCACCGGAAGAGTACCATAATACTTTTTTTGTAGCGATTGAACAGGGAAACGAATGGAATTCTATTTGAAGAAAGGGTGCAGTTGCAATTGCATTCGGTTTGTGCACTGTTCGATGTACCGTTTTAAAACACGCTAAGGGTCGAGGGTGGGGGGGGGATTGAAGGTGAGGTTTTCGATACTCGACTATTTGCGTTTTAGCGCTGGAAAAATTGTTCCGGTGGAATTTACGAGGTGGAGGGTTCCGGGCTCGCGTCGATGTAGTCGATGTCGGATGATGTCGCGGTGCTCGCGCGTTTCCCTTGCCTCGGGGACGCGTTTGTGCGCGTCTTGACGTTCGTCGTCGAGACGCTCAGCCGGTTCCCGGCCCGTTGCGTCGGTTGTTGCTTCGTCCTGAAACCCGACAGATCGGTATATCGTTCGTTCGCAATAAATAATCGGGCAAATTTCGACCTCACTTGAGTCTCTTTTCGGCACTCATCATGGCAGTGTTCAGTTCCTCTTCCCACTGTCTCTCCTTCTTCTCCATTTCCCTCCTCTCCATCTCTCGTTCTCGATTGTACACACGATATTCTGGAATGAATGCTAATCTCCGGAGATCCACGCTCGGTCCGGCGCCTTCCGCAAGCCCGAGTGCATCCTCCGGGGTTTGTTCGACTTTGAGAGATCTGCTTGAACGATAAGTGGAACTGAGTGCTCTATCCCCCTCTTGTCGGTAGTAGACCAAGTCTAAGTTTCAGCAAATCGAAAGAATAAATGTCCCGGGAGGGTGAAAATCGAGGAATCGTCGCCATTTTCGGGAATTACACGTTTCTGGTATTTTTAGACAAACTCGAACACTTTCGGTGGCGGCTGATTTATTGCCAACGTCTGCTGCTCGGTGTGAAAACGAAAATATCATTTCTAGAAACGAAGACGAGTTTTCGATTTCGTTACCTTTGCTTCGCCAGACGTTTCTTCTTTTTGTGCAACGGCTTCGTCTCGATGATCATCTCCTCGAGCTCGAACGTCGGATCGCAATTGAGATGATCCTTTGGCGGCGCGAACGCCGGCTTGATTTGCTTGTTCAGCACTTTGTCGAAGTCGAGGCCTCTTATCACGTTCACTTGTTTCAGTTCCTTTAACGTCGATACCCGAGCGCCTGGCGCCACGGTTAATAGACGGTCTAGAAGATCGAGGAACGAAGGACTCCACCCGGCTGGTCTCGGCCTTTCCTCCTACAGGATCGTTCATTTATTCAGAGGGCCGGGAAACTTTCGGAAGATCAGTATACATTAGAACTAGACTGCGGATGTTTATGCATTTATGGGGAATTTTAATTCTCAAAATACTACAAAATGCACTTAATATGCAAAAATATAAGAAATAAAGTAAGATACGAATTATTATATTTAAGGGTCGAGACAATCATCTACAAAGCTCCTTTAATTAATTCTATTAATAAAAATATGAATTTCCATGAAGATCCGCAGTCTAATTATAACTATTTAAAGTTATTTAATGTTAATCCGGATAGAACTCATCCGAAGTTTAATGTTTAATGTGTTTAATGTTTCGATTAGAATAAGAAGCATCTGATATCGTGACGTACGAAGAGTGCTTTCTATGAAAGAAAAGTACAACTCGATAGCTAAGGAGCAGAGGTCTTACCGACGAAGATGGAAGATGGAAGATATAAAAAGGTTTTATCGTAAATTTTACCTGTAAAATCCGTAAAGCTTCTCTGTGCGACGTAGTGGAGTGAAGAGAATAAGGCCGTTCTCCTGCAAGAGTTTCCCAAGCAAGAATTCCCAGACTCCACCAATCCACGGCGAAGCCGTAACCAAGAACACCATACTCCTCGCAAGAGCACATGTAAATCTCTGGTGCTGTGTCGGAAGAATTATTAATTTATTCAAACGGAATTATAACGTTCCTTTTTCTCAAGTATTTCAAGTAATTTTCAACATTTTATCTTTCAGAATTGGACGTCCGATTAATTAGTTACCTATGTACGGTTTCGTTCCTGACATCGACGTCGCCAATTCGCCATTCTCCAGCACCGTCGCGATGTTGAAGTCCGTCACGTGCGCGTGTCCTGTGCATAATTTTTTTTTATTAATTTCCACGTGTTTGTAAGGGGAATCGATATATGTTCGCGTAGACACAATTACGACCGTCTACGAATTTCACGATCTACGTGGACGCGAAATTGATCAACTGTCAGCTGCCTATCGGTGCCGATCAACATCTGTCGTGCAATGTAAACGGACCGTCAAAATGTCATCTGCATAGCCTCGATCAACCTCAAGTATCGAGGAGTATCCTATTATCCTTTTGGTGATCGGATCTGTTGACCTTTGACGCTCCGAAACATCGTTGACATTTCGTTGCAGCTGGTCCCACGCTCGATTCACATATTCATCGAAGACTTGTCCTCATTTTTCTCCGATTTATTAATTGCACACGCAACACGGAGTCTTGTTTTTAATTTCCCGGGGAAGTTTGTGAAGTCTGGTCCCGCGGCCCTTGGCCGTAGCGGTGAAAAGGGTTACAAAACGGAGGCTTTGTGCCGCAGAAAAGATTTTACGAACAATGGAGCGTCGTGCGCCGTGTGCGAGATAAAATGCGATAGCAATTGCCAAGTGACACCGGTCCCCCGTAATTTTAAATGATGCAGAAGCAATTCCAAGGTTTAAACAGCTGTCGGCTGAGTGCAGCCGGAAATTAGGGTTACCCTTTCATCGGGGATCTACATCTGGTGTAATACTTTCGTCGATCCTCCTCTTCCTTTTTTTTATTTCGCTGTCACAAGTCATTGAAAACGTGAAAATTTTTTCGTAAAAATTAAAAAAGTTCAAATCGTTCCAAAAAAATTATTTTTATCTAGGGGAGTCAATTACACTCATTTTTGGTCAATAGACATAACCCCCAATACCTACCCAGTTTCGAGAAAAAAATTCGAAAAGGTGTGAAATTTTTCGACGAAATTAAAAAATTTCAAATCGTTCCAAAAAAATTATTTTTATCTAGGGGAGTCAATTACACTCATTTTTGGTCAATAGACATATCCCCGAAATCCTACCCAGTTTCGAGAAAAAAATTCAAAAAAAAGAATAAATTTTTCGTTGAAAAAAAAATTCCAAATCATTTTGGAAAAATTATTTTCGGTTGCGGGGGTCAATTATAACTATTTTCGGTCAATAGACATATCCTCAAATTCCTACCCAATTTCGAGAAAAAAATTCGAGTAGGTGGAGAAATTTTTTAAAATTAAAAAATTTTGAATCATTTTGAAAAAATTATTTCCGATTACTAGGGTCAACTATAGTCATTTTTGGTGAATGGACATACCCTCGAATTCCTACCCAGTTTCGAGAAAAAAATTCGAGAATGTGTGAAATTTGTCGTCAAAATTAAAAAATTTCAAATCGTTCCAACAAAATTATTTTTAACTAGGGGATTCAATTACACTCATTTTTGGTAAATAGACATAACCCCGAATTCCTACCCAGTTTCGAGAAAAAAATTCGTGAAGTTGTGAAATTTTTCGTCAAAATTAAAAAATTTCAAATCGTTCCAAAAAAATTATTTTTAACTAGGGGAGTTAATTACACTCATTTTTGGTCAATAGACATAACCCCGAATTCCTACCCAGTTTCGAGAAAAAAATTCGAGTAGATGGATTTTTTTGAGAAAATTAAAAAATTTCAAATTGTTTCGGAAAAATTATTTTTAGTTACAGGGGTCAATTACAATCATTTTTCGTGAATACACGTACCCCCGAAATCTTAGGCATTTCCGAGAAAAAAATTCTTTATCGAAAATATAATGTGCGGCCTGATATGTTTTCTCGAAATTTCAGATTTTTAAAAAATCATAACTTCCGAACGGATTGAAGGATTTCAATGTTTCAAAATGCAAACAATGCGTATTTGCGAGTCACACTTAAATTATAATGTTGTTCGAGAACCCCATAGATATAGGGTGAAAAAAATCCATTGAATGTAGTGTCGAAAGCACAACGGACTGTTTTCTCAACCTTTCATGCTCCTTTCGATCCATCGAAGTACGTGCATCATCGTACGCGAAGAAATGGAAGTACGATTCCGATTCCAAAAGGAGGAATACGTTATACGGTTCAGTTTATGTTCTTGTCGAGCACGAGATCTTATAAAGCGGCCTCCTTTTCGATCGCATTTTCCAATAACTTTTCCTCCTTCCAATTCGTTTTCCTGAATTTTTGAAAAATTGATTCGCGATGGAAGCTCTTTTAAAACGACGGGAATTGTGAAGAGAAAAACTTGAAGATAAACAATGTAATTGTTGAAATAGAAGTAGATCTCCAGTGGACGTCTTGTAAAGTGAAGTATTGCGAGAGAAACATTAACTTTTCGTTGACTTGATCTTGGAATTTTTTTTATCGCAGAACGAATATGCGGTGCATATGGTAACCGACGGTTTATGAGATTGATAGAAGGGTCATCGGAGTCCAGGATGATCGTGTCAAAGGGTGAAAGGTGAAACATGAATGGCCTCCAGGAGCCCTCAGGGTCGAATGAAAACCGTAAAATTATTTATAGGTTGAGTCAGTCGGCTCGTCGGTCAGCGCGAGGAAAGAGAGAGGAAAATTACCGGATCTGCAGCACGGTACGTCATCGGAATATAATGCGGTTCTCCATTGTAGCCGTTCTTTGACCTTTCGTGAACCTTTGGAAGCGGTTCTCCGGCAGCATTACATCCAGTCAATCACCAAAACTACGGGTAACATCGATATCCGTGTTTTCATGATCGAGATTTTACTTCCAGAGTTATTTTATCCGCCCCAAATTGTTTCGAGACGACACGCGAAACGCCCCGTTCGAATCGAACTCGGTCGAGTTCGTCAAAAGAGAATTCTATAGAGACCGCAGAGCGTAACCCTACAACAATTCCCCAATTGGCAGGAACAGCGACGTGGCAATCTTCGTGATCACGATCCATTTTGTAGGGCCACGAGGCGTTTGATTGCCACGTTTGTTTGCTACGATGTCGAAATCGGATGTAAACGGGGAACGGTTGATATGCAAATGAAGTTAGCGAGGGCTTCCGTTCAATCGTACCGACCGAACATAGAATTTCGGGTTCGCGTTAGGGAAAGCTGACCGCAGAGCCGAGTTTTATTCACGAATGACGGGATAGAAACTTGAGGATAATTCGTAGATCACCTTTCATTTATGTTTCATTTGCAAATGGGGCACGTACCTTCCTCGTCCAGGAGGATGTTGTCGGGCTTTATGTCTCGGTGAACGATTTTGTGGCTCTGCAGATAATCGAGGGCCAACGCGATCTCCGCTACGTAAAGCAACACGCTCTTCTCCGTGAATACGACTTCCTGTTGTATGTGGTACCTTAAGTCGCCACCGAGGAGCAAGTCGGAGACCATGAACAGGTCCTCCTCGTCTGAAACGAAAAGGCACGGCTTTATATTTAGGGAGTTCGATTCGCCTAAAACTGTACGTCGATCCTGTTTTCGGACGAAGTATATTTAGTAACGAGAAACTCGGTAACAAGTGCAATAAATTGGACGTGACAAAGGGAATCGCTGGGCTTTGGGATATTTTCGAATGAAACGCGGTTAATCGAGGGAGTAGGGAAAAACTGAAGGAAAATGGCCGTTGACAATTGGCTCGAGTTGAACGTCTTTGACGATCGCGATGAAAGATCGATAATGACGAGGGATGGGGAGGCGCTAATCGGATCTTGGCTCTTTATCCGATTCGCAGAATCCGCGAACGATCGGCTTACCTTGGAAACTGAACCACAGATTGACCAAGCACGGATGTTCCAGTCGTGAGAGGATCTCCACTTCTCGTATCACATTTTTCAACGCACCCCTTTCGACACACTCGCCCTTATGAACGTACTTCATCGCGTACATCGTCTCTGTACGGTCTTGTTTCTTCCGCACTATGCACACCTATTAAGAAATAATTGCTCGTTAACGAACGAGGAACGAGGAACGAATTACGAATCACGAATTACGACTAGTTGTTTCCAGTGGGGATAATTAGTCGTTGTTAAGCCGTCGCGGAGAAGGAAATTCGAGACAATGGGATATGGAAATTTTCAGATTCGAATTCGGTTTATCAAAGGTTGGGAACGAGTTTACGAAATTGCACTTATTAGTCAATTCGAAAGTTATGAATCGGAAATAGAATATTTCGAAATTTTAATCCTCTTTCGACGCTTAAAAGTTGCTTCAAGTATAAGAATTGAATGACTGTGCAAAGATTATTGTCTGTTTTATAAAATTATTTATAAAAGCCCCGGAAACCTTCAAATTTAATACCCGCGATTCGATAATAATCAACGTCTCATTAGCTCTTCGGTAACGCGTTGGAGGGCACGAGCGAATTATGTATTTTCGATTAATGCTGGCTCCAGTAACTTCTTCGGTTATTATTTTATCATTATCCCGGTTATTATATTCCGATTAACCCAATTCCAAATCGATTACCGAACGATAGAATTGCAGAATCAGAAATTTTATCGGTAATGTTTACATCGATGGAAATGTGATATTATTAAGAAATTATTAAAGGTATCACGATTGCAGTGGTATCAAAGGTTTGGAGAGAAAATGGGAAATTTAATTAAAAGAACGCAACGTTGATAAGTTTTATCTCATACCTTGCCAAAACTTCCTTTTCCAATGGCGCGAAGAATTTGAAAGTGATCGAAATTCACTGGAACGAAAAACGGTGGAAGAGGATTAATAAAAAAGGCTTTCGCTACCGTGTTTATTACATATCATTCATACGCGAATTTGAAAGGATTTTATATTGAAAAATATTAAAATTTTTAATGCGAAACAGTGTTTTATGGTTAAATTGAAATTAACTTCAAAGGTTAGACCGTGAATGCGTTAACGCAGTTCGTAACGACATTTTTATTGAAACCTGTCGTGTTAATGAGGCTTTTCTTTTAATTAGGATATACATATATTCGTATCGTTAAGAACCATCGTGCTATCGATTGATTTTTCGTGGAGGATCGAACGCAAAGGACTGATTAACAGCGCGAATTCGCTGGTTAGGTAAACTAAGGGAGACTGGAACCGACGAAGTTGTGGAAGCCTGCTCCTAAAATCGTTTCGTTGTATCCTGAGAAATTCCGTGCAATTCCGTGTTTTGGAAGCACGTGTACACGCTTGATGGCTTGCCTCGATCCTGAATACTTGACGTACTAAAACTAATTAGCGTATCACTTGAGAGGAGAACGGTCCCGACGATTTTAGCGCAACCTCCGCGAAAGATCGATGCAAGTTACGCCGGATCGTGTTTATTAAAATACACAGGACACGGCTCCGAACAGGTTGAGATGTCCTTCCGACGAGAAAGACGTCGCTATTATTCGCCTCGAACGAATTCAATTCCGATCAAAGGTTCCGCGAAGCGACTTGGAAGGTTTCGCAATTGCTGACATCGATAAAGTAACACCCTGTTACTAATAAGTCAGAGACGGCCTCTCAACTCTTTTCAGGGCCACGCGAGGACAAAGTTTTCGAGCACGGACGGATCTCGCGGCATTTACCTTGAAAGTTTACGCGTCGTTGACAGAAAGGAAATGTATCGTATCTACTCACCTTCTTCCCCGGGGGTGGGGGCGTTTCGCGTCGACTGGTTGGCACCCATTTTCTCCTCTCAATGGATTTCAATACGTAACGCGCAGCCAAGTACTTTTGTCGAGCCGAGGAAAGACAGCCACTCGGAAATCTCATGCTTCCACCACCTCGTGGTTCGATTATTCATCGGATCGACCCTTTTCCCACCGACGATCGTGCCCTTGCTCGTCCCGTTTCGCTCTCCAGCGATCTTGTTTCTTTTTATTCGTATACCCTGATCCGCGACTCTGGTTGTCATTAGATCGCCGATCAAAGATCGCTTTTCACTCAGAATTTCCTACGAGTTCCAACTTAGTTTTCTTCGATTTCCTTCGTGTCCCTTAAGTCTCGGATCTTTCTTCCAGTTTCCTTTGATCGTTCAGTTAGCTGCTTCGCCTCGCAGCTAACATCTTAGGTTGCTTTTTCTCCAACATTCTCGAGCTTGGGTTTCCCGTCAAACTTTGACACGGTCCCTTCGCTCTTTTAAGCTACTTTCGCAGCTTCCGCGATAGCTCGTCGTTCCCTTGCTTTTAGAAGGCGAACGGTCTTCGTTCTATCGAGCTACGTCTTCCGACGGATATTCGCGGTTGGTCAGAGACGAGAGAGGAGAGATCTCCGAAACACGGACGTTTGCTCGTTGGCCCATCGATCTCACCGGTACGAACTGTCGGATTAATTACTGCCACGTCGATTCGCGCATTAATTAATGCTGGTTTCGTGCTGATTTGTCGAATAACAGGGAACAGAAGCGCTGCTGTTCACAATTTGTCAATGGTCGGGGAGCAAATCCAGTATCAGCTAATTGGTTAGTCCAACAGTAAACCGTAGGGTGTATTCGAGATGAAAGCTGAAATCATTTGTAATTCTTGACAATTTTTAGTGCAATTTAATAATAAAGTTATCTAGTATTGAAATTGTTTAGTCTCGCTAAAATGTTCGTAACCGGAAATACACGTCGCTTTTCTTTCCGAAAGCCAATTAGCCCGAATGCGACGCCTTGAAAAAAATTCTCATTAAGTAGCGCTAATTTCCTCGCAACATTATGCCCCGGCGAACTTGTTTACGAACGCGACAAATTTCAGGGGCGATAAATTTCGCCGGCGTTTTCCCGCGTTTTAATGAATTCCCGTCGTTATTTAAAGGACCCCGAACTTCGCTTTTTCTAGGCTTCTTCGTTGAATAATAGAGAGCGTCGTTAATCGCGGCTGTTTGAATGTGTATGTGCATCGTCGAAAAATTCGCGTTTTATTCGAATTTTCAAGCAGTACCGTAGATATCCGCGTCTTCTGCACCCCGTGCACGTTCCGCGTCTTCTTCCGCTTCGAACGTGGCGAAAGATTAGCGTGACTTCTTCTTTTGGTCAGTGTGCACGCGATCGTCGTCGATTCGAAGCCTCTCCTTATCTACGAGGCAGTTCGTAAAGTTGGGATTTTCCTCCGAGCAATTAACCCTTCGGGTACGTTATGCTCGTGCTATGCATCGATCCACGAACCTTCGTTAGTCGTCGACGCATAATCGTGTATACGTATGTTTACCAGTCCCTAAGCAATTGTAAATATTTAAATTCGACAAACAATAACTTTGGTATTAGTTGTTCGGAGCTGATTATGTAATAGCCAGTAACAGGCAGTTTAACGATAATGTTTCTTTTGTCACGTACGTTCGTCTTGGTCAATTTAGTCCTCGTGTTTTATCGTATCGAGCATTAGCAATCCACTCCTTCGAGCAGAAGCAATGCACTTAACCTGTTCCGTTGCAACGACACCCCATAGTCGATCCGATTCTATTGCTCCTCCGTTCTAATATTAATATGTAATCGCGTTTCGCGAAGCTTTATTGACCATCGTGTGTTACAGCTGCCCGTCGATACACGAACGTGGACTTTATTTTCGTTTCTCGGCGGGCGAAACGTGTGTGCTTGGTTGGGATCGCAATAAACCGACCGCGGGGGGGATCGATGAAGCAAAGGGACAGAAGAAAACGCGTTATGATTTCTTATCGCGAACTCTTCCAGGGAGGGGCGTCGATCGTAACTTCTTTCCTCCTCTGTTTATATTCGATTTTTCCAACGATACGTTCAAGACGATTTTCCACGCACATTTCTCGAATAGAAAATTGTGCCGCGAAAGTTGACCACTCGCGATTTCTCATCGTAGAAATGCATCCGCGTGTTATCGTCGTTCGGTGATCTAAACGAGGACTGAAAATTTACGAGAAACCCTTTCAAAAAGCCTCTTCGTTTCAAGCTCTTCGGAATGGACTTTTTTCTCTCCGCTGGGCGCGTAAACCAAACTCATTCTCCCCGATGAAAAGTACGCCTTTCCACGGGGCACTGAAACAGACTAGGGTACTGGACGTTCGGCTACCGGTGTTAGAAATAAAAAAAGATTCCATTTAATCCTTCATTTATTACAGAACTTGGGGGGGGACAAAATTTATTTAACTTTCCTCGCGATGAGTACTGTGCAGAGACGAAGTAAATGGCGTACCAGGTCTGATTGGTTATGGTGTAAAATCTCCTTCGTACGAGCGTTCACCTTTTTCAGTCTCTGGGAAGGAGATTGTACCGTTACTGGTCGGACTCGCCAGTTAATTTTTCCCCTCTGAACAATTTGCTCGCATCACGACGATACGTTTAATCGAAAATTGATTTGTTTAAAGTACCGAGGGTCTGGCCTTTCCTACAAGATGGCCACTTTGAACGTTTCTTCTAAAAATAGGCGAACACTTGGCGGGACAAAAAGGGTAACTATACCTACGGAAACAGAGTCAAGTGAATCGTCGTTACTCTTTTGTCCCGCTTCAAACCCCGAAACAATGCTATATATGTATATTTCTGGTTTCGACTAGTTTCCCCTCTTTCACTATTTTACCTATTTAATTTAATCGTATAAATTGTAACACGCGATGCTATTCGTCACGTGTTTACTTGTCGAGAAAATTAAGTATATTGAGTTTTTTTAAATGGAAACAGGAACCAGATTATGATACCAGAGTCAATATATTCTTGTACGTGTATTATGCAAAATAATTATACTTTTAATCGCACGATTAATTTCTATCAAGGTTTCGTATTTTTATCGTCATTTTATTAATATGCATTTGCATATACATACACGGTCCAGTGATAATCGATCGTTTTCGTTAATTAAATTCGTTTTGAAATACATATTTACGAGAATATAATTTGCAAATCGGTACATGGATCATCGGTACATATCGCTTAATATGGAATTAACGTTTGTAAAATCGTGCAGCTATTTCCCTTTCGTTTGTACCAGTGTCCAACCAGACAAGTTCGTTATTACTCGTCCATACTTTTTGTTTCGATAATATTGCTTGAGTAATTCTTTGATAATATTAAACGTATCACGTGTACGTGGGAATTGCACTTAAAAAATTGCACTCACTTACGAGTTTCCATGCGCACGTGTTCCGAAATCGAACGAGTCGTTGATCCGTCGAACGGCGAACAGAAATAGAAATCGCGCTTAAAAATATTTTCCAACCGAATTCTCGCTGACTGATAAATAAACCTTCCGAGTACCCTAGGAATCGTATGCACGCACGATATCACGTTGCGTGAATTGAATTTTCTACGTAGCCAGCGGCAGTGTTAACGATTCGCATCATTAACTCGCACGGGAAGTTCATTCGAACAGAAGCGTTGCTGCTTTACAAGCATTTGCCAATAGAAATTTTATTATCAATTATTGGACTTTCTCGGCAAGTTTCGGTCAAATGAATTTCATCGCCAAGTTTGTTCAAGTAAAGAGATTTGTCAATTTTTCAAGAGTCGTGCACGAATACCCCCCCTCCCGGAAATATTTTCTATCAACATGTATTTCCACGGTTCTATGGATCGAAATGGAAACCAGCTATCCATAAAACTGCCGGTGGAAATAGTGTTAATTTCTGGTTTCACTAGATCATTTCCTCCTCACCGATTGTTCCGCGTGCGATATCGATCAAGAGTCCACTTCCGGTCGGTTTGCTCGATCGCAAAGGGGAGCAATGTCAACAACCAGTGACGCGCACAAGAGGATCTCTCCTCGGTCCATTCGGGGGATTCACCTTTTCAGAACGAACGTCGAGGAACGCGCGCGATCCCACGCGAGTCCGTGCATGTCACGACCACGTCCAAACGACAATTGAAATGATCGTCGACGATCAGGACGTCGTTTTCGCGCGCGAAAACCGCGGATGTGTTCGTGTTGCCGCGGTCGCGATCGCCGCACGAGTGTCGACGTTCCTCGGTTCAACGAAACGACGCTCGGAGTACGTGGATCTACGGTGGCGTCTGCGCCGCGACGCCTCCGTCGGTGGCTGCGTTTAGCCCGTCCCGTGTCTAACCGACGCGAGTGTTTTAAAGTCCCTGACAAACCCTAAGTCAACCTGGATGCCTATAAATCGCCGGAGAATGCATCATCGATTATCACAACACCGCGATACTATTTTCTTTAGGAATTTCCTCTTAAATGATGTTAAAGCGCTCCAACTCGTTCTCAATCCGAAGAGTCGTTCCCCCTCGTTAGTTTGCACCAGTTTTTCTTAGCATCTACCTCTTCAGATTTCTCTGTTACAAATGTACGCTGTTTTCCCGTTGCATTGTACAATTCGAAATAAGACACGCGGAAAGTTCATTGTCCTCGACTTTGCCAACCGTAACCCTTGGACGACAGGTGACAGTCGTAATCGATTTCTAGAACCCACTGGCCACGGATTCCAGGCGACCCGCGACTCTTTGTCTCGCGCCAAGAAATATTACCATGGCTAAACAATTTGTAAGACGATACGTTAGTTTACTCAACTTTCGACTTTAGACAATCGATTACTTTGTATCAACGGACATCGGAGGGAATTAGAAGAGGTTAAAGGCGACATGTTTGCGATAGAAACTATGTAACGATTTAATGAAATGGCGTTTCAAAGGCCAGGTGGTCCTCGAGAGAGAAAAGGTTGGCATTCGCGATGCTAACAATGTTCTATTCCCGCTAACTCGAATCGACATTGCACATCGACGCGTTGCTTTCATCAAGTTCGAAAAACGACAAAGTTAACCGAACGCGATAAACAAACAAAGGGTCCTGTTTAGCAAAGTTTTCTATTGTCGTTGCAGCTGCCGTTCTCCGTTTCCTTTTACGTGCACATGCGATAGACACTGTGTTCCGTAGACGAGAGCCAATCGCGTCCGCGTTTTTCATCCGCCCACGTTCACCTACGCCTTGTCGTTATTTCTCCTTTCACTCTGTGGTCCTGGCCGCGTTGTTTTCGCGTCAAAAAACGACTTTTCCTTTTCGACGTTGCCCGGCAAAGACCGCCTAGAAGGGTTTACCCTTTGGTCACCGGCTCGCTGAACTTCAGACAACGTCGAGTAGCTCGCTGCCGGAGCAAATTGATCCGTCGTTCATTCCTCCTGACTTTTTCGTCGGTGCAGTGAGCTTTTTAACGATTACGTTGCCGGACGATCATCCTTCCGTTGTTCCTCGGTCATTACGCTTTCCCTTTCCACGCGAAGTTGAAATAAACCTGGCTTGGTCATCCTCTGCACCCCTTATCGATCCATTTCCCATGACTTTCTCAGGATCTATGCGTTCGAGCGTACTTTAATGTCTGTCGCGGTAGCGTTCCGACGAAATCCATTGCTCTGAAGGCCGACTAATTTGAATCGATCATCCCGGTTGGTCGGAACAGGAGGGAACACCTTCGCCGACTCTCCACTCGAAGCGAAACTGCAAAAATAAATGGGACGCGCCGTAAATAATTTCTCGGTCTCGGACCTCTTTAAAATAGAATTCTCCTTGCGATCCTTAACGAGCAGCATGGTTTTCATCCTACGTACAAAAGTCGTTTCGCAACACGTAGGGGCTTGTTTTCGAATCCGTTCCATCTTTCCTCCAGCAAACCGGGTTAGCACGCTTATCTCTATTACCACCCTCGTGGATCTTGTTGGGCTAGCCTAACCGAGCCCACGCCGCCCTTTAGTCGCGTTAACTAGATCGTCTAATGCTTATTATCGATTTGGGCTAGCATTCTCTAGGACCACGTTTAACCAACCATAACTTGGCTCGTTCGAAATTTTAGTCGCCTAACTAGATTTCCGAACAAACCGATAGTCTCGTGGTCCCCTTCGGAGGCTACTGTACAGCCACGGGTGAAATCTCATGGAATTGTATGTAATCCGATTTATGCGGTGTTTGTACTCGTTTTAATCGCCGGAATCCCAGCAATGCAACGGTATCGTTTTCGAAAAGGTACGATGGAAATTGTTTGTTCGAGAACGAATCCGATCGATCGAAAAACCGAACGCTCGGTGCCCGCTCGTGGTTCTACCGGCAAACGTGGAACACAAAAGGCGGCTGCGAGTTGTACAGGATCGATAATGCCTTCACCGGACGTAAGTATGTACATGGAACGAAGTGTGCAGCCCGTTGACCAAAGCGTGGCGTCGCGGCGCTGCGCACCACTGCGCGCACCACCCCACAGAACCAGAAACGAGAACGTGGAGGGGGGAGTCGAGACGAACGGCTGTGAAAATGGTTGAGAACCGGTGGCTTCTACCTGGCCGTTTAATAGGAGAGCGGAGAGCACAGAATGTCCTCGTAAAAGCGAGCGAGAGGGACGGCGTGATCGAGGGGGATAGAGGAAGAGGATACGGATGGCGGTGTTTAAAGAAGGACACCCGATATAAGAGGCATTGTACCCGGTTATACCGTGAGCCGTTCCAGGTGCTGGAGGGCAGTCGGCTCTCGCCACGGGACGAGCATATATGCACGTCGGCGTGTCTGCATTTCCTTAGTCCAGGCCCCCGTGGTCGACGCGTGAAAATCGACGTCGCCGTCGTCTAGAACAGGGCACCCGGCTGAAACGCGCGCCAAGTGGGAGAGCCCAGCAGCGTGTGCGAGCGAGAAACGAAGAGAAAAAAAAAGAAGAGAGGAGAGACTACGACGAGAGGGACGCCTGTGGGTATCGCCGCGTGCCGCTCTGCAGTGCGACATTCGACGACAACACACGTTCGCTCGACGCACGCCGACATCCCGTCCTGTTAATAAACTTTCGTACGGTGTTCTTCTTCTCTCTGTCGGAACGTTACACGCGCGTTCGTCGACGCCGCGACGCGCCGCGCGGATCTCTCTTTGTTCTCGCGACTCCTTCGACCTCGGTCGTCGCGCCGCGGCGCTCACGCTCTTCGATTCCTTTTGGAAATCTCTTTATTCCGGGGGGAGGGTAGAACGTTCACGTTGCAACAGTCGCGAGTGGTTCATCAGGGGGCAAGGAAAACGTCTCGGAGGATGTGCGCGGTCTGGTGAAACTGATGTCTTTTGAACGACGATCGCGTCACACACGGGACGCGAGACGGAACCACGTGAATGCCTCACGCCACTGAACCTTCCTTTCCACCGGGCGAATTATTCTGGACCGGCATGGATCCCGTGAAAGCCAAGTACGTAAACCGTTGCGACGATATCAGCCTTTTCCTGTTGGTCGTGAGTCACTCGGATCACCTTCTGCTAGTCATTTTACAAAAGTTTTCCTCGGGATTCGTACGGAGTTGGGACCAGGTTTAAACGTTTCGCCGCATTCGCGAATACCTGACATAGTTGGAGACCTTTCGATCTCGATCCGAGGATCGACCGGATAAAAGTCGTGGACGAGCGTAATTAGCTGCGGCCAACGCTTGATACAATATTACCGCGAAACACGATGAATGGGGAAACGGTTTACCAATAGTTTCGACGGTAACGACGTTGCAAAAACCGATTATTCACGAATATTTCACGTTACAAGTAAATGTTTACGATATGCAGCGATGAAAATATTGAGTTTAAATTGGACGAAAACTTGTGTCTGATATTAGCTCTTCTCTCCAGTATGTAATTACTCGGGTGTGTAACGATACTAATTCCGCGCGATGATCGTATCTACGCGTAGTTGTATTTGGTAACAGGTGTTCGACATCAACATTGCTAATAACTCCGTAGCGATTTAAATAGCATAGGCGCGTTTTTAACGACACTTTGATCATGAAAATTGCGCCTGCCCACGCATAGCAATCTCTTGGCGCAGCTTCAAAGACGCCCATTAACATTTAAGCTAATAAATTTCCCAAACGACAATAGCCTCTATGAAGGGATATTATGATAGGTTTGCATGGTTCTCGAGCAATAATTGCGTCCCCATGAACTCGTGAAAGGCGATAGCGCGTTTTCTTTGCGTCGATACGATCCATTATTTCGAGCCTTCTCCTTTCATTTCCCGACGACTCGTGGCCTTTCGAACCCAGAAATTCCTGAGGCTTCTCCGTAAGTGGAGTTTTTTTTTTTCTCGGGAATAAAAGGGCCGAAGGGCGAGAACACAAAAGCCACCGGGTTTCGATCGTTTCGCCGAAAGCACGGTGAAATTTTTTACGCGCGGATAAAGACCCATTTACCGCCACCCTAAACTGTTTCGCTTAAAATATCGGATAAAACTCCGCTTCGATGGTGGAACGGTGGCCCTCGGCATTGGAATATGCATAAGACGCTTACCGTGTAAGGAATAATAGCGGAAAAGGGATGGAAATTTATTCGAGAACGCTACTCGATTTTCCCTTATCGAGCATTTCGTGGATTTAATATACAATTTGTCTGTACGGTTTGCACGATCGAGAGAACAACGAATGTCGGCGCGAAACCGGGGCGACGAGATCTGTCTTGACAGTGGGAAATTGAAGTCTGGCATCAAGCGACGCCAACAATTGGGTCGGGTAATTTAAAGGGCGTTCAACGCGCGAGACGCTCACGGCGTCTTGACTATCCTCGTAGAAATTAGGCTACGACGGAGCGTGCGGTCACGCGTTCGTTTCGGAGCGATCTTTTCTCTCCCGTGAACTGCAATTCGCGACGCATTGTGTCTACGTGTCTCGTGTCTCGTGTAAGAGGACGCGGAAGTCTAGACTGCCTCTGGGGCCTCTCTTTCCATCCGTGAACGGTTGTGTGGGTGTATCTGCACGATCGCTTGCGGGAAAAAATCGCTTAGAAAGTGCACGCCGGCTCGCGCGCTATTCCGTTTTACGCTCTTTAGAATATACGTGCAACGATTGCTCGTTTCACCCATTCTTCGAAAGATCAGTTTCCACTAACTGCGCTGGAAATTTCATCGAATCGGGAACGCGACGAGTAAATATTATCAGAATCTTCCGGGCAAACTCCGTTACTTTTCTTTTCGTTTTCTCGTTACTTGCCCATCAGCGCCATGCCCATCGTGTTAAAAAGAAAAAGCAGGGACCCGTTTTGTAAATAGTACTCGAGTTTCAGGAAACGAACTATTTTGCTACGATATTCGTTTCTTCTTTCGCGGCCGAATAAACAAACTGCATAATGTATCGTGTTTTGCAGAGAAGGAACAATGAACGGGGCTGCGAAGACATGCGTCGTTGATTAATTTGGCTGTAATTTTTGTTCGTACCTTTGCCCACTACCGCGGAACGAATTTTATCCCGGCAAATCGCAGCTCCCGTTTTCTCGTTCGATTGGCATTTTTGTACGTCTACCGGGACGGTTCTTGCACGACGTATCAAAGTCATAACAACGTTAGTCGCGGTATTACGCGAATCGATCGCGAACGGGGCCACGTAACAACAAGATGGTTGCACACCATCGTTGCAACTTTGAGATGCAATTACCTTACAGCATCGCGTGAAAGTTTAGTTACCCACTGGCCTCGCGTAACACCGTCGAGAGTCCATCGGGGATCGATTTCCTCGATCTGGTCCGCGTTCGATCCAAAAATTAGGTTTTTAAAAAGGTTCCTTCACCTTTGCTTACATTTGCTCGAGGACAAGGTTCCACTGTTTGAACAATCGTCAAAAATAAGGAAACTTATTTTTCCCTGCCTCGAGTAAAGTCGCCTTTCAGCGGAGCATATTCCCCTCGGCGATAATCGAGTACAGACAGCTGTCACCGAACACCCGTCCGTGTCTGGGGCTCGAAACGGCGATTCTGATATCGTTTTACCATCTACCCTTAAATAAAGACCTTCGCGTAACTACGAACTACTTCGTTGAATTTCTGTTTTATCTGATCGGTGTTGCAGCGTTCTATCGAGTTTCGAAAATAGTTCGGTCGATAAAAATTCGTCAGTCTGCATAAACAATTCAGTTAGCAGGAAAATTGACGGAGAATGGTATTCCCGTGTAAAGAATTTCACCTTCCTCCGTGTGTTCGCGTTTATCCTTACCCGCGATCGAACGGAATTCCCTTTCGAATCGTTGGTAGGATCTCTCGTGTCCGTTATCTCGTTATTATATACGATGCAATATGCATCCAGGCTTTTAGCCGGTCGACTGAATTTAAACGCGGCATTAACTCGTATCGCCACGTAGACCCACGAACACGCAACGATTTCTATCGTCTTGCAACCCAAAAATCGTACCAAGACGTACGCGACGAAACCCTTGGCCATCGATTTGCATTACGAATGTTAGGAAAATTGTCGGTATTTACGACTACGGGGATCTATCGTGATCGTTAGAATCGTCAGAATGATTGGAATATCGCAATCGGGGTCTCGATGGTCTTCTCCTTGAACAAACACTGCCACTGTCTTCTACAGTGAGTGTAAAAAGTATTCGTACACCAGTCAATTTGCGATTATACAATCTAAAGGAAATACCACTAGATACCAAAATAGCAAATAGACTGATTTTTGTTACGTTTATGTACTAAAATTTACACGTTTTTGTTGTAAAATTAGAAATGTACATTTCTAAATTTAAATGTAAATTTCTGGAAATTTGTGAATATTTTCATAATAAATATAAATAAATAATTTGTTCCAGAGATTTCTAAGAATATGTATGGATGTTTTTGTTAACATACTTTTGTAATAAACAAAGTTCTGTTCACTGGTAGGGTAAAATAGGAGAAGTTTCGATAGATTTTCCGTCGATTTCCGACGAGTGTGGCGGGAACGTTCACCGGTGGTGGTTTTATGTTTGCAGAATGGCCCCCACAGGGATGCCACCGGTCACCGGTGTCCTGCAACCACCCACAGGCTCGACGCTGACAGGGTCCACGATGTCCAGCCACAAGAAAAGCTGGTGGAGAAGAGTGGCACCCTGCCTGGCCTTTCTCGCGGCTTTTTCCACCGCCATGGCCTTGCTTCTCGTCTGGAGCGAAGCTGCGGCCTTGAGGTAAAATTCCCCATAAAGCGACAAACAGAGAAAAAAGGCTTTCCCGACTGCTGGGTCGATTTTGTCCCGATTGGACTCTTTCTTCGTAACCGGGCGATCTGATTTTTCTTTATCTTGGATCATCCGGTTGAAAGGAGCTTATAAGATAGCCATTAATCTACTTGCAGTTCATTCTGTGTCAAACGATTCGAAGACTAAATAAATTCCAATCGTTTAGAAACGTAATTTGTTGAAATTTCAGTAGGAAGATAAACGTATTCGTACGTCGATCGGCACCTGTCGGTTCGCTCGATTTTATTGTCGCCGTCGTTTTGACTGCAAAGCCGAACGCAAGCAAACTTATCGGCCATATCGTAGCAAGTGAAATATTTGATCGTAGCTTTCGACTAGGATCCGTGAGAAGTGCCTGCACGATTTGTAGTTGGAATGTTTACGAACGTAATGTAATATAATCCGTGTATTTTGTGTACTCGAGACTTTAATTTGCGCGCGTTTTACCGCGAATTCTGATTGCCTGCTGTCTGTTTTTCGATTCAACGTACATACCTGTAAATATTCAAATATTAGCTCCATATTCCGCGAATAAAACATTAATTTCATTGAAATAATCTTGTTGATTCCATTTACCATCGAGGCAATTTATCCTCTGTAAATCTCGTTTGCAAAGTAAAGAATTGTATTGTTCTTGTCTCCGGTGATTTACAAAGCTTCCGCTGCGCGCCTAACGAGCGTTAAAGGTAAACGATTGTAAAACTGAGCTAATTACTAGGTCGCTCGATGATTATATTTTCCCTCGGAGACGGTCGTGCCAAAGACTATTAACGTTGCTCGACAACGAGCTTACAGGGAAAAAGTTGATTCGACGACGGTTCACCAGTGTTCTAAGACGATTACCTTTTAACGTGGAAGTTTTCAGTTGCTCGCATACGTTAATGAAAATCGTGCATTATAAATAAAAGCTTCCGAATGTTTGTAATACCCGGGTTTTCGGGATAATCTCTTGTCAGCGAAGTTTAGTAGATTTTGGTCTCAGCGGTGGCCTATCTGTTGTTCCTCGCTGAGCTTAAACGGGGGAGTAGCTTATCAATGTGTGCGTAACGTGTGTACATGTCAAACTTAATGAGACTGCAGCTGCCGGTGCTTAGGTTAAAGCGGATGCTTCGATTGCAGGAGGCAGGCATTCGACGCTAACATGACCAGGGATTACGTGTTGAACAGCGTCTCGATGGACAATCCGGAATTGGTCGCGTATATCAGAGAGGTACAATTGAAACCCACGACGCAACAAGATCCGTTGAATGCTACCCAGACCTCGGAGGAGAGGTACGTTTCGAGCCTGACGGAGGGAAAACGCGAGGGCGTCTACGTAGAATACATTAGCAGGGTAAGGAGCGACCTTTTGACCCGTCCAATTACCTAGAAGCGAGCACGAGACCTCTCTGCTAATTCTTTCTAACCAGATTGTGCGTTGGTCTTCTCTGGAAATATGATAATCGACGCTTGTTACAGATAGGAGCCGTTTCTAGCACGGGATGGCTAGAGCGCAATTCCAGCTGGAGGGGCGTTTTGATACTGACCGATCCTAGAAGCTTCTTCGAGGCTCACAGAAGCACCAGGAATCAAAAGACCAGAGTCTTGCACGCTTGTCTTAGCACCGATAAGGATACCAAAGAGGCAAGTGCTTCCTATTCAGCGGTTCCCTTGGTCACGCGTGCATGTTCGTTCGAATATTTTTCTGATAATCGATGGACGGGGGTGCGCGCGTTCGAATTTCAGATTACGTATCATCAGGAATCTGAGGTTCAAGTTACCAAATTAGGGGAGGGTCCGAACAGTCTGGTGTCGTCGGACGAGGGTCTGCCAACCACGAGATTGAAGTGTTTCCCATTGTACAGCGTTTTGCTCGCCTATAGCGCCACCACGTTGGATTACCTGAGCCTGGACAGTCCGGACGCCCAAGACGGCCAGGTGATTAGCCACGGAATTGGTCATTTCCGTGTTTTACCAGTCGTTTTTCTACGTTGTACGAGCAGTACGCCGACTGTCTTTGCCGCAGGTACTCGACACGATTCCCTGGGAGACGACGAGAATATCCGTCGTGTCCATACGCTGGAGTTCTCAGCACAGCGAGACGGAAACGAGAGGTCTGATCGATAAGATGACTGGCAGAAGGTACAAGCTGATGTACACCACCGACACCGGGAAGCTGATCTTTTTGTACAACGCGTTGCTAAAGATTTGAACAGAAGACTCGAGCTACTTTCAACACTGGACCGTTCTACGTTCCTTGCGCGACAGTTTATCGCGATGGGAAACAGTTTTTCGTCGAGCAAACGAAAGACCGTTCGATGTCGAATCGCGGACTTTCGTTTCCCGTAGGAACATGTTTCATCCTCGCGCGTAAGCACGATCGTAGAACAAGTCAAGTTTATCGTAGATCACGACAAGTTTCGTTTCAGTTTACAATCGCACGGCTGGTCGAACCGTTATCGACGATCTAGGAACACGGAATTCTTTCTACCTTATCATTATATTTTTTTTTTGTTATTTTAAATATGCTATCGATTTAACGGACACATGACAAAGACTGAAAGCTATTTTTCCGAGCGTTCGCTCGTATCATACTTAACGACGGGCCCTCGTACCAGGGAGTCCTTTCGATCTCCCTTCTCGCGCCTTACGGAAGTGAACCAAAAAAGAAAGATGAACAGAGATCCACGAAACGAACGTGTTTAGTTTCGTACTTGTATTTTAGCGTAGGTTCGTTTTAATCTAATCGGTGTTAAGTAAGCGTGGATGAACGCAACGAGACATTTTCTTTTACGAACGATGTAGATTTTTATTTGTCGAAGAACGACAGCCTCGCGGTCACTGTCCGCGGGCCAATGGCGAGCGCTGTCGCAGTGATAATCGATGAGTTACTCTGATTACCTACACCCACGGGCCTTACTAGCACGTAAGTCGATATTTAGTTAAGATATTATAGAATACCGTAAACCGGGTCTATTTTGCTCGCTGAAGCTCGTTCCTGCGCGTAAAATTTGTTTGAAACGCGTCGAGCAAACCCGACCCAGTAATCGGATTTCCTTTCAACGAACGTGTATTTTCGTCTGCTCTCTCTCTCGTGCAGGAACGTTGCTTTACAGGGGTTAAGTCTGGGTTACCTTGTTTCGTTATTAAGTTCGTGATTCAACGAAGCTACCTCCATCGGTCGTTACTTTTACGACCAAGCGAACGATGAAGTATGTGTTTCGGTTTGCTACCCTTGTCCCACGGCCCATTTTCTTTTCATTCGGGTAATCTTGTCAGTGGCTGGTCCAAAGTTACTTTATTCCAGTCACATCCTCTACCCTCGAATTCAAAAGATTTCCGACGAAGGGACCTTCCTTTATTGCTTTTTTACGGTAATCTTTATTACCCTGTATGTCGGGGGGGTTGTCCGACCTACATCTCCCCCTTCGAGCAGTTCTTTCAGCGCTTCGGTAACAATTATTAGGAGGTTGTCGCTGATGTCTCTTTGCTTCGCCAAAAGGTTCATTCTCGAATAGTTTGTTTCGTCGCGCCAGTCAGGTAACCCCGCGAGTAGCAGAGCGAACCCCGGTTTACGAATCACGACCCAGCGAAAACGCGGTCTTTTAGGCGTCCCCGATTCGACGCTATACTTAATCACGCTCTCCTCACGATCAAGTTCCAACAGGGTATATCGGCTGGTTAGCACAGCCACGATTCGATGAAACTGTGCAGAGCCAATATTTAAATACGAAATATTTCGAAAACGTTGAATTCGCAAAGTTTGTTTGGAAGCTTTCTTGTCAGCCGTCGAAGCGTCGAGAACGACTAATAGTCCTAACGAATAAAGATAATCGTTTCCATTTTGATAGATGGCTCGTTGTCGAGCGCTGGATGGATCAAAGGATGTCGAATGTGCGGAAGACGTCTTTATCGAAAATTATGTCGGTTCGTTTCCTTTTTTACACTCTGGCGCTACGCGAAACGTTTGCACGTTTCATTTTCGAGAGAATCGAACGAATTCTTTTGGAGAACAATAAAGGTAGATATTTTGGAACACCGTTCATTCCCTTCTTTCTTTGCCCCTCCGAGCCTTCTACGATTTATCTCGAAAGAAGATGTTTCGTTTAAACGATTGTTTTTCTTCGATTATAGAATAGAAGCGACGCGCCTCGTCGGTGTTAATTTTACGTGGTAAAGACGTGTTGTTATTGCACTTCATTTCCGAGATATTTAATGGCGAAAATACAAGTCGAGTTAGCGTCGAAGCGGCGGAGTATTGAATTAGCGAGGAAGTTGGTCGGTGAAAACCCGTGGATGAAGTCGGGAACGTTTACGATTTGCAGAAACTTTGATCGTCGCGTAGTACCGCGCGGCCGGATTTTCAATTTCTGATTTAATTGAGAGCAGAAACGGGGCGGGTTGGAACTTTCTCGGGATGCAATTTCCGCGTATGTCCGCGGCCTCCGTGTTTGCTGCGCAATTAGGTAAGATCGCTGGCGAAGATCTAATCTGTAGAGGAAATTTGTCGCGTTGCTGATAATGCTAGGCGGTTTCTCGGGACGCAACCTTGCCTTTCCGTCATTGCTTGTTCAAGCCGTGCACTTTTTCCCCCGTTTTGCTTCCGATCGTGGATGATAAAGATTCGCAGCGTTGCGCGCGAGCTGGCTATCGCCGCGGATCGAACGGAGATTGTCACTGATTTATTGACACCGTTTTATTGCCACGCTCGCCAAACATCCAAGCGAATAAGATAAGTTTCGTTGCCAACCGCGTGATTTTTCGCCGGGAATTGTCCACTCGCGCTGTGTAATCCTTTCAGACGTTCGATTACGGTCTAGCGATAATCTCGAAGAAATTAAATCGCGCTCGCCGATAACGGATCAGTCTATGATTTCACGGACTTCGCGTTGCTCGATCGGGAAAACTCTTTTTACAATGGAGGATCCCCGTTTTGGAATGCCTTTGAAATTTTCAGACACTCGAGCACAGGCAAGATCGAGGCTTTTGTGATCGACGGGCGCATCCATCACCGCTGACAGCAACTCGAAAGTTTGATGGGACGATAACGACAATTTCGGGCGACGACTCTTTGAAAGGATTAACCATTCAAGAGGCATACTCGAACCAAGAAGCGTCGTGCTGAAATCCGAATTTTTTACAGGAACAAAGTATCGAATCTGATTGTATTAATATTTTTACTAATATCTCTGAAAATTGCACAACGTTGGAAATAGATTTTTACAGATCGAGGAAGGACGCGCGGGAATCTCGATGCCGTAAACATGTTGTGGAGTGCGATCGATCATCGTCAAATGTCGAACGATATCGTCGGAAATTCGAGGACAGGTGCACTCCAAGGTGCTACAACCCTTAACAAAGTTGTTTTTTTTTATTTACTCATAATCGATTCGTAACCAACAAGGTTTTTTTCATAACGAATCGTTATTATAGCGTACGAATACACTAAACTGTACACATTTTCCTACTGTAACAATACAATTTTAACTTCATTATTAATTATTAATATTAATGTAAACGTAAAGTGAGAGGAAAACCCAAAGATTTCAAATCATTTTGAAATAATTATTTTTGGTTACGGGAGTCAATTGCAATCATTTTTGGTCAATACACGTACCCCCGAAATCTTACGCACTTTCGAGACAAAAATTCGAGCAGGGGACAAATTTTTCGGCGAAATTAAAAAATTTTAAATGGTTCTAAAAAAATTATTTTTGGCCGCAGGGGTTAATTATAATCATTTTTGGTTAATAGACATACCCTCGGAATCCTAACCTTTTTCGAGAAAAAAATTCCTTACCGAAAATATCATTTCTGGCCAGAAATGTCTGCCCGAATTTTCATAGGAATCTTTAAAATGTCATAACTTCCGAACGGAGTGGACGATTTTGAAGTTTAAAAACGCAAACAACGCGTATTTTGGTGGAGAACATGTAGAAATTCCAAAAATATTCAAAAAGTTGATCCTTGACCCCGGAAAGTTAGAAAAACCCCATAAAAATTGCCCAATTTTCAAACGACCATAACTCCTACAATAGTTAATATATTTCAATGAAATTTATTTGTGAAGTAGAGCTCATGGGTACCTACGAAAAAGTATTAGACAACTTTTCTATAGGGCGTCAAACTAACTTGCTAAAAATAAAAAATCAACTTATAAGAAAAATCGACAGGGTAGGTGCATTAATTTTTCGCCGAAAACAAATTTTTTCAAATCGTTTTAAAAAAATTATTTTTAGCTAGGGGAGTCAATTACACTCATTTTTGGTCAATAGACATAACCCCGAAATCCTACCCACTTTCGAGAAAAAAAATTCGAGAAGTGAAATTTTTCGTCGAAATTAAAAAATTTCAAATCGTTTTAGAAAAATTATTTTTAGCTAGGGGAGTAAATTACACTCATTTTTTGTCAATAGACATAACCCCGATATCCTACCCACTTTCGAGAAAAAAAATTCGAGAAGTGAAATTTTTCGGCGAAATTAAAAATTTTCAAATCAATGTGAAAAAATTATTTTTAGTTGGAAGGGTCGATCACGATCATTTTTGGTCAATACAGATACCCCTGAAATCTTACGCACTTTCGAGAGAAAAAAAATTCTTTAGCGAATATATAATGTGTGGAGGGAAATGTTTCTCTGAAATTTCATGTGTTGTTTATAATGGTATTGGGCAGTGTTGTCGCGTTAATATGGAGTGCAAAACTTGTAGAATAAACAGAAGTTATTAAACATCGCGTCACCGAAGGATTTTGTAGGAGAAAACGTGGATTCTGGAGGGGTTTATCCGATCAGTCCTCAGAATCCTTGCACTCTCGATAGAGATTATTCATCCGGAGTTAATATCTTATCGTGAGAAAAACGACGCGCGATACTATCCCGGAATTAATCTGCATGGTAAACGAGTTCGACAGCAGTTTTTATTTTTACGATCAGTGGCGTCTTCGTTGGCTTATAAATGCAATATGTACCAACCTCCAACCTCTGCGTACTATCATTGAGAGCACAGAGGTGCCATTGCGTTTTGTTGACGGAAATTCGAGTTGTAGCTGCCGAGTAATAAATGTCCACCATCCGGTTAATCGTGATTTCTAAATTTTTTCTTTCAATTGCTAGCGATAATAGCTTAGAGTAGCGATAATGATGGGCAGATAGCGGCGACCGTGATATATGATGGTCCTCGGTGTAACCGCGTCCATTCGGTTTTCTTCGATCGACTTTGCTTAATCCAGAATGTTCATCTGATTCGCGTATCTCGAGTTGCATCGGAAAAAAATCGGTGTCGAACGGTCGGAATTCTCGGCAAACCGGCTACAATTTCGCAATAGGGTCGTGTTCAGCACGAGATCCATCGGAGGAACGCTAATTTCAAGGAAATGGAGGGCACAGGGATGATTAACAGCGGCACGCCCGTTCGCCAGGAAACCAAGAAGCTGTGGCAATATCTCGCCACTATTTCCGGTATTTAACCCCATCTTACTCGCGCTCGCGTTCTCAATTTCGTGGCTATTCGTCGGCGCCTGTCGTGTTCTCTGAGAAAATAAAACTAAGAGATAGAAATGAATTTTAGCGTCTCGTTCGATACCTGTAAAAATATTCCGTTTTGCTGTGTTTCGATCGACAAGATTAACCGAACGTTTCAAGGGAATCTGCGCGTTTATGCTCGAACCGTTTGCCTGGGGAACAACGAAGACACTGTACCGTCCTGCACCTCGAAAAATTGTCTAAAAATCGTTAAAACGCTCCATATTTAATCTCCCACGTGCAGATTATCTTTTCGATTTTTGGTAAACTCTTAGTGCGTAATTGCTTGCCTCATTATCGTTTCAATTTAGTAATTGGTTTAATGTGTTGTAGATATAAGTAACGTTAACGTGCCCAACAATATCGAAAGATAATCGGGCGATTACGTAAGACAGACCATTATCGATTCCCACGAGTATTACAGTAACACGTCGAGTGAAATTACAAAATGGAAACGGAGCAAAGGGCTTCATCTTTCCACTTTTTTCCAATTTAATTCATGCATTATCGAAGATTCCTTTGCGTTCTGCAAATTGATCTGCAATTTTTTTTTCCTAAATAACCTAACATTTTTTCGTAGGATGCCTGTTGGTGGTCGGTGTGGGCACAGCTTTAGCATGGACCTCGCCAGTGCTTCCTCGACTGTACGCAAAGGATTCCTGGATGGTGGTAAGCAAGGACGAAGGTTCGTGGGTGAGTTCTCTGTGCCCGCTGGGCGCCATCGCGGGAGCCTATCCGTCGGGGAAGATGGCCGACAAGTTGGGCAGGAAGAAGTCCCTTCTCCTATTGGCAGGACCGTTCCTCGTATCCTGGGGTATCATCCTAATTGCCGACGAAGTATGGTACCTCTACATCGCCAGATTCATCGTTGGTACCAGCGTCGGGGCTGGTTGCGTCCTTGGACCGACCTACATCTCGGAAATTTCCGAAGTCTCGACCAGGGGGACCCTGGGCGCTCTGTTTCAGCTGTTCCTGACCGTCGGTATTTTCGTCGCCTTCGTCCTGGGATGCGTACTGAGCTACTCTGCGTTCGCCATGGTCTGCGCCCTCATCATCGTCCTGTTCTTGGGTACCTTTTATTGGATGCCAGAGTCACCCGTTTGGCTGGTGGTGCGTAATTATCTGAATTCTATCTATAGGACTCTCGAGTGTGAACGCGTTAAGTTAATTAGACTGGTGAAAAGGGAGCGTGTCAATGGCCCGGATAGTTCGTTTAACTAACTCGTGCTAGTTCCATACAGGTTTTGCATTCGTATCGAGAAGCGAAGAAGAAAAGGGTGAATTTTTGTTGCAGGGTGAAAAAAGAAAGCAAGACGCGACGGTGGCGTTGGCGGTGCTCAGAGGCGAGGATTACGATCCCGGAGAAGAGTTGAACAAGATGCAAGCGGAGGTCGAGGCGAATGCTGGCAGGGAGGTCACCATCTCCGACATGATGAAGTCTCCGGTTCACAAGAAAGCCATGACCGCGTCCTTCGGTATGATGTTCTTTCAACAGGCATCCGGCGTGAACGCGGTGATCTTTTACACGGTGATGATCTTCGAGGCGTCCGGAAGTTCGATAGCGCCGGACCTGGCGTCCATACTGGTCGCGCTCGTTCAGGTTCGTTTCCTCCGAAATTCTTCTCAAAACATACAGTTGTACTCGACGAGGGTTTCGATTGTTTTTCGTTGAAAAATAATAATAATAACGAGACGTCCAAGGCGGAAGCGTGTTATCGTCGTTGGGCATAAAAATGTCCGCCGTCCGGCGTCTTCCGATTGTTCTTTAATTGCGACGTCGTTAGGAGCACGGTAAACACGTTACAGATTTTCGTTCAAGTTCGTTTGAAGTAAAAAAACTGAATTCTCGAGCGGAGACGTTGGAGGAAATAAATTTGGATCGATATAAACGATGTTTACACGGAACGTTGTTCGTCGCAGTTGATAATGTCGGGTGTTGCGGCGCTGATCGTGGATCGAGCCGGAAGGAAGCCGCTGCTGATGATTTCTTCAGTTCTTATGTCATTTAGCCTGATCGCGCTCGGTTACTACTTCAAGCAGAAAGACGGCGGAAATGACGTGAGCTCGCTCGGCTGGTTGCCATTGACTTCTTTGATCGTCTTTATGATAGCCTTTTCTATCGGGTGAGTTTTACTATTTCGAGAAATTGCTCTCCATCGTTTACATTGATGTTTGTTCGACAGCGTGGGCCCCGTACCATGGATGTTGATGGGCGAGCTGTTCTCCACAGAGACGAAAGCGGTCGCGTCCAGCATCGCGGTGATGTTGAATTGGGGCATGGTGTTCGTGGTGACGAAAACCTTCCCGACGATGAACGAGAAATTGGGCACAGCCATGACGTTCTGGATCTTCGCGGCGATCATGGCGGGCGCGACCGCGTTCGCGCATTTTCTCGTACCGGAAACCAAGGGAAAGACCTACCAGGAGATCCAGATCGAGCTGCAGGGCGGCGTTCGAACGACCAAACCTGTACCTTAATTTCGAAATCGATCGAGATCTTATCGTTGCAAAGACTCTTAAAAGTTTCGCGTAACTGTTTCAATTCGGGGCTGAAAATCAATTATGACGCGATCTTTTCCACGAAGAGCTTCCGCGATATCGGTTATCGCAAGTGGAAAGATTTCCGATGCATCGACGACTACATATTCGGCGTACTATCGTCTTTCGATTTCCCTTTTTATGTTGGGGAACGGCGTCTCCGTGACGAGTGCCTCGTGCCGATAACCAAGATAAAGATCGAGGCTATCGGTGAATTTTCCAACATCTGACCAACACTTACGTGGACAAGGCGCGCCTCGTGGTCGCCCTCGACGCCATTTTGGTGCTCGATGCATCGAACGCGCATCGCTAATCTATCGATGACGGTGAATTGTACATCGGTACTCGAGACACGAATATATTATAGAAAAATACGTAGAAATATGTATGTATTCTAATACATATACGATAACGACGGAATGACGTATAGAAATCTTGCATTAAACATTAAGTTTCGTTGCGATATGCCTCGAAACTGTTCCTCGATACGTAAGTTTCTAATAAATTTTCTGATCTCGTGCCACTTTAATTCTTTAGATTTAGCTTTCGTACAAAACGTACAATGACCACATTGGAAAACAAATATTATTATGTCTTGACATGGCCGCTGGAATTAAACGCAATATTCCGTTTTTTTTTATACCTCCGCGGCTGTAAAGTAGAATATTCTGAAATTTTACGAGCAAATCTTTTTTCTCGTTTTCGTTCGGGAATAATCAATCGCTCGTGTGTAAATATCGGGATCGTGGCGCTACTATTTATACTCACGATCGTTCGTTTTCGGGCGAGTCGCTTAAAGATCGTCGTGGCGCAAAAGTGTACGTATATTCGTCGACGATGACAGTTGCTTCGAACCGTAACGAAAGCGAATAAACAACTCGAGCTCTCCTCTGGGTTTCGATCGTTTACTTGGATCACTCCGTCGACGAAATTGGAAGATTCCAGGTAATCGATACTCGAGAAAGTCGATGCTTGACGTCACAAGCTCTCGAGAATCGACAATGGCTGGCCACGAATTCTAATTCAGTCTGTTCTTCGACCGCTGGATCGTTTTATTTTTAAGGGATTCTGATCATATTGTCACGGGACGGCGAAACGAGATAAACATGATCGCTCGATCGAACGACGATTTTCTCATTCGGATCGCGTTCAATTGCGCGAGCTCGTACCAGCGATTCGCTCGTCGAGCGTACATGACCGTTATGGCTGGAACGCGCAAACTTCCGTTTTTTTTTGACAGAATTTTCGTGACGAGAATCGTTGAACGACTACAACGCGACGTGCAATTTATGTTCTCTTACGCGTACGTAATCGATTTACCGAAACTTTGAGCCGCTGTAACTTCGTAAAGGTTGTTGTACGATTACTTTTCATGGAATTACATAAGTCGAAAAAGTGTTAGGTTTGTAATACTTGTGATCGCGACGATACGTTTCTATGCGATACCTGGTCGTAAATTACATAAAAAAAAGTTCATTGAGAATCGCAAGAAAATTGCACCTTCGAGCCTATTCGTCTTCTGCGTTGCTTTTTTTATCCGGGTGCGGGGGGGGGGAGTGAATTTAAACGCACGTCTGATAGTCCTATTAAGTGGCGCTTAATAGAGTAATTGCTACGCCGAAGGATAATTGCGAGCGAAAAAAGTCCTCGGTAGCAATATATTGTTACGCTGCTCGCGTAATGTACATTAATTAATTCTGGGTTATCGTTCGGTTGAATTGCTGATGCAACGTTTCTCATTGAATAGCGCGACGTCCACGCACGATAAATTCCCTCTTGTCTCGCGCGTCCATCAAGCAACGACAGAAACGATAGATCGAATCGTTTTAGGGTGAACAGTCGACCAGCAGGTTGTAACGCGAAAGTCGTATACAATTTCTGATCGTTTGAGGGTCGTGTTTTCGGGTTCTTTCCGATCGGGAATGTTTCTATTCGGAAAGGGGGGGGGAGAGCGTGGTTGGAAAACCAGTCTTGTAACGACGCAAATCTCTATGCAAATAGCACCGCGACCCGCACAGAAATCTCTGAAACGGCCGTTTTGCTTGTTATCTCTGTAAACACTCCCGGCGCGATCAACGTCGGTCTTTAAAACGAGGTTTGACGCGACAACGAGGTCTTCTGGAAAATGTCGGGCCAGACAATCATCACCGGGAGTGTGCAAAACGTGAGCACGAATACCACGGGAGCATTATAACGTCGTCGGTGTTTGACAATGAAATTTCATCAAACCTCTTTGTCGGTGGTCCTAGCGTTTTAAAATAAGGGCAGAACTTCGCATCGTCCAGTTCTCCCCGTTCTGCTCCGTCAGAAATTCCTTACAATGAGATCATAATACAGAGGGTGCCTTAAGAAATACATAAAGTTAAACACGCGATTGGATTTAATGTTATCCTTGAGGCACTCTGTACATTATTCCGACCTTTACGTCTGTTTATTTTCAGGTATACAAAATGTATTTCTCCTCTCTTCTCTACTTGGACAAATAATTCTCTCTCCTTTGGATCGTTCGAAGCTGTCTCGACCTCTATCCTCGTTACGTTAGTTTTCGATAGTTAGTCTGCCCTTCGACCACATCGCGCGAACGTTGCGACAATTTCTCGCTGTAAGTCTGTCGTGTAAATTCTCTGATAATTTACAAACGCGGGGAAATAAAGGTGGATCTTTATTATCTATTAGGTGGCAGTGTAAATATCTCGATATAGAATTCATTGAAAAATATTTCGATAGACAGTCGGCGGATATTTGTAATGTGTCGTGGAAACACTATCGTGCTTGGACATGCGTGCGTTAATATTAAAACTTCAAATTTATTTATTACCTATTATCGCCAGACGATTTTATCTTGTTTGGAGTCTCGCGAATGCACGTCGCTCACGGGAGACGTTTTGCAAATTTGAGAAACGATGCGAAGTGCAATTCGGACCGAGCATAAAGGCAAACGGGAATTCGAGAACGTGATTCCGTTTTAATCTCCGAAACGAACATCGAATTACGCAAAAATCACCTGTTGGATCGCGCGCGTAATTTGGTCCGAACGTGTTGCAAATCGACGCGCCCTCCGATGCAAATCAGGCCTCCGAAAACCAAAACATCGGACTAAAACAATGGAATAATTTTGTCGAACGATTGCAGCGTTAGACGTGGACGTTACGAAACTCGATCGAATCGCATACGATGTTGCAATTACGGTTACTTGTGATTTTCATTGGCCCGCGATTCCTGGAGAAATAGTACCGCCAGCATCCTGATCCATCGAATGCCGGAGCGGTTGCATCGTTGTTGTTGTAAATATTAATTTTAACGTCGCGCGTTCGAATTGACAGAAGTAAATATTGTTATCGCGTTCATTGAATGAAGATTTAGCTATTTAAACGGTTCAAAGATACAGCCGTGGGCTGACTCGTGAAAGTGAGATACGAGCTATTAATGAAATGATATGCGTGTAGTAAATCAGTGGGCGTGACGTTGGCATCGTATGCGTTAACAATGCAAAAAGCTTTGAATCTGCATCAATTTGCTTACGCGAAAACACTGGGATCAACATTATTTCTCAACAGCAGCATTCTGATAGCGAAATGACCAGACGATCGAACAGCTTCACGCTCGAAGTAATAAATAAAAGCTGAACGTTAATAAATCAGCGCGTCAAAAATAGAAACTTCGCCTTTTTGCCCGACAAACAGAATAGTTTAAATATTTACAAATTGATTAAATACGTTACCGATTCCAAACGAAGTTTATCTTTTGTTTTTTGTTTGCCGACCGTGTATCAAGTGACATAAATTTACGCACGGACGGACAAACATTTTTGTTATTTTTTACGGGCTCGAAATGATGCGTTCGCTCCGCATAATCGCGCCACAGCAATGGGAGCAAAGTACAGTCCGTAAGTGCTGGCCAATTAATTATCATTTCATAGCTATTATAATCTGTTAACGATCTGATCACGATAAAACAAATCATTAGTCGAATTAATTATCGTTTAAATTAATCGACAATCATAAATTATGTTTGTAATTTAATTATAAAATGAAAGATTATTGCCGATGGGCTGTCTTTGACCAGTTTAACGAATTTTCGTCAACTCTCCATCGACCGATCGAATCAATCACGATCAAAGGCGAAAGCTTTTCGTGATCAATGTTTCGTACGCCAGGTTAGATCATGTTCGTGATTACATTTGCTTTGATTATTCCTGTTATTCGTTAGACAAGATTATCGATTACTTACGCTCTATTGTACATGCAGTCATTGTTCCATTCGAACGAATATGTTTACTGGAAAGAGCTACGGTAATCGTTTGTTCAAACAAAACTATTTCATGTTTCAAAATACGAGAAATGCGATCGAAAGGAATTGAATTTGTTGACCAAACCGAGGACATTAGAATTCGATTTAAAAGAACGCGTAAGAAAAATACTTGTACACAATCACCTCGAGATGCTTCTTTGCCTCGAGTAGCTCGATAACCAGATAACAGATATGGAAGTATAAAAGTAGAACCCTTTGAGCGTAAATGGACTGCAATAACGTTTTGTCGTATGTTTCATTTTGAATTTCACTAGAAACCGCCATCGTCGCTGTTTCTGTACGCGATACAATGCCGGGGCTTGTTTACTATCGATATTAATTCCGATGGTCACATTTCTCATATAAGGTAGCGGGTATATCGATTGAATTTTTGTCGTATTTGCCTGTCTCTTTTAAAATCATTTTAAACTATTGCAAATTTGCTGTTCGCAATGTCTCCGTCGCCTCGTGACCTACGGATATTTATATTTATAGTTGTACAGAGCCGTTGCTTGGGTTTCTAATAGAAAATTTGATGAAGCGTAAAATGCGCTATCTCTCTGACCCGGTATGTAATTGGAGTTTTACTACGCATAATACGACATTTATTTAAATTAAGGTGCAATCGGTTTAAGGATACCAGGCGATGGAGATAAGATTACAACTCCCATACACTGTTAAGGTTTTTAGGTCATCGACGGTAATGACTTGTTCTTAAATATGAGAATGTGGAAAAATTGTGCAGGGTTAAAAGTAAGCATATGTTAGGCACGGGGTGTATGTGTTGTTAATTTAACCGTGGTCGAATAAGATAATAGGAACGATCGATTGTTAATCGTTTGCATGGGAGGTTTATGAATATTCGAGAGCCTGAAAGGAACTCTTGAATTCTCCACTTACTTTTTAAAAGCGCAAATCTCTTTCGAGTGCCGGGGATTAACCGAATTACTCGAGACTCGTCCCGTAATTGCCATTTAGTTTCCGATCGACGCTGGAATCGCGAGCGTCGATCGCCGCGTTATCGAGGGCCAACTGTCGAGACGAAGATACTCGACGAATGATTATGCCAAGAGAGGGGCGCGTTTACGCACACATTTCTACAAAGTACAATTCGTGTCCGTTATATAACGAATTATCGAGGGCCTATATTACAGGTGTTTCTTTGAGAAATGATCATTTTAACAAAGTGCGCGCTCCTTGCTGGTAAGTGGGTCTCACTTTTACTTTTCCGCTCGTCGGTATTTTCGTTCGTTTTCTCTTTCAATTCGGTCGCGATTTCCCGATTAACCGTTCGCAGCCCCGGCGAATCGATTATCGAAGATCACGGGTGGTACTATCGACGATCAATCAGGCAATCAGCGGGATCATTAAATTTTGCTTGCGAGGGGTGGGGAGGATCCTTGAAAATCTCCGGAGAGGAGAGTACCTTCGCGAAAAATCGGTTTCACCGCCTCTTAACTGTCTCTTGCAGAAATGTTCAGTGATCTTTCCAGGATTTTTCGTAACGTTTACGAGAAACAGGTGGTGATTTTCGCTGCGACAGATAGTGACGAAGGAATAGTTTGTAGGAGATTTTTGATCCGTGCAACTTTGAGGTAATTGTATCTCGCTGTTATCTCGTCGCGTGGTTTCCGTTAACGTAACGATTTCCGAAGGGAAACGATCCAGGATCGACGTTCCTGGTCCGTCGCGTCACCTCGATCAATTTCCATTCTCTTTGGCCGCTGACAATTGTGTAGCGCTATCAATCACTTTCGTAGCTTCTTATTTCTTAATTAAGGTCATCGTGTTAATTACAATTCTCGTAATTCGTAATCGATTTGCGCGGTTCGTTGGAAAATTTCCCTGTTTTGCCCGGCAGAAGCATCGTTTCGATCCTGTCCTCCTCGTTTCGAGATTGCTACGAAATCTTTGCTAAAAGAATCGGCCAACGACTCGTAAAACGACACTGTGTCGACGTTCGTTAAAAATAGTGGCGTTTACGAAATATTTGGTTAAATTGCTGATTAAAAGCGCGCTTCGTTTATCTCGCTAAACGTATCTCGGAACGCAACACGAAGTCAATACAGTTTATTTGAAGTTTTCTCGAGTGTCGTTCCTTGTACAGACTAATTTTCATTCATTTGTACTCTTTGTTAATTTTAAAAATGATGCAGGTCGTTAGATTGGAAAATCGGTGGTTGTTAATCGAAACGAATCGCGAATTTCCATTTCTTAACGAAGGAAGCATCGTGGTTTAACGAGGTTTCTTATCGCGTTCGTTTCCGTCGTTCCGATTCGTGTTTAATTTTCCGAATTTTTCCAAACATCGATTCGATCGCGATTGTAAGGTTGACTACGATCGTACAGAATGTCGATCTTTGAAAATTATCTCCTCAAAGTGCGTTGAAGATCGAGACGATCGGTTAATCGGAACCATTAATCGATTTGGTCGGGTTCGCAAATAATTCGTACAGTGGATCTTTATCGCGTGATCGTGATAAATTTAAACGCTCCTGTTTTTCATCGTATCGGTTGATAAAATACTTGGAAGGATCGATACCGATCGCTACGATCGAGATATTAGCAAGACGCTTCACGGGATTTCCCTGTGACGATATTCCATTCCGGACTCTTCACGCTTATGGGAATTTGGGATAGAAACGTATCTGTTTTCTATGGAGTTACCATTCAAGGTTGTCCCTGAGAATCATACAGCTTTCTTCCATTTTGCTTAAGGGGCCTTTCTACCTTGTGGGATTAAAAAAATCGATATTTTTTTTTTTTGCATTTTCCTTTAGTACGTTGTCTCGAAAATATATCTACCAAATATTAAATTGAAATTTGAAAAACTAACGAAGTTATAACCTGCTGAAATGTACCGCGCGCAGGTATAACAACTGGACGCGGCGAAACTTTAAAGCTGTTTTTCTCGAAACTACATTTTTCGGCACTGCGTGCGCGATAACTAAAAAACTATTCAAGATATCAATATCAAATTTATACAGTATCTTCAGAACTGGTCTCCCTGTAGCATGAACTAGGATAATCGCGATATATGCAATACTTTTTCTTTTATTAACAAAAAAGCAACCAAATATATGAAAATATTCAGTATTTTTTCGTAAAATAGCTGCCATTTTGCCATTTTTTGTTTTTTTGAAAAGATCCTGGTTCGTGCTATAACCACACTCATCTATATTAAGAATATCGTTGGTTTTAGGATTTCGAATAACTTGTTCGCAAGATATCACGTACGCAGTCGGGTGCCGTTCGTAAAAACTGTTGTTTGATGATCAACAAAAACAGCGTAATCGATAGATGTTATGCGTTGCAAAAATTCGTAAATATAGCTAAATATATAATAAATGTATCTACAAAATCCGGAATTAATCGCTCTTTAATAACCCGCAAAAAAAAAATCACAAAGAAACACGTATTTTTCATGCCTACAAGGTAGAATGGCCCCTTAACTCTGATACATCCTAAGGAAGCAAGAGATTTTATAAAAGAAAGTAGATGCTTTTAGGGATAGTCGATTACAAGATCGTTCCAACGTTTATTTATAAGCACGGTTGCACGAAGCATAGCAGATATCAAGACACGGATGATTGGCCAACGTCGACCAATTTTCGAGAGCGCGTTCGAGGAATTCGAATGGAATGATCGAGGAATCTCTTTCGAGTCACGTTTTTTTTTCCCCCGGCCACATTCGTGGAATCGAAACGAGGTCTAGTGACAGGATTTTGTCCAGTCGCATCTCGTTTTGGGCACGAGCATTCTCTTCCTTGCTCTCCATCGAAAGGGGAACTCCCAAGGTGCTCGAACTCGACGCGCGGAGGGTACTAGAAGAGTGAAAAAAGTTTCCTGTTTGAGATTCCTACCTCTGATCGCACCTACACTCTAGATATGTTTACATCGACGTGGTCTTCGGTAATTCCCGGATTCCAGAAGCCAATTAATTCGTCGACGATTAACTCTTTGCGTTTCGATCGTTCGAATCTAGGTGATCGATTATAATCGCGACAGGAAACCGGTGACTGTGGTTCTGTTGTAAATATCTTTTAGTTTTTAGAAAATTCCAACCAGAATCTCACGAGTATTGATTATCGTCCTGGACGTAAAGGTGAAAACAAGTGCGAGGATCCGTCGGGTAAATCGGTTGCGACCCGGACGATTTAATTTTCCATCGTACGACTCTTCGGAGAGACATAAACTTTCAAACGCGATGAAGGGAAAAAATACAATATTCGTTCCAGATACGATACGGATATAAAAAAAAAAAAAAAACATAAAAAGAGACATAATATAAAATCGGTTGTACGTCTCGAAAATAAGGAATAAATTCGTTTCGTCTATGTTTTCTTGTTCCTTAATGCGCGTCTCGCTTTATCGATATTTGTTATCGATTTCACGAGATAAGAAGTAGATGGAAGCACCTTACGACAATCGTCGGTTATTGTTTAAATTATCTTGGAAGCCCGCGCGATAAATTGTCCACTCGAACGTGTCGTCGACGTGAAATCGATTTGTCTCGCGACGATCGAAACACGCCATGAAAAGCATTCTACTTTTAATCGTACTCGTTATGATTTTCCGTAACGAGCGTTATCAATAGGAACAAGCGCGTAGGAAATTTATTCCAATTCTTATCGGTGTTCCACATCGCGGTAAATAGATTCATAGAGAACGACCATGATTTCAATTCCTTTCTTGATGGCCTCGAGTTTCAGAAGCCAACAAAGCAATCAGGGAAAATCGTCCCGTACCCCGCGGGATAACAAAAAATCTTCTTAAGTCGAGACAGCTTTTTCGCATCTCGTTTCTCGAACGTACGAAAAGGCGCGACGATGTCTCGTACGATACGATCGATCGATCGACGAGGGGACCAGTCGTTCCGCGATCATTAACAACCCTGGAACACGGAACTTCCCCGCTAGGTCACTGCAGGTTAGTCGACCTTGACCCTTGGATTAACGATTAGCACGAACTTCCACACTAATGACTTCTTTTTTCGTTCAAAGCGTTCGCTAACACGCATCGATTTTTGTTTCATTGTCCTTATAACAAAAATGAAGTACAGTCATTCGGTTTTTCTGCCGAACGTGTTAAGTTTCATTCTTGAACCGTGCATGCTCGAAAGAAAAAGAGATTACTCATGCTTGGAGTAGGTCCAATAGAGTTTCGACAAGATAATGCACTTGTACGTTTGTCATATACGGGTTTAAAGAGAAAAAATTCCAAACGAAACATTTTCGTGGAATGAATTGAAATCTGCAGGGGGATCGTGCGTGTGTGTCGTGGCGGCACGCAAGGGTTGAAAGAACGCGCGAGGATCGAGATCGACGGAACCCCTGCGCGGTTCGATCGACGATCCCCGTACGACCTTGACACGATCGTTTGCTGGTTGGTTGCAGGGTCGAGGACACGGTCGTTGCATTTTCCGCGGACAGTCGGTGCGCGGTGATCGAGAGAAGCCACGAATCGGCCGGTCGAAGGAGGAAGGAGGAGAGAGAGGTCAGCCGTTTATCGAGCGAGCAACAGAGAAAGAGAGGGAGAAATGGCCCCCACCCACGGTCAGGAGGAAATAGAGGGGCGTTCGTATAAAGAGTATGCCTACAGCCCTGTACCAGCGAGTTCCTCTTCAGCGGTGTACGATTCAGCCACCCTTGGGAAACATTCGAACGAGATTGGTGTCGGTTCGGCGAGATATATCGATCCTAACGGTGTCCAGGGCAAGTTCCACGTAAACGAGATGACGGAGAAGGGCTCGACGTTGCTTCAATACGTCGCGGCAGCCGCAGGTAAGCGACACGAGCCGACCTCGAGCTCCATCGGGCAACGTCTGGGGGTGGGTTCGCTCGAACGACGCAAGTTCCTGCCCCGCCTGCGTTCGATCGCCCTGGGAACCAGCGGCGGGAACTTTGACCCGCGAAAAAAACGCGGAGGCGCTGGTAGCTCGACAGATTTGAAAACTCGCTGATTTTACCGTAGAGGGTGCTCAAGAGTCGAAAACAATTAGCGGAATACGAGTCTTGACAAGATAACGCGATCGTAATCATCGGTTAAATATTTTTGGCAACACAGTGTCTCTCGATTAGAATTATTTTGAATCTAAGTATAGCGACAAAGTATAGGAAGTTTTATACGCGGACGGTTCTTTACTTAGTGACATTTCGAAGTGGTAGTTTTCTTTTTTTATTCACGGATCGAAGTCACGCGTAGTACGAAGAGTAAATAAACATACATAGTTCGCGGTGAATTAATAACGTTCGGTGCAGAATGTCGTCTCGATGAAAATCGGTGGATAGAACTTGCCCGTTGCTTTGGCAAATCAATTATCAATTACGACATATTTAATAACCGGTATGCTACGTAATAAAACAGTAAAAAAGATTTATATCTTCGATTAAAATCAATTTCTTATAGATTCACCTCGTATCATTGTTACATACAAGTCTTTGCTCACCAAGAACCATTTATTTGTCGTTCGATCGGAGATATCGTTTAACGCGTTTTCGTTAATAATGTCTAAAATTTATGATGTCACTTCTGACACTGATCCAAGCTTGTCAACTGTAACAAGTTATTCTTAGGTGCATACCGCTGCAACTATGGATCAAACTATCATCCTGTCAGCGAACGGATGAAAGCTGTATCCGCGTTGGTAAGGAATCGACGCTGCTTTGTGTAATTTGTTTTGGCGCACTTTGCTTTCTCCGGCGCGGGCGGCCGGAAGTCGCGAGCGAAATTGATGGAAAATATGACAGGAAATTCGTGGACGCGTTTTGATTGTTCGGAATTTCGAGGATGCCGATGAAACGTTGATTAATTTTTGTTGGTCTCGTCGGTACGGGTCGCTACGTTCCCGAGGCTTCGTTTAATTATAGAGATAGAGAGATCTATAAATGCAACGAGGAGCGTGTAATGAACTTGGTGAACTTGCCATTGGATCGCCGCCGTTGAACTTTTCGTACGAAAGACACCGCTTTAAAAAGAGAAATTTGCCGAAAATAACGCGGTTATCTTCGCTGCTGCCCACCTCTCGCGTCTCTCTTCGCGTTATTCGTTGAATGAAAGAAGCGGGGATCGAATGATGAAAACGAGGAAATTAGACGGAGCTGTTAATTTTCCGGTTTCGATCGCCTAAATTTAACCGAGTTTAACGATTTGTTTTTAAATAATAAACGGATAGGTATTCCGGTGATCGTGAATAGCGTTCTCCTCGAAACATTACGGCATTTTAAAATGTTTGAAACACCGTAGTTAATTAAAATGGTCGATTTAAACTTAAGCTCGAAGCGGAAAGTAAAACGTGCGATATTGTATTCGTGCGTCAATTGGCGAAATATGCACACGCGAGCAGAGGCACGTTCGTTTCCCGAATTTGTTGAATTTCGCGAGGACGCGAGAGCCGTTGCTCGTGCAATATTTTGTTTCGCGAAGGAATATTAGATTTTTGTAACGTTTCGGATGAGAACGTTGTTTTCTTTTAACGGGGCACAGTTTGCCGAACGAAATTCCGCTCGGTAAATTCCATTCCGTCGACGAGGCGTAAAAAGAAATTTCTGTTGGCCGTAGACCGTGTGCGTTTAGGATGAATTTTCCTCGCTAAACTCTATTCGGGAAGCGTTGAGGTAGGCGTGCGCGTACTTTACGTTACGATCGAAGCTTTTGCAGAGTTTCGAACGTTTAAGGTAAACTGCGCGATGATTACGATTATCGCCAGTCGAGATTTAATTCGATCGAGCACCGGATGCGAATTGTTTAATAGTCGGTGCGTTCGAGGCCGCGTTGGTCTCTTTGCGATTATTGCTCGCACGTAAGTCTTCCGTCCTCCGCACGTTTGTCGATCGTTGACGTTCTCGACCGTGGATCATTCATGTTAAGTTTGGCCGTGCCACGCGACGAAGGACGCACGATAAATCCTTGGCTTCTTTAAATCGTCGTACGTATCTCTTTGAAGTTTCATCCAAAAAGAGACAACTGATAAACAGTGCGAGAAGATCTATCGACCTGGATCCATCACTTTTCCACCGTCCAATTTTATACAAAGAAAATCAAGCATTATAAATGTACAATGCGGAGCGATACCAAAGTCTATTTCGTTTAGTTTTATCGTATATAATGTTTCTTTCATGATGCCTCGTGTAATCGCCGTTGTTATCTAACGTAGAAATTGGAATTACTTGGAAGCACGATTTTCATTCCGAAAGCCATATTTTCGAAACGAGACTCTCACGTTCGTTTCGTTGCCGATGAATGAGGATTCGGCAGAAGTAGGAAATTTTGTCCACCTCGGTTCCGTACGTCTTCTCCGTAAGAACGATATCGTTCGGCGTCGTTATCACTCCATCAACGTCGAAGCTCGAAAACGAGACGCGCGTCCTTCGTTTTGACGAAGTCGTTAAATTTTGCCATTGGAACGAAGACGAAGTGGTCGTTAAAAAGATTTTTACGGCGGTACGTCGTCCTGTAATCCGACGCCATTTGCATTTCCGCTGCACGGATGATATGTTTCTCGATCATCGCCTCTGGTTAATTCGTTTCGGCGATTTATAGTCGCGGTAGTAATAACAGAACGATCCGTAACTCGATCAGCCAGATGACTCTGTCACGACCGTAAAAACTATCGAATTAAATATAAAAAAAGGTTCTGAGATCCTTGATCGTCCATCTAGAATCCTCTTGATAACAAATATTACAGAATTACGCGAGTCGCGTCACGACGCCGATAGCAATTTTTCTTTCGCCGTAACTTTAGTATCTTATCCGCGATACGGTGCACAAGTTTTCAGTAAATCGCGAACTTTTACGATCGTTTTCGTAATCAATCATGGAAAGGAATGGAAAAATAATGCACCGATAAACGTAAATAATTGCGAACGCTGCTCGGGATTAAACGAAAGAGTTCTCGAGTTCGTTCGATAAACGTCCAGCATTTTGTTTGACTATTCCTCGAATCGTCGTCGATGATCTCGTTTACGCTCACAATTGCATCTTACGCAACCGATGGAGTCATTACGGTGTGTTAAAAAAACGTAAACTTGGCCGAGTATCCTATTTGTCGTCCCAGCCTGTCGCAATTAGAATCAAACCGTCAACTTGTCCGTGATTTTCTAAATAAATCTAAACAGCCGTAAAGCAGTATTTTTCATCGCGATAACGTCGTACGGTAAATATTTTTCGTTCGAAGGTGTCGAAACCGTGATCGAAAGAATTTCGTAAGAAACAGCGCAATCGTCGGCAATGTTTCCGAATCGCGTCTTATTGTTTTTGCATAATTTATAATAACTTTGTAGAGAAATTGGCAAGAAGCTTTCGTAACCGTAATTTTTCTGAAACGAGCTGTTTTGTTGTAATCATTTTATTTTTATCGGTATGAATAGCGCGATAAACGATTATAGTCTTTAGCAGTTTATCTGTTATATATTATTGTAGCTGTTTGCCGAAACGATTTTTTCTTGCAGAACTGATTTCACCTAACAGAAGTCTACCGGATTAGTCGAACAGAGATAACCAAGTAACTCGATAATGATTCAAATTTCCACCGCTTATATTACATTTGGAATATATTTTCTAGCCGGTGCTTTGGTTTCTGCAAGGTAATTAGTAGAAGTATAGTAATTGGACATGTCGCCAATGCAAAACAAAAATATTAAATGTTGTCCTGTCGAACGAAACGCTGCCGCGATCTATTGTATCCAGCAGCTTCGTGTTTACGTTTTAATCGAGTCGTGATAAAGCGAGGCGAGCCTGCAACGAACCACCCACCGATTACGTTTCCGATTGATCGAGATATCACTGAATTCCCGAACAATAACCAATGTTAGGAAAGTTTCCCTATCGGTCGTTCGAATCGTATCTCTTGTAAAAAGTTTACATCGAACCGGTAGAAACAGCGATGTTCCAAACTGTGTTCAGCGATTGATCGATGATCGAGAGCGTCCCTGCGGTAACGGAAATGTTCGCAGATTTCGATATAAAATAATTTCACGCACTCTGGATGCGATCTAAAGGATTTATTCGCGTTATTTTTTGTTTCCTGTCGCAGAGTTAGAACGGCAGGGTGCGTTGAATCACGATTTGTTCGCTTCATTGGCTGAATCGTTCACCACCGGTCCAAAGATGATTAGTCAGCAGACACCCACACTGATTTAACACTGATTTAATCGCGGTGGGAAAGTGCATGGCGCGTTAACCGCAGATAATGGGTCAACGAGAACAAGAAATTGTTTTGCATATCCGCGGAACGTAAAAATTGCAGGATCGATGGTCGAACATATTGGAAACGGTTATCTTAATCGTCGAACGCAAGATTGTCTATTTTCATGCACGGTGTGCAGTACGACGAGTCGCAAAATATTTTGTATACACGAGATTTTTGTTATTAACGAGGATAGAAAGAAATCGATAAATCTGCACTGAACGATAAGAGGTTTACCGAAGAAACAATTGACGGTCACAGATCGTAACGAAAGCTGACCAGATTCTAAAAGACACGATTTAATAGAAACACGTCGTCGCACGACACAGTGACGTAATCGATCACGAGTTTATAAAAATTCTTATCGAAACGGAAATTTCCTATCTTCATTGACGATTCTTCAAATAGTTTCTGTTAATCGTCTGTCTCTTTTCGTATCGTTTCATTCAACTCTCGCATTCTCGATCGACACAGACGAAATTTTTTGTACGATAAAGATCTACGTATGTATTTGGTTTAAGTGTCACAATTCGCGACGGGAATTCTTTTATCGACGAATAATGGATCGTACGATGTAATTATCTATTGTACATCTATCCTGTATAGGTTTCATTATGCCCCCGACGATGGATCGTTCGCGCCAATGTAATTATTTTCGTTTCTTTCTCGATCGAAAGACTCGTACAAAAGTTACCATAGCGTCGAAGCTTGATCGACGAGTTACGGATAATTGGAAAATTAAATTGAATCCGTTAAATTGATTTATAGCCGATATCAACGAAGACAACGATAACGATTTTAAGTACATGACACGCGGATATTTACCGTAATCTGAAGAGACTGTAAATCATGTTTACGGATGCGCGATTCTATCTTATAGAAAAATAGTATCTGAATCGATATCTGTGTACTTGGATTTATTGCGTCGCGACAAAAGATTTACAGTAACGGTACTATAGATGTAAATATATATGTACGTACGTACGATTCTATCTGCTCGAAAAATGAGGTTAAAAGGAAACGATCAACGATAGAGTGTGACGAGATGCTCGATCAAAGGAAGCAAATCGATAGCAAGGGTTGTTCTTCCTCTTTTTTTAAAACCATGTTTCTTGTTCGACAATTTCTTTCACTACTCTCTTAATTTCTTTGAAACCTAAACGGATCGAATCACGTTGTTGACGCTTATTGTTTATCGGTCCGCTAGAACGTGCGCCGGATGTTTTTTTGGCGCGTTGTTCGTCGCGGACGAGCCCCACGCGATTATTTTTATTTTTATTCCGGCGTTGCACGCGATCGAATGATATAAGAGCAATCTCGCCGGGATTACGTAAACCCGGTATTACTCGTTAGATGCAACGTGACGCGTCCATTCCACGTTTACGTTTGACAATAGTACATTCTTCGGAACGAGCCTCTGCGGTTCGAGCGTGCCTTTAAACTTCCTGCTCATGGCGAATCGGGACGTTGAAAACGCGCGAATATTCGAAACAATGCGATCGATCGTGTCGCGCAAGTTTCTATTCTCTTTGTGGCGGCTGCTATCTCGTCCTCCGCGTTTCCGTGTCAGCGGACGCGGCGAGATCCTTGAGTCTTGTCTCCGAAATTGGCAATCATGCAAAACTATCTCGCACGCGGAAACGTTTACAACCCGGGTACCTTGGATCGCGTTTAAAGGAACGATTCAAATGTATGCGATTCCCGAGCATCCCGCGTCTCTTTTTATTTCTTCTGCAATCTTGTTTCGTATCTTTGTTTCATGGTAAAACCACCACCTGTACGAATACAGAAATACAACGAAGACGGAGTGGAGATCGCACGGTCTGTTTGGATTCTCCTCGTCGCCTCCGTTCCGGGCCATTATTACACAATTAACTCTTATACAATGAGCGGTACTTTATTTCACCTTTGAGCGAACAGCGTGCTCGCGAGTATCGCGACAGGACGATCGTTAAATCAAGAAAATATTTGCGGAGATCACGAGAGATAAAAAAAAACAATGACAGAACAGGCGAATTCTTTATTTCCGGGGATGAAATATGCGTCGGTGAAACAGAACGACCGAATGGAAAAGTTTTCGTGTATATTTATTCGTTGCATTGTCCCAACTGTGATTCTTTCGGTTATTTTCGAACGCGACAAATTATTGCACGAGGCGATCGCGTCGTTAAATAGCGAAATATTAGATCGGGAACGTGACACAGGAGGGAGAGAAAAGACACGTGCCCTGTACATTTATATCGATCGCGAAGGGAATGAGCGAAGGTTGCCAAAATACCTAGTCACGGCCTTGATTATTTTTATACAAATTAATTAATCCTCGTATCTTCGAATTTTTCTCGTTGTCGTGCCACGCTATTCGTTAAATATAACGTTTATCGATCGGTTATGTAATAACTATATGAAATTGTACAACAACCGTCGATCCGTCCGATCGTCGGTACGATTTTTTTTAATCTATACGTTATTAATATCGTTTGCTCCAATTAGGTTATATTAATGTATCGTAACATCTATTTCTTGGCTAGTATCCTACTTTGTATTTCTGTATCTATTTTAACGATATACAGTGAGCGGAAAAAGTGTTCGTACACCAGTCAATTTGAACAAAAACATATATTGTACATATTATTAGAAATCTCTGGAACAAATTATTTATTTATATTCGTTATGAAAATATTAACAAATGTCCAGAAATTGGCGTGATATATACATACGTGTAATAAGTATTCGTACACTTCTAATTTTACAAGATAAACTATAAATTTTAGTACATAAACGTAAAAAAAAATCAGTCTATTTGCTATTTTAGTATCTTTTCTGTATATTCGCGTATCTACGAGTAATTTCGGGAGAAACTTTTAACACGGACGATCGATTATAGACGCGAGTTTGTAACGGAAACGGATTTCTTAAAAGTATTCGTATCGGAAAGTTCGAATAATCGCGTTATTAGCTCGCAGCGATCAAGCACGCGGAAAATTTGTACATACTTCTGATTGATAGCCGCTATCTCACCCCACGCGTTATTTCTCCAATGCGATTGTTCGGCGGCGTGAGACGTCGAGAGCGGCTGAAACAAGGCTGGTCTTTGCTAGGAAGAAAATTCGAGGAAATTGAACGAAAATTCTGTTACGATTTCAGCGAACCTGTGCACCGCGGCAGCCGGTGCTTTGCTAGGATGGACGAGTCCTATACTGCCAAAGCTAACGAACAGTACAGAGGACAACCCTCTTGGAAGAGTGATAACGAGCGACGAAAGTACTTGGATCGGTTCGCTGGTACCCGTGGGAGCGATGTTTGGTTGTTTCCTCGCTGGATATATGGCGGAGAGGTACCATTGAATTTCAGTCGGGGGTAGAAAAAAAACTATTCCAGTACCCCTTTCGATGATCCGATTTACGATCGTTACTTATCCGCGACAGGTGGGGCAGAAAACGAACGTTGCAGATCTCCGTGGTGCCGTCGTTATTCGGTTGGATCTTGATCGCGACAGCCAGGGTGGTGGGCCAACTGTACGCGGCTCGAGTGATGCTTGGCATCTCCTTGGCGTTCGCTTTCACGGTTGTTCCTATGTATTGCGGTGAAATCGCCGAGGTAAAGGCCACCGTGCAATCTCTAAACGCGTTCTTATAGACAGCAGATCACACGACTAACCTGTCCCTTGTTTGGATAGACGTCTGTCAGAGGAGCGCTGGGATCCTTCCTGCAACTGTTCATCACCGTCGGTATGCTGTACTCGTACGCGATCGGGCCACAGGTATCCTACTTGGTGTTTTGGATACTTTGCACCCTTTGGCCGATATTGTTCTTCGCCTGCTTCTTCAAGATGCCGGAATCCCCGTATTACTTGCTGAAGACCGGTCAGAAACAGGAAGCCCTCTCTACGTTGGCCTGGCTTCGAGGCAAGTCCCCGGCCAGCGTGCAAAAGGAAGCCGACGAGATGCAGGTAAATTAGGAATCCTTCGATCTTCTTTCTACACGATACTGACCAACTCAACGGGAACTCGCGATCGCAATAGTTTCCATTGGATCGCGTTTACCGATCCTCGTACCAACGGCGCTTGTCGTACGGCATCGAGGATCACGGTGCCGGGTCATCGAGGTTATCGGAAATCGACGAAACTCCAAGGGGATCCGTGCCTCGGGAAGATAAAAAGATCGTTTCAGCAATCTTTGTGACTTCTTATCGAGGTTCGAAACGTACGATAAACACAGGAATTTTACCAAAAATCGCGTTTAAAGAGAACCGGTTGGTCGTGAAGCGCGATATCGCGTGTCGCCGGAGGAGGTCAGGGGTAAGGTCGTCGTTCGATCGACCAATGCTAGCGCGAATTCTTCAACGTGCCTCTGTTTCGCGCGAGTTCGATCTTTTATCGCGATTCGTTGCGCAATTTGATCTTTCGATCGTTCGATCGTCTTGTTTCCAGTAACGTCGCACGACAGAGACGTATATTTGTTTATTTACGGATCGCGCGACAGGCGACGACCGACCTTAACGTGCCTCTGTTTCGTTTAGGCGGCCATCGAAGAGGCTTCGAAGGAAGAGGCCAGCATCACGGATCTGTTCACCGTGAAGGCAAACTTGAAGGCCACGATTTACACGTGCCTTCTCGCCGCCTTCCAGCAGTTCAGCGGCATCAACGTGGTCCTGTTTTACATGGAGGGCATCTTCAAAAGCGCTGGCACGTCGCTTTCGACCTCAACGGCGACCATAATCGTCGGTGTCGTTCAATTGCTCGCCTCTTGCGTGACGCCGGTGGTCGTCGACAGGCTCGGCAGGAGGATGCTGCTCGTTTTCTCTGGCGTCGGTGAAATCGTGACACTGGTAAACGAAACATCATTGATAATCATTTATCCCGTTTAGATAATCAACGGTCGAAACCCTGTTTTGTAGAATTTGAACCGTTGATATCTCGAATTGCTCGATCGAAGAACTCTCTACTTTATTATCTTCCTGCAAAGTAAAATTTACCATAACGGATTGCAATATGTTTTTCTATGTATCGACTGGGTGATCCGTGAACCGGAACACGAGCGAGATGACGTCTTCGTGCTACGTCGATGCGTAAAAGCTTAGCAATGCGCATAGATAAAGAAATAGAAATAGAAACGGATCGGGGAAGTCGAAAGCTCGGAACATCCTGATTAAGTTAGTCAGAACGGCTGCGAAACGTTGGAATAATGACTTCATAAAGACGCATCTTACGCTTGGAAGCGTTAGTTAATGGCACCGCGTCGCAATCAGCGAAGAACGCAGCTGGAAACACCAGCTATTGTTATTTAAAACGTTATCGGTGATATCTAGTCTCGGTTTAGTTCCCGGAACAGTAGATTTTCGATGACCAGCGGGACACGGATCGCGGATGAACGCACTTTTCGCGACCTTGATACATCGTTGAACGCGCGAGTTTCGCGGGGATTGCAAAATGGCCGGGAACGAATCGATCACGGCCTTGCAACACCTATTCAAATCGATTTATGTAACCTCTCGAATGTGGCGGCACGTTTCTCTATGGATGCACTCCTGATGCACCAATTAGCTCGGCACTGTAACGAAATAAAAATCGTACCGATAAAGCACGATGTCGTAGCGACGAATTTTAACGGTTTAAAAAATCTGGCGAAAGCAATCGGAACAGGTTTGCTTGTTTAGGTTGTAAACATCGGAACGTAACTTGGCTGCAAACGTTAAAAGTTTCCGTAAACAGAGAGGCGCACGTACGCGCGGGCAATCGTTGGCTGCGCCGACAATGACTTCACGCATCTGGAATTATGAGGTCGCGTTTAATCGTCCGTTGCAGATTGTTGCACCGATCCGCAACCGTAATCAATGTCAATGTCTCGTTACGCGTAACGAAAGGATCGTCTGAATTTTACGATTACGCGATACCGGAAGGTGAAGAGAATCTGTCGGGCAGTGTCTCGGAATGCGGTTAATTGCCATCCACGCTAATTTGCTTATTCATCGATGATGTTTTTTTCGCACGAAACAACATTCCGCGAGCATATCGAATCGTGGCGGTTTTCTTGCTAGAAATAAATCAATCGTAACGTTATAGAAAATATAGAAAAAAAATGGGAAAAAATGTTGGTTTGATCGTTTCAGATTGCTCTGGGTATCTACTTCTATATGCAGGACTATTTGAAAACGGACGTGACGAGTATCTCGTTCCTGCCGGTGGTCGCCTTGGTGATCTTCATCTCGACGTATAGCGTGGGCTGGGGTCCTTTGCCGTGGTCCATAATGGGCGAGATGCTAGCGCCGAAGGTGAAATCGAAGGCGTCCGGTATCACGGTGTGCGTTTGTTGGATGCTCGCCTTCTTCATCACCAAGTTCTCGAACAATTTGCAAGAAGCGTTCGGGAACTTCACGCTGTACTGGGTGTTCGCGGCGTTTTGCGTGATCGCCGTGTTGTTCACGGTACTGGTGCTGCCCGAGACGAAGGGCAAGAGCTTGCAGGAGATACAGGACGAGCTGAACGGCATTAAGCCCTCGGTCGAGATCGGGATGTCGAGAAAAATGTGAAAGCAGTATTAGCATGGTTCACAGTGCGACGTTTTATTCTATTTTTTAACTACACGCGTCTTCATACTGCCAAAGACCGAGATCGCGATTACTCGATTCCGTTTAGTGGGGATTCGAGACGAATGAACGTTTGAGGATCGGGTCAACAACGCTCACGATTACCTTTAAGAAAATCCTATGCCAGATGCAATATCATCGTTATCATTACGAAGGAGGGAATGCGACAGGATTCGAAACCGTGGAATTTGTACAGCGATCTAGAAGACTTTTTCGGCCCGGATCTGTCCACGTTCCGCCTGGCGTCGATGCAATAATCGTTTCTATGTTTCTATATTTATTTCTTGACAAGCCTTAGTCATTCAATAGTCACATCGTCCTGTTTGTATTTAAGATTTTAATTAAGCGGCTCTCCTTTTCTCAACTAATATTTATAATATTTAACGCCGAATTATGTAATGTGTATCGAGTATGTTTCACGTTCGAACGACTTCGTTCTGAAAGTTAGACGCGCAAGAACAAGTTCCGAGTTGTTGGATCGCGATCCTGTTTCGCGTGGAAACGATACCTTTTCCATGCTCGACGATCGACGACACAAAAAATAAGATCGCTCGATCGAAACGGCGTTACGAAATCGGCCGTGCGGTTTCATTTTTTACGGAAGCGCACAGGCGTCTTCGGGGGAGGGAAGAGAACAACGCAGATGGAATTTTACGATCGGTGAACATCTTTTGCGACAAGATCAAGGATCGTTCGAGGATGCACAGCGGAGAGAAGATAGATAAGAATGATTAGAAAGTGCAAATTACCGTTTTACGTCCCTAAAACATCGATCGGAACGTTATTGTATAGAAGGAAAAAATAATGTTTTTTGCAATTCGGAATCGGTTTGCGTCCTCGTTCAGGAAACGGGGGACGGGGGCGTTTCCGCGGTTCAAGACTGTAATTTCTTGAAATTATAGTATTCTGTAATTGTTTCTATTCAAGCGAGCAGCAATTATAATATACAGGGTACTTGAAAAGATTGGAAGAATGCGTTGATACTATAAAACGTATCCTCTCCAGTTTATCCCCCAACATTTTTTCAACAACCTTTCATAGTGATTTTCGCCGTCTGTTCTTTTTTTAATAGTCCAGAGACTTGGTTAGTATTTTATTGGTTCTTCCCTTTCCCTAACCGTCGGTTGGCTAAGCATAATATCACATTAATAACGTAACTTCCGTCGGGATATTTTTAGTTATTACCGCACATACGGATCGACGATTCGCGCGTGTCCTTTTCATTTAAGCGAATAATATAGTCGCTATAGGACTGTACTTATCGCGTACCAAAGATTGTACATATTTATTTTCGATTTAGAGCTAATGACTCCACTTGTAGACGCCATCGAATACGCCGACGACTACTAACACGCGATTAACGTTCTTCGAATCATTGTTTAGCAATTCATACTGTTTGTATTTTGTTTGCATTTATACCGTACCTTTAACACGAGAGAGCGAAAGAGAGAGAGAGAGTGAGAATGTATATATATGTAACTGTGTAATTGAGAGTGTGCCAAAACGTCTTCGTAAAATTGATTTAAGGCCAGTCGAACGAAGATGACATATCGATCAACTTGTACTTTAGTCGAACGTAACGCAATTTTCGGGGCAGAAAATATTCGGTAATCGCGGGTACAATCGAACCACGAATCACGTACAAAGAAAAAGATCATTCGGTGCACACTTTGCGCGCAAAAATACTACTAGTAATTTATTATACGCCGATCGTGTATACCGATCGACGATATTCGGAAGTCGTTTGCATACGTATCCGCGTGGACGAATAATATCGTTCGATACTTTTGGTTAACGTCAACTTTTCCACGAGCATCGAAAGCATAAAAATCCAAGCGCACCGTTCTCGAACGCTCGAACGATTAAGGAAGTTGTTTGCGGATTATGCAACGTTTTTCCGCGCGAATTTGTATGCAACGATTCCCACACGCGCGTTGTTTGTTTCAGTTCGAAGACTGCTGGAAGCGCAAAATCATTCCTGGAATGTTCCTTTCACGAGCAATAAGACTTTTCGTTCGTATCGACGCGTTATCAGCCGCAAATTAGCCCCAAAGGCAAAGAAAACGTAGCCAATTCGTATTTTCACGCCCGGTGTATTTCGCTTCCATTTTCCCAGTTATTTGGACCGCTCATCATCGCGAGCTTTTGGTGCTCGTCGAACTGTATTATTCGCAGAACGATCATTCTTAGTGGCCTTTGAAACTATTCTACGTGAAAATAATATTAACGATCATGTTAAGTTTGTGATTTTAACGGAGAATGACGAGATTTTTAGATAGCAACGAGAGCGTGTGATAATGTTAAATAGTCAGGGTATAAACGGGAAACAATCGTTCAGGAAATTTTTGGCAAAATTTTCATCGATGGTACATGGAACGATTGTACATATTATTACATATTTACTAGATAATATAATTACGATAATAAATTTTCTACACACTTGTTATGGTTAAATAAATTATATCGTTGAAGTATTACGCACGATGCATCCGTGACTGTTTTTTTTTTCTTTTTCGAACCTTTCACGCTACGACAAATAGAAATCAATAAATTCCGTAATTCGTGTAAATTGACGAGCGACGTTGAACAGAAGAAAATCGACAAGCGAGAGCGTATTTTTGCGAAACTTGTACAAATAAAAATTAAAAAACTATATTCGAAGCTCGAAAGGTTACGGATCAGGGGTTCGAAAGTAGTGCGACGATGGCAAAACGCGGTGAAAAAAAGCAATCTGAGATGGTACATATTTTACGCGCGCACGAGAAATATTATGTATACTAACCTTGTTTCCTGTGTTAAATTTCATTTTTATTAGGACGAAGATGATGCAAAGTTGCAAGAGGAGCTGCTTCAATTGGTCGACGCTTTGATGGTAATTATAATACATAATACGAAGCTGTTCGAAAGGTGGGAATAGGTTACAAGTTAAAAGAAATAGTTCATTTATCAAATAAAACTTAGCCAACTTGATATAAAGTCTAGGACGCATTAAATCGTTTTATTGCTACTGTATAATCTTGAGGGATCATAGTACACGTGCATTCCTTATTATTGCATTCGAGGGGAAGGACGAGAAAGCTATGCTGATTTCTTTGAGTCAGCTGAGGTTGCTGATGCAGACCTCGACCACATCGATGACCTCTGTACCGAGACCACTGAAATACTTGAGAAACTCGTACGACACCTTGAAGGAGGCATACAAAAAGATTCGATCGAAGGACGTGAAACAGCAGTTCGCGGAAGTCCTGAGCGTGCTGTCCATGGCAGGTGCTCCTCCAGGCTCCAAGGAGTGCCTTGGATACTGCATCGAAGGGAACGTGGTGAATCCTGGGGAGTGGGGCCACGAATACGTGAGACAATTGGAGAACGAAATCGTCGACGAGTGGACGAATGCTCCCGTCAGAGACGAGAAACGCATAAGGTGGTTTCGACGTTAATGAACAGCGCACGAATTAATATTAACGCTTCCTTGTCTATTCTATCGCAGAAATACACTCACGCCATTGGTGAAAAGCATCGTGGAATTCGACATGAAACACAACGCGGAGATACCTGGATGCGACTTGTGTCTCGAGATCGATCAGCTGAACCTCCTCGACGACTACTTGAACAGCACGAACTTTAACAGAGTGTGCCGTTACCTAGAAGGTTGCGCGATGTACAGGTGACGCTGGTTACTCCCGTTATTATTATTAATTTATCACGAGGTTCGCGATGCCACGCGCGTAATTTTCTATGACGCAACGAGGATGTTATTATTATTGATTCACCCGTTTAAAATAAGCTTATCGTGATGCCTCAGCGAGGACACCGAACGAAGAGAAATACTGAAAATTGTTGCCGATCAGTATCTGAGATTCGAGGAGTTCTGCATGGCGTATTTGGTGGGCCAGCAACTGGTCGACTCGGAGCTGGTGCACAAGTGTCTCGCAAATTGTCCGGACAGCCTGACGAGGAAACAGCTGGCGTTCATGCTCGCGAGGCAACGAGTAACGCTGGAGGATGCTCAGGACATCGAACCGATCCTGAGCAACGGTCACGTGAACGGTCACTTCCTCGTGCTCGCGAGGGAACTCGACATCCTCGAGCCTAAACACCCCGACGACATTTACAAGACTTGGCTCGAGACCAGTACGCTCAGACGCGCCGAATACGATTCAGCGAGAGCGAATTTAGCAGCCAGCTTCGTTTCCGGCTTCGTGCACGCTGGATTCGGCCAGGACAAGCTGATGGCGAACACGGAGTCCTGCTGGATTTACAAGAACAAGGTACGAAGCGTAGGGGAACTCGAAGGCACATTGAAGGCGAAGTAACGTTGCTTTTCAGGACCATGGAATGCTTTCAGCCACTGCGTCTTTAGGACTGATACACATGTGGGACGTGGACGGTGGTTTGGTACCGATCGACAAGTGAATACCGGTTCAACGGCCAAAAGTACGAGTCGCCAACGAGCTTTCACATCGTTTCACGTCCTAGGTACCTTTACACGGGCGAGGATTTCATCAAATCAGGCGCGTTGCTCGCTATAGGGATCGTGAATTGCGGCGTTCGCAACGAGTGCGATCCAGCGTTAGCTCTTCTCAGCAATTACGTGTGCTCCACAAGCGCCACGCTCAGGATCGGGGCGGTTTTAGGATTGGGTCTGGCTTACGCTGCATCCAGAAGAACGGACGTCAACGAATTGTTAACCGGAGCTTTCATGGACAAAGAAAGTCAGCGTGAAACTCGTCCGGATAAATGAAATTCTCTTACAACGGTGGTAATTTTCAGGTACCATGGAAGTTGTGGCGCTAGCTGCGATCGCGATAGGCCTTATAAACGTCGGTTCCGCCGATGCTGACGCGTCCTCGATAATCCTTCACAAGCTACAAGAATTTACTCCTCAAGAATTGTCCAACACTTATTCCAGGTTGGGAGAAAGTAAGTTTTTTTTTTATTAGATTTTTTGTTCAAATTGAAATTGATTATCGTAGATTTCTGCCACTGTCTCTGGGGATGATATACATGGGGTGTCGCGACATGATAGAAGCTTCTTCGGCGGCGCTCGAGATTTTACCCGACCCCTACAAATTGGCTGCGCAAACCATGTTACAGGCAATGTTTATAGATGCGCAAAGAATCCTCCGTGAACTTTGCTTCATACGTTTATCGTTGTTTTCAGATATGCGCGTATGCCGGCTCGGGGGACGTGTTGATCGTGCAAGAATTGCTGCGGATCTGCTCGGAATCTATCGATGGCGACAGCGTATCCAGCACGAAAGAGAAGTCTGAGAATAAGAACGAAGAATCCAAGTACGCTCGTTCTGTATTCTTTTTGCTCTCTCACTGATTCGTTCATGAACACTTCAGAGAAATCGGATCGTCGCAAGCCATAGCCGCTCTTGGTGTCGCCGTAGTTGGCCTGGGAGAGGGAAGAGAAAATTCGCGAATCTTTGGGCAGGTAACTAGTCCACTTCTCTGTTACATCGAATACCCTTTTTCGATATTATCGTGTTCCTTAGATCGGAAGATACGGTTCCTTGTCCGCGAGACGCGCGATGCCATTAGCCCTGGGTTTGACTTTTCTCTCGAATCCGGACCTGTCGATTTTGGGCGTTCTGAACAAGTATAGCCACGACAACGACACGGACGTAGCCAATAACGCGATCTTCGCGCTTGGCCTCGTCGGCGCTGGGACGAACAACGCGCGTCTCGCTACCATGTTGAGACAGTTGGCTTGTTATCACGCGAAGAACCCTTTACACCTGTTCCTGGTCCGCATATCCCAAGGCCTGGTTCATCTTGGCAAAGTAATAGAATCATTGTAAAGTACACAGCGATTCGAATCGATCACGAATTCTTGGCAATTGTACGGTACAGGGTACGCTGTCCATATCCCCGTTGCGTTACGCTTCGAAGATTTTGGACCAAGCCGCGTTGGCTGGACTGCTCGTGGTCCTTGTCGCGTTTCTCGATTGTCGTAATTTGATTCTGGCCAAGTCTCATTATTTGATGTACTGTTTGGCGCTCGCGATGGAACCAAGATGGTTGGTCACCTTGGACGAGAACTTGCAAGTACGTCCGTGCAATTTTTAAACGATTACGAGTTTCTAGGGCCCGTAGAAATGGATCGTATGCCTCGTTTCTGATAAAACATCGTATTATTTAAACCGTGTATCGATAAATAGAGTTTACCAGTATCCGTGAGGGTAGGTCAGAGCGTGGACGTCGTGGGGAAAGCTGGAAATCCGAAATCCATCGTCGGTGGATCCGTCCACACGACCCCAACGTTGCTTTCCGCCGGTGAAAGAGCAGAACTCGTGTTGGACGAATACGAGGCGGTGTCCAGCGTGCTAGAGGGTTTTGTTATTCTTCGGGAAACGCTAAATCCTTAGAACTAATAATTCACGAAGGGTAAAGGGGAAGGTATAAAGCAATAAAAATACTTGGTATTGTTTGAATTTGTATTTTTCATTAACGTCGATATACATTTTATAAGCGTTGATAACAAACGTCGTACAAATATTTGTATCTACGGTATAAAAAAATGAAGGAATAGCGTGAGAGTAATAGTAATTGACAGGTGCTTTATTTTTCAATAGAGGATACAATAAATGACACTGATGTAGGGGGGCTCGAATGCTGAATGCTCCAATCGCTGATGCCATAACACCATCCAAGAGTGGCTTATGTAAAGTAGAAGGGGATTTCGATTGTATAATGAGAAAACAAAGACAAATCGACACCGAACGCGTAACTCCGACGTAACTGACCCGTTTAAAAATATTTCTATACTTCGGTGACGCGGATAATATTCATGAGAATGTAAAGAACGCGTGAATGCAGGTTTTCGTGTAGGTTGCGTTTATTTAAACTTCAGGGACTAGCGGAAGCAATGTGCTCTATACAACAGAAACGTATGTATACATTGGTTCGCATTGCACAGCGTGAATTATAACGGTGCACCATGATCTGTGTTACAAATTAGGTTTATCTGCGATCACTCGTCGTGATTAAAATAAAACTTAAATACAAAAAAAAAAGAAAAAAAAGAAACAAAATAGAAAATTGCGAGAATAACCGCCGATAAAAGAAAAAAGAAAAATGAAAATGTGAGAATCGGTTAAAGATAAAAGGCGCTTCGAGCGTGTGATGTGTTGTAAAATGTCTTGGCGGCCGTGTTGTCGCCGTGATAAAACGCTGCAGTTCGCGTAGAGCGGATCGTTTCTTTTTCTCCTTGTTTTTCGCAAGATCATGGAGCACGTTCGAAACTGCAGGAATTTGCGCAAATGTACAAACGTGCGTTAGACACTCTCGAAAGAGAAACGACTCCTCGTGTTAAAATGTCCGCCGACATTTACACATAGGCACATGACTTAGGGGTAAGAGGCGAATTGTAGTATAGTAAAACACGATTCACGGACTTGTGCAGTGATACGCGACAAGTAAATCGGTTAAGATTCTCTCGTACACGGTTAGTTTCGTGATGTGTCCCGATATAATCGCGTTCCACGAAACTATACGGAAATTAACGTCTGGTCACGGTTAGGTTTAAACGTTCTACATCCAACGTACGCACGGCTATCTTTCGTACTCCTACGGAATACAGGAGCTTAGTTTTCTTAACATTTTTTTCCGCTTTTTCCTGTTTTCGTGTAGTTTGCTTTAGCCAAGTGCGAATATAGTTTCTTCAGCGATATATGCACAACTCTCGCCCGCGCCGCAGAACGTTTTTGTGCAGTCGATATGCAAAGTCGGAGAAACAATTAAGAAACATTTTATACAGCGTGTCTCGTAATCGGTGGTAGAACCGGAAAAATGGTCAAACATCGGTTGGACTAGGGGTTTTTTTTTTCCGGGACGAGGCCGTCGAACAAACATATACGTAGACGGATACGTATCCATATTAAATATTTAAATATAAATCGAAAGGGTGTAATTGATCTCTACGGTCGTATCACGAATTACAGGACAATCTGTATATTTCACGCGTGATAAAACAGAGGTACAGCATGCATATGTATATGTATATATACACGTCACCCGGCAATCTGGACTTCCTATCTACTTATATTTTAAACTTTTCATATTGCTTATAGTAAAATATAATAATAATTAAAAATTAATGATAATGATAGCTCTTATAATAGTAGCGTTTTCGTGTTATAACCCTTTGCAAGTAGTAATTGTGTCTGTGGTTGAAGCGAATTTTCCGAATGGTATGTATATATGTATATGTATGTATATGTATGTATATACTTAACTTTTTTTCACATGGCGTTGGCGATACATATATATACCTTTTCGTTTTTTTTTTCTCTCTCTCTCTCTCTCTCTCGACTAAAAACATTCACGGATGGCCGGTATCGAACACGTGCTCCTCTATCTCATGATGCATACGCTTACTGCGGCAGAAGGAATGTGCACTCTGTACCACGGGAAACACAGTCGTGACACGATGAAGGTAGTAAGTAGAACGCGTAGTACGAATGCTGCTGGTTAAAACAGTCGGGCGCGTCTTTTGATCTCGTTACGACGCCACTGCGGTAGTCTATAGAATTCTGCGCGCGTAAACTGAAGAACTGCCTCGAACTCCGCGTCGGAAAGATGTCGCTGAAAATGAAATATTCCATAAAAATAGATTCGTACGGTCAGGCAGTACGGTTCGAAACAACAATATAACGGGTCCCACGCTAACAATTGTCGATTACCGCCAGGCGGTATTACTTCGCCGAAAGGAATTCCAGTCGTTCGTTCGATTCCAGCTGTTATTAAATCCGTGGGTATCAATTAGCCGTGTAATTACTCACTTCAAGGTTGCAACGATCCACGTCGGCGGGCAGCCTATAGTTAGTGATGACGAGCAAGTGGTAAGGATAGAGTTTCGGTGGTTCGGACGACGTGGTGCCCATGTCTGGCAACGATCTTCTCACATGATGGCCCCCGTGACTTCCGACCACCGAGCCGAGGCCACCTGTGTACGTGGTCGATGATGGAAGCATTCCACCATCATTCTGAAGCACCGATCGAACATTAGTTACCGTAACGAGCTCGTCTCGTCTTGTGTAATGAGCGTTAATAGCGGTGCACTTAATCGAATAAAGTATCTCGCACGACAGAAGACAAAACTGATTCTCCAAACTCCGAGTCCGCCGCGTCGTAACTATTTTCGAAGATTATTATTAAAAAGTTTACGCCGGAGCAATAGTTTGTTTGTCGAAGCGATACCCTAGATCAGTGGATTCCAAACCTTTTTGGAGCATCCCCTCCCAAGAAATTCAAACAACGGTTATTTCTGTATTTCGACGAGGAAAGTAGCCTTTTGGAAAACACTGCTCTAGACATCCTAGATCCTGACTGGATCTAGATCTTTGTCCGTGCGAGAACTTTGTTGTCGCGTCGCTGTATAAGACCCAAGATTCGTACCAACTTTGCAGCAAATAAAAAAAAAAAAAAATGGGAAGAAAAAGAATTAGCGAGACGTCATGTTCGTTAATGACGCGTTGCACCGTCGTTGGTGTCTCGTTTGCGTCTATTCAGCAAGGGTCGACACGACACGGAACTATAGCTAGACTGAAACGTGTAATAGGAACTGGCTCGTTACGATTAATTCTTGGACGCAGTCGTTAAACGTTCGAACTGATTCTGTTCACCGCGAATCGTTGTTTACGCTTTTCGATTGGCGCGACGAAGGAAACAGGGGGCAATGGTATGCACCATGCGCATTCATTTCAGCGTAGACATAGTTCCGGTTCTTTGGTTTGCTTTTTTTCTTTTTTTTTTATGCACGGTTATGCAACAGACGCAATTCCAATGCAGAAAAGACGAGAAGAGCCGCGATAAACGTCGGTTTCGGCGCGTCGTTCGAGGATCGTTGTTATCGTCGGATCGACGAGAATCTCGGTTGCAAGACAGATCGCAAATCAATGCAGCCAATAATCTCAAAAAAAAAAAAAAACAATCGTGGATCGAATCGTTCCGGTTAATATAAATCAAATATGCAAACTTCAAATGCCAAGGCAAGAACTAAAAAAAAAAAAAGGAAGTGACAACTATATAAAAATGCAAAAATATAAAGGAGTCGCAGCAAATGTACAGCAAGCATGCGCGAATAAATATACAACGCTGTATGTACAGATAGTATTTTACATTGCGATAGAGGCAAACTGCAACGTAATTATGTACAGAATCTTCGTTAATCGGTTCCGTGATTATTGGTACGTTACTCGGATTTACGCGAATTTCCCGCCATGTGCGCGCGAACGTCTAAACGCGATCGAAGCGCGGTTATTATAAATCAGATGCAAAAACAAGCTACAAACCATGCTAATTCGCCGGGAGTAGTATGGGGCTGTGGTACATACCAGTGCCCGTCGATCCACATCCGTGATGCTGCCTGTTGATACTAAAATTGGGGAAAAAAATGGGAAAGAAAAACCATGTCAAACCATGTTGCACAAACCGTTTCGTTATGTTAAGTACAATCTTTCTATCGATCAATCGTGTTCCGTTTAACGTCGAAACTTGGCCCGCGTGGATCCGAACCGAACGACCAGGAACACGATTGATTCGACTCGAATCGCTATAAGCAAAATGTCTGATGATCGTTATTGTACATATGACCTGAATTCACTAATAAGCTACGCGAATACGTATTACGTGGCAGCTTTCAACGATCAAACATCTTCAAGCACGTTATCGCTCGGGCATCGCTAGAAATCATCCGTACGGTTAATAATCGTAACAGTCCGAACGGTTTCTTACGTGATCTTGTAATCTAAACGATACCTCACGTCGAATCACCTAAGGTAATGAAACGTGACAGTGTACGAGTGTGTACGTGTTTGTGTGTATGCGTATGTGTGTGTGTATTTGTTGCGTGTCAGAGCGAGGATGCATTAGTAAAGCATGCTCAGGTATTAAGCCTAGTAATCGTAGTAATATATAATCAAGAGAGAAAAAATAAATAAATAAGTGTCGCGTGCTCGCGGAACGTTTAGAAACGCAGAATTGCTTTCGAGGGACCCCTTGTTCCACGAGCACTCTACCTCGAGGAAAGAAAAAAAAAAAAAGCATGTACAAGTCGAAGTTCGAGAGTACTGCGAAAGTAGTAGAGTGGCAAGATAACGTGATCGGTTTCCTTTTCTGTTTGTTACTCACTATCTGACTTGCCAGATGAGAAATCAGTGCTGTGCGTCTTGTCTCCCATCCCACTGAACGAATAATCACCCTAGACGACAGAAAAGCGTACATCTTAGAGTCGATGGAAAATCATTGGTGTCCGCGTATACGTTATAGTAGTAGTAACAATAATAATAATGATAATAATAATAAGTCTTTAGAGCATTAAGTTCAGCAACAGGTGCAAGAGATTGGTCGTCGATTGTGACGCGATTGTGCAAGACTTACAGGGAGAGCAGATACAGAACCGCCGGTCGAGGAGAAGGTGTGACTTCGCGGTGCCAGACCGTACCCTGGCTTCGGGATGTGCCGAAGGGAGCTCACAACTGGTTTCAAATAGTCAATCGACAGTATTACTCATTAGTTTCAACGGAAAAAGTGGAATCGTTCATTCCCATACGAATGCCCAACGTTCGCCAACAAAACATTACGTTTCGTACAACTTTGTATGCATGGAGTGGTTATCGCGAACTCGTTCGTGTACAACAGGATCAAACGATTTCAACCGAACCTTTTTTTGCATCGAGACTACCCCACCGTCACGCTTTTTTTATCTTGCAAAGACGTTCTCTTCCTCTTCCCGTTAATTCAACACGTTTGGAATATGTAACTCGAACGCGTACTCGATATTCTATAAATATCGTGGCATGGACGGTGGAACGAACGCGTCGAGGAAGAAGACCGTCAAAGACAAATAATAAAAAAAAAAAAAAAAAAAAAAAGAAAAGCTGATAGGTCCCCTTGAGATTTTATAGTTAATTCAACCGTTTCTCGCATCCCCGCGGCAAGGTGGAACATAACCGATGTTTATAGTGCACAAGCTTCTTATTTCTCGTAGAACAGAGAATGTGCAAGGGTAACGCGCGTGTACACGAAAAAAAATATACAGTGAGTGTGAAAAGTATTCGTACGCTAGTCAATTTGAACAAAAAGTTTGCAGAACTTTGTTCATTACGAAAGTATGTTACCAAAAACGTGCATACATATTCTTAGAAATCTCTGGAACAAATGTCATTAATAGACCGCGGATCTTTATGCAAATTCACATTTTTAATAATAGAATTAATAAAACGGGAGCTTTGTAGATGATTGTCTCAACCCTTAAATATAATAATTCGTATCTTACTTTATTTCTTATATTTTTGCATATTAAGTGCATTCTGTAGTTTTATCAGGATTAAAATTTCCCATAAATGCATAAACATCCGCAGTCTAGTCATTAACAACAAATTATTTATTTATATTTATTACGAAAATATTAACAAATTTCCAGAAATTGACCTAAAATATACGCGTAATAAGTATTCGTACAGTCTTTGATTCGTAAAGGCGTGATTCCACTGAGGTAACATGTAGCATGCGGCAATTACGCATAACATATATATACGCAATATTATTAAGGCAACATTTAGGCAACATGTCGCATGCGATTACGACGCATGCAACATGAAATCGACGTTATGTAGACACTTGACATGTGTATTTGCTACACATTCATTTGTTTACTTTCCGAAATAAAAAAGCGCGGGATTATTTGATATTGTTTTGTCGAATCGACAAGATTGAACATGTCGAGCAATGTCGTCAGTTAATGACAAGTAGCATGCTACAGGTCGCATAGTGTTACCGAACGACATGTGGCATGTTACAAGTCGCATAGTGTTGCCTCAGTGGAATCATACCTTAACATTCCACATAGAACGATTACAAGATAATCCATGATATGTAAACATACCATCAGTATGTCTGGAGATGCTGTCGGTATAGGTAGTATCCTGAATTCAAACATTATCAACGAAATTATCAATAAAATGGGAGGAAAACGCGAGGAAACCTCTGAAGAAGAAAGGAAAATTGTTATAAATTTACATAATAAGTGTAAAACACTGAGTAAAATTTCTAAAGTTTTAAATAGACCGAGGTCCACGATTCAAGGTAATCATCGAGAGATATGGCGATCGAAAAACTGTAAATAATCCAAGAAACGGACGCAAACGAATAATAAATGAGTATACCGGCCGATGGATAATTCGAAAAATAAAGATAATCGAAAATCCAAAGATAAGTGCGGTGAAAATCACAGCTGAACTCAAAAATGATCTGGACATTAATGGATGCAGTAGCACGGCGCGTAATTTTTTACGGGATAGAGGATATCACGGCAGAGTAGCTCGTAAGAAATATTTCGTAAATGAAATTAATAGAAAGAAACGATAGCAATTCGCGAAAGAGCACGTTAAAGTTCCTATGAAGCACTGGAACCGTATTATATTTACCGATCAGAGTAAATTTAACATATTTGGGTCAGATGGACGATGTACGGTATGGCGGGGAAAAAATACCGAGTACGAAAAAAGAAATTTGAAGGCGACCGTAAAGCATGGGGAATATCAGTGACAGTTTGGCAGTTAGGCTCTATGAGTGCGAGCGGGGTTGGATCCCTCCATTTTATCGATGGTATCATGGATCACAAAATGTACATCGATGTTCTAAAAGAGCATCTTCGGGTTAGTGCAAATAAAATGCAGTTACAGGGCAATTATATATTTTTGCAAGATAATGATACAAAGCATAATGCTTCTAATACACGTCAGTGGATGCTATATAATGTGCCGCGGCAATTAAAAATCCCTCCACAGTCTCCAAACATAAATGTGATAGAGCACTTATGGAGTCATCTTGAAGAAAAAATTCGAGACCATCGCATTTCTTCGAAACAAGATTTAAAAAATGCACTTTTAGAGGAATGGAACAAAATTTCTAGTACTGTAACAAAAAATTTAGTAAATTCAATGCCACAAAGGCTTAAAGCGATTATATTAGGTTGTCCCATATGTTCGTGCCGAGTTTTCTACTGTAACTTGAAGTAATATTTTAAACGTATGATGGAATTTTATGAAAAATAGTAAACCTCTTCTCGTTCAACAACTCCTTCCCCTTCTTTTGGCAAAGTCATTGTATCGTCGCTCCAAAACTTGCTGGATATTTTATTCAAATTTAGTTTAACGCTTTTCATTAAAACGTTGACATTTACAAATTGTTTATCCACTAATAAGCCTGGAGATTGTTATATTTTATATCTTATAAGATTCGGTTGTTATTATATGCTAACAGAAATATTTGCGCAACCAGGCTCTACCGCGATTAAGAAAATTTTGTTCCATAAGTTAGTGTGGATTCGAAACTTCGAACTTTGACACAATATCTATTTGTTTCAAATTTCTATCAATTGTTGATGTTACTATGTTTGAAATTTCAGAAATCACCTCAACTGACAAATTTTCTTTGTTTTTTATTAGATTACAAATTTTATCCTTATCAATTTCAGAATATCGAACAGCACGAACTTATGGGACGACCTAATGCAATCTAAAGGAAATCCCACTAGATACTAAAATAGCAAATAGACTGATTTTTGTTACGTTTATGCACTAAAATTTACAGTTTTTGTTGTAAAATTAGAAGTGTACGAATACTTATTACACGTATGTATATTTCACGCCAATTTCTGGAAATTTGTTAATATTTTCATAATAAATAATTTGTTCCAGAGATTTCTAAGAATATGTACGCATGTTTTTGTTCAAATTGACTAGTGTACGAATGCTTTTTACACTCAGTGTATTTATACACGAGCAGCGTGTAAAAGTACCGGGCTTAAACACGATAATTTTGCACGCCACCGGTATATGTTTACGTACGAAGAAGCCAGCACCTGTGTCTAAGTATAATAAACATTTTTCCATAAGCTAGAGATAAAAAAAATAAGCATGCCCTCCGGTGAAGACAAGTCAACAATAAATTATCCTCGGTCGTTAACGCGGCGGCTGCTCTTGAAAAGTCTCTTGGCCTGCGCGGGCGAAAGGCGAGTTTCAAGGGGGTTGAAATTCGCTTTCGGTCCCAATTAGAAAGTTATCGTTTGACTTGAGATCAACGGTAGGTGAATTGGAAAGTTCTCGAACTCACCGAATTATAGTGCCTAGCGGCGTTTGGAAGAGTGAAGGCGCGTTGAGTACCAAGGGGTGGATAGTTTCTGGGAGCCGGGGAGCGTGCCGATGACCTCCCAACTGCCGCCCACGCAAACACAACACAAACACAAAAACACAAATAGAGACACGATGATACAGGTAGCGGTGTGTGGACTAACGTAGACAGCGGTATTCTATTTATCGTTTTAGATGATCCAACATTGGAAGATACGGTGGCCGGAGACCACGTTTTCACCGCGTAAAGTATCCGACAAAGCGAGAGAAATGTATGCAGTGCCGAAGAAACCAAAGTGTCATGCGGCGCAAATAAACATGTACGTACATACGTAGACGCGTACAAGGCGTATAGAAAATTAAGAAAAATAATAGTAATTTGTCTTTGCGTACCAAGGTGCAGTTTCTTCCACACCCTGTACAGAAATCAATACAGATACTCTACAGCGTATACGGATTATCTTCCAACATTGTAAGTTATATGAAACGTTCAAAAGATCATGAGAGAATGATGTACGCTTTTATCTTTTATTTTGAGCAATGTGTGTTCGTGTATGATGGACAGTTGCGAAGATCGAAACCAAAGTACCATGCGAGAGGATCGGCAAGATGATGTCTAGGATAATCAACGTATATATATGTATATATAATGACGAATGGAACGATCGTGTGGCTAAAGTGAAAGAAAAAAACGAGGGGTTTTGCATCGATTACGCTACTTCGAAGGATGATGTTCGGTTCATAACGCATACTGTTATGTACTCGGATGAGAGATAGTCGAGATACGGTAAGAAGAGGCAAGCACATCGAAGGTATATGCCGACCACATGCAAAAGCGGAACATACATCACCTGGTTTACGTTAATGGGCGGCCAGAGTGTGCGGTATTTGGTGCTATGCCACTTAAAACTTAAACTTCCTGCTCGAGTCACGCACTTGTTATCGTTCGTTAATCGAGCACGGACCCCTTCCCCCACTGCGTGATTCGCATTCGCACGTTGCAACGGTTCCCGTTCCACGATAGCACAAACTTTTTTAGTGGTAAAAGTGGAACGTTTCTCGCTCCCCACCCCCGCTATCACTTCGGAATCTAATGTCCGACGTTACTTTAAACGGTAGAGTGGTATGTTAGTGTCATGTGCGAACGTGTGGACATGTATGAGATGATTATCACTTATGTTAATGAGACGATCATGATAATAATGACAACTAACGATCGTTCGCGCGACGTCGACACTTACCGTTGTAACTCGGACCGCTGGACCTGTAGCTAAAACCGTCATCGTCCTCCCAGGGTCTGGCGTGATCTATATTTCTCGATGGTGCTGCGGGTCAAAGTAAACGTTTGCAACGCACGATACGACCAACCGAGACCGGAAACGAACGTCGCGGGGACTTACATGCGCCGACCGGGCTCTCGTATCGCAGTCTGTAAGTCGGTTCTCTGGCCGCGGACGGTGTTCTCGACGCGTTTCTAGGATCCACGTTCGCAGCTTTGTGTCTCAAGTTCTCCCGATCCTTCTCGCGATCCTGCAAGAACACCTTCGCTATCCCGGTGTCGATTTTGCTCAGCTCGTCCTGTTCCTTCTTCAGTTTCTCCTCCACCTCCTTTATGTACGTTTTGTTGTCGACTTCGTCCTCGTCGTCGGACGCTGGTACACCCTAAATCGGTAAACGTGTAACGCGTTATCGAAACAACGTATCGATTCGATGAAACATCGATCGTGGATACCTTGTACGTGTCCGACCATCGTCTGCGTCTCTCGGGGTCCGTGTAAGGATAAGGGGGTGCCGGGAAATCGTCTCTTTCGATCGGTGGCTTGGTTCCAGGAGGCGGCTTCATAGCGTCCGGATAATGCGCCAGCTCTATTGGCTCGTCATTATCTACTTGACTGGCCGGCGACTTCGGTCGGGGCTCGCTGAGAGCATCGACCAGAGCTCGCATTCCGGATCGGCTGCTGCGTCCACCGCTGCTTCTTATCGAACGTGAGGCTAAAATAAAACGACGGGTTGAATTTTCGAGCACGCCAGTTCCGTTCGGTTCGTAAACCAATTCCATAGAGAGTTTACTGCCCCGAGCGAATAAAGAACGTTCAAGACTTACAGCTAGGTCTATGAAAGTGTGGGCTAGTCGGAGGTTTGTCGTAGGGCTGTATCGGACGTCTCAGATATCCTTGGCTGGGCGTTTCGGTCAAGTACGAGTACGTGTAAATCCTAGACACATCCTCGGATGCACCGCGTCCATACTCTCTCAATATCAGTCCGGGACTGCCAGTTCGTGCGGGGTAATACTGAGGCAATTAACGCATATTATCGCGGCTAAACTCGTGCTAGGCTTTTACGGCGAATCGCAAACGTCTCTCATACCGTTTACTTTAGCTACGTACTCAACGAAACAAGATTAAAACTCAATTGGCGCTTAAACACTCCGTCAAGAAACGTCACTCTCTTATCCTAGCAAAACTCTCGCCTTTCGTTCTCTCGGATTTTCAAACAGTTTTTACTCCCGCAACCTTTGCTTTAGCCATCCATTCTTTCACGTAGGTTTCACTTATGGTTGGTTCTTGGCTCGTTAAAAGGGAATCGAAGGCTAATCAAAAACTTGCACAAGTACAAAAGAACCTCGAAGCAAAGTCTTTGGCAAGTTCCAACGAAAAGGCGGTGTTTTTCAGCTATAATCTTCGTTATAAACGCGGTGTTTCTTGAGAGAGTGTATGTGCTAGGAGATACGTGGCATACCTTGCGACTGAGGCTGCTGTAAGGGCTGCATAGTGATCCGTTCAGGCTTGGCGTGCGTGACCGCAATGAAAACTATACACAATGACCGTGCGAAAAAAAGTAAACAACGATTAAGAAAGCAATAATAAAAATAAAAAATAATAAAATCAAATATATGATAAAATTGATGAAGTATATATATATATATATATATATGTAATTTTAAAATCCGGACATCGAAGCGTGCGAAAAAGATACACAACGATACGTTACGGAACAATGCATAGTCGAAAAGCCATATATCATCGAGAATTAAAAATTAAGCTATACACAAAGCTGTTACAAAAAAAAAAAAAGGTAAAGATACTTTACGCTCTAGACTGATCTACGCTAAATTGATCTCAACGATTGGGCGCAGACACAAAGTTAACCGGGCAGAAAATGTTTCACAGTGAACGTTGCGTAACAACGGTTCGGGATATACATAAGCACGATGCAAGCTGAACGTCGTATTTCTCTCTCGATTTTACAATCGTACGATCAAACTCAATTCAGTGTGCACACGAAGTACAATAATTCGTTGTTCGACAGCAAACGATGCAACTAAACGAAAAATGCATTCGGCGGACGTAGAGAGCGACGTGCACATATTAATTTGGAACGATATCGAATGTCTGTATGATCGTGAAAATAGAGTATCAATTGAATACAGGTTATCGAAAATGCGAACGATTAAGAGTTAGGACGGATAAGATAGATAAAGGGTACAGCCGTATAAGGGGGTCAAATGTGACATACGATGGATCCATCGATAGAGCGCCAAGAAAAAACGCTCTGTGCCAAATTTTAACCCTCTATCTTGTTTGGAAGGGTAGTTATTGAGAAAATTCGGATTAACGAATTTCTGCCTATTTCCCCTATTTAATCGAGTACAAAAATTATGAAAAAAATCTGGTGCATTGTGGTTATTGAGATACGTGTTTGAGAATTTTCGCCGATTTTTCGATTCCAAATTCTACGTGTGAAAAATTGAAAACGCAAAAAAACAGAGAAAAATACGGATTTTGTATTGAAGCTTTCGAGACACTAGATTTCTATAATTACTGTAAATGCGTATTGTCATTGGTTATCTCCCTGAATTTTTTCCGATTTTTTGGTAGGGTGCGCCGTGGTAGCAGAAATTCGTTAATCCGAATTTCCTCAATAACTACCCTTCCAAACAAGATAGAGGGTTAAAATTTGGCACATAACGTTTTTTCTTGATGCTCTATCGATGGATCCATCGTATGTCAGATTTGGTTCAAGGGCACATTTGACCCCCTTATTCAGCTAAATCGTTTGTGCGAGATCTACTGCAAGATCGCAACGATCCAATGAAACAATCACCATGTACGGACGGACGAGCGGAGACGGTACAATATTTTACAAGATCGATATCCGATTCGCCAGTTCCGAATTAAATTTATGTTGAGGATAAAACGCAGCGATGAGAAATGAAAATATAGAGTCGAGTCCTATCGACTTGCAACGCTCGAAGTCGGTTGTCAGCTGGACAAGATCGAGGTGAACTCCCGTAGATCGTAATTGACGAACAAATTTCTCCCTTCTCGATTTGTACGATCTTACCTGCATTTCAGACGCACTGCTGGAGATCCGTTCGGATTCACGATGCTGGGGAGTGTGAGGTTCGCCGTGGCCGTTGACGATACCGTTGGGACCACTGGGCCCTGGCCCGCAACGCGGATGCCATATCGCGGCGCCCTGCAAATACATCTCTTCACCGTCCCCGAAAGGATCGCCGCACTTGGTGCATCGCGCGCAAGTAGGATGAAAATGATGATTATCCCCGGCTTGTAGCACCTTGCCGCTGATGTAGCGATTGCAGTAGGCGCACTTTACGCCAAACTGCTTCTGATAATCCTTCTCGCAATAAGGTACCCCGTCTCTGGCAGAGTTTGAAAATTCGGTGTGTAAAACGGGGGTGTTTCTGTTTTAGGACCAGAGGAATATTGGGGACTCACTTTCCCATGTATTCGCCGTGAAGCACGGTGTCGCAGCTGTGACACTTGAAGCACCAGACGTGCCATTGGCGATCGAGAGCGACCAAAGCTTGACCTTCTCGTAATTGGTTTCCGCAACCGGCGCATGCACCGGGGTCGGAGGGCCCGTCTCCGGAATATCTGGTGACGGCGCAATAACCAACCGGCATCGAGGCCTCTCGAACCGGGATACCGACGCATCGATGACACAGAGCTTGACCTATAGACAATGTACGGTTAGTTAAGATTGGACAGATCCGGTCGACGATCCGACGTCCGATGACGCACGCCTGCTACTCCGCTATTGTCTTTTATCCCGACTATAGGAGTATCTCCTCGGTTGATTCATCGTTTGTACGCGCAGCTTCGCGATTGTTTGCTCGTTCGATTTGTGTCCCGTGGTGTATAAATAGCTAGGCGATTCCTCTCCAGTCATCGAGAGACGATTCTTTTCGAGAAGTGCATAGCGTTTGCGGCGGTTTCTCTAAAAATACGCGACTCTATCGACATTCTGGCGGGGGGACGGGTCGATGAAGGGGCCTCGGCCTGGAAAGATGCGCGTAAAGATTCGCACGGGAAGAAGGTAATGATCCGAGCGGAGGCGGTTTAAATCGCGATAGGATCGTCTCTCGATGTATCTCGTGCAGACGTATTTCCAAGCGTTAAACGGGTAATCGTTACAAGGCCACACGTGCCTAGCCTCGTTAAGCCGGAGCCAGCGATACACCTAAGTGGTAATTTGCTTCAACAGGTTCACCGGGTACGGCAATCTCGCGGCCCCTATCAAAACCGAGAAACGTGTAACGTTCGCGTCAGGTAAAACTTTTTACCCCGAGGACCGACGTTCTCTGGCGCGTTTTAAAGGTTCGAGGAGGGTCCTCGGGACGCGGGCTTACCTTGAACGAGGGACACGTTGGTCCCTTGGCCCAGCAGCGGTTGTCTGCATCGCTGGCAGTGAAAACAATTCGGATGGAACGCGTGCTTCTCGCCCGCGGTCACCACGTCCCCCTCCACGTACTCCCCGCAGCCGGCGCACTTGGTGCCCCACCGTTCCCTGTAGTCCTGAATAATTACAACAAACAAACACACACACACGATCGTTTCGATCAATTCATCAGACATCGCGGGGACCGAGCTGTTAAATACGAGCATTCCTCCGCGAGGAGTTTGCAAAAACTTGAACGTTTATAATCGAGCATTAATTAACCCTTTTAGTGCCGAGCGAAAAACATTTTTTTTTCCTGTCGAAAAATTTCACAGATTCTCGAATTTTTTTCTCGAAAGTGGGTAGGAATTCAGGGGTACGTGTATTCACCAAAATTGATTGTAATTGATGCCCCTAGCTAAAAATAATTTTTTTAAAATGATTCAAAATTTTTTAATTTCGGAAAAATTTCTGTACCTTCTCGAATTTTTTTCTAAAAACTGGGTAGGAATTCAGGGGTACGTGTATTCACCAAAATTGATTGTAATTGATGCCCCTAGCTAAAAATAATTTTTTCAAAATGATTCAAAATTTTTTAATTTCGGAAAAATTTCTGTACCTTCTCGAATTTTTTTCTCAAAAGTGGGTAAGATTTCGAGGGTATGTCTATTGACAAAAAGTGATTGCAATTGACGCCTCTAGTTAAAAATAATTTTTTCAAAATGATTCGAAAATTTTAATTTTTAAAAATTTCTCCACCTACTCGAATTTTTTTCTCTAAAGTGGGTAGAATTTCGAGGGTATGTCCATTCACAAAAAATAGTTGTAAGTGACCCCTGAAACCGAAAATAATTTTTTCAGAACGATTTGAAATTTTTTCTTTTCGTCGAAAAATTTAGGCACCTTGGTCTGGGTTAGGTCTGGGTTAGGTCTGGATTAGGTTTGGGTCAGGTCTGGGTTAGGTCTGGAAGAAAAATTAAATTTCCTTTAAGAAATTTTTCTAGGGCAAAGTGTTAAACCCAAAAATAATTTTTTAAATGCTTTTGCAATAAAATTAGACCCTTTATAATGTTTTACAAATTTTTTTTGAGACATAGCTTTCTCCTAACGCGAATAATAAGGCACCATCGCATACGCAACGATATATCGTCGTTCGGCACTAAAAGGGTTAAAATAAAAAAAAAGTAAGGAAACTGTAAACCGCGGTTCTCTATTGTATTCATCGCGTAGCATTACGCGCTCCAAATAATTCTCGACCTTCTCGCTATTTACGTGTTTAATAATTACCATGTGATTTTTTTTATTTATACGTTTCAGTACCTTGGTGCAGTAGTAAGAGCCCTCGCGCGCGAAAAACCCGCCCTGCGCCAGGCTCGAGCTACATTGAGCACACTTGAAACACCCTATGTGGAAATACTTGTCCTGCACTCGTAGCACCTCTCCGCTGCACTTCTTCTTGCAGGACTGGCAGAACGTTTTACCTGAAACAGAAAATAATCGCGCGTGTCAGGCTGCTGTATCGTACGATAATGTTCGAGTTGTCGTAATCGCGAAGGGTACGCGTAGCAGCGGGTGCATTTATTAAGGTTAACACCGCGTTACGTGCTCGATTTATCAATCTTGATTCGAGCAGCGGCGTTCTTTCCGGTTAATCGCGAGCGACCGTCACGTTTCGAAAACTTTCCTGCGCGAGATCCAGTCTCCATTAACCGTCGCGCCTCCGTTTGTGGAACGCGCCGTTCTTTTCGCGCGGAGAAAGGAAACTTCTTGGCGGCTCGGTCTTTTATCTACGACCGTCGAACCAGTCTCGCTCGCCGAAGGTAAAAGTTTTGCACAAAACGAGTGCTTTCTCCGAGCGAGTTGCCCACGAATGGACTTCCTATTCCCTTCCGCGGATGAATTCGAGGACTTTGAATCGCGATCTGGCCGCTGGACGCGCTAATTAATAGCAAATAGAGCAGAACCAGCTGGCGTGTTTCGTTTCAGGAAGCGGTAACGTTACTATTCCACCGACATTATCGTGGAAAAAAAAGCGGTCGAACCGAATCGTTCCTGATCGCCGGTCCCGCTAATTGGATCGTAAAGAAAACCGACGTTTAAAAAATGAATACCCGGCGGACATGATCCTCGTACGCCGTGGCAGTAAATTTGTTAAAAATTGCTACGAATCGTTAACGAGAAGAATAGAATTTACGAGAGCGATTTCTCGTTCCGTGATGGCGCGAGATCGATATCGATCGGTTTTTCTCGCGCACCTTACACGGTTCCCTGTTCGGCTACCTGTTGTACCCTTCCCACGCGATGAGTAATCGATTCGGTGAGTACTCGGGGGACACACGATATTCGTGTTCGATAAATGGCGTTCGGGCTGATCGAGAATCGGCGCACGTAACGCTCGAATATGGCGCGTTACACGCGTAATCCGGTCGTCGTGGAACTTGTGAAGCTCGAGGAGAACCTGCTTAGCGTACCGGTCGTAGAAAAAACGCGAGAAGTAAAAAAAGGCCGCCGGACACTTGTCAGAATGCAGTTACGCGGCAGGCGAACCGCGTGTCGAATCTGGGTGAAGGTCTTTTCTTCGTTCGACACCGCAGGTGTAGCCGCGAGTCGGTGAATTTTCGTGACGCGGCGTCGTCGTTGCGCGTACGAAAAAATACCTGGGACAATTTATCGCCGGCTGTCAGCGGCTTCGAGATAATCGCCGTTAAAAAAAGCGACGCGGCGCTCCCGACAATTTTGCCGGACGATCAAATCGTTGTCGCGATTCACCGTGATTAAATTGTTCGCTACGCGACGCGGCTGCTGCGTTTTTTTATCGTCCTTTCCAGTCGTTCGCTTTCCATCGTAGCTAATGGACCTATCGGTCAGTCCCCGGGCCCCGCTTTTCAATTATCTTCGTACGCGCAAAAAACTCGATCCGGTTTTTGCTTTAATTGGAGGCTCGCTGGCCGCTGGCGGCTCCTTACCGATGATCGCGCGAATCGCGTTTCTATTCGACGATGATTTCCGTCCCCTGGCCAACCGCCAAACTTAACCCTTTTAGTACCGAGCGAAAAACATTTTTTTTTGCTGTCGAAAAATTTCACACCTTCTCGAATTTTTTTCTCAAAACTGGGTAGGATTTCGAGGGTATGTCTATTGACAAAAAGTGATTGCAATTGATGCCTCTAGCAAAAAATAATTTTTTCAAAATGATTCAAAATTTTTTAATTTCGGAAAAATTTCTGTACCTTCTCGAATTTTTTTCTAAAAACTGGGTAGGATTTTCGGGGTGTATCTACTGACAAAAAGTGATTGCAATTGATGCCTCTAGCTAAAAATAATTTTTTCAAAATGATTCAAAATTTTTTAATTTCGGAAAAATTTCTGTACCTTCTCGAATTTTTTTCTAAAAACTGGGTAGGATTTTGGGGGTGTGTCTAGTGACAAAAAATGATTGTAATTGATGCCTCTAGCTAAGAATAATTTTTTCAAAATGATTCGAAATTTTTTAATCTTTAAAAATTTCTCCACCTACTCGAATTTTTTTTCTCGAAAATGGGTAGAATTTCGCGGGTATGTCTATTCACAAGAAATGATTGCAATTGACCCCTGCAACTGAAAATAATTTTTTTAGGACGATCTGAAATTTTTTAAATTCGTCGAAAAATTTCACACCTTGTCGAATTTTTTTCTCGATTGTGGGTAGGATTTCGGGGTCATGTCTATTGACCAAAAATGAGTATAATTGACACCCCTAGATAAAAACAATTTTTTTAGAACGATTTGAAAAATTTTAATTTCGTCGAAAAATTTCGCACCTTTTCGAATTTTTTTCTCGAAAGTGGGTAGGATTTCGGGGTCATGTCTATTGACCAAAAATGAGTATAATTGACACCCCTAGATAGGAATAATTTTTTTAGAAGGATTTGAAAAATATTAATTTAGTCGAAAAATTTCACACCTTTTCGAATTTTTTTCTCGGAAATGGGTAGAATTTCGGGGGTATGTGTAATGATAAAAAATGATTGTAATTGACCCCTGTAACTAAATATAATTTTTTTAGTGTGATTTTAAATATTTTAATTTCATCGAAAAAGTTCAGTACATACTTGAATTTTTTTCTCGAATTTGGGTAGGATTTCGGAGGTATGTCTATTCACCATAAATGATTGTAATTGACCCTTGCGATCGAAGATAATTTTTCCAGAACGGTTTGAAATTTTTTAATTTAATCGTTAATAATTTTTTAACGAGGCCTCGGTCAAGAAACTGATATTCTTCATTTTCGTCTTATTTTGGCCTCTAGAATCTCCTATTAAAATTTTTCCCAGAATACATACGTTTCCGCCACAAAGTAGTATCGAGTTGCTGGTTCGCCAAAATAATTTTTTAAATGCTTTGTGCAATAAAATTAGACCCTTTGTAATGTTTTGCAAATTTTTTTTTGAGACAGAGCTTTCTCCTAATGCGAATAATAAGGCACCGTCGCGTACGCAACGATATATCGTCGTTCGGTACTAAAAGGGTTAATATTTCCGATTCCAAGATCGATCGAAAGAGACGTCTCTGTATATTAATCGTGAATGTATGGTTTAACATAAGCCATGAACGACGCGACACGTGGCGATCGATTCGAAATGGCGCGAGATCGTAAATCGCGCGACGACGCGATTGGACGAGCTTTTACCACGTGTAATTTTAACAACTGCTGGCAGAATTTACTCGCGTTCGGTTATGTAAACGTAGCTACAGTTGACGTTCTTGTCGTTCGTTGACTCTACGGGCTGTACGTCCGACATGTATCGTAAAACTTTAAAGCTACGCGATCTACGGCACGTTGTATAATCTTGGTGCGCGAAATCTCGATCCGCAATTTCTTTTTAACAGAATTCCTGTGGAGTATAGAGAGGGAATAAAGTCTCGAATGCATCCGATATAATTTATCTGCGCTCGATTCAAGAGCAAACGGCGCACAGAATGCTCGAATGATTCAGTCCTGTGCCAGAAGGGCACCAGATGATAAACGTGTCTGTTTCGTTAAGTTATCTTTTGCTTTGAACGTAAACTCTGCCCCCCCCCCCCTTCCTCGGCTGTCAGTGGCGTCTCTGAATTACCGTGCTCTGTCTGCCACTTACAATGTGTGGATCGTACAGGCTCGAGCATCGGAGACGTTGCTTTCTAGGAAAGACCAAAGATCCAGCTGGTTATCTTTAATGGAGTCGACGGGATCGTCCGTTAGGCGAACGACTTTATTTCCGTCGCGTACGCGAAACTGTTTCGCGGCTGTGGAAAATACGATTAGCATAATCCCACTTTCGCGTCTGCCCGTGATTAATTAGGTTCCTTTCTGGCCCCGACGATACACGGTTATTCGAGTCGATGTCATCATCGGGACCAAAATACAGAATGACTAAAAAATAAACGACGATCCGATCGTAGCTACGAAACCGAGGTCGGTCTAGGTGTAACCAATATTCTTATTTCGTCGTACCGTTCTCCCGAGAAGAAAGTTCAGCATGATCGGTTACGCAACTCCGGCACGTTTCGATCTCGAGAAGAAGAAAATCCGCGGATCTGTACGGTTCGTTCGTTTTTAACGGAAACATAAATCAAGCTTTCTCGTCTCATCTTGTTAGCCTCATTTAAACGCCATAATAACTCCGTACTCAATTGGCGAATCGCGAAGGAGTGCACAAGACTTCTCAGATTGAGAAACATGGATCACGTTTGGATTCTCGAAGAGGTTTTCCGAGATACTTTTGTAAGAAAATCCTTATCGAACGATATCTAACGCGACTAGGCAAACAACGACGATCCCCGGTCCAAAAGTTCGAAAAAGTTCCAAAAGATTTCGTGGAAGAAAACGATCGAGCGTGATCTACGAACGAATTCATCCGCCACAAATTCTTCGTTATTCGTGACGGACGGTTGTTTACAAAAATTTCGTGGCTCTCGCCTTACGTTCGCGTCGCGGGTATTTTAAAAATACACGGTGACATCATTCGAGAGAGCTGTTCGTACAATTTGACGTCATCGCGCGTTGTCGCGCGAAGTTAAAAGCGATCCGCGCACGACGTACCCGATCTCTGTTCTCACGACAATTTTAATTGCTTATAGGATATCGATAGCCAGCAATTTTCGATCGAATACCAGTTTCGAGACAGGAATGGATGGAGCAGAAACTCGTTGGCAACTCGGCTAGAAAATTTAACGAGGTGAGTTCTGTTTAAATCGAGTACTCTGTCGTACAGAGACACACCCTCGTCTGCGCGTCGCTCCTACTTCGATTCACGGCGGTTTTCGATCGACTGGCTGCATTGTAAATGGCTCGTCGATATCGTACAATCAGTTTCAGATGGAAAATAACATTTTTCATACTTTATTTTTCCAGGTACACGCGCCGTGGACCATGCTGTGTAATTCCTGTTTGCGAGCATCGATCAATTTCCAACATCCTTCGTATTATTCGACGACATGCTTTGTCTTCGCCTCGTTTTATGTATTTTTTTGTTTACAATTCCTTGGAAAGCGCGAGTACTGGTCCGCAACCTTCGAAACCGTATTTCAAAGCGAGACTAACTGCTTTTTACAGGCTGTTCTTTTCAAAGAAAACCATTTGTGTAAAATATCAACCCCGTACCCTTACCGAGAGGGTAGTTACAGGGGCGTAACGCAATTTTCAGTTTAAGCTGTATATCTTTTGTTGTATGGTATCAAAGATTTTGAAAAAAATTGGGGATATTTTGCTCCACGGCGTGCGTGTTTGTGAATTTTCTCCGAATTTTTCACCGGAAAATGAATTTTTAAAAAATTCGCAAAGTATAAAAATATTTTTTTTTAATAGAAATTATTAAATGACCACGTTTATATTTTTACAGTGTTAGTGTCTTGTTATGATTATTGATCTATAATATTTTCAGATTTTTAGAAATGGGGGAACGATGTTGGAAAAATCAAAAACCGACATTTGCTTGTATTTTTACCTTCATTTTTGTTGTGCCCATGTTCGTATTGTTACAATTTTAATAGCTTGTTACTGTTATAAATATATAATTTTTTGAGATTTTTTGTGGAGTTGTATCACATATAAAATAATTATAAATAATTATAATTATAAATATTCGGGTAATTGATATTTTTACTTCATCGAATGATCGTTATATGCATGATCAAAATAGTTTTACATGTATCAAATAATATAAAACTTAAAACCTTAGGAATGTCGAAAAAGACATGAATGAATGACGTTAATGAATACTTAATCTTTTATGAGTCATATTCTGAGAAATTCTAATGAGAAATTCTAATAAAACAATAGCTGCAATTCTCTTAATTCATACATGTAAAACTATTATATCCCCAATTTTTTTCAAAATCTTTGATACAATACAACAAAAGTTTAACTACCCTCTCAGTAAGGGTACGGGGTTGATATTTGACACAAATGGTATTCTTTGAATGGTTTATTAACTGATATGTACACTGATCAGTTTGGCTCAATTTTGACCATCTTATCCGGCTATACCCTTTCTATCGGTCTTGAAACGACCCGTTAAACGCTGAAGAGCCCATCGTGGTACCATGAACCGTTTTGCAATCGCGGATGTGCTATTTCTACACGCGTTAGCGTAGCAATGTCGCTGGAATTCCTGTGCTCCGAATTCGCTGAGCGTTAATCGCGTTGGAAACCGGTAAGAGCTGTCGTGGGAGGTGCTCAGCATTTCTAATGAGAGATGATAAGGCGGGAGGGACGTCGACAGCTGGACAATCTGACAGTAACGCACACCTACGGGGTTATCCACTTAGCTCTGCAATTTTAATTCGCTCGCGACCACAAAACCTCCCAAGATTCGTTCGATGAAAAGCCAACGGCTCGTAACACCGTTAGAAAAAAAAAGAAAGTTACATAATTGCGTATCGCTCACGCGCTGTGTTGCCCCACATCCATTGTACCCCGGGCGCAAAGTACTTTAACATGATTCATAAGCCGCTCTAAATGGGATGTCGCGAAACGGTGTTTCCAGGTTACCTAAAATCCTCTCTGAAGTTCTTTTTTTTTTTACTAATTCCACGGGCTAACGTACGAAACGCTTTGCTTCGTTTCTTTCGAGACTCTGGAGAATCGGTCGCGAAAGTAATAGAAACACCGTCGAGTCGAGAAGTTGTGTATATTTTGGAGTTTTTTTAAAGCTTCTCGTAACGACGATCCATCATCGAATAGCTTTGTTCTACATACGTTCTCCGCCGCCTCGGTATGTTAATATGATTCGTAAGTGGTCTAAATAGGATGTCGCAAAGTGGGGTCAAACGCAACGACCCCTAAGTGGTCGGCTCTTTCTCTCGATGCACTCTGGGTCACAGAATCGATCGACGATCGAAAGCGTTTAATGGCTGTATTTTAATGTCTGTTGATTATTACGTATTTGGTAAGGATCGCTAACACGATTATCACCGATACGAGAATCGGTCGATAAACAACGTAACCGAATTACAACGTGCAAATGAATTTACCTAACAGTCGAGGCAGAAAGAACCGGAGCCTGCCGGGATCTCGAGTATTTTTCAATCGTCGTCCAAATAAAATTCGACCTTATCAGCTGTATTCTTTTAATAGCACGTTCCTCCGTTATCGCCATTTTTGCACACTGTATCGGAGTGTATCGAGAGTGCGTGTCGTAAGAAGGTATCGCGGGCTGATAAGAACCGTGTGCAGTACCACCTTCTTCATCGTTATTCGATTTCGAGTTTTCGTCGCGATAGCGGCTGGATCGATCTCGCGTAATTAACCCCTTAAGGGGCCTTTCTACCTTGTGGGATTAAAAAAATCGATATATTTTTTTTTTGCATTTTCCTTTAGTACGTTGTCTCGAAAATATATCTACCAAATATTAAATTGAAATTTGAAAAACTAACGAGGTTATAACCTGCTGAAATGTACCGCGCGCAGGCATAACAACTGGACGCGGCGAAACTTTAAAGCTGTTTTTCTCGAAACTACATTTTTCGGCACTGCGTGCGCGATAACTAAAAAACTATTCAAGATATCAATATCAAATTTATACAGTATCTTCAGAACTGGTCTCCCTGTAGCATGAACTAGGATAATCGCGATATATGCAATACTTTTTCTTTTATTAATAAAAAAGCAACCAAATATATGAAAATATTCAGTATTTTTTCGTAAAATAGCTGCCAATTTGCCATTTTTTGTTTTTTTTGAAAAGATCCTAGTTCGTGCTATAACCACACTCATCTATATTAAGAATATCGTTGGTTTTAGGATTTCGAATAACTTGCTCGCAAGATATCACGTACGCAGTCGGGTGCCGTTCGTAAAAACTGTTGTTTGATGATCAACAAAAACAGCGTAATCGATAGATATTATGCGTTGCAAGAATTCGTAAGTATAGCTAAATATATAATAAATGTATCTAGAAAATCCGGAATTAATCGCTCTTTAATAACCCGCAAAAAAAAATCACAAAGAAACACGTATTTTTCATGCCTACAAGGTAGAATGGCCCCTTAACGTTCATGCCCGACTCCGACTGCTTTGAAAAACAATAGTTGTTTAATCCAACGGTTTAAGGGATGATAATATTTATTTTTCACAAATTCAATAAAGAAAACTGATCGTTGTTGGTTAACCCGAAAAATATGAGCGTTAAGGGGTCAATTTTAAAATGATAGCTCGGTTGCGTACGCAACAGGATGTAATGGGACGTTTGGCATGCAATTAGCAGCATTACGCGTTACAACTATTTAATAATGTATCGGGCATCGTGGCCCACGGGAAACGAACGGAAGAATTGAATTACAAAGTGGCTGGCGAACAACGTGTACTTAGCTTCCATCGTTGCGTGGCCGATCAGCGGAACGATATTGCGAAAAATCTGTAACGTTTATTGTTTTTCTTTTTTTACGGGAACTAAACGCGGCAAGTTTTATTCGTAGAAGCGGTGACGAATATTCGAGGAGTAAAACGGTGTTCGCGTCTTATAAATAGCGAAATTCCCCCGGCTGCTTTTCACCGACGATCGTCCTGCTTAAGGATGCATCGATCGTGTCTAGACGGTCACGTTCGTTTCACCGGTCTCGTCACGAACGGGGGAAAATCGTGACAATAAAAAAAGAAAACGGACACAGATGCAAACGGACAACGAACTTTATCGTTTCTTTCCTAAATAAAATCGCCTCGACGTCATTGGAAACGCTCCAATGTGTTTTTGCGTTGCTAGAACGAAACAATTTCGCTGGTTGTTATACTCCAATGACGAATTACGTCATGCGATAATCGAGGAGCGCTACGTGGATTTTCACGTATCGATACCCTTGGCTGCTATCGCGAGCGTTAACAATCGAGCTCCACAAAGAACAGTCCCCCAGGTCGAAAGAAGGGAAAACAAGATCTCTGTATCGGTTATAGAGAGCTGGAGGAACCAAAATCGGACTATTGTTAATTTTTTAGAATCTGATTATCATATTGGTGGAAGATCGCCTTGGAATCCGGGAATATCGAACACTTCTTACCCTTCTTGAGCTGTTTCTGCTTGAGTTCCTGATCCCTCTTGACCCCGTTACTTTCACTCGCTATAAAATTCTCGCTCGTCTTCGACTTCATTGTCCCTGCTGGTCGGTGACTATTGTGTAACGATCCAGCGCCGCGAGGCAGACTACACCTTTGCTTTTTTCTACTCTCTAGACGCAGATAAGATAATAAATATCTTGATTCGACGGTGCGTTAATTCCTTTGACTCTCGATGGATCGCGATGGGCGTCGAAATGTTGAAAATCGCGCGGAAATAATCGATTCAGCGGGAAAGTTGTACGATCGACTTGGTTCGATGTTCGCGATTTTCTGGAACGTTTCACACACACACGGTATCATCGGCACGGCCGCCGATCGCAGACTGACTGTGCGTCGACTAATGGAGGTCGGAGGCGCGCGGAGATTCGTGCGTCGAGTTTCGATTGTCAAGTCGCACGACTCGACTGACGTTTACTTTTCACGGCCGTCGGTATAGTGATTGCGTGCAGAGGCTAGCGATGGAATCGATCCGATGCTTGCTTATCATATTTGAGCAATTCGACGATCAACAGTTGCGCGAAACTTACCTGGGCGTAAGTGATTCCAGTTCGTGATCGCGGCCGTTGGATTTCCAAATCGTTGGCTCGTTAAGATCGAAGGAATTCCAAAGTATTTCGGAAAGCGTGACTTTCACGAGAGCAAAATCACCTTTTCCGTAAGTGCGTGCCGTAGAAGGGCAGAAATATTCTTTCCTTAATGGAGGCGCGTTTCCCAATGGTAGGACCCAATGCCGGTTTTATCTCGAAATTAATTACGAGGTCGTGTTATTATGTTACGAGATCTATGTGCACCGAGAAGGAAACTCTACACCTGTCGGGCCTTATTTTCTTTCAGATAGCGCTGATATGCGTTACAGGCGAGCGTATAGATGCCGTCGAGAAATACCTTGGAATCAAAGACATTATTTACGCAACGGTATACGAAAAGTACGGTTTCGCGTGCTGCACCGTGCTCGAGACGAAATTCTATCCGCGGCACTTCGACTTTTTGCATAATCGATGCTTGTCTAGAATCGATCGAACGATCACAGACCTCGAGTATGTATAGCGGTGGTACTCGCGACCACGATGCACCCTCATATACTTGTTGAACGCCTACGCGTTCATACGTACGTACATGTGCGTTCACAGAGTGTTTTAGAAACGCTCTGTAGCTTTCAGAAAATTTCAACTTGGATACAGTTTGAGGGTCTCGCGATTCTTCTTTCAACGTCTCGAATTCAATGATTCCACAAGACGTAAATCCGTTTAACTCTTAACCCTTTTAGTACCGAACGACGATATATCGGTGAGTATGCGATGGTGCCTTATTCTTCGCATTAGGAGAAAGCTCTGTTTCAAAAAAAATTTGTAAAACATTATAAAGGGTCTAATTTCATTTTCGAGAAAAAATTTCTTACCGAAAATCTAATTTTTCTTCCAGACCTAACCCAGACCTGACCCAAACCTAATCCAGACCTAACCCAGACCTAACCCAGACCTGACCCAAACCTAATCCAGACCTAACCCAGACCTGACCCAAACCTAATCCAGACCTGACCCAAACCTAATCCAGACCTAACCCAGACCTAACCCAAACATAATCCAGACCTAACCCAGACCTGACCCAAACCTAATCCAGACCTAACCCAGACCTAACCCAAACATAATCCAGACCTAACTCAGACCTGACCCAAACCTAATCCAGACCTAACCCAGACCTAACCCAGACCTGACCCAAACCTAATCCAGACCTAACCCAGACCTAATCCAGACCTAATCCAGACCTAACCCAGTACAAGGTGCCTAAATTTTTCGACGAAATTAAAATTTTTCAAATCGTTCTAAAAAAATTATTTTTATCTCGGGGTGTCAATTATACTCATTTTTGGGCAATAGACATGACCCCGAAATCCTACCCACTTTCGAGAACAAAATTCGAGAAGGTGTGAAATTTTTCGACGAAATTAAAAAATTTCAAATCGTCCTAAAAAAATTATTTCCAGTTGCAGGGGTCAATTGCAATCATTTCTTGTGAATAGACCTACCAGCGAAATTCTACCCATTTTCGAGAAAAAAATTCGAGTAGTTGGGGAAATTTTTAAAAATTAAAAAATTTTGAATCATTTTGAAAAAATTATTCTTAGCTAGAGGCATCAATTACAATCATTTTTTGTCAGTAGACATACCCCGAAAATCCTACCCAGTTTTTAGAAAAAAATTCGAGAACGTATGGAAATTTTTCGAAATTAAAAAATTTTGAATCGTTTTGAAGAAATTATTTTTAGCTAGGGGCACCAATTACAATCATTTTTGGTGAATACACGTACCCCTGAATTCCTACCCACTTTCTAGAAAAAAATTCGAGAAGGTGTGAGATTTTTCAACGGGGAAAAAAAATATTCAAATTGTTCCGGAAAAATTATTTTCCAATAAATGTTTAATTACGTTATTTATACGATTTGCAATAAATATTGAAACGCAATTGCCATTACTTTATTCTTTCTTTATTTCGTAATATGCTGGTTTTTGAATTTTTTAAATATCATTCTTAGTTTGGTTTTCACGAGCTTTTTCTACTAAAAGGGTTAAGGTGCCCGATGACCGCAATCCTTTCTGTGCTCTCATTTTGTCGCTTTCAGTTTGTCCCACCTCCGATAAGTGGCTGCGTTTATTAGTTCCAAGACGCTTATAACGAAGACTACGAAAGCGGAAAACCTCGAGCGACTTTCTTTTTTTATTTACCGGCAGTAGGTCTTGTAGGTCGACCAGCAAATTTGATGCGAGCTAATTAGGCACACGTGAGGTTGCCACTTTCGTTAGAGATCGTTAGAAATATTCTATCGCGCTTCCTACACCTTCTGGACGGATTTTCTTAATAACGGAACTTTGAAAAAGGAAACATTGTTCCATAATTTCGATCGTCTTGATAGTTAAGTCTTCTCGTTAGCGAGCGTGACAAAAGCGCATGGCCAACAGCAGTTCCGGTGCATTTCACCGCACGAGATTTTCCCTTCCGGCTAGCAGCGCAGCGTGAATCGAATACGGGGGGGGGGTATCGATCTGCAGCGTTTGCAGTTTCACTGAAAGCCGTTAACGGCACTTTGAGGGTTGAGACCCTTGTGCCAAATGTATGTCAATATACAAGGGACGCAACAACAAAAAGAATCAATACCATTCGTCGATCGTTGCATTATTTAGAACGCGGTTTCAACGCACCCCCTGTACGTTGCGTAATAATTCAGAATACTATAGTTCCGCGAAGCGCCTACGGCGCATCGACGAGTCGGTTCGTTGCGAATAAAGTTTTAACTCGTTTAATACGGGTGCAACAACACGGTTACTGTTGTACAGAGTCGGTACGCGGCAAGTATGTCGTGAAATTCGAGTGTATAAATACCAACCGCAGTTTCCTGGCGATATAGATAACACGGCGATTACACTCGAACAAAGTCAATATTTAAAACCAATGGACGCATTATGGCGCCATGCTAATACTCGAGAGAATGCAGGACTTATGTATGTATTTGATATTAATCGTGTTTTTTTACAAAAAAGAAACCTGAACGTGTCCGTCACGCAGGACACGCCTGATATCGTGCGTTTAATTGTACGAGCGGAATAGAGTTGCACGTAATTTTACGGCACGAGAGAAAATGGTACGCGAATCGGTAGGATATAAACGTCGCAGGATGCATCGCTGCCTCGTTGCTCCTCTCGACGTGCATACGTATTGAATCTCACGCACACGACGTCGTGCAAGGTACCCGGTGGTTGCGTGGGTAGAACGCATAATTGCGCGAGCAAATTTACGAGCGTGGCGTCCTCACATACCCGTCCTGGAATCGCTAGTGCACGGAACGGAGAGACATTCAATTCCTGTCGATATTTCACACAATTAGAAAAGAGAATAGTTGTACAGATACGTCTAAGAAAAGTAAATTTGCATACTTCGATGTGCACGCACAGCCTAGGGGTCGGATCCGACAATCCTTACGAACCGCTGAAACTTGATAATAATTTCTTTCCTACAAATTCAACGTTCTCGTTACACACATACACAGAAGAGCAAGAGTTTTGACGTCTCTTAATGGTAAAAAGCAATCTTTCCGATTACGCAACAACCGACACGTTGAAAAGCCAGAAGTAAATACATACGCGATAAACCTGCATTATTTTATTTGCTCGCGTCGAATCGATAAAACATAGAATGAAAATGTACGAAGAAAAGAGGAATAAAAAAAAAAGAGGAGGATTTTCCTCGAGACTTGGTAAAGGTGGCAGCCCTAGCCGAAGATCGAATGCGACACAGCGCACCGCTCGAGAGGAATGCAGGTCACTCTTGAATAGCGCGAAAACAAAATGAACAGGAAAAACAGTCGGTGGAGGTATACACACGTCCGGCTTACCCTAGGAAACGTCAAACCGATGGATCCACCTATTTATAGAGCCCCCGGAGTGAGTTTCACGGATACGATCCACGCAGAAAACATTCGGTGTGCTCGTCACGAGGAAAAGCCCGTGAAAATTGGGCGGAAATCGCGATACGCATGGGCGTACCACAAGCGCGTAAGCTTTTCGACTGTTTGACGAGAAGGGACGGTAGACGGGCCAACGGGGCCGCGTACATTCACCATGAACGGCGAAGCCACGGAGAGAGAGAAAAGCTAGCCGGCATTCAGCCACTTGGTTTCCGCCTTTTACTCACCCATCTTTACGGCCGTGCACGAGCTACGTTGCTTTCTGATCACGGTTCGTCGCGGACGATCAATTACACGATCATATTACAACACTGATCACGAGTAAAAACAGCACATGCACGGGATTTCACTTAGGAAATCACGGGAAATGCTAAAGACGTTCTCACCACCGAACGCTCGACGTCCGACATTGTAGTGGCGAGCGAACTCGGCAATGGGCATGCGCGTCTCTCGTGACACTGCCGTACCTAGACCTCCGTTCCTACGAGTTATATACCTCTAAATAGAAAATGGATTCTTGAAATTTAATTCTATATCGATAAATCTAGTTCTATGAATAGTCGACACTCTTAAAATGTTTTATCTCTATATTAATGTTTGAAAATTTTGATATTTACTGCAAGAGTTTTCTATAACGAAAGAGAACCCCATAGAAGAACATGCTACGTTAGTGGAGTAGCCAAACTTCCTTCCTTACCATCCGTGTCGTGTCCAACGTTATCGGTTCACGTCGGAATTCGAATTTAGAACTCTCAGTGTTTGGAATTATGACTAAATTATTGGGAGAATTTATTATTTCGAAACGGGCCTGAACGCATAGGAGATGCATCGATTAAATTCACAGGCATTACCCAACCGATTTCGGTAGATCAGTTGGCTATAGTTCCCAAGATCACCGAACTCCGGAAGAGGTC